AAGTTTACAGTTCTGACGGACCACAAGAACCTCCAATACTTCTACCGCGAACGACAGCTGTCTGAAAGACAAGTACGTTGGTCAGAGTTTCTCTCACGATTCGACTTCTCCCTGGAATGGAAACCTGGAAAGACTATGGGAAAACCCGACGCCCTATCACGACGAGAACAAGACCTACCCGCCAACTATGACGATGAACGAATACGGTCTCGATTTATCCGTCTCTTCCAGAGCAAGCACTTGCGGAGTGTTCAAATCCAGTCTCTATCGTCTGAGGAGATTGACTTCACAAAAGAGATACGCATGTTTGAGGACCAGGAGATGCAGAATCTGTGGCACCGAAGCCGCCAAGAAGATAAGCTTTATCAGGAGCTTACTACACTAGTAGCAAATAAGGAGAGGAACCTCCCTACTAAGCTTCAGAAGGAGAAGTTAGTGAGTATAGCAGAATGCACCCTAGACGAGAGAGGCTTGTTACGATTTCGAGACCGGACATGGATCCCTCACTGCGAACCACTCCGCACGCGAATCATTCAAAATATTCACGACTCGCATATTACTGGCCACCCCGGACGAGATCTTACCTACTCAATCTTATCAAGGCAGTTCTTCTGGTCAGGTGCAGCAAGCGACGTGCGACGCTTTGTCCGTAACTGCGAGATTTGCGGAAGGAATACGATATGGAGAGAAACAAAGAAGGGCCTCCTTAAACCATTACCGATCCCAGAACGTATATGGGGGGAACTTTCAATCGATTTCATTACCGACTTGCCGCCATCTGGACGGGATAACGCAACGAACTGTATGGTGGTCACTGATCGGCTGACAAAGGGAATTGAACTAGAAGGTATGCACGATATCTCGGCACAAGCCGTAGCACAACGACTTTTCGAACGGCATTATCCTATTCACGGTATTCCAACGGCAATTACGAGCGATAGAGGACCACAATTCGTTAGCGATCTTTGGAAGCATTTCTGTAAGCTCCTTAGCGTTGAGCAACGCCTGTCGACTGCCTACCATCCGCAAACCGATGGTGCAACAGAACGAATGAATCAAGAGATTGAAAAGATGATTCGAATCTGGGCCACGTACACGCAAGAAAACTGGCTGGCACTTTTACCTGTCGTTATGGGAGCAATCAACAACCGCGAGGCCTCATCCACTGGCCTAAGCCCCTTCTATTTCATGCACGGATATCACAATGAACCTATTCAGCTAGTAGAGGATCGAACTATTCAGGACCGACCAAAGAAAGATGGCGAAGCACTAGCAGAAGGCTTCCTCAAAAGACTCCAAGATGCAACAGAGTGGGCCCAAGCCGCGATCGCGATGACACAAGAGAAACAGCAGCATCAGGCTAATAAGACAAGAACAGCAGCGCCCCAATACAAGGAGGGAGACTGGGTGTTTCTAAACCTTAGAAACGTGAAGACAACACGACCTTCCAAGAAGCTAGACTGGTTGCATGGAAAGTATAAAGTCTTGAAGCAGGTCAACTCCCACTCTTATAAGCTTGACGTTCCGGGAAAAATCCATCCTGTCTTTCACGTAGACCTGCTTCGCTACGCGCCTGACGACTCTTTCCCATCGCAGAAAGTTGGAGACACTCAGCCAGGGCCTATACTTATAGATGGAGACGAGTTATGGCTGGTTGAGCGTATTCTGGGCGAACGGACAATAGGGCAAGGAGGGAAAGGAATCAAGGAGGCATATGTGAAGTGGGTGGACTATACTGAACCGACATGGGAACCAGTGAGCAACGTACTAAAGACTGACGCTTGGAAGAAATGGAAAAAACTACACGCTAAAGGGAAAGGAGGGGGGTAATGTAACGGGCTGAGCCCTAAGTCACATGACTAGGCTGCGAGCCTAGTCGCTTCCCCGGCAACGAGAGGGCCGTGCGCCAACCCAAACAAAGCGGGCTCGCCGCTCGCGTCTTACCTTCTTTCTTCATCTTGACTGTAAATAGCATCTGGACTAGGTAGCTGGAATACAGTTCCTACAGACCGTTCACAAGGGACCAGCCTGTCAACGCGCCAACAGAACAGCACAAAATCAAGGAGCCCGTCAAGCCAGTTGTTACTCGCTGGAACTCTTACGTTTCGTGTTTTGAGCGCGCTGTTGAGTTGCAATTAGCGGTTAATGGGTACGCCAACTACCATATTCAGAAGATTGAAACTGAAGACGCGTACGCCCGAAGTCGTAACAACAAGCTGCCTGCAGCGCCGGATTGGATGAGGTCTGATGGGATCAATGCCCATGACTGGCAGGTGATTGCTGAGTATATTGATGTGCTCAGGCCACTGAAACAAGCTACAAAACGGCTTGAAGGCCGCGGCAAAAGCGGTGCTTTTGGAGCAATCGCTGAGGTTATTCCAGTATTTGAATACTTACTTGGAGTCTATGAGGACCGCTTGCAAAGCTATGAAGACGTCATTCACGATGAGCATACAGAGTCACCCGAAGACCACCTTGCTATCAACCTCCGCGCTGCCCTAGTTAAAGCCCGCGAGTACTACAACAAGCTCGACCTCTCGCCAGCTTACTATGCTGCTACAATCCTTCATCCTCGCTACAAAAGCTACCTTGACGCAGCGTGGGCGGATAAGCCTGATTGGCTAGAGAGCAGCAACCGCAAGTTTCAACATTTGTGGGCGGAGTACAAAAGCTTACCGAAGCCGCGCTTACGCCCCAAAGTCAGGCACAATGATATAGACGACGCTATCAACAGCTTTATTGAGCCTGCAGGGCTTACGGAGAACGAGGAGGATGAATATGAGGCTTGGAAACGCAGCGAACCGATCGCTAGCGAGGGCGTCGACCCTATAAAATACTGGGTAGGACTCCGCGATCGCTACCCCAGCCTTAGCAAATTTGCTATCGACATGCTATCAATCCCAGGCTCAAGCTGTGAGTGTGAGCGCTTATTCAGCGAGCTGGGTGACCTCCTCGAGCCCCGTCGGCGCAGCATTTCTCCGCAACTTCTAGCAGCAATACAGTGCGATCGACGATGGATAAGAGCTGGATTTGGCAGTGGTGAGGTGCCTGTAAAGGAGGCTATCAGCGATGAGGAGATGGACGCGAAATACGGTGTACATAAGTGGGATATTAGCTGAGAAACTCAACACCAAGGTTTCTATATAACTTTCCTAATCGGGACTGAGCCCATCAAGCCGAGCGAGCTGACAGCCCTGTTTCAGCCAATCCGAGCGAGCCGAGCGAGCTGCTGGCCTCCGCTCAATTGGCTGAGCAAGCCAATTGGCTGAGCTCGCTCAGCTTGCTCATTGACATCTGTGTACGCTACGGACCAGGGGGAGTACACCAGACTCCGCAACAATCAATCGATTGACATGATTGATTCCTATATAGGTTAAAGAATTACTTCATTAGGCAGCCTTTAACCTAGATAGGAATCAATCATGCCGATCCGATTGATTGTTGCGGAGTCTGGAGTACACTCGCAATTTGTCATCTACTCTGATGCTGACTGGGCAAGCGACATGGTAGACCGAAAGAGCGTTTCAGGGAGCACTGCAATGTTCTACGGAGGTCCAATATCATGGTCTAGCAAGAAGCAACGGTCTGTTGCAACCAGACTCCGCAACAATCAATTAGACTCCGCAACAATCAATTCAATCCGGTCACTCTCCTAGACCCACTTACCTATCTAGGTAGGGCTTAAACTCCTATAGGTAACTACTAGGCTTAAAGCGGTAATCAATCAATCCAATCTGAACCTTCTAGGACCCACTTAATTGATTGTTGCGGACTGTGCAATCAATCGGATCGGCATGATTGATTCCTATCTAGGTTAAAGGCTGCCTAATAAAGTAACTCTTTAACCTATATAGGAATCAATCATGTCGATCGATTGATTGTTGCGGAGTCTGGTTGCAACGTCAAGCTGCGAATCTGAATACATCGCACTATCAACATGCTGCAAGCAAGGCCAGTGGATTGCTCAAATGTTTAGAGATCTTGGGTTCCCAAAGTACATTGGAAAAGACACCAACAAGGTCCAGATGCTAGGAGACAACCAGGGTGCCATTGCACTTACAAAGAACCCTCACCTTCACGAAAGATCAAAGCACATCGACGTCTGTTATCATTTTATCCGAGACCTAGCAGAACAAGGCAAACTCGATGTGGCCTACGTTCCAACTGCAGACATGGTGGCTGATGGAATGACAAAGCCATTGCAGCGAGTCGCATTCGAGAGATTCAAGAACCAATTAGGAGTTGTCCTTGGACCGGACCTGCCCTGAGGGGGAGTGTTAAGAATATGTTAGGTTCAGTCCAGGTCGGCGAGGTGAGGTTCGTGGAGTAAGCCCGAGCAGAAGGACCGACGCGGAATGATGATCTGTCATGTACGTCCTAAGATCATCATAACAACAAGTAGATAGAACAATAGCTCTTAGTGAAGTTCAATCCAATACAGGGTTACCTTTCGTACCTCTACTCGGTCGCCTATGGTAGTCATACCACCAGAGGAGACCTTGTTCTAACAATTATTATATTTCCATTAGAGTCCTGTATCAGTCGGTGACTATGTAGGACTTTGGCTAAGCCGTTCTATGTATGTTGTTCAATATGGAGTTTCTATAGGTCTTGTACAATTTGGAGGATAGTTGCGTAGTCCACAACTGGGCAGATAGATCGCACGAGTAAGTGAGTCAATTGGAAGTATACATCCTGTACAAGCAGTCGCAAACGGTGTGTGATACTTAGCTAGATTCTTGTCAGATTCTACACGCAGTTCTGGCTGCGCAACTACCAACCGCGTATCTTCAAGGACTACCCGTACCTCCTCACCAGCGCCTTCGACGGTGCAAGTCTCACATGCTTGTTCATCCTTTCGCTTGCGGTTTTTGGCGCCGGAGGACCTGCAGGACCGTTCCCGTAAAGGCGGGGAACACAACGTCGCTGGAAATTATTACCCTTGTCCTATCCTGTCGCAGAGTAAGGCCCGGAGTAGGACAAGTCGGAAAGCAAAAGGGTACAGTATCCAAGTTCATTATAATCTCTATTTGTATTAAAGTACTTTTGTTCCATTCAAGTATCATCGGCCATTCTATCGTAATCATGCAGAACTCTCTCCCTCTCCTTCAGATCCTACAAAGCCAAGGCCACAGCACCAGCGACGAGAGCCAAAAGACCTCCCGCTGCATAATTGGCAGATGCAGCACCTGGAAATTCCGGGGCACCGGTAGCAGTAGGAGTTGCGCTCCTGGACGCGGGGATGGTACCGTTGGTAGTGCCGTTGGCGGTCGGTATGGTGCCGTTGACAGTCGGTAGGGAAGAAGCTCCACTCTGAGGCGGCATTGTGGCCGTGGTAGCATTGGCAGCGCCCGAGGTGGATGGCTTATACCCACCACTGCAGAGACCATTCCTGCACGTGACGAGGTTGCACTGGTCGTCGGACGTGCACTGGGCGTTGAAGCCTCCACATGTCGCTATGGCCATCATGTTGCTTGCCCAGCACTGAGCATTCTTGCATTGGTCCGGCTTCACAAACGGATTGCATTGGGCGCCGAGAGGGAGAGAGCCAGCAGGAGCGACAATGGTGGGTGACGGGGCAGGCAGCGCGCCCTGGAACTTGCTGGTTTCGGCAGTCGGTGATGGTGAGGCCCCTGGTTTGAAGCCGCTGCATGCACCTTGGACGCATGCGTTGTATGCGCATTGTTCGTCGCTCGTGCATGGAGCCTGAGAGTTGCCGCAAATAGGGGTGCGCGTCAAGTTGGCCGTGTAGCACGAAGCACCAAAGGCACATGGTGTGCTTTTGACATTGCACTCGTAGCCGAGGGGAATCCTGGCTTCTTGCGCTGAGGCAAGGGAGGCGGCTGTGGCCAGAACGAGGAGTGTGAAGCGCATATTCAAGGTAACGATAGTGTTGGTTTGGCAACGAATGTGGGTGGCAGGAAGAACGAAGGTGGTTCTGATGGCAATCTCAGGATGACTTAGGAAATGGGATGTGGAAGGCGATGGAAGGAAATCTCAACCTTTATACATACGGTCCTTTCTCGTGTTACTACGAAGACCAGACGATGATCTTGTGGCTGGTCGGTGCGTCCAGCTGACTTGGCAATCGTACGTAACCCACAGATCCCAACCTCGCAGCACGCCACATGACGCTGAGTCTCCGCGGAGTCTCCGCGCTATCATTCACGACTGTACTGCAGGGTCCAAAATAGAAACTTTGTCCATAGCCTCGTTGATAATTAGTGGCGTTTGGGCTGAAGGGAAAACAATCTAGGGTAACGCAGCTCGATCTCGGCCCGATGGGGTCTTGCGGCCAAGTTCGACTACCAAGGAGTATGTGCGTACCTCTTTGCTGACAGTCGGTCCACCGTTGCAAGGTTATTGGGTATGAGGTGGGTGGAGCTTAATGGAGAAGGTATGTCAGACGTTGAATTGTGCACTTGCACGTACCACGAAAATCTTCCCCCGCCTGTGCGACGCTATTCCTGGACCGGTGTTACTTTCGGATGTAAGACCACAAGAAAACGAAATACAACCTACGTAAACGTGCGCGAGGCCAAGTTTCTTGGGCGGATTGTGTTGTGCATTTGGTCTGCCTCAGTACCATCCTAAGGTGGTTCAATTAAGATATGTTTCTGTACTTGTTAATAATGTAAGGGGTAGAGGGAGATGAAGGAAAGAAAGGATAGACTGTTTCTGTATGCAATTGTTCAAGTAAAGGTAACTAACTGTATAGAAAGAAGTAAAAAGTGGATTAAAGTCTATCCTAATAGAAATACATGTCTGCGTAGTCTATACAAGTCGTAATAGAACGCTCCTAGATCGTGTCGAAGACGCACTCGTCGTGATCAAGCTATTGACAACAAAGTGTCTAGTACTTCTCACCAGAGGCTCCAGCACCAGCACCGGCACCAGCACCGCCAGAGACACCGGCACCAACACCAGCTCCACCGTTGACACCAGCGCCGACACCACCAGCTCCTCCAACACCGGCACCGACACCACCGTTGACACCAGCTCCGACACCGCCAGCACCACCGACACCAGCTCCGACACCGCCAGCACCACCGACACCAGCACCAACACCACCGTTGGCTCCAGCACCGATTCCGCCAGCACCGCCAACACCAGCACCAACACCGCCGTGGACACCAGCGCCAACACCACCAGCTCCTCCGATACCAGCACCGACACCACCGTTGGCTCCAGCACCGATTCCGCCAGCACCGCCAACACCGACACCAGCACCGCCGTGGACACCAGCACCGATACCGCCAGCTCCGCCAACACCGGCACCGACACCTCCGCCAACACCAGCTCCAACTCCGCCGTGGGCTCCGCCGCCAACACCGGCACCAGCATCAGCGCCAGCACCTCCGTGAGCTCCGCCGAGGCCAACACCGAGACCTCCGAGTCCAAGACCGCCAGAGAGAGGAAGGCCAGCGATACCACCGTGACCACCAGCTCCTCCACCGACGAGGCCGCCAACAACGGGAAGACTTCCAGCGATTCCGCCAGCAGCTCCAGCAAGACCACCAAGACCGGCTCCTCCGTGAGCACCTCCACCAACGAGGCCGCCAACAACGGGAAGACCTCCAGCGATTCCGCCAGCAGCTCCAGTAAGCCCACCGAGACCAACGCCTCCGTGAGCACCTCCGCCAACGCCTCCGTGAGCACCTCCACCAACGAGGCCACCAACAACGGGAAGACCTCCGGCAATTCCGCCAGCAGCTCCAGTAAGCCCACCGAGACCAACGCCTCCGTGAGCACCTCCGCCAACGAGGCCACCAACAACGGGAAGACCTCCAGCGATTCCGCCAGCAGCTCCAGTAAGCCCACCGAGACCAACGCCTCCGTGAGCACCTCCGCCAACGCCTCCGTGAGCACCTCCACCAACGAGGCCACCAACAACGGGAAGACCTCCGGCAATTCCGCCAGCAGCTCCAGTAAGCCCACCGAGACCAACGCCTCCGTGAGCACCTCCGCCAACGAGGCCACCAACAACGGGAAGACCTCCAGCGATTCCGCCAATGCCAGCGCCTCCGTGGGCACCTCCACCAACGAGGCCACCTACACCTGGAAGACCTCCAGCGATTCCGCCAATGGGTCCAGTAAGACCACCAAGACCAGCGCCTCCGTGTCCACCGGCACCTCCACCAATGAGGCCACCAACAGCGGGAAGACCTCCAGCGATGCCGCCAAGGCCAGCGCCTCCGTGTCCACCGGCACCTCCGCCAATGAGGCCGCCAACACCTGGAAGTGCTCCGGTTACTCCACCAAGATCGGGAAGACCGGCGCCTCCAGAGGGAGCGCTGGGGCTACCCGAGCCGTAGCCAGAGTCGGGCTTGTCATCTCCAGAGCTGGGCTTGTCGTCGCCAGAGTCAGGCTTGTCGTCACCAGATTCGGGCTTGTCGGCGGGCTTGTCGGCGCCGGAGCTGGGCTTGTCAGAGCCAGCGTCAGGCTTGCCAGAGCCGTAAGAAGGGGCGCTGGAACCGTAACCAGAACCGTATCCGGGTTCAGCGCGAACGACGACGTTGCCGGTCTGCGGGTGGGGGAGCGCAGTGGCGATGCTGGCAAGAGCCAAAAGCTGGGCAGTGAAGTACTTCATGTTGATGATGAAAATAAGTCGAAGACGAGATTCGTAAAGAAGGTAATACGATTATTCGCAGATTGTAGTAAAGAAGGTGAGTGTTAAACACAACGAAAGGATAGACTGTAAAAGGTCTGATCGAAGGGAAGGTAGTAGAGCGAGAGTGAGATCGATGTTGATGCCCTTCAAACTGTGGCAGGACGACTGTGTCTTATACTCGAGGAAGATGTTTGCTCCCAGCGACCAGGCATCGTCATGGCCAGGCGCACTGCCACTGCTGTTTCGAAACATGGTTCCTGGTAGTAGCCTACTGCGTCCAAAAGGGTGACAAGGTTATGCCAAGTCTGTCCAGACTGTCTTGTTTCACGCCATATCCCACGAGATCGACGTTGGGCTTGACGGGAGAGACGCGATGTGTGCAGGGAAGACGAGCTTGTTCTCTCCGCCATGCGGCCTCGATTCACGACGTGGACCGGTTCCTGGCCTAGATGGGCGAACGGCATGGCTAGTGCTGTTTTGGCCGTGAGTCGTGATGGGGTCAAGTCGGCAATGTAGACTATCGAGTAGGCCAATATCCCCATTGCGACTCGCACTAGCGTCTGTCACCGTGTCAAGAGACGAAGTTGTATCTTTGGAACTTTGATCCCCTTTGTGTCCATAGTTGGTGGAGGAGTAGATGCGGTACCAGAGTGATGTTGAAGACGTCGATGAGAGCGTGTCGCCTGGACTGACAATGGGTGGCGCAATGCAATTCTCCTGCGCCCGGCCGAGTACTGTACCTAGGTAGTGAGGAGGCAAAGTTGTCCTCATACTCACGATACCAATACCGTGCATGCCTGTCAGTCGAAATGAAGGATACCGGCCTGTGCTTGCTCAACTTCGGCTGGTGTCAGAGTGTTGTCGACGTCTTCCCTCTTGGAGTAACGTTTGCATCGTCGTTTCCCAAGTTCCCCTTTACCATTCGGCTCAAGTGCGTGCCGTTGTCAATACTTGATGCTGTGACAACGGTCCAGGGACCAATGAGGAATCACGGCATCAGGGTATCACGGCATGACCCGCGAGCACATGCATGATGCTCATCTCCTAGGTGTCGATCTGGAGTAGTTGATGCAGGTGCAGCGAGGGTTCATCGTGGACATGTGTCGTGGTTGCGCGAACCACGTCGAAAAGCGGCGGGTCTCGGCAGCGCTTGTGTGTGGCGCTTCAGGCCACCACGACTTAGTCCAACTTTGCATCGCACGTCTCTCTCGACATGACCACTTCTAGAACATGCAACTCTAATGTGCATGTGCATGCGTGAGGTATTGCGGACCTGCGCGGAAATGTAGGTAATGCCTGTTATCGGCGACACCCTTGCCGACCCGGCTGTTTCGGCGACGTTTGTTACGACTCCCTCCTCTCATCGTGCTGTCGGCGTCTTCGTATCGTGTGCTTCGGCGACCTAATACCTGCAGCATCATCAAGAATCACCTCATCTCGCGCTGCTCAGCGTGACGCATAAGCTTTGGTGTCTACATAGACTGACGCATCGCCCGATCATGTCGGGCTTAATTCATTGCCCGCGTCGCACGCTTAGCACAAGCCGACAACAAAGTTTGAATGCCTTCTCCGAAGCCCACGTCGGCTGCTCGACCAGCACCGCTAGCTTGCCTAGAGTGTCGCCGCACACATCTTAGGTGCGATGGAGCAACTCCTACCTGCGGGCGCTGTCATAGCCGCGGATATGCGTGCACATACACGCGCTCAGGACGTGGTCGCCGCCGCCGCCGCATCATTGGCCAAGACGCCGGAACATTATCTACTGTTTCGCACCAGCAGGCGTTACCTTCCCCGCCATATACCACTACCCAGTCCATCGCCACGCAGGCGCAGCCATCGTCGACACTATCGCAATGGTTCCAAGATAGTGGCTCGAATCTAGAGAGAGAGTCCAGTGCCCCTGAGTCCGTCCCCAGTCTGCATGCTGCACCCCAGCCAGACCCTTCGGATGCCATTATACTCCCATCCGGTCCCACGCCTAGTCCGCAAAGTGATGAGCTCGCGCCATGGGCCGATGACGAGCAGCTGGTCAACTTGTACTATCTCAACTTCCACTCCAGCCATCCCTTGCTGCTGCCTAAGAGCTGGTATTGGAAGAACCAGTATCCCCAGTACCTCAAGGCCGTCGTTCAGCTCATTGGTGGCCACTTTTGCCCGACAGCATCTCGAGATGCGTTGCTCCAACGTGTTCAGAAGGAGCTCCAAGATGATGGCCAGGAGACCCCTGAGAGGGTGCAAGCCCAGATCCTCTACGCCGTGTACCTCTTTGCGCAGCACGACTTGCGCAAAGGACAACAAGTGCTCAACTCTGCCATTGAAGCTGCACTGAACCTCGGCATGCACCGGCAAGACTTTGCAGCAATGCATGCAGGCAGTTTGACAGTGCTGGAAGAGAGTATGCGAAGAACCTGGTATGAGCTATACATAACCGACGGCTGTGTTGCCGCACTACAGCGGAGATCAACCTTCAAGACCAACACTGTGGGCGCCGACGTGCTTTTGCCATGCGACGATTTCATCTACGAAGACGGCATGTGCTTCATGCCTGCAACGCTGCATGACTTCCACGATAACGTCTTCGCAGACGAAGAAAAGGTCTTCTCGTCATTCTGTTACCGCATCGAAGCAGTACGCCTTTTAGGCCGAGTCCTGACCATCACCGGAGCACAAGGCGTGCATAGGGATCTCGTACAAGCAGCCGACAACGCACTTGCAGCTTTCACACACCATCTCCCCCGGTCCAAGAGTGAAGCAGAGATCGTGAGTAGTTATGGTGAAATCGATGAGCTCATGTTCCAGGCCCACACCATTATCCAATACAGCACCATTCTCCTCCACTTTCCCAGGGGCGACCTGCTTTCCCCTGGTCCACTCGCAGAGGATGTGCCTGGCGCCAATAGTACGAAACTCCTCTGTCCTTGCAATCGGCAACACGTTCACTCTATCAAAGCGATCGAATCCTCCAAAACCATGTCTATGCTAGCTGCCCTACGCCCTCCGGTTCATAGACACAGTCCCTTCTTTGTCTACCCCCTGGCTCTCGCTGCTGTAGTGCAGCTTTCCATCGGCGCAATCCATGCTAAAAGCTCGAGTGGTTGCTTGGAGCAGCACTCGGATAGAGTCAAATTGATGCTGGGGGTGTTGAAGACGTTGGGAAGATACTGGTCCGCTAGCGACAGTGTTTTGCGTGTCTTGAAGAAGATGTCTTGTGCGGTTTTTCGTAGCCCTCGTGCGGAATCGTCTTATGCTGCGCGACGAGACGATCAGATGGATACTGGTTTGGACGCGTGCCCCCATATATTGGTGGATAGCGATTGGCTGAATAGTGTTGATCTTCAGGATTTGAGTGGGCTTATGGGGCATGACAATGGTACTCCGGGCGGGTATGGTCACTTTTGATGGCCACGTCGTAGACCATGCCACAGATTCAGGATGCAAGTCTAGTCACGCGCGCATATAATATGTTATCGAAGAAAAGAACACATACAATCCCTAAAAGAAACTAACCAGACACTCCCACTTCATCACTCATCACCACCCCACCACCCCTCACTCCCACCCCTCACTCCCGGCAACCTCCCCCCCCTCACATTAACCTGCAACGCCGGATCCAATAACCCCGGCGCCTCCAACCCCGCATCCCGCTCTTGTCTCAACCTGATAAACTCCTCCTCTTCAACCCCTTGCTTAACATGCCTATTCCTCTCTTTATGATCTTGCACCGTCATCCACGGCACTGCTTCGCGAGACGCCGCGGGGTAATCATGTCCGGTCCAGATTTTGACGTGCGAGGGGAGGGAGAGCAGTTTGCGCGCGGAGAGGTAGAGCGAGGGCGCGGAGCCGCCGGGGAAGTCGCAGCGGGCGGTGCCGAGGGAGGGGTGGAGGAGGGAGTCGCCGGAGAAGATGTTGGCTGTGTGATGGTGATGTTTATCAGCGTTTTTTGTTCTAACGTGTGTGTGGTTGAAAGGATGGGGTTGACTACGTACCGCCGATTTGATACCCTACATGATCAGGCGTATGACCCGGAAGATGTATAACTCTCACGTCCAACTCGCCAACCTGAAAAGTTTCGTCGTCGTCGAAGAGTTGATCAAACACGCCTTCGTACTCCTCCGGTGGAATACCGTATTTCTGCGCAAAAAGCTCTTGCACCTGTTTAATGCGTTTGCCGATTCCAATGCGTGGTTTGGAACCCTGTTGCTGTTGGGAGAGGCGGTGTTGAAGATACGATGCTGCTGTTAGATGATCGGCGTGCGCGTGTGTTTCTAGGATCTTGTCGATGTGGTAGGCGTTTTTTGAGATGAGGGATAGGAGGGCGTCGGCGGTTGTGGTGCTGATTTTTTGGGTGGTGGGGTCGTAGTCGAGGACGGAGTCGATGATGATAGCGCGTTTTGTTGAGGGGTCTGCGACGATGTATTGCCATGTGCCTGTTTTTGGTTCGTAGATGCTGTGGATACGTGGCTCTTGGGTCGCGATGGGGTTGAGTGCTTGGTTTTTGTGGGGTGTTTGGGTGAGATGGGCGTATGGTGTTGTTGAGGGTTTGGAAACAATGCCGCTTGGCTGTGTAGTAGCCATGGTGAATGTTCGGTTGGGAAATTTGCCTGTGCCAACTCTCTTTATCGCTTGGAGGTTCCGTTGAGGTGTTCTGTTTTGTTGTTGTATGCTTCCAATTCTTGGTATAGGTAGGGTTGGTTTGGAAAGTAGAGTAATTGACCTTGTGGTAATAAATGGGACTCGTATCGGCTTCATAATCCAGCTGAGATGGTTTCACACACTGCAGTAATATCTTTCCTTAAAATTATCTATAAACCTAACCTGCGATACTGCATCATCTTATGTAGTCACATAAAATTCAATATGATGCGTCGTATAGCGCAAGGTTACAGGGTTCGGTGACTTCCATGCTTACAGAACACCGTGAGTCCCCGTTGGTCGCCGAACATGACGAGTCTCATCGTGCTCACGCCATTACATCCCTTACAAGCTATGGATCCGTTAGATGACGGTTCTTGGCTCTATATACAGTCGCTCTGGGTTTCCATGCGTTCTTGGAAATCTGCGATAAAGTTTGTTACTCGCCATCATGATGCATGCGTTGCGCAACCGCGTCGCATCGATATCCAACCAATCAATCCTCGGACACCACACTACCACCGCGTCCCGTCATCTTGCAACTGTTTTACCGGCAATTACAACGACCAAGAGTCACAAGGTTGTTGTTGTTGGTAGTGGTTCTGCCGGCATCGCCGTCAGCCATCAACTCCTCCGCAAGGGAATATTTTCCAAAAACGACATCGCAATCGTTGACCCAGCGACATGGCACCATTACCAGCCAGGTTGGACGCTCGTAGGAGGTGGCCTGAAAAGTAAGGAATGTTTCAAAAGACCTATTCACGAACTCATCGGACCAAAACTCAAGTTCTACAACAAAAGTGTCGCAGCCATTCATCCCGGGGAAAACTATTTATCCCTCGGCGATGGCAGTAAGCTTGCATACGACCACCTCGTTCTCGCGCCAGGCATCAAAATCGACTACGCCAGCGTCGACGGCCTTTCCGAAGCCATGGCAAATCCAGATAGCCCCGTCTCTTCCATTTACAGCTACGACTACTGCGATAAAGTCTCCCGAAACATCCAGCGCATGAAGAAAGGCGCTGCTCTTTTCACCCAGCCAGCAGGCATCGTCAAATGCGCGGGCGCACCCCAGAAGATTATGTGGCTCGCGCTGGACTATTGGAGAAGAGCGGGTTTATACAATTGCTCGCCGTCTCGTTCAGCCATCCAAGTCACTTTTGCCACTGGCATGCCTACTATGTTCGGCGTGCCGAAATATAGCGCTGTGCTCGACGAGTTGAGGGAGAAAAGAGGCGTAACCGGGTTATTCGAGCATAATCTCATTTCCATAAACGGGAATACCGCGACTTTTGAGCGTCCAGGTGGTGGTGGTGGGAAAGAGCTTGTAAACCGAAACTTCGATTTCCTGCACGTTGCCCCTAGAAACGTCCCGCATTCTTTTATCAAAGAAAGTGGTTTGGGGAATGAGGCCGGATACGTAGACGTCGACCCGCACACATTACGGCACAACAGATTCCACAACATCTGGTCCCTTGGTGATGCGGCGAGTTTGCCTACATCGAAAACCATGGCGGCGATAACATCGCAAGCACCCACGCTTACGCACAACATCCTGTGTAGTCTTCAGGGGGAAAATCTGACGTCGCAATACGATGGTTACACGTCGTGTCCGCTACTGACGGGGGAGAAACAGGTTCTTCTTGCTGAATTCAAATACGGCGGTGTGCCCAAGGAGACGTTTAACACGTGGCTTGGCGTCGATCAAGGTGTGCCGCGTCGGGCATTTTATCATTTGAAAAAAGACTTCTTTCCTTGGGTGTATGGGAGGTTTCATGTAACGGGTCGGTGGGGCGGGCCACAGGGCTGGATATCGTAGCGCGTGGTTGTGGGTTGGGAAAGGCATGTTGTTTTGTGGTTGGAGAATGAAGAGGGATGTACTCGGTCGTGATTTGCATGTTAGTTATGGGTTAGTTATCAATTTATCACTTTTGCGAAAATGATACAATGAGACAGTTTTTTCCCCTATATCTGTTTATCATTTATCAACTACCCCGCTCCACTACCATACCACCGGAGCTAGGTATTCCTTACTAGAAACCCCCTCTCTAGCATAAATACAATTCCTCAACTTTGACGGGCGCGGTCCAATCGCAAATGGCGTTTTTCCCGAGACTAAGCACAAAGACCTCATAGCCGGCTTGAAAAGCCGTTTGAGAAGTCGCCGACTGGGGGTTGATGAACCGGTATGACTCGCCCTCAAGCCTGACTACTTGCAAGCCGTTTGCGTAGTTTTTGTAGTTGTCGACGCCTGTCGCAACGGGCGGGGACTCGAGACGTGAACATTTTTCGTAGAGGGCCGCATCGCGTGGGTCATCGGTAGATGAACGCCCTGGGACAGAGATACGCAGTTTACGCATATCAGACCCGCTGCATTTGGGGATGTTGAACTGAGCCATTGCTGAGAGTGGGGCAAGAAAGACGGCGACGACGGAGAGTTTCATGGTGCAGACGGTGTATGGAGAGACTAGGAGGTCTACGTTGTGTTAGGAGACGAAGGTTAGGTCAATTTAAACATTACTTACAGAGTTGGTTAGGTGGTTTCACGGTCTGATTAAGAGGTTAGAGTAGCTTACCAGTGTTGGGGTTGCAGAAACTAGAGATTAAAGGAAGACGGTGTAAGATGAGGTATGTTTTAGAAAATGGCGGGAAACTCTGATATAATTTGATCGTTTTTATATACAGCAGGTTCCGCGCTCTATCCGTGCAGTACTCCGCAGAGTACACGGTCCAATCTAACCGGTGTGCGGACAATTACATGTTAGATCTACCTTCGTGCTAATACCGTAGGAGTGTCCGTAGAGTACACGATCCAATCCGATCTGTGTGCTCACAACTAGTAGATGTTGGATCTGCCCTTGTACTAATACCGTGAGAGTGTTAGGGCCGAATAATGACCGGGGTTGCGCATTCTTCTCACTCCCCATTGGATATATCGCGCAAAACCGTCATATGCTCTTACGGCCTCCAAGACTTGAACCTGCAACTAAACCGACGAGACACCTTCTCATCCGCTCCGCTAGCAGCATCGGTAATCACACAGCGAGTCGGTAGTGAAGATATCTTGAACAATGTCAGTAATTGGTGAAATCACTCGCTTTGTTCGGCTTGGGATCTGCTCGTGACGGATTAGTCGGAAGTCAGACTAGATAAGTATGTACATGAAGCTGACATTCGGCCGACTTGGTTCTTTTCGATCGCGCCGCCCAGTACACTAGTCTGTGTATGTAGTCATGAACCCCCCTGAAACGAAAGAGGGGCGGGCCACAGGGCTGGATATCGTAGCGTGTTACTTGTGGGGTGGGAAATGCATGTTGTTTTTGTAGTTGAAGGAAAACTCGGTCATTATTTGCATGTTATAGCCTTGGGAGGAGAGTAGGACAGGCTAGAACATACGCACATTAATTGATTACTTTGCGAAATGATACAACAACTGTCGGATCGTGAGTATCGGTAGGGACGTCGGCTGCTCAACACTTCGGCCCGACCTCGGCCCGACTTGCGCTGAGCTTAGGTATACCTTCGTAGCACCTATGTTCGTAGAATAATCAATCAGAACAATCACCGAACAGAATGCATTCCTAGTTATCGTCATTTCCCTTTACGCACTTAGTGCAAAGCCAACCAACAACAACACAATTATCAACATATCCGTGCATTAGCTACCCGCCCGTTTCCTAAATACCGGAGCTACGCATATCTACTACAAGACGTCTCCCTTATCTTCCAATACACGTGCTGATTAGGTTGATTTTTCCAGGCGCCTGCCAATCGCAACTTTGGTCATGACCCAAAGTGAGCAACCAACCATCGTCCAGATTCTCGCGAAAAACCGTTCCTAGGTATGTAGTAGCACTCCCAGCCTCGGCTTTGAAAAACCTGTAATGCGTTCCCCCAAGCCACATTACTAACACATCGTTTGGGAATCTTCGGAAATTGTCGACGCCTTGGTATTGCGGGGGGTCGTAGGGATACTGGCTGCATCTCTCTCGGATGAAAGCAGAGCCGCCAGCAGATCTAATTAAGCCGGTGCAGCTACCAATATGGATAGCAGCCATTACTGAGAGTGGGGCGAGCAAGATGGCGACAACGGAGAGCTTCATGGCTTAGACGTTGCGGGGGCTGGGAGGTCTGCGTATTTGTTAGAAGACGAAGTTTAGGTAAAACGTGCTGGGTGTTGAACATTACTTGCAGGATTGGGTCGGGTGGTTCACGGTCAGGTCGGGAGGTTGGAATAGCTCACGAGTGTCGGGTTGGAGACACTAGAGATCAAGGCAAGACAGGTGTGAATGAAGTATGTTGTGGAAGATGGCAGGAAATTCTAATGAATTTGATTGTCTAGTGTGGACGGAGTATGGTGTTTATATACAGCAGGTTCCGCGCTCTGCTTGCGCAGTGATCCGTAGAGTGCACGATTCATTTCGATCTGTACAGAGCATCAGAGGTTAGATCTGCTCTCGTGTTGATGCCGTGATAGTGTCAGCAGAGTACACGATCCAATCCGAGTCGTGCGGAACATCAGGTGTTGGATATGCTCTCGTATTGGTCGTACTGATGCCGTGAGAATGTCTACAGAATATGCGATTCAATCCGATTTGTGCGAACAATCAGATGCTGGATATACTTTCGTACTGATGCCGCGAGAGTGTCTACAGAGTATGCGGTCCAATCAGATTTGTGCGGGGCATCAGGTGTTGGATCTATCCTCGTACTGATGCGGTGAAAGTGAATCCGATCTGTACGGACAATTAGATGTTGGATCTGCTCTCGCACCGATGCCGCAAGAGTGTTGGAGCCGAATAATCAACGGGATGGTGCGGATCACCTCTCATTCCCATGGGATAAATATATATATCGCGCAAACCCGGCATCTGTTTTCGCGGCTCCCAAGACTTTTGCACTGCTGGTAGCATTGGTAATCGCTTCACGAGTCGGTAACTAGGTAGTTGACGAAAATCTCTTGTACATACACGAAGCTGACATTCGGCCGACTGGTTCTTTCGAATCGCGCCGCACAGGCCTCTCGTGTATGTATGTAATCATGGCCCCTGGATAGGGACGAGGTTAGTACAGGGGCAAAGACTTAGTAAGTACCGGTACTTGGTAATACGTAGTAGTACCACAGTAAAGGTTAGATCTAGCCCTTCAACTTGCTTTTCTGCAGGGGCCTTGCGCTAAGCGGGGCTGAATCGCCGCCGACCCGGAAAACGCGCTAAGCGTAGACCCTTTGGCAATCACGCGCGCCCACGCCCGCCGCTTCTTCTCTCGGCAGAACATTTTCCTTCACCTTGACCGACCCCCACCACAACTATCCCCATACCATACCAACAGAAAGCACGTCCACCTACACGATGCCTATTTCCAAAAAGGACAGAGTATGTTGCTATTCTGACACACGATCCAAAATCGCTTACTAACGACACACCAACGCGCAGATCCAGCGCGAGCACAAAAAAGCCGACAAGGCAGGTACACGAGCGCCTGTAAAAGCGAACGGACTACCGGTCAAGGCGCCAAAGCCTACGTCGATTGTAGGCAACAACTCAACTACACAGGTGTAACATCCCCGCGTACAAATAGCTGACCGCGCGCCTCTGCGATATCATTATAGTGCCAGAACTGTCGCCGCGAGATTGTAAACACCAATAAAGCGCAACTCGAAGCCCATGCCGCAAGCCACGACGCCACGCTTTGGCCCAAGGAGAAGTGCTGGCCGAACGATTACCCGTGAGCGGTGAGCGAGCGGCTACTACGAAACGGACGTCTATGTACAACGTGCATGTATGGGTTACTGCGGGGGGAAATCATCTGGCGGCGAGGAGTCTGCTTCAGTGCACTCGATGGCTGTGTTTCGGGCTGCTGCAACATTTCGGCAGTGACGCCGTTGCCTTTGAACAGAAAATGCCCTTTTTCCTAGTCTGTGTGGCATGGGGGGATGGGCATAATGGGCATCATGAGCATGCAAGTGTCAGTGGCTGCATTTCTTCGTGGGGATGATTGAGCATCACCACAGGCCAGCACATGTCCGCACAGTGCTTAGGTACTTATTACACACACTACAGTATACATGCAAACGTATTCTGCTGTTCTCACGGCGGGCCACGAACGACCAAGTTGTGCGCCCAGCTTTCACGCGTCAACCTGTCCAGGTCGGCCACTACCATACTCGCAAGTGAGCTATTACCATGTTCAGTGAGCCATTACCACGCCCAGCCATGATTATCCCGCTTTAGCCTTCTCTTCCACAACCATAGTACTCTCATTCTCAGCGCTCGGACGTGTCTCCCCCACAACGACCGTCGTCTTCCTATCAAGCTAGGCAAAAAGATCAGCACCAGGTTTACATAAAGTTACCCCACGCTCCAAAAAGAGACGACTTACCCATCTAACCAAAAACGTGTATCCAATAAACACAAACACCACTACAATCATGGTGATGCTTCCCTTCTTCCAGTACGGCACATCCGTCGCTGGATACATGACAATGCCCCACCACGTATACAACAGCTGTCCGCCCATGGCCATGGTATACATGATAACACTTCTGACGGCATCATCGCCTGCTCGCTGGCAAATTACCGTAGCCCAGCCGTACATGACGGGGTTCACGATGAAACTTGTGCCGCTGATGTAGTGGGCTGCGAAAACACCTGCGTCGGGAAGATTGCGTACGAGGAGCAGCGAGGCGGTGACGAGTTGCATGACTCCGGCGAAGATGACCATGGGGAGACGGTGGCCGGTGTGATCGATGAAGGCGCCCGCGAGTATCTGCGACACGACTGCGACGGCTTGGATGCCGAGTGGGTACGTGTTGATGGCGGATTGAGAGAAGCGCTTCTTGTTGTACTTGAGCCAGAGGAGGACATGCCCTGGAAGGCGAAAGCCTCGAGCATTGCGCTGACGACTGAGAAGCCCGTGAGGATGTATCTGTAGGAGATGGGTGTCAGCAACGGCGTCCTTTGATTATGCAATAATTCCTTACATTGTCGGTGTCGCGAGAAGTCGCTTGGCAAGGCTCTTGAACTCGATGTTATGCGTGTCTGCCTTCTTGGGGGGGAGACGACTCATTGCGAACTGTACCTCCTGCTTACTGAGGTACGATACCTTTGTCGACTCTGGAAGATCGGGAAAGGTGAACTTTGATCGTTAGATGTTGAGGTCTAAAGCATTCGCTTCATAGACTTACAAAGCCGAAAAGACCGATGGGTATTCCCATGAGGCCGTCTGCGTATCTGTTAGCGACATGATGTGCCCACGATACAGGGTACACATACCAATGAGAAACACCCATTGCCAGCCTTTCAGCCCTGCATGGCCTTCCATTGTCTTGTGCATAGCCGTCATCATCAAGCCTGCAAACATACTTCCGACTTGTCCGACGGCAGTGAAGATGGCAGCTCGTTTCGCGATTTCCGAGGGTTTGCTAGAAATCATAAGCCTTGTGCTTTGTGAAGCTGACGATGTGGAATGCATCAGGTATGCGACAAGGTCCAACTTACTACCAAGATCCCAAGACGTAAATTGATCCACTGTACACACTAGCTTCCAAGAAGCCTTGGAGGAAGCGTACAGCACAGAGTTGTTGATAGTTTTTGCATGCCGCCGAACACATGGTCATGCCGGACCAGAGAGTCAGAGTGAGAGGAAGCCATATGCTGGGGCGGACTTTCTGGATGATGAGACCGTGCGGAATTTGGCCAACAACGGAGCTGTGAAGTTCTTAGTTGGATACGACCAACGCGGAGATTATGAGATAGAAGACGCACCCCGCAGTGAACATTGACAGCAGAACGCTGTACTCGTTCCCCTTGAGCTTGAGATCTTCCCGTAAGCCGGCGACATAAGCATTTGCAAAGGCTTGGCGATCTGCTCCTTGTCAGGATACGACACTCATCCAGTCCATAACAACACTCACCTAAATAGTTGAAAAAGTAGCAGGCACAACAATAGACCTAGCAAAAAGACTTAGTGATCATGAACAGTCGTTACTGCGAGCGAACAAACCATGATGAAAAAGTCTAGTCACATGATCATTAGTCTTGCAGTGCCGATGAAGGAGATGCACGTACCAAGCTTAAACACAAGCTTCCTCTCCATTGTTTTTGCGGCATCGCCAGTACCAGCTTTACGCCCTGCACATGCACATGAGCACTCCAGTAATCCCACCCGTTTTCAAGCCGGTTATACTTACACGCCAAAACACCCATCTTCGGTGGTGGATTCTCGCAGATCAGATAAAGAGAATGATTACTGATTATCAGATCCGGACGCTCAAGGGGCTTTTATCTGATCTGATACAAGGACCGAGCGGTAGGGCCGAGTTCGCAGAATTTTCTCCGGCCGTGGGGGATCACTCAACTAAGCATCGGCCCGTCCTTGGAGGCGTTATATTTGGCGCCTTGGCTGCCGTTTGGGGAGTATATCCGTTTGTCAGCGCGGCTGAACATGAGAAAAGTCGCGAGAATGGGCTGTTCTTTTACGTCCTAGCCAAGGTACACCCTAAAATGGAAATAGATATCCCGTGCGAACATTGGAGAGATAGCGGGGTGGCTATGGGTATGACAGAAGCATAACAACGACGTGTTGAGAGCCATAATGAGAATCTCATTGAGGACGTGCCAGGATGAAGGAAATATGCATAAGTCAGGCAAAGACTGCGATGATTTCGATTGATATGACCTACTCCAGCCTTGTAGGGAAGCACAAAGCGGCTGTAGCAATATCCAATGGAGTATCTTCGGCATTATGAAAGACAGGATAGAAATAGCAAAGGAGCGCGCGAGAGACGTGATGCAAGTTCAGCGGTACAGTCTGCACCTCTTCCAGTCGGAAGCCTCTCAAAGACTCCGTCATTGAGGGCGACAATCATGTTGTATGTCGCGCTTAGCGCACGACACAGGTTGCTTGGAAATCCTATATCAGGATGCAGCCGTTCATGGACGGTATCTCACGAACTCACATGGACGATACCAGTGACCAGGAGCAGCAGTGGTACACTCCGCGAACGGGGGTATCGTCCAGGTACCACTACCGCTCGGTATGACGCGTGATGGACTACGATACGTGGGCATCAGACATAACTAGAGACGCGTCAAGAAGTCGTAGAACGAACAAGGTACTGCGAAACGACTGCCTAATTGTCACCGTACTATACGACAAACACCTGACGTGTTCGCGTGGATGTGACCTCTGCTGATTCCCAACCTCTCAGTATACTCGGAACGAGTTTTCCAGATCGGGCGCCCAGCCATGGGTCTAAATCTCTTCTACGCGCAGCGCGAAAACAGGCTCATTCATTGAAGAACTGGGAGCCTGCCGTTAAGTAGTGTTTGTGTTGCTGGCGGTGATGGAAGAGAAAAGATTGGAGGCGAGGAAAATCAACGGTTTTGAAGCAGGGCTCGGCGGGGACGGCTAGTCCGGATTGGGCGAGCTAGTTCAAGAACATCTGGCCGCATCGCCAACTCCAGTACCCACGCCATTGCTGGACTGCTGGAGCATTCGAGACGTTGCAATATTGTGCAATTGCAGCCTAGAAGCAGGGCTTATTGCCACGTCTTCTCGTAATATACATATATCAACGCTCCGGGCTGCGACTGCCAGATTCCACCCCGACCCCACCAAAATCTCCCACCGTGGGTGCCCGGCCCAGTATACCTAACACCTCCCTCACCACCGCCGACATTCCGTCTCGATAACGCCAGTAGACTATACAAGCACCACAAGAGTCTCCAAGTCCGCGCAATATGGCTGACTTCGACGCGCTCAAGGATCAGTGGAGCGAAATTGAGGATAGAGATGGCATCCGCCTCAGTTGGAACACGTTTCCCAGTTCGCGCATGGTACGGCAGCCAGGCGCTCTCTATGTATTGTTCCAGTCGAACACACACTGACTCGGACTAGGAAGCTTCCCGTCTTGTCGTTCCCATCGGCGCGCTTTACACACCTCTGAAGGAGAAGACGGACACTCCTCTGCTTCAATACCAGCCTGTCGGATGCCGGGCACCATGCAAGGCTGTCCTCAACCCCTTCTGGTACGCTATTCGGTATTTGCAAACACAATCAAAGCTAACAAGATCTCAGCCAGATTGACATGCGCGCGCGTGTGTGGATATGTCCCTTCTGCCTCAGCCGTAATGGTCTCCCACCGCACTACAAGGACATCTCTGCGGAGCAAGTCCCCCCAGAGCTTCACGCCAATAGTACCAGCATTGAGTACTGCTTCCCCGCGCCCGTTCAAACGCCTCCCATCTTCATCTTCGTCGTGGACACATGTCAGGAAGAGGACAGTCTGAAGGCACTCAAGGACTCGATTATCATGAGTTTGAGCCTGCTTCCACCATATGCTTTGGTTGGCCTGATTACATACGGTACCATGACCCAAGTTCACGAGCTAGGCTACACCGAATGCGCCAAGTCCTATGTCTTCCGCGGCAGCAAAGACTATGCCTCCAAGCAGGTCCATGAGATGCTTGGGCTCAGCTCCATGGCCGGTCGACCGGGCGTTCCGCAACAGCAGCCTGGCCGTCCCCCTATGGCACCCCCAGGTGGAGCCAACACACGCTTCATCCTCCCGATATCGCAGTGCGAATTCCAATTGACCAACGCCCTCGAGTCCCTCCAGCGCGACCTCTGGCCCGTCGCCAAACGACAGCGTCCGTTGAGATGTACCGGTGTAGCTCTCAGTGTAGCTGCTGGACTCTTGGAGACACAGTTCATAAACACTGGTGCTCGCATCATGCTCTTCAGCGGTGGCCCAGCAACCGAGGGCCCTGGTATGGTCGTCGGTCCCGAACTGCGCGAGCCTATGCGATCCCACCACGATATCGACCGCGACAACATCAAATACTACAAGAAGGCGTTGAAGTTTTACGAGGGTCTTGCGAAGCGCGTTTCCCAAAATGGCCATATTGTCGACATCTTTGCCGGATGTCTAGACCAGGTTGGTCTGCTCGAAATGCGGGGACTTGCGAACACGACTGGTGGACATATGATCTTGACGGATAGTTTCACCTCGTCCATGTACAAGCAGTCCTTTGCGCGAGTATTCAACAAGGATGCAGACGACAACCTTCTAATGGGCTTTAATGCCGAACTGGAGGTCTTGACAACCAAGGAGCTCAAGATCACCGGCCTTATCGGTCATGCCGTCTCGCTGAACAAGAAGTCCGTGTCAGTCGGCGAAACCGAGTGTGGTATTGGAAACACATGCGCGTGGAAGATGTGCGGTATTGATCCCGAGGCTTCATATGGTGTCTACTTCGAGATCGCTGGTCAAGGAGGGCCGAATCAAATGCAGTCGGGACAGCAACAGGCGCTGATTCAATTCCTCACACGCTACCAGCACTCAGCCGGCCAATATCGCCTGAGAGGTATGTTAATCAAGCAGGCAAGACTGGGTATAAATGCTAATGTTTACAGTTACCACCGTCGCCCGGCCTATGAGCGGTCCCTCCGGCGATCCCGCCATCGCGCAGTCATTCGACCAAGAAGCTGCCGCCGTACTAATGTCGAGAATAGCCGTCTTCAAGGCGGAGGTTGATGACGGTCCAGATGTTTTGCGCTGGGTCGACCGTATGCTTATCAGACTGTGTGCCCGCTTTGCCGAGTACAGGAAAGACGATCCATCGTCATTCAGGTAAGCACCTCTCCGCTCCCTAAACATTGAGAAGCTGCGAGCTTTCCCGGCTTTTTCTTGTATCCAGTCTGAACATATGCTGACTCTTCGCACAGGCTCGAGAAGAACTTTACGCTCTACCCGCAATTCATGTTCCATCTTCGTCGGTCACAATTCCTACAGGTCTTCAACAACTCGCCCGATGAGACGGCCTTTTACCGACACGTAATGAACCACGAGGACGTCAGCAACTCTCTTATCATGATCCAACCAACACTGGATAGCTATGGTTTCGACCACGAAGGCGGACAACCTGTACTCCTCGATTCCAGCTCGATCCAGTCCGAGACGGTCCTGTTGCTCGACACCTTCTTCCACATCCTCATCTTCCACGGCGAGACTATGGCCGAGTGGCGCAAGGCAGGCTACCAAGAACAAGAGGGTTACGAGAACTTCAGGGAGCTCTTGGAGGCACCGAAAGAGGATGCCAAGGAGTTGATTCAAGACCGCTTCCCACTGCCTCGATTCATCGTCTGTGACGCTGGTGGCTCGCAGGCCCGTTTCTTGCTCAGCAAGCTTAATCCGTCCACTACACACACTTCTGGCACCTACGGAGGCGTTGCGCAGACTGCGCAAACAATCTTCACGGACGATGTTAGTCTGCAAACTTTTATGGATCACCTCATGAAGCTTGCAGTGTCGGGCACCAGTTAAGAAGACAAGGACTTTTTTTAGAATGGGTCAGCAAGCGCAAGAAAGGCAGTGCAGTGTACTTGTGGCATTTTGTGTGTGTGTGTGTGTTTTATATGATTAGCGAAGAAATGAAATCCTTGAAAGTCCATGGAATCTTCACACTCCATTTGTCAACATTTTACAAAAAAAATCTAACCCAAGTTGATATCGATGCTTGTTACTAGATATTAACACCGCAATATCTGTATCTATAACGGCAAGCAGTACAAAAAAGCAATCTAGACGTCATCCATCCCAACACCTTATACGCACACAATAAGTAAATGACAGGATTCAGAATCGTTCGGCATCATTATCATCACACAACGAAGACGCAAATGACAAATCACAACAAACAAAGGCGATGATATAATTGATTGAAACCATGGCATTTTTGATTGATTGGTACTAATATACCATACCACACCACACACACACACGCTTTTTTGTTCCTTGCTCTCTCTCTCTCGTACGTACCCAGCCAACCAACGCCTAAGTAGCGCATTGGAAAATTGGGGTTATGTTATTGAAACACGAACGATGGACAGACGTATGTATGTGTGACGATGATGATGATGATGATGACAAAAGGTAAGTCGCAGTCGAGTCGGGTCGGGTCATTGAACATGTACATGAAAATCCGAATCTCCCTTTTTTCCCTCAACTCCATCTGAGATATGTATCTGACGGTCAAAACATTTTATGCTTGGAATCTACTTATGCAGAGAAGACGAACACTTGACGCCGAGACGAGACAGAGTACGAAAGTTTACGCCTTTGCCTTTTTGGCTTTCTTAGGCTTTGCGACGGCCTTTGTCTTCTTCTTCTTGTCTTCGACGACGTTGTCTTCTTCTTCTTCTTCTTCGGCGATGAGTTCGGGCGTGGGGAGTATTTCCTTCTTGGTTCTCTTGCTCTTGCGTGCGGGTTCTGCGACGGCGGCAGGCTCCTCCTCTTCGGTGACGGTGGCAGCGGGGGTGTCAAGGGCAACGTCCGACTTGCGCTTCTTGTCTTTTTTGGTCTTCTTGTCTGCGATGGGTTCAGTCACTACGGTGACTTGCTCGACTGCGACAGTGGGCTCCTCGGCTGCCTTTGCCTTTGTGGCCTTCTTGCCCTTTTTGGCTGGTGCGGGTGAGACGGCCTCTGTGACTGTGAGGGTCTCGGTTGATTCAACGCCAGCCTTTGCGGCCTTCTTTCCCTTCTTTCCCTTGGGGGCCTCAGCGACGGGAGCTTCTTCCGCTAGTGTCTCGGTGAGGAGCTGTTGGGGCTCTGCGGCCTTGAGCGTAGTTTGCTTTGGAACGCTGTCAACGGTCTTGAGTGCAGGCGCCTCGAACTCGTAGTCAAAGGTCTCCTTAAGCTCCTTTGCCTTGCTAGTCCGCCTCTTGTTCTCCGTCTCAACGCGCTTTTCCCATTGAGCCCGCTCAGCGCCACGTTCCATCTCCAGACCAGCCTTCTTGTTACGAGGGTCGACCTTGAACCGGTCTTTTCCACCCTTGAAGAGATCGGGGTGTACTTGATCGGTGGGGATCAGGTGGACCTTGAGGATGTGGCCGAACAGCAGGTAGTTGTTCATGGTTCGCGCGACAATGTCAGCGACTTCTTGGGATTGGAACTCGACGAAAGCGTAGTGCTTGGAGGCGCCCGTCTTCTTGTTGCGCGACAGACGTAGCTTGTTGACCTTGCCGAACTGGGAGAAGTACTTCTTCATCTGTGATTCGAAGAAACCGCGGGGTACACGACTGGAAGAAAGGTTAGCAAGGCACTAGCATCTCATGTGATGTACATACCCAACATAGATGACACCCGGCTGGTTGGACTTGGGGGCGTTCTCTGCCTCCTTGATTGCTTTCCGCTGCTTCGCGCTGAGCTTGGGGACCTTTGCATCCTCGTCGAAGTTGAGGTCGTCGTCCGCATCCGTATCGTCGTCGCTGAAGCCAGCAAGTAGGGCAGCTGTTTGGTCGTCCTCAGCAGCGTCCTCAGCGTCCTCGGCGTCCTCAGCACCCTCAGCATCTTCAGCAGCGTCTTCGACTACTGCAACCTCAGTGACTTGGACTTCGGGCTCAGGCGCCTCCTGCTTCTTGGCTGCCTTGGCCTTCTTTGGCTTTGTGACGGTGATGGTCTCTTTTACGACAGTGGTAGTTTCCTCGGCAGGTGCAGCATCAGCCGTCTTGGTCTTCTTGGTCTTCTTCACCTTTTCCTTGGGCGCTTCCACGACGACTGTCTCCTCTGTGACAGCGGCCTTGGCCTTCTTTCCCTGCTTCTTGGGCTTCTCTTGCACCTCGGTGACCTCGACCGCCTCAGCGACAGGCTCAGCAGCCACCTCATCGACCTTTGTGGCGGCTTTGCTCTTCTTGCCCTTTTTCGGCTTCACAGCTTCGGCAACGGGCGCCTCTTCCTCCACGACGTCGTCAATTTCCATAAAGTCAGCGGCTTGTTTGCGCGCTGATTTCCTTGTCGGCTTGGCATCGGCCACAACGGCAGCAACATCGTCGGATTTTCTAGCCTTCTTCGCCTTGGGCGCTGCCTCTGATGCGCCTGTCGAGAGTCAGTGAAGTGCTTTACGAATATCAGACACGTGACTGCTCACCCTTGCGCTTCTTGCTCTTGGTATCGTCGGCGGCCATTGTAAATAATGCACCTGAAATCCTTGTCGTGTGTGATGCGCGGTTGTTGCGCGCAAAGGTGGTGTGGAGAGCTCGAGCGCGGGAACTTTTTTCGACACAGTCGCGCTAACTACTGTAGTGGACCCTCGCCAAGGTCGACTATCAGCAGCAGCTTACAACCACGCGGCGAAAGCACCTCTCCGAGCTTACGATTCACAAAACACTTGACGGAACGAACCGCCGTGTTGACCGGCTGATCTCTTACACTTGTGTTTATGCAAGGGGTTCTGACAATTCAACACCTAATCTTGCCAAGTTTGCTCGGCGTATCTGCACCAACATGGCACCAATCGTTGACATGAGCGACAAGAACGCGTGGGACGATTCTGTATTGATCGACTCGTGGGACAATGCTGTCAACGAGTACAAGGTAGGAGAATCGGTTTCATTGATAAATGCAAACTAAGACGCTTCTAGAAGTATCATAGCATCCACCAGTCGGGTAAGCGATTGGAAGACGTCTTGACCACAGAGGAGCTGAAAGAGCTGCGAGAGTACGTGTTCGCCAGTCAGGGATTTCGTCATGGTGTTGACGTTTGCAGAGACTACGGAGATCTAATGGAGGACGGCGAGGTGGAGACGGCCTCGGGAGCGGCAGAGAGCAACAGTGTCGCGGATCGTGACAGTACCGAAATATTGCATCCACAGACGCAGACAAATAGAGGTGCCGCGCCTGTGCCCACCAGCCCTATGCAGGTACGTGATTGAAATTCGAAACGTCGAGTACCGAACCCTGTCTGACAAAAACCAGGGACCAGATAGTGCGGACCAGCAACAGCAACAACGGCTGCAAGACCCGTCACCGAGCGTTGAGGCTCTTTCTGCGCCACATGCTACCGAGACGCTGGCCGATGCTCTACCCCAGGCTATTCTTGGAACGGGTACGTTGTTACTTTTGACAGTCGTTCACTCCCCTCAGTGCGGGAGCGCGGTGACGGTTAACGGCGTACTGACTATCCACAGTTCAAGATGAAAAGATGAAAAACATGATGATGTCTTGGTATTTTGCTGGCTACTACACTGGTTTGCACGCGGGCCAGCAACAAGCACGCAAGGACGCCAACCAGTAAATTCGCGCGCAATGACAAAGTGGCCATCTGAAATCGTGGCTGGCGCCGTAGAAGTGCGAAGCAGCAATGGCGAGGCTTGCATGTCACCAATGTGTCAACTATCGCGAGCCAATGGGGGTAAGGGTGCCCGTCTGCTCTACCCTGTCGCGCGACTAACCACCCAACAGTTCTTGCCTCAAAACCTCGGGAATGGAGGCTGCGAGATCATGGCTTACAATTCATCATGCGGCTCGCAGCTATCCAGTTCATCGCCCAGGCATCTTGCGTAGCTGTGTCCTTGCGATTATGGCTTTTGTAATCGTTATATTACTGCATGGGGTTTAGCCACGGCAAAGCGCGACAGGTCTGCGACACCACTGCGACAATCTCGAACCCCCCACCGGGAACCTCCAACATTTGAAGCATCAAACTATCCCAGCCACATGCCCAACTGGGTACGCATCGCCAGAATCTTTCCACTCTTGCAGCCGATCACCCGTTTCCTGTAGTCTTATGCCCAGTGTCAGGGGTCCGTGTTTCGCCATTGGGCGCGATCGGCCTGCACGCCTTTTAGAAGCAACAATCTCATGCGTGGATTTAAGGACTCCTGTCCCAGGCATACATTTCCCTCGCCATCTGATCGTTTGCCTCATAATACCGGTGTCGCACTATCACCTTTTCTCTCTCTCATCTCCTTCTAACTGTTCGAGCCGGTACTCGTAGTGCCTTTCAATCCTTTAACCACTCCCACTTTTCAACGCCTTTTCGACGTATATCCATTCTTTGCCCGCAGTGCAGGCTTACGCTCTCTTAACGACACTTTTTTACACGCCAAACAACTTAGTCATAATGAAGTACTTCGCTGCTCTTTCCGTGGCCGCTGCCACTGTTGTCTCAGCCACCGAGATGCAGGTGATGCCTCTTGCTCCCGCTCCCGCCGCAGGCCCAGCGACACATACCGTACGTTTTTTTCTTTCCACAATGATTTTCCAGAGAATTCCACCTAACACACAGCAGGTAGTTGTTGGTGGCTTGAAGGCAGTCGAAACCGGCATGGCGGCCATCCTAGGATACAACCCCGAGTCCATTACCGCCAACGTCGGTGACATGGTGCAATTCGTCTTCATGCAGAAGAATCACACGGCCACGCAATCGACCTTTGCCAACCCTTGCAAAAAGATGGACGGAGGCATGGACTCTGGTTTCATGCCCAACCCAGAGGGCAAGGACGGCGTAACCTGGAACATGACGGTTGAGACACAGGAGCCGCTCTGTAAGCACATTCCCATGTCATTACAAAGCAAGGGCGAGCAGAAAGCTAACAAAGGCGAATAGGGTTCTACTGCAAACAGCAAAACGGCATCCATTGCGGAAAGGGCATGGTCTTCAGCATCAACGCCGCTACAACCGGTAACAAGACCATGGCCGACTTCAAGCAACTCGCCATCAAGACCAACGGCACCAGTCTCGTAGCAGGCGACATCCTCTCCGCCGACCCCGCTGCCGCCGCTGCTCCTACTACCGTCACCATCTCCGCCGGTGGAGGTGGTGGTGGTGCTGCTGCCACTGGCACAAACACTGGAAGCGCCGCTGCTGAGGCAACTCCCCCTCCTCCTCCCGCTACCGTCGTCGCTGGCACAGGTGTCGACGGCCAGGGCGCCGCATGCTCATGCTCATGCCTGTGCGGCATCGCTGCCTTCCCGCAGAACGCGGCCATCAACAACTTTGGTGGCTTTGCCGGCATGATTGCGTAAGCACACGCTTTTACGCTTTTCAACGAATTTGGGGGGTTTCGATATAGGCTAGGGCTTTTTTAATGAGGGTTGGCGAGAGTTGACAAGAAACACTTTCTTATGACGATGAACGGGGTTCCGACGGAAGCTTCTGGTTTAGCCAACGTCGTGGACATTAACCTATATCATTTTTTTCACACACGATTTTCTTCTTTGGCGTTCGCATTATACCGTACTCCTCCTCTCGTTGCGATGGTTTTGTTGGCCGCACGAGCAAGGGGGGCTTTCTTGTTGGGACCAACGGGGATTTGATTTGACCCGGTCGGTCGGTTGGTTTGGTTTGGGCTGTAAAACTTGTAGTATTAGGAGCTTGAATCCAAGAGATTGCACTTTTTCCAACCTTGACTTGACCTCCGCTTCATCGTGATGATATACCTATTCTTGATTTCTAAGCCAGAAAGATAACTTGACATACATGACCGGCTAAGTAACTCGGCGGTAAACTGTGGGCGCAATGGGCACATCACCACCGCATTGGAAAATCAGCAATCAGTGTATTCAAGTATCCAAGGAGTAGGTAGCCCCAATAACACCACCTCATCACGCCTTTACCATTCAAACCCCCGCTGAAAAAAAAAACTCCCGCTTGGCCTCGATGATGCGTGTCCCCAGTCTAGATTGCGTGGCCAGTTGTCGCGTCGCGGTCGACAGTGGTTTCGCGGCACCGCCTCAGCCCAGTCTGACCCTGACCGCTCATTTCTTGGCGCCTGCTTCAGCCGCCTTCTTCGCCTCGGCTGCAACACGCAAAGTCAGCGCGTGGCGGCTTGGAAGTGTATGTACAAGATAAAACTCCGGCTCTGCAGGGATATAAAAGGGGGAAGGGGCGGTAGGAATTATTAACATACCAGCTGCTTGCTTCGCGCGCATGATCTCTGCTACAGACTCCTTGGTTCGGGCAAACTCGGTGCCGGATTGCTACACATCATCATCCCCCTTGGTTAGTCACCATGGTTTTTCCCCGGGCCTTTCACCGGCTTCACGTACAGTGTTCTTTCCTTTCTATATCGTCTTGTTAGTTTTAACTTGCGATATGTGTGATGTGGGTTGTGAATGAAGAGACGTACCTTTCCCGCCTCGGCCTTGAGGTTCTTTTCCCTAGCCTTTTCGCGCTGGTTACCACGAGCCATTTCGGACTTTTGTTCTGCGACGGAAATGGAAAAAAATTTCTTGGGTTTTGAGGTAGCAGCGTGTGGCAGCTGTGAGTTGCTGCGAGAGGATTTTGTTTGAACTGAGAGCGTCGTCGGGGGAATAAAAGAGTAAGTGGTGTAAGCTGCGACACTTGTCTGATAAAATAGCGCGCGTTGTTTGGGTCGCCCTGGCCAATCGAGGCTAGGGAGGGCAATCGGGGGCTAGATCGAGGGAAGTTCGGAAGCGGCCGATTCGGGGCTTCTATCGCCACGTGAAGAGACGTCCACACTCGTCGTTGCTTCACAAAGTTGTGGTTTACGTTTGTTCTTTGAATGTTTCGCATTGCATTGCGGAGTTTATCATCTGTGTTTGTTTTAGGCCATCTTCGTGATGTGCGATCCCGCTGTTACTGGTTGCTATGAGCGAACAACTGCGGATTCTATGCGATTCTATAAACCCCAGCTTTGAGGGGCATCGCTTCAGACGGTCGTTTACACCAAATGTATTAACAAGCGCTTTCTCCTCGGCATTCTCATGGAAAGGAACTGGGACTACTAATTTTGGGAGAGGAATAGTCAGTAGCACACGCGAAATGGTGGGCACCTATTCAGGACAGCGAAAGAAGAGTCACCAAAAACATTTCGCGACATGTCAATCACACCAAAAACTGACTTGTTGTGTCCAAAGATGTATATGTAGTGCTACAAGTTGCCGATACATGCAAACACCTGATCAAGTAAACGACGTCTCCTTCAACCCTCTTACACTATCCGCGTCGTCCTACCATGATTCACGATCCTCAATATCGTTTCTCTACCAATTTGTCTCATTGACAACATGTACAAATTACACTCGCATAACGTCGTCTTTTACAACCAATCCATGGCTGTACCGGGTCTCGCTACCCCCCTCCTGCCAGAAGCGACTCGCAGCATCATGATCCCATGTCGCACAGATATACCACAACACTCTATCATCACCGTCAACCCCGTTCAGTATACAATCCCGGTACCACACACTCGGAACCCCGTCCGATGAAGCCGCTGTAGCCTCGCGATCCTGCCACTGTGCTTGGCCTGTTGTCTGGATTGGCGATATATTAGCAATCTGTAGCCGATTGGGTATATTGGCTTGCAATATGCGAGCATCATCACCCGCGAACACCTCTTAACTGTACATATGTATACAAAACCTCAGCGTGGTACAGGTATATAGATGTAATCAGTTCCGGTATTCTACAAGCAACCTCATTCCTTCAACAACACCTTCCGATTCTATCTCCGTCTCCATCACACAACATGGCTCGCACTACTGCGCTTCTCCTCTCCCTCCTCGCAGGCCAAACATGTGCTCACACGTTCATATGGGTAACCTCACCCCACCTCACCAATCCCATCCCCACCCCTTCCTAACCACCAACCAATCCCAGGGCGTCTTCGTCAACGGCATCGACCAAGGTACATTCCGCGGCATCCGTATCCCCGCCTACAACGGCCCCTTCGGCCGCGGCGGCTACAACAACTCGCCCGTCAAAGACCTCGCCTCCATCGACATGCGCTGCAACGTGCTCGGCGACCTGCAAGCCCACGACACCATCAAAGTAAATCCAGGCGACAACCTAACACTAGACTGGCACCACGAAACACGCAGCGATGCCGACGATGTGATTGCGAGCTCGCACCACGGACCGTCGATGGTGTATATATCGTCTGATCCCCCGACCAACGACTCCTTTGTTAAGATATGGCATGAGGGCAAGTATCAGGCGAACCCCTTTCCACAGCCGGGGCTGTGGAGTACGACGGGTGATGTTGCGAAACGCGCTGGGCATATGAATGTTAGAGTGCCGGCGGGACTGAAAGCGGGATTCTACCTCATCCGCGCGGAGATGGTGGGTCTGCACGAGGCGGATGTGAGTTTTGCGCAAAACCCGAGGCGAGGCGCGCAGTTCTATCCGGATTGTGTGCAGATTGAGGTTGTGGGGGATGGGGATGTTGAACTACCTAGGGGAGTCGGGTTTCCGGGTGCGTATTCGTATGAGGATCCGGGTGTGGTGCATAATGTGAGTTTTTTGTGATGATGATGATGATGATGAAGTGCTGATGAGGGGGGTTACGAGGTGTGCTGATTTTTTGTGATGTGATTAGGTGTATTGCTCTACGGAGACGGTGAAACCAAGGTCTTCTACTACGTCTTGTGTTACTGACTATGTTATCCCTGGGCCTACGGTTTGGTCTGGTGCTTGGCCTGAGACTACAGCGATGTCTGTCGGGCCTGTCAAAGGTGTTACTACAGCGACGGCATGGAGTACGTGGATTGGCACTGACAGCATGGTGACGAGTGCTACGTATTCGGACGTAAAGAGTCAGACGATTGTTGGGACTTCAAAGTATACTGCGAGCTGGAGTAAGGCGTATGCCACGCCTCCTGCGACGGCGGCACGGTGGTAGATTGTACAGCAAGGAACGGTATGATTGGAGATGCATTCAGATATAGAGCCGCCGCAAACTTGTGGCATAAGACTGTATGCCCTATCTCCAATCGATTAGCCAAATTTCAAAGACTTTTTGATCCTCCGCAAATTTGTATCGAAGAAATCCTTCACTCCCAAACAAACCAGAAAAGAGAATGCACCGAAAAAATGTTGCATAGTCTTTTCAAATGCCATCGGCTGTTTTCCTTCAAGCATCACTCCAGATCACTTGCCTTCCTGCCAATTGTTGGTACTCAGTCGTCGATGACTATGACCTCTATCTTGCGCTTTTTGTCGTTCCCTTGAACAGGTTCAGGCCCTTCCGCCTCTCGCTTGACAGGTCTACTGTCATCGTCGATCACAATCGGCTCTTGTTTGATCGCTACGTTGTCGTTCGCGATTGACTGGTGCCTGCTGGTCGTGTTCTCTGTGTCTTGGTTCTGTTATGCATCAGTGTGAATCCATTGCATATCAGTTGCCTACAAACCTCGTAGTATTTCAGAAGAGTCAACAGACTCTTTCGCTTTTGTCCTGCAAGACCCTTGTCGTGACGTCTGTAGCCAGTAATCATGGCTATGATCTCTTCAACCGTAACACCGTCTTGTTCATTCTGACCGCTTGATGCCGAGGTCTCGTTTTGGGAAGTCGGTATAGTGGCGTTGGCACTGTGGTGGTCTTTGGAGGCTGGAGTCGTGATCCCTGTCTGTTCTGCGGGTTGGCCTACCGGTAACGTACGGTCGGGGGTTGTACTGGATGGTTGCGGTTCAAAGCCCAATGACTTCAGTGCGTCTACAGTGTGTTAACATAACATTGTGGTGATGACATGATTCCCTTACCAATTGAACGATACTTGAAACGAAACGTGAAGAGTGGCTCCGGCTCCTTCTCTGCTCGAACCCCAATTTTTTCACACTTACATCCTCTCCCTGGCCCCAAACTCCATCGTTATTAGTATAAATACAAACATGTAAGTGATATCGATAACATACGTTGTCTGGACTGATCTTGTATTCCCTTTCATGACCTTTTCTGATATGGGTCCTACGGGACATAGCTCTCTTTTCCGGTCCCTGGTATCCTGGCTGTTGTTATGCTGTCTGGGGAGCAAGTTGATGATACGATACACTGACAACTCAATCGCACCGAGTGATTCAACAGGCTTGAGCATTGCAGATGCAATAGTGTCGTGATTTTCTTCAACTAAAATATAATTCTAGCACAAAGTGAGGCCGTCAATACATTCTTAATGAGAATTACGTACCGATTTCCAAATTGGAGAAGCAAAAGCTGGACTCCAACCGCTTGCCTTCTTCTTCCTAGCTTGTATAGCTCTGGATATGACCCTTTTTTTGGTACAAGCTGTCTTTGCACAACCTCCACTTAGAGACACGTGTTCCATCTATTCTTAGTTGAAGTGATACGGAAGATTCTTCAAATGGTGGGGTAAAGGTGGTCTTGATGGCAAATTCCACGCCCGATGTCGACTCAACGTAGCGTGTGATAGACTTTGACGGCCCCTCCTCGTCTTCGTCTTCGTATTCCTTGAGTGGCCGGCCGTTGGCGATCACTTGTACCGTGACGCCGGGATAGTCCTTTTGGATCGCTATGGCGTCTTGATGCGACAAAGCGATGGTGGCAGATGGGAGTATGCAGAAGAAGGAGGTTACTGGAGCAGGTAAATGGCCGCCGCCAACAGGATTGAGCGCACGGGGGAGTGTGCAAGTGGAGGTAGCGTACCTTGAGGTGAGTCGCCGTGCAGCAAGCTCTAAAAGGTTCGTGCGACTTGATTGGGCGACAAGTGGGGCGCAGCCATGAGAGAAGAAGGTGGGCAGCTGTGGCGGATGGAAGCAAACAAATTCCAATTAGTGCAAGGTAATTCATATGCTGTAATCCAAGCATATGAAGAAAGTACACCCAGATAGCTGCTACATTAGCAGAAGATCCCAAATGATAAGGAAGTGCAGAGCACATGACTGCGTAAAGGCAGCATGATCGTGCAGCACCTGCTTCCATGTCTCCCAACGCCGTTACCGCATAACCCAATTCCAATCAAAATATCCGTACATGCCCATAAATTGCACCTATTGGCGCAGAACCTAATGCCAATCAAAACATTTGTACAAGCCCGCAAATTGCACTCAGTGGTGCAGAACCCAATGTTAATCAAAATGTCCGTACATGCCCGCAAATTTTAGCTGGTGGTGCAGCAGTGTATCCCCTCAGTCTAACACAATGACCTCCCTGTGCTGGCCACAGTGACGCTTGCTCTTATTCTGCTGCACGACTCCCGGATCATCTTGATCATTCTTCTCTTGCTTGTCATTGGGGACGTCCTGGATAGCACGCCCAGCGATGTCGTGTTACATCTCATGAGTAGGGTAAATGAAGATGAGTGTATACTTTGCAGAGGTACCTTCAACTTCTTGACTAGTTCCTGTAGCTCAGCATTGTTTAGCTCTTCCTCTGGGCGTTTTTCTAGAGATGGCAGTGGTGGGACGATCTCCAGGGCGCGAAGAGTATCTTGGTAGTATCAGTATAACCAGAGACAACATTGAAGCAGCGAGTAACCTACCCATTGAACGATACTTAAACTTGAAGATGGTGAATGGTGCTTCACCAACAAGCTCACTATTCGAGTACTGATTGCTTGTTGCGAGTCCCATATTCTCAGGTTGCTTGAAGCTATCAATTGCGATGTGTTTAGCACCCCATACATGCTAGAAGCTTATCGAGTATTGCTTACCAAATGCAATGAGTTCCAAGTCTACATTTGAGACTAGTCTCTGAAACTGGTTCAGGGTTCACTTCAGTGGCCTCCTGGTACTGATCTGGATCGATGTGAAACTTCTTGACGAACTGGAAGTCAACTACAATGCTACCAAGCTCTTGCGCAACATATTTGACCTCATCGTCAACAACTGCTTGGACATCTTCTTCCTCACCTATGTTGTATTAGTCAATCAACTTCTTCCTGCTCTATTCTAACGTCAAAGCTGTATAGGTACCAAATTGCAACCACAGTCCGCAACAATCAATTAAGTGGGTCCTAGAAGGTTCAGATTGGATTGATTGATTACCGCTTTAAGCCTAGTAGTTACCTATAGGAGTTTAAGCCCTACCTAGATAGGTAAGTGGGTCTAGGAGAGTGACCGGATTGAATTGATTGTTGCGGAGTCTAATTGCAACTCCTGGAAAGTAAAGGCTTGTTCAAAGAACATGCCGTCTACCTGTGATGTTCGTGCGTTGTAAATATGACCAGTATTAGAATAGAATTCCTCAGAATAAATATTAAGACCCTTAACAGGTTTGCCGTCAAAAGAAACGCTCAACAAGAGATCTCCGGGCGGGAAAGGAAACGTCTCATTGATCATGGATCTAATCTTGAATTCTGTACCCGTAGTCGCTTCAATGTACTTTGTAACTAAGTTCAGCGGTGACGGAGTATCTTCAATGTCCTCATACTCGGGCAGCGCATTGTCATTGACGAGGATCTCAACCTTAAGGCCGGGGTAGACGGGAATGACAGTCATGATACCAGATATAGGTAGAGATTCGTGTGGATAATTCAACTAGATGTGGAAAGGATAGAAGATAGTCGAGTCAGGTTTAGTGGCTTTGATATGTGGCATGCGAGAGTACACTGGAAAGAGATGCCATGTGGATTGGAGCAAGGTGAGCGAGGAGCAAGGCAGGCGGCCAACGAGAGCGAAGCAGGAGGCAGTCAACGCAAACGAAGCAGGAGGCGGTTAACGCGAGCGAGGCAGGGGTTTAAGGTAAGCGAATCAGGAGGTAGTTAACACAAGTGAGGCAGAGGTTTAAGGTAAGCCAGTCAGGAGGGGTCAAGGTGAGCGAGGTAGGAGGGGGTTAAGGTGATTAAGGCAGAGGTTCAAGGTGAATAAGGTTAGAGAGGGCTAAGGTTAGCGAGAAAGAGGGGTAGGGTGGACGATAAAGGGGTGCAGGGTGAGCGAGGAAAGGGGTTAGGGTAAACAAGGAAGAGGGGCGAGGTAGACGAGGAAAGGGTGTAGGGTGAATAAGGAAAGGAGATAATATGATTAAGAAAAGGGGTTAAGGTAAGGAAGGAAAAGGGATAAGGAAAGTAAGAAAAAGCACAAAGGTAAGCGATAAAAGGGGATAAAGTGACAAAGGAAAGGTAGATTTTACCAAACTCTTTTCAAGGTTTGAATACAAAACTAAGAGAAGGCTTTAGATACTATCTGCGGACAATTATAATGTCAAGTATCTATAGATGCTAATAGATGCTAATGGCGCAATTGAGCTCTGTGACTAAATAAGTGTATCATGAACTTGTAACTTTCTTTGTAGACTGGCATAACTACCCTATACTTATACCTGTAAGTACAAATATACCATGTAGGTCATGTGGGTAATCTTGAGGTCTTGTTAGCCACCTACAGGTTCCAACTCTTTGATAACAAGGGCCCTGTGTTCTTTTCTAAGATTGGAAAATGCTTCTCAATCTATCACAATGACTTCAGAATCAACGCGGGGGCGTTTTCGGTTTCGCGCCTCTACAAAAACTACCTCATCTGTGTCTTCTGGTTCCCGTTCTTGCTTGACCTATGGCTCTACTTTAATGTCTTGTTCTTCGCTCCTGGTCTCCGCTTCTCTCTGCCCAAAGTTAGCAAACTTTCCAACATAGTCTGATGCTTACTTACACTTCGGAAACGTTGCAACAACTCTCTCAGCTCTACCGGGGTAAGCTCTTCTTCTGGCCGGTCCGCGAGCGGAATAGGGGCTGTCTCTTCGACAGTGGTGAGCCGCAGTGCTTTCAAGCTTGCTTTAAGAGCAGCAATGTCAGTTTCCTCACAGCAGATCCACAATGAAGTGAAGGCTTACCGCGTGACCTATATTTGAAATTAAATGTCGCGAATGGTTCCTTGTCTAAATATTTGTACGTTATGTCCTTCAGTGCCTTTCGGTTGGCTTTTAGAGGCTTAGAGAAGCTGAAGCTTTGGTAGTCCTATATTACCACTAGTAGGGGAGTCAGACATACACAGTTTGGTGCGAGAGAGCATCTCCTTTGAGTGCCTTCTCTGGGATGTTTTCCAAAGCTACAAGTCCCTTGTAGTCAATCGGATTGCGGGGTTTGCCTTTCCCACGCACAACAACGTTTGTGACGAAATCGAACTTCAAAGTAACTTGTCCCTTGGCACTCAAAGCCTCCCTTACGGATGCTACGTTAGGGGCGTATCTAGCCTCTTCCACTTCATCAATTTCTCAGTATGTTCCAAGATAAGTACTCATCGTTTAGGCTTACTAATCTCTAGTTCGGCAAAATAAAACTTCTGCTTGACACACTCTCTATCTTGTTGAGCATACTTGTCAACGAGCGAGCCGGCTCGCTCAGCTCGCTCGGCTTGGACGTTTTGACCAAGCCGAATGAGCTGAGCGCGCAATGCGCGCTTGCAAGCCGAGCGAGCTTAGGGATAGGCGCTCGCTCAGTCAGCTTGCTTAGCTTGGTTAGATGGGGCGGTTGGAAACTTGGGGCTGAAGGACTTGGTGGAGGGGCAATCTCACGATGATTTTTAGGTGTAGTGCGTAAGTTCGAAACCTAGTTATAACCTAAAATACACTCTTTTTTGCTATATTTCTAGCAAATAAGCTACTAAATTTCCGGCTAACCGCCTGGCAACAATATTCTCCTTTTGCGACACTTCACTTACTACTTATCACCCACCACACTCATCTAAACTCCATCAACGCGTCTCTATTTGCAGCTACTATCTACCTCGCCGTTGCTATAATGCCAGCAAAAAGAACACGCGTTAATGCTCCAGAAATCGCGGCAACTTTATCAACAACTTTATTGAGCCTGCAGGGCTTACGGAGAACGAGGAAGATGAATATGAGGCTTGGAAACGCAGCGAACCGATCGCTGGCGAGGGCGTCGACCCTATAAAATACTGGGTAGAACTCCGCGATCGCCACCCTAGCCTTAGCAAATTTGCTATCGACATGCTATCAATCCCAGGCTCAAGCTGTGAGTGTGAGCGCTTATTCAGCGAGCTGGGTGACCTCCTCGAGCCCCGTCGGCGCAGCATTTCTCCGCAACTTCTAGCAGCAATACAGTGCGATCGACGATGGATAAGAGCTGGATTTGGCAGTGGTGAGGTGCCTGTAAAGGAGGCTATCAGCGATGAGGAGATGGACGCGAAATACGGTGTACATAAGTGGGATATTAGCTGAGAAACTCAACACCAAGGTTTCTATATAACTTTCCTAATCGGGACTGAGCCCATCAAGCCGAGCGAGCTGACAGCCCTGTTTCAGCCAATCCGAGCGAGCCGAGCGAGCTGCTGGCCTCCGCTCAATTGGCTGAGCAAGCCAATTGGCTGAGCTCGCTCAGCTTGCTCATTGACATCTGTGTTGTTGAGAGTATATGTAATCTTTCAAGAACGTTTTACCGAGAAGCTGGTGATGCTTGCAACGCCAACTTTCCATGATCTTCCCGTCAATATAGAGACATGTCTTAATATCGCATTGTGTCGGGAATGGAGGCTTGAACGAAGTTGCAATGGCGAACTCAGTACCTGACTGAGCCTCAATGTACTTTGTGACTGTCTTTGGCCTGGGTTCCTCATCGTCATCGTACTCTTCTAAGCGTTGACCATTAACGATGACCGCAACTTCTATACCGGGCTCTGATAGAATGGCCATCTCGCTCCTCGCGTGCCATAGCTGGAATAACTGTCGTGAGTCCTTCTGAAAGTAGATTTGCGTGTCAGTAAGATTTCAGGTTTAGCAAAGTGCCGATGGTTGACAATGTTGGCTTCGGTTTCGCGTATGCGTGCTGATCTATTCCAGGGCTAGCTGTCCAGCCGGTGGATACTGGGGCGCGTAGTGTGAGTGGAGTAGATGAGTAGTATAGGTAGCTCGAGTGGTAGCAGTGGGGTGGCGCCAGGGAAAGGAGCTAACCTTCTGCGGAAAGCGCACCGGCTAGCGCGTTCTCCTGAACCCTTCAGCACAACGACCTTAGGAACGAACACCCTGCAACCACCTGCACTCAGTACATCGAATTACCCCATTTCGCTAACTAAAACGCAAGGTGCAAACACAAACCACGACAAAATCAAATTTGATTACAAGCCGTAAAGATTCACAAATCTACCCTTTGGCTGACCACCTACAAAGATCTCAGCTGCCATATCCATATCCTCACTGGTGAGATGTGGCTTCGCTGAAAGTGCAGTGTTTGCGTTTCTCAACAATAGCGCAGTTAAAGGCTCTGCCCCTTCGCTGTCCTTGCTATGGGCAAAGGTCATCGGCATATCCATCATAACACCCCACACGATCACCATCGCGTAAGATAACAGGCGGCCATGCTTGCGAAGCGATAACGTTCTGGCATATGTTTCACACATCAAAATGTTCTTTACAAGCCGATGCACCTCGTTAGTCTTAGGCCCAAAGCCTCGCAGGAAGGAATTCCTTGAGTCGTCTGTGTCGTTGTTGGCTTGTCGGTTACCTGACGCGACCAATTCATACAGGCGTTGTTCCAATCTGAGCAGTGTAAGGCGGTTTTGCCAATAGTATGCGAGTGCCTCAAACTCTTCGACAGAAGCAAAGTGCAGATTCTGACTGAGAGATGAGGTAATATCCTGATCACTTGGGTAACAACTAATGTTGCTCAGCAATCGACCCTCAGCTTGGGGATCCTGTAGGCGGAGAAGTGACTTCGAAAGGCTAAACGCATCCCGCAGTAGTTGGTTTTGCGGAGACGGATAGGATCGCAATGCGCGAACTAGACCCACAAGCCGTGGAATACGAACGAAGAGCTCGCTACCGAGAGCCTTGAGCTGGGCTCGATCGCCGTCGCTACACCCTATCCTATTATTGACATAGTACTCCTGAGATACGCTCTCGAAGGGCGAAGGAGCGCCTTGAATACACGCCATGATGGCAGAATCGCAAGCATAGAAGTCGAAAATCTCCCTTGCAAGCTCAGTTACAGGATACCTTGGTGGTCTTGTCATCAATATTGCAGCCAATCCTTCCACATGTAGACATGTTGGGACGCCATGCTTCTTCAGAACCCCCTCGAAAGGAGCCAGCAACGCCGCCGACGCAAATAGGTCATCACTCAGCTCTCTGTGTGACTGGTCCATGTTCGCTTGCACAGCACGGAGGGCGAGCGCCAGTGTTTGATAGCAGTGGCCAGAGGTAAGTTTTGGAACGTCTCGGGCATAGGCGCAAGCAGCGACAAGTGCTTCAATCGACAAATCCAGGGCTCGCGTATGCCCGACGCGAGCGGGTAGATGTCGGAACCATTCGCCCTCGACTTTTTCGCGTTGGAGCGCATCGAGAGCGCGGATGATAATCACTGTCTCAGTCGACTGGGGTGTGTGGATCAACAGTGTCTTCCCATCCCAGCCCTTCGTTATTCCTTGGCCCGGCCGTAGGTCATTGGTAGAATACATTCCGGTCCGCGGGATGGCAAAGCTGTTGGCTACATATGCCTCGTTTTGCACAGTATATGATTGATTGGGTGCTACCATCCGTGAAGGAAGTTCAATGATGATTCGCGAACCCATATCGCCGGTCCTTGTGGGTGGGGGGTCTGATGCAGCAGTAGAACTACCTTCGGGGCTTGGTCGACCTAGGATCGTCTTCCGAACTATGCATGCCACTCCCAATCGCTTGCATCGGTAGCAAGGTGTCTTGACTGTTCGGAGCTCTCCCGGATCCGGCATTTCGACTTCATTGGGTAGCTCGCATCGAATGCGCCTCTCGCGACAGCCTAGGCAGATCAAGCGGGAATATGTACCTCTTGATCGCTTGTTCCCTTGTGCTCTTGGTTGTGACATTGCAGTTTGTAAGCTTCGTCCCTCGTACACAGACAAAGACGAGAGATTGAATCGTGCTGAAGAGAGGTATTGTAGGATCCTATGGTAGAGGCAGAGATGCTATACGCAACATATTATTGCATAGTTTGGCCTTGTAGTTTTGGCTTTGTACAAGTCTGACGTGTATGTAGTACTCTCACTCACAGCGTATCATTACGAAAGCAAAGAGGCTGAGTTCTGTGGTACCTGAACTACCAAAGTGAGTTAGTTTACGCCCCATGTTATGTAATCGCAACGGGTCGCCTTATACATGGGTAACGCAGAACTATAAACCGGCCTGAAGCTCAGCCTCACTTAACCGAACGTGTTCAATTCTCTTGGTATTGTCGGATATGAATAGATCCGTCTTACGTGAGGAAAGGATAAAGACTGCTAAGTGGTGGACATTGTCGTGCTTACAATGATCAGGCCATGTACGTTCCTAATGAAGCGCCATGTACACTGTAATTGCGGACCTACGTATCGCGCTGAGCGTTCCATTGCATAATTGAAATATCGCGTAGGGCCATGCGTCAAGGTATATAGCCCCGGGATGCCAGCTGAGAGTTACTATGCTTTTCACTCGACATCCTTCTAACTATAAACATACTCGCAGATATGCTTTTCAGAGTACCACTCCTTACACTCCTGTTCGGTAGTCTAACCGCAGGATATGTGGCCCCATACCCACCTGGCAAGTACAATGTCACATTAACGACGGGGACTCTGACCGACTACACCCGCGATGACCCCTTTATCGCAACACCAACGCCTCGTAAATTAATGGTGACGGTCTTCCAACCTGCAACTTGCGAATCCACGGTCCTTGTTCCCTACATGCCCAACAAAACTGCTGAGTACCAGGGTCCTTTCATCCAAAAGTATTACAACATCTCTGACGACCTTTCACCCCTCTTCCTGGAGGCGCGGTTACCTGTGTGTCCGGCTGACCCCAAGGGCTGCTCACCCGTTGATGACGGTCCTGTTCTTCTTTTCTCTCCTGGATACACTGGCCCTCGCCTCTTCTATAATGTCGTCGCCGCCGCCATTGCGAGCGAGGGTTTTACTGTCATCACCATCGATCACCCTGGAGATGCAAACATCGTCACCTATCCCGATGGTCACGCAGTATACAACAACCGTACGAGTACTCCTGATATAGCCGATTGGATCCTGCCTTACCTCTCTGCCCGCGTTGCCGACGCATCCTTTGTCATTGACCAGCTCAGCAACAAAACTGCCATAGCCGAGCTTCTTCCACAACGCGGGCCCCAAGCGTTCGCCACTGATCGCGTTGCCATGCTGGGACACTCGCTGGGGGGAGCGACGGCCGTCGCGGCCGCCAGTCAAGATCCGCGGATACGTGCTGCTATCGATTGGGACGGGAGTTTCTTCGGCTCGACACCTCCATCGGGACTGTCAAAACCAGTGCTGTACGTGTCTGAGGCGAACGCTACAGATGCAACGTGGGTTTCGCTGTGGCCGCAGCTGAACGGTCCGAAGCTGTGGGTGGAAATCGCGGATACCACTCATCAGAGCTTCATAGATGCACCCTCGTTGTTGCGGGCGGCTGGACTGACCACGCCGGCTTTTCCAGACGTGCTGGGAACGATTGACCCAGCTCAATTGATTCAGATCTTGGTGGCGTACACGAAGGATTGGATGAATGGGGCATTTGCTGGCAAGATAGGGGGACCATTGCTGGAAGGGCTGGAGCCAGATAGGTTCCCAGAAGTCTCGACTGTGAGGAAAGGCAACTTCTAAAAGGATTCCAAACACTTTTCCACGTGGGAAGACTCACAAACTTCAACATTTATGAGTTGCCGGGATCGAGGTGTGGGGTAATTTAGATTCTGGCTCGGGAGACATGTTAAGAGCATGCCATGTTTTGCATAATTTTTATTTCTTCGGGGTTTTATCTGTTTATTCGAGATGTTACATACTGTACCCAATTCAATTATAACGTACAAGTTAGTAGATACTTATGTCAACCCACGTGTGTTCTTACAGGCCGCACATTCTCCCCTACAAAGCACAACAGCATACAAGACGATGGTCTCATCAGATGACTTGAACCTTGAATCTTCTCTTTACTCGAATAAGTGGAATAGTTCTGCATGCCAACTTGCACCTCCCACATAAGTACGCATAACCAATACCCTAATCCTCTCCTCTACTACTCCGACTACCAAAGCACAATCAAGCGCAAACACAGACGCCGTCGAATCCAACACTACTACTAGCAACGAAGCCCAAGCCCATACCGCACCCTACACTAGCCACACTCCTCCCTCTCTATAAAACCCACCATAACGGTTCCTCCCCACCCCTATCAAACAAACCTTGCAGCTTGCACCAACCGTCACTCCACTCCACTCCACTCCACCCCAACACTTACCTAGCTCGACCAACCCCACTGCCCAAAGAGTAGCCAGCCAGCCGTCCAGCATCCACATCACCACCCGCTAACCCGAAGGCCTAAAAACTCGAAACCACGCATCTGCATCATGATCGGCGCACCCTGACGCTCTCAGCCAACACCAACCACCACACTCCTCCATAGCGCGCTTGACTTTCCGCTGGCGCGCGTATCTAGCTCAGCCAAAGAAGAAGAAAAACTAAATCTTACCCCGCAAAAACGAGGTCTGTGTTGGTTGGTTGCCTTGTCTTGCAAAGGCGTCATCCGGTGAAACTATGTTTGTGGTACATGGAGTTTTTTGGTTTAGTGAATGGCTTTTCATTCACCACTGGCATGCTTCCCATGCGAGTATTGCGGGAGGGGGGGTTTTTTTTAACAAGGTTAGCTGGCTGGCTGGCTGACTGGCTGCTTACATGTTTGTTAAGGCGGCTACGCAGACGCCGGCGGACAATTGATACATTTGGTAGTTGTTGGAAGGCCTTGTACGATCGTACGGTGAATAACAGTAGCTAAGGTAATCTTGTGTATTGGTATTCTGGTGTATGATGATTCTACGAATGTGGGGGCTACGAAGGTATACATAGCGTTGGGTCCGAGTTGGGCCGAAGTAGGATCGAGGCGGTACATTGGGCCTTATTAGGCGACACACCGTGTGTATGCCGACAGTAGTTATTAAAACTTAGATGCGGGGGGATGGCGCAGTGGTAAAGCGCCTGGTATTCCTTTACCGCACTCCAAATTTGCAGTGTAGTAGAGGTCGAAGGTTCGAATCCTTCTCCTCTCACCGCCACTTGTGGCTTTACCAAAAAATATCGAACGGCTTACTCCAACTCGCAAATTTTCACCTACCCCTGCAAACCTAAGCGACAGGTTATAGCCGCAGTACACCCGAGCCACGCACTGCTACGACTACAAACACTACGCTAAGCTTGTTACAACCCTACGCCTCGTTCAAGATCCCATGGCTTTTTCCCCTTTGAGGTTTTTTCAGACTTAGGAACACGAGGAAAGCGTTGCAAAAAGAGATAGGTTGAAGAGAAGGAAAAACAGGCAGCTATAATAGGGTTTTACTTTCTCTCCTCCCCTGTAATAGCTAGGACATGCCTAAACTACATTAGTCAAACATAACCAACGAACATCAAAGGAGAGATAAAAATAGCTAGAATGGCATCTGCCACCGTCCTACATAGTCTCTGACTGATAAAGGACGCTAATGGATTACATACATACATACATACATACATACATAAAACTTAGATGCCATTTCTTACCAGGAACAGGAGGGTTCTGAATACGGACAAGACACCAGCTGTGCAAACGAAGGCCAAGGCAAAGGGACCCAGCTACGTTCAAAGTTTTTAGTTTTTCGCTTTTTTTGGCTTTGCTTTGCATCACCATTGTCGTCATGGCGGAGAGAGGGGGGGCTGCTAGTGCTAGGGGGTACTGTAGGCGGGGGGCCTGACGTCCATGAAACCCTCAATCGACGTAACCGCAGTTACAGATTGAATATCCCAAGCACCTGGTTCATGTCAAAAAAAACTTTCCTTGCAACTGGGGAAGTGGAAGCAAGAAAGTTGGGTTGCGAAGACGTCAGAAGGAAGGGGGTGGGTTAGGTTGGCATACCTAGTCATGTCGATGTAATGTCGACGCGGAACTTGACTCTGGTTTTCTTGTCCCACATTCCTATCACTATTGTCCAGCATACCCATCCTTGGCGGAAACCTACCCCTTATGCACAACAACAAACTTGACGAGTGGAAGAGAAACCTTGGTTTTTGGCTTTGCTGCAACGTACTGCAGTTTCGTTTTCATGGACCCCACATGCCGTCCGTCTATGACATGCAGCCGACCGTTACAATCGATATCTAGCCTCTTCCCCTTGAATTTTAAAAAAAAGTAAAGTATAGCGCCGACGACGTATGTGTATGTAGGTGCATGTATTGCGTAGCGAAAAAAAAGCGATGCGATGCCCAACCCATCATCCTCAGCCCTACATGACGCCATAGCCCGCCCACATCGCAACGCCGGAATCCTGACGCGCCGCCATCCCAAGCCCTCTAAGCCCAAACCCGCCTAAACAGCACCACCAACAACGTAAGTGGGCACTCCCACACCTCCCAAGCAGCCAGCCCAGCCCAGGCGCAGGGAAGTAGAAAGAAAAAAAGACGAACCAAACCCACCACCCGTCTTCCCCCCTTAACCTCTTTCTCTCCGACCGGCAGAGGGGCGGGCGCGAAGGTACCCACATTCCGATTGAGCCGATACTGTAAGTGCACACGCATGCAAGCGGACGCGAGCAGCGAGGTGAAGAGACACCCCAGTCAGCCCCAGTCCGATAATCTTCGGTGGGAACGGCTTGTTTCGCCGTACATGCACCCGAGCATCTTAATCTTTTTCCGCCCAGCGCCCACTCATGCCTATCCTACTCTCCACCCAAGTGTACCGCGGGGGTGGGTGGACAGCTATGCCGCTGAACGGTAACACGTACTACTGTACATGGATATTTTTTTTCTTCTTCCATATTTCACCGAAGTCACCGAAGAAGGGACGTCGCTCGCACTTTGCAATTATGCGTTAGTTCGGTCGTTCGGTCTCGTTCGGTTCGGTCGGGAAGAAGGGAGGGCAAGCCATCACGTTTCGCCGTCTAATTGGAGGGGCCGGATTTACTGTACCGTCGCGGTGTTTGGTCGGGGGAATACACGTATGTCTGTGTGTTGATGTACAGTATGTACTTATGATTTGATACTACAAGTAGGAACGAACGTTCCGGCTTGAATGATTGATAAGTCTGAATAATTGCTTTGTGATGGGTATGTTACGTTGGGCTGCTGTATGTACTGTACATGTACGGTAGGCAGCATCTCAGTGCTTCTTTTGCGTTTTGCGTTTTGACATTACTCCCGTCTAGTGTAGGTATTGTATCGCCTGCCTTGCCCATTCCTATTCGTATCCTACCGGAGCATGTTATCCGATGCATATTATACCATACCATACCATAACCATACTCACAGCGTAATGTAAACCACACACCTTTCCCCTTTTCTCTTTTCTCACTTTTCCTTTGCTTTGCTTTGCTTATAAATCCACAATAATAACATCAAAACGCCTCCCACGTTCTAGACTCTAGACTGTAGACTCGGCAACAAAAAAAATCAACAAGAACCCTTCCACGCATGTTGTGCACTGCGCTGTGCTAGGCTGTGCTACCCCGCTAGCGCCGTCCGCCCGCCGACCGAACACAGAAGAGTAGTTATGCGGCAAGGCACCGGCATCTCGCGCAGCGAGCACCGGCAAGAGCGTGAGAAAAGGGCCCAGATCTTTTCCTTCTCGACTCCTCTGAAATGCTATGCTATGCTATGCTATGCCGTCCATCTACCTGCTTGCTTCACCGGTTCAAACTACCGTACATACACGTTCTAGGTTTCAGCCTCCATCCCTTTCCACGCTTACTTACAGCTTACGAGTCCTTGTGTATGCTTTTTTCTTTGCTGCCCATAGACACGGGCGCGTGTTGTAGGAAAAAGTGAGGCGGCTGACATCTAGACTGCACACTGTAAAGCGGAGCTTAGGTTTGGTAAATCCGGGGGGTTATGGGGGAGAGAGAAGTCGTATGATTATTGCATTTGCCCAGGTTGGTTTTTGTGTGCTTGTGGTTGAAGATCGGCGTGTCCGTCCGGTCAAGTGCAAGCCCCAGCGCCGGCGGCGGCGCTTCCCCAGCTTGTGGTTTGTGTGGGTGTATGTGCGTTAGTACATACACATACTGCAGTGTGTGTTGTGTGTGTGTAAAGTAGAGACCAAGCTTGAACATGAATGGTTACGAGAATGGCTGGGATTGTACGGTAGGTAGGTAGGTAGGTGTATCAACGACAACTTGTGGGTATCTCTTTGCTACATACTTAGCTACGATGCATATGCCATGTCCATCCACCACCACCTCATGGTTCCTATAATACAAGTACGTAGAACGGGAAAAACATGTAGACGTGGACTTGTGTACTTTGAACAATTTTCGGAATATAAGTAAAAAGTGTTGTACAGATTACAATGCTTGCAGCTCGCAAAAAAGAGCGAATACATGCAGAGAGAAAAGAAAAAAAGGAAATCTAATCCCTCGTAACCCCGCGACCATCATCTATGATACATGCTTTTGTGTTGCACTCAAATCCGTCCGTCTCTTTTCATCAAATCATTGTTCCCATGCGCCCGCTTCGGTGGTCGCTGAAAATGGCATGCTCATACTCGCAAGTTGAAAAGCGAAAATAAAAATTGAGAAAAGGAAATATTGTACAGATTGTGGAAAGGATCAGTTCCGTCCAGCGACAACTGAATGCAATGCAAGGTGGAGCTCGGTGCCGCGGCCTTGTGAGGCGATGAGGCGATGCAGGGAGCGCGGAAATAGGCACTTCTCTCGGCTCAGTTGCTGCGGCGGACTCCGAAGAAGCCTTACGCTGGATGCCGCGTATATCGGCCCAGACGATATCGTCAGGGAAGAATTTTCGTGCGTCGAATCCGCCCGAGAAGAGCAAGCTGCATGCTGTCGAATGTTCGCGCGTGTTCTGGAATGTGTGGGCTAACTGCTGCAGGGGACGAGTCTCCGCGGCAAGTCAGTCGACTCTGCATATGTCATGCACTCAGTCATGGTTGCCTCCACGCCTGCGATGCTTTCCGGGAAAGTCGACCTCGGGATGCACGACGCGCATGTGGCGTGTTAATGCGTCGTTGCGAGAAAATGTCTTTTCCTCAACACACAGTGCGCAGCGGACCTTTTGCTTACGCGCATTGTGGATAGTGTCCTCGTGACGAGTCAGGTCATATGGGCGCGAGAAGACGGTGTTGCAAGGCTTGCCCGTTGTGGGGTTGATACGCTCGCACTTGTGGGGTCCCGCTTGAGAATTGCGCTCCAAAATAGCCGCTGACGTCATGGCGGTGCTGAGATTGGCACTTCGATGACCCTCGCGCTTGTGCTTCTGGAGCTTCTGCGGCGTTTCGAAGCGCTGCGAGCAGCCATGGTACGTACACGAGTACGTTCCAGACTCGGCGCCAGTCGATGCGGGCTTGCCCATGTAGCGATCCGACAAGACGCTGTTTTGGCTGCCGTTGGGTGGCTCGGCTTCGCTCGCACTTGACTCCATAGAGGTCAAGTGTGCTGGAAACTCGGGCGTAGAGTCGACAGCCGACGACATGTTGTGAGGTGTGGGTCGGTATTGTGATGTCGCATTCATGTTGAGTCCATGCATGTTGCCTTGTATTGAGGGCGTGGCGAAGTTGAAGCTGGTTGACGACTGTAGTGATGGCGCAGTCGCAGTAGAGAAGTTTGGTGAGAACTGGGGTGTTGCCCAACTGTCGCGGCGATATGACTGTGATGAAGGTGTGTCGAAGCTGGACTGAGTGGCGGTACGATATTGGTCGCCACCGTTGTATTGGCCGTCATAGTCGTTAGCGCCACTGTCCGGGAACAATGGCACCTTAGAGTCGTCGTCGTTTTCCCGGTAGTCCAATAGGGCGTCTTTGGGCGAGATGGTCTTGGTCTCAGAGTCGTCGGCTGCCTGCATCTGAGGCTTCATTGCGTAAGCCGCATCAGCCTGTCGGCTCTGCTCACGTGCCGCAACAGCCGTGTTCATGGACGGGTTGAACGTGTTGCTGGGCTGACGGTAAGGAGAGCTCCTGCGGAAGGGGGAGTCACTCCTTGAGGCAGTGCTGCTTGGCGACTGCGACCGCGCGTACTGTGCTGCCTGGAGCGCACGCTGTACGTTCTCGTTGCCATTGCTGCGGTACGGCGACAGCAGCGACGACTGTGCTGGCTTGGACTGCGCTACTGGCTGAGTGGCGGTGCTGGGCTCGTAGAAGCCAGTGTCGGCAGCAATGTCGGTGTAAGTCCTCTCAAACTTGGGTACTGGTCGCATGTCTGCTTCATTGTAAGTACAGAACTCGTCAAACAGCCAGGAGTCTATCCTGCGGAGCGGCTCACCATTCGCAGGCATCTTAAAGTCCATGTCGTCCTGCGCAGTGTGTGGCGTCGCGGGAGAGTCGTGGCCATAGCTGGACACTGATTGCCTAGCCGAGTGGGCAAAGTCAGGTACGTCATCTCCCTGATCCATGAGCGCCTGCTTCATCGACATGTGTGCCGACATGGTGTCGTTCATGTTGGCAGAGTTCTGTGAGTAGTTGTTGAAGTTGGTGGTGGTCATGAAGGAGTCTTGGGTAGGTGTATGTGTAGGTGTAGGGAGATGGTTCTGGAACGACCTTGGATGACTGTTAGCGGTGCTTAGTGAGTAAAGTGGAGACGGCTCGGGATGAGCGACGTACTGGTAACCTGCCGAAGCACCGACCGTCTGATACTGTGAGGCACTTGAGCCTACAGACGACGCTGAGGATGTGCGTTGGTGGCCGCGGTTCTGGTGCTGCGAAGGTGTCTGGAGCGATTGACCATGCACATTACCATAGTTGGTCCACGAGTCAAGCCCGGAGCTGGTGTTGTTGTTGGCTGCCATCATGGATGGTTGCGCGAAGCCCTGGGGCATCTGCGGTGTTGGTGTCGACTGCTGGATGCGGATGGCCGGGCTCGCAAAGTCCGAGTATGATGGGCTCGTCATGTACGAGTTGGGTGCACTACTTGTAGTCGTGCAGAAAGACTGTTGTTGAGATTCGAGATAGTCGTTGAGCAACTTGTGGTCAAACAGTTGCAGTGGCTGAGAGGCGAATTGCTGGGGTAGTTGTTGATAGGAGTGGTGCGAAGAGGGTGGTGACGGTGCAGTTGGAAAGTGCTGACGTCGTGTGGATAGCGCTAGCATAATGATCGGAAGGGAAAGTAAGGGACCAGCGCGGGTGGCAAGTTGCTTTATACTAGGGGGCGCGCCGGCCGATGACTCGGGAGGCTTCGCCGATTTGAATCAAAGACGACTTGATGAGGTGATCTAATCGTGGTAGTCGATGGAAGAGTATAGAAGAGGCTGTGTTCTGGACCGGCTACGCGCGGATGATGGGAATCAGGAGTATTTGTACTTTGTGCTGGTGATTGCAAAGCGCTGAAGGATGGTTTAAACGGCGTGGGCCTGATGAGGGCGGAATTGCTTTCCTTTCATACCACATCCTATGACGCAAGTGTCGAGAAAGCGCTTGCAGGGGGTGGGTGCAGGCTAGTACAGGCCAGCATTGTAAGCGGCGCCGATCGACAGTACCCACACATCACACCCTGCATACGACCGCCCGGGCCCTGTCTGGCCGAAGAAGGCTGTGCACCGGCAGACAGGCCATGTCTGGGACCCATTTAATTCTTTCAACGTGCATTCGGATAGCAACCGAGATGGTCTCGCTCCACGACTACGAGGTGCTCCCCAAAATACCGAGCAATCGCTTGTAGCCATCCGGGCGATCGGTGCAGCCGTGCTATGGGTGAAACAGACGCTGCGAACCAATCCGCCGACCCATCTGCTTGCGCTGACTTTAGTGTACAAGCCGGCCAGTAGTGTGTAGGCCATGGTGCGACCGATACCACTGTCCTAAGAACATGCTGTCCAAGTCGGGCTGAGTCGGGGCAACGCTGCAGGTTGGTATCTGCTACATGGACGGTGCCGAGGTATATGCGACAGCGCATCGTGGGATACGGGTAACCAAGTATCGAGTGCAAAGCCCTTCAGCCACAGCTCGAGCCAGCGTCGACAGCAGTCACATGAGCGAGCGTGTGACTCAGAGCCGCTATTTGATATGTTGGCATTAAATGCCATTTGGCTAGTAGCCCATTGTCTACGCGGACAAGCAAGGCTACAGGGACCGGGACCAGGAGCATGTGGCCTCGTCTACATACTTAGATCCGTCAATAGCCTACCCCATATTGTTGCTATCGATAGCTAGATCTGGTGGCCAAACGGCTCCCGAGCACCACCCTGTTGGTTAGCACAAAGCACAGATGGTGAAACTGCAGATTGATTCACGAGCCAATAGGGCGGGATAGGTGCTCAACGTACGATGCTCGTAGGACATGAGCTCAGCATACCATCTATCCTGCAGACAAGGCATGCACTTCCGCGGCACTGGGAGCAGTTCCATGTCACAACGGTCGCGCCGTGTCACTTTCCACCATCCGTACCAGACAGGTCCATCCGACATTGCACAGGGAAAACTCTTCACTGAGACGCCTGCACCGCCGTGTACGCTGAACAGTCGCATCTGCAATGTGCTGCAAGCCGTGTGTGGGCTCGCATAGCAGGCCTGGAGCCAACGTGGCATCGCATCGCAGCACCGGGCAGGATCGGTGGAGAAGGGTTCAAATGCAGGGTCCATCGCAAATCCCATGTGGCAGTGCAGCCCTACCGTATGCACGGCCGATGCCTCGGCCCCGGCCTCCCCGAACACCTCTGGACCCTTTATTTGTCCATGGCACTTCACTAGCCACATTTCTAGGCTCGGCGCTCGCATGCTCCGAGTCCCTATCCAAGTCTTCTTTTTTATGCTTTATTCTTCCATCTTCCATCTTCCATCTTCCCGTACTCGCTCTCGCGTATAGCTGAGCCCCTGGGTTATGCATTGCCTTCCTGCCCGGCTGCTCTTTTGCTGGGCGCGCGCTGCTCCGTCACACCGAACAGACGCTAGCCGCTCGCCTATGACGGTCCATGACATCATCGTTTGGTTCTCCGTACCTTTTGATCCCTCCCACACTTTATGCAGCCCAAACGACTGCCCGACGCAAACTGACTTCAAGCCCTCCTATATTTGCAATGCAATACTTTTGCAATGAACATCCTTTCCTTGCCTTTTCAGCCAAGCTGCCCATCACTGCAATATGGCGCCTGGATGGAGTCATGGATCGCCAACGGTTGCGGACACCACTCCCCCCTAGCCCAACTGTCCGCCAATGTGTGATCGTGGGATGATGAGACCCTGCATACACTTGATTTCGCCAAAGTTTCTGCCGCTCCACCTGCTTCCACAGGAGATACGTTTGTCGATCATGACGCCTGAGGTCCATCGGTCGCGTGTGAGTGAGTGCTCCACTAATGTCGCTGCCGTGACATGTTCATCCCCATGCGTCGCATCTCCGAGCTGTCATATTAACCACATCTTGTCCCCGTCGTTTCCGGCTTTCTTGATAAGTATTGAATAAGCTGTTTTTAGGGAAGTACATGCAGGGCACACCCGTTAATCCGAACTTCTGCCGCCCCAACCGCCTGGCCTCCTTGTCGGGCTTGGGGGGGGGGGGGGGGGGTGACTGACACGCGTCGGCTGATTCCAGTTGTGCTCACCATGGCATTTCTGAAGTTATTTCCTACGTCATAACCCTTGCGCAGAGCTGCACGCTGTTTGGGGCCTGGCGCATTTACCATGACATTTGATTTCTTTTGCTGCCCTCAAGTGCAAGTTAATTCTGTGGGTTCCGCGACACCAATACTGCCATCCGGAGCTGCTCCGGATTTCCGCCGGCCTGCCAAGTTGGGCCATCAGCCGACACCGGTTCCGTCGACGCTGACTGCATCTGTTGGCCCTCAACAGTTCAAAACACATTTATTTTTCCGTTTCGTATACCGGCGCCATGATTCCGCCCACCGCCCGTCAACCGAGCGAACTTGGGCCGAAGTTTACCACACTGTCACTGTGACGCTCAGTGAGGAACGCGCGGAGCTACGGTTAACCCCGCTCCGCTTTCCGACACGATGCTTTACTCATGCCACAACGCAGCCCCACAATATCATGAGTCTTGGTAATAATATCCATCGGCCTTTTGGTCACTTGTCACTATTTCCAGGCCGAAGTGCTTCCATAAAAAGTTCATACGATTGCGTGTACGAAGTTCCAATAGTTTCACCAATGCCCCCGGACTAAACCGGGCTAGTTTCTAATACGAGCATTGCGTGAAGCTGATGCTGGAAAGCAGTTAGCTTAGGATAGTTATTCTCAGCCTCGATAGCACCAACACGGCCCATGATACCGTGGGCGTCGGTTGCTGCCTTCCTAGTCCTTACCCTCTCGCTAATCTATGATCTGATCAATCGTTCGGCTCCACAATCGTCTTTCATGCTGCCTGGGCAAACCTGTCAATCGCATTTTTCTCAATCTATACAAAAATTGGCGTCTTGCGTTGCGGCCCGCGCCCATCCGACAATCTCTTGACAAACCCCGAGAATCTAGCCTTCGGAGGTAGCACTTCGGTGAAAGACCCTTGCCGTTTTTTTTTTTTTTGCATCGTGCAGCTTAGTTGTGTTTGGTTTGATCCTTTCGGTCTTGCTCCCGGACGGTGGGATAGAGTGCCCAGGAGAAACTAACATTAATGCCGCTTGTCCCCCCTCCCCAGCTCACCACGGAAAGATAGAGGACATGGGATGCAGGCGTAGGGCTGTAAGCCCTCGGCGGATTAGAAAGTTTATACACTTTTGCCAACTTTATCTTCGACGCTTGCTGCTACCCCGCCTATTCTCATGTTGGAAGGCGAAGATCTTATCAAGGTGTTGCTCACTAGCATGGTTGTCCCTAACATTTTAGACTGGCTTCTTTCATTCTATGATTCGTACTCGTACTCTTGGCCACAATCATGTCAGTTTTACTTTGGTCGCCGTCTGAGGTTTACTATGATCGTCCTTTTCAGGTTACATGTCGCGACACTAGTGGGATGTAAGTAATAGTCCTTCTAACGTAAGCTCAAGGCCCTTGACTCTCATAGTTGTCCAGGACATTCCCTTTACTTTTACTCCGAATTCCGAAGCTCAAGTACCTTCCGAAATAGTCAGAGTAGTAACTACGTTGAGAAGGCAGTAGCTTATACAGTTATCGACCCCTCTGGTCTAGGTAAAGTATCGGTATAAATTTGAAGTAGGTCATATCGATGCTTAGTAGCAGATTTTCATAACGCGGTGTTTGTAATAACAGTACAAGAAAGCAGTTGAAGGTGTTATCCCAACACCTTATACTTGGTAAGTGACGGTAAAGTATCGGTATAATACTACGACATTTATTACTTTTTACATAAGTATACCCAAGAGTAAACTCGCCATAAGATACCTGTTCTTCATCAAATATTGACAAGAAAAGATTCAATATAGACATCCAAGTCAGTGACGTGTATTCCCAAAATACGTCTACACAAACATCTATGAATCAAACCACGTAATCTTAACAACCTTGAATGACCTTATAGCCCTGAACGACATCGCTCACAAGTAAGCGATTAGGCTTGTCTGTTAGGAGCTCATCTATGTCCTTTACTACTATTTAGCTGCATCTTCTACAGACTCGTCCGCTCTACCAAATTGATGTCATTTCGCTTTCTCACACGTGTAAAACATGCGAGGTGTCTAGAGCATTTTCGCTTTGTAGTGTTCGACGACAGAAGTACATGACGCGTTGTTAGTTTTACGCGGGGATCAAAGTCATGATCATAGAGTGTAAAGGCATATACGAAATGGGCGTGTCAGTGCTAAAGGGATAGACGAGCGATGATTGTGGGAAATGAGTGAGGAGGTGCAGTGAGAAGCCGTTTATGTAGGGAGTAAATTAGAAAATAAGATGGATATCAAAAAACGTATAGGAATGTGATTGAAAGTTTGGTATACTGGCATATCATGGGTTTACTTAAGTCGTCGATATAATATTTTAGTAGTAATTACGAATAACCAGTCCTACATCTAACTCCATCTCATATCAACCCCCTCAAATCTTCGCCTTAACACCCTCCTTCTCCCCCAACCTCTCAAACAACGGCGCCGTCCTCCCACCCCTAAACAAATCCAACATCTCCCTCCCCATCCACTTCTCCCGACTCCTCGCCAACCCCCTCTCCAAATCCGAAAACCTATCCGCTTGAACAAAGATTCCCGCGCCATTCGCCTTGTTCCCCTCATCCATCAACCAACACACAGCCAACGCCACCGATTCCACCGTATTAATAGGAACACCCGCCTCCCGCATCTGCTCGACATATTTCTCCGGCGACACAGCACCCAAAACGCGATTATTAGCCGTCAAGATAGGCGTAACAGTAATACCGGGCGCAACAACCGAGATGCTAATACCGACTTTTGCGCATTCCTGCTTCAACGCTCGCATGAGACCCACAACACCGTGCTTAGCTGCTGAATACAGGGGCGCCCCCGCCGACGCGAGATAGCCGGCCAAACTGGCGGTTAGTACAATCGACCCGCCGTCGTTGCCGTTCTTGCGCAGGTGGTGGATGGCGAGTTTGGTCGTGGCGCAAGCGCCGTCCATGTCGATGGCGAGGGTGCGGTGGTCGGGCTCCGCGAGTTGGCCGCTGGAATCGAGTGTGTCGGTGAAGAATTGGTCGCCGCGTTCTGCTATGCCGGCGTTGACGAAGACGGCGTCTATGCGGCCGAAGCGCGTGTGGGCTGCGTGGAAGGCGGCTCGTTGTGAGGGCCAGGATGTTACGTTGCATTCGTGGTAGAAGAGGTGGGTTGGGGGGTGGGTGAAGGTTGGGGGTGGAGGTTGGAGGTCGAGGAGGACGAGGTTGTGGGATGGGTTTAGGGAGGAGAGGAGGGTGGCTGTTGCGAGGCCGATTCCTGATGAGCCTCCTGTTATGACGATGGTTTTGGGGGTTGATTTGAGTGTGTGGAGGTTTGCTGGGTTTGGTTCGAAAAGGGACATGGTGGGTGGTAGACTTGATGTTTGAATGGAAGTGGGATGATTGGGAAGTAAGCTGATTGGAAAGTGAGTTTATTGGGGTATAAAAGGGAAGATGGCAGACGATTGGACATATATAAAAGTTGCTCAGGTTACTCGGCTAAGGATGGGCTGACGACTATTTACCTAGGTTCGATGTTGTAGTTTGCGGGGTCGCCGGAGAACCCGCTATATTCACACAAAGATCGACGCGAACACGACTAGAAATGATGAGCTCGTGGTACTTGCACGTTTGAACGTGTGCATCGTAGACGGTTGACCAGATCAAACTAGGGCGGTATCATGCCTGAGAGCAAAGTTTAGACGATTTTCACTTTCGAGATATAATTCCTAACATTCAACGAATAACAAATTTCCAAATCAACATCATCGCAAATACCTTAGACACGCTTCCATTCAGCCACAAGTCAAGATGGAAGCCCCAACACGGATGTGGATGTCTGAATCTCAAACAACGCGCCCGCGCGGGAAACGCACGTGTGCCCTGGCGCCCTAACTAGCCGCATTCGGAACATACCACCTGGAGTTTCCGAGCTTCAACATTCAAGACACCAAGATATACCCCAACCCATCCAGCCCGCTTCTTCCCCACAAAAGCCACACGGCGCGTAATCCTCAATTCCTCTCCCTCGCGACGGCAACAAACAAGGCGAAGAGAAGAAAAGAAAACGAAGCCATGTGGAGACCAACATCACTCCTCGCGGCCGCGTTAGCAGTGGTGCCCTCGCAGGCGCTGCATTTCTACATGGAAGGGGCGCTTACAAAGTGCTTTTATGAGGAATTGCCAAAGGACACTTTAGTCGTGGGTACGTAAACTACCTCCATGCCACCTATCCCCAACCCGCAACCCGCAACTAACCCAACACCACCAGGCCACTACCACGCCGAAGCCTGGGACGACCTCCACAAAACCTTCCTCACCAAACAAGAAGTCTCCGTGTACGTCACCGTCGAGGAAACCTTCGACGACAACCACCGCATCGTGGCCCAACGCGGCAAGTCGGAAGGTCGCTTCACCTTCAGCGCTGCAGACAGCGGCCAGCACCGCATCTGCGTGCAGCCGCAGAACGTGCAGAGCTCTGGTAGCGGGTGGCTCAATGGCGGGATTCATGGCACCGTGCGGTTTACGCTCGATATGGCGATTGGCGAGACGAGTCGGATTGAGCGTGAGGATAAGGATAAGGTGGAGACGTTGGTGCAGAAGGTGCAGGATTTGAATAGCCGGTTGCAGGATGTGCGGAGGGAGCAGGTGTTTCAACGGGTATGTTATTCACACACACTCTCTCTCTCTCTTTCTCTCTTCACGGTCTGGGTGGATATATACGTGGATATCAGGGCTTGGATATGGATGGAGGCGAATATGTTACTAACACACTTGCAGGAGCGAGAAGCCGAATTCCGCGACCAATCCGAACACACAAACTCGCGCGTCGTCCGCTGGACTCTTATCCAACTCGTTATTCTCGCTGTAACGTGCGTTTGGCAACTCTCGCATCTGCGCGCCTTCTTCATCAAGCAGAAGCTTACTTAGAAGAATGAACTTGCTTTTATTCGTTATCCGGGGGTGTTGGAGGGCGGGTTGCATCGTCTAGAAAAGTCGAGATTTATACGGGGGGTATAGGTGTAGTGATAACGACAGCAATGGAAATGAAGTTATTTGCTGTGTTATGTTATGTTATGCTATGCTATACCGGATTCCTTTGGACAAGAGGGAAGATGGTGAAGAATAGTAAATCTCGCGTTTTTTTTGTATTGTAAAGGGAACACACACGATAGTTAAAGGCGTTTGAAAAGAATCATGGTTGATGGGGTAGGGGCAAACCTGTATGTTCTTTATCTTTTAACAGGCTACTGGAATCAAATCAAAGATATATAAAAAAACTCCACCCATTCCCCCCTCACATCAAATCCAACTTCATCCCCTCCGTTGCCCCATCAAACTAAACCAAATCACACACATACCCAAACAGCGAAGAAAAACATCCCCCCCTCCCCCCTTTTAGAATTCACCAGTCAAGAATACAAACAATCTCAACTTTACACCAGTGTTCAGAGACATGCATACGGTATCTAGTCTACATAAGTATGCTGTATATATCTTGGGATAGATAAAATTTGATGACCTGTTCGCACATACATGAATATCCTCCCTCCCTACCCTCCTATGCATGCATGTATGTTACATAGCATCTCATATAAAAACCCATACATGAATAATCACACACACACACTCTCTCTCTCTCTCTCTGTCTCTTCTTTCCCACCAACCAGAAACGCCTCGCTATGCAAGTATCAATACCGACAAAAGTCCCAACAAAAAATCCCAAGAACTTTCACAAACTCCCACCCCCACGCGGGATGAATACATGAGTTTCCTTTTTACTTCCTAACCCTCTTACTGCTACTAACCTCACCCTCACTCCCCTGAGAAAACACACTCGCACTCCTTTTATGCCCTTGCCCTTGTCCCTGCCCTTGTCCTTGACTCTGCCCTTGCCCTTGCATACCACCAGCACCTTGGCTAGTAGCCCGACTTTGCTGTTTACTACTCTCATCCTCGCCTTCTGCATCTACATCGCCGTCATCATCTTCTACTTCGCCGTTGAAGCCACCTTCGTCTTCATCGTCGTCGTCGTCATCGTCTTCTTCCTCCCCCTCGGCGTCATCGTCGTGGAGGTTATCAGCGTCGTGACCTCCTTCGTCTGCGTCGCCTTCTGCGTCGTCGCCGCCGTAGTTTTTGTTCACGTCGTCTTCTTCGTCGTCGTTTTCGCCGTCGGCGTCGGCGTCGACTTCGGGGTTGGGTTGTTCTTGTTTGGGTTGTTTGTTGTTGTTGCTATTGTTATTATTGGACGTGGTGGCATTGTTGGTTTCGCTTGCTCCAGTTTCTTTGCCTGCTCCGCCGTTCCGCCGCTCCTTCATGGCGAGCAGTACTTTGCATTCGCCTTCTTCCTTTTCGCGTACTTTGCGTACGTCGAGGAGGCGGCTGACTTTTGCAACGAGTTGCTCGAATACATCGGCGATTTTGCTGGTTGGTATGCTGACGATTTCGCTCACGCCGAGGGCGGCAAGCATTTGTCCAATCTTCTGCGTTTGTACGTTGCTCTTTGCTTGTCGCATCTTGAGCAGCTTGTCCGAGCCAAATGTGACACCAGAGGTAAGCCGGTCGTGTGTTGATACATTGAATCGGTGTTCTTGATGTGGAGAGAGGTGTTTGACGGGTGTTTGGGCCGTCTTTTCGTGGTGTTGTGCCATGCTTTGTCGGCGGTTCGCAGCAGATAGTTGTTGTTGCGCAGAGCCGGGAGTATGGACCATGTCGTTGGCAGAGAGACTGAGACGACCTGGTCCTGTTGCGCCGCCTGATGCACGTTTCTTGCTGCGATCCTGCTGGAATAGTTGCTGGAAGAGGGCTTGAAGGGCTTGTGAAGATGTAAAGGCTTGGAGGCCGGCCGAGGCTTGTGGATTTGCAGGTGGTGCGTCCAGTCGGGCTCGTAGTTCTTCGCGTTCGGCATCGAGGCGGTTCGCTGCCATGTTGATACGTTGAAGCTCGGTGAGCAAGAACTCCTCTTCCTTGACCTCGTCCATTGTTCGGTTTATGAGGGCCGTGGCCAGCATCTTTCGGTTCCGTTCCATATTAGGGTCGAACTTTGTGAGCATCTCATAGAGACTGTACTGGTCGGCGTCCATGGAGACTTCTGGTATACGCTGCTTCATCAGCTTCGCGGATATGTCATAGAAGCGCGCCTTGAGGTCTTCAAGCGAGCGCTTCTTGGAAGGTGCGAAGGGCATTGTAGCTAATGCATGGTCGTCGCCAGGCGCGGTTTCGGGCGCATGGTGTCGCGCTGGTTGGTAGTCGTAGCGGTCCCAGATGACCGGCCAGCGATACGAGTAGTCGCGGATTACTCCAAACAAGTAGTCGGTCTCCTCGCGGCTCCAGTCGTCGCTGCGCAGATACTGGTCGTACTCCTCATCGGTGAAACCTGGCATGTCGACCTTGATGTCGTACTTTGCATAGTCGGAGCATGATTCGAGGTACGAGTCGGCGGTAGTAGTCGCGGCAGCATCGTCGCCGCTTGCTTCCTGCATAGTCGCGTCGCCAGCCTCTTGCACAGGCGGTGCGGTCGTCGTGGGTTTGCGCCGCCAGTGCTTCAGCACAAGGCCATCAGCGCGCGCTGGGTTCGTAAAGGGCTGCTGTATCCTGCCACATATCCCATTAGCCCTCGCCCAGCCCATGTCCACACCCAAACATACCATTTCTTCGCAGGCCCCGTGCTCTGTCTCTTCGCCCGATACGCCTTCTTCTCCTCGTAGACGGCGACGGGCGGCGGCCGTTCGCCATACAGCGCAGCAACCTCGCGCGCAACGCCCTCTGGTCGAATCAGAGTCAGTCTCGACCTTTTGACTATTTCCCAAGGAAAGACGTAAGAGTTGCCTAACGTACGTATCTTCCTGCTCCCTCCCGCAGGCTTGGACCGCTTTTGAGTCTGCTGTGCCACTGCTGCTGGACCTACCGTCTTTGGCGCATCACCGCCGGCAGCAGGCAGCCCTAACATATCGCGCACATCGCGTCCCGACGCCATCGCAACTGTCGCAAGGCGCCGTCGTCAATGAGCCGGTGAGAGGAGAGGGTGCGGGTGATGGAATCGCAAGGCCCCGGCAAGAGTAGACGAGGTTAATTCGTTGTTGGGAGTCGCGCGTTGGACCCTGCGGCGGCTACCTCACGTGTGGATTTGCGGTGTGTGAGAAAATTGGCGGCAAAAGGCGTGCACTGCAGCAGCAAAAAGTGTGCAAAAGTATAAGTGATTCAAAAAGTGATTCGAGCTTGAGCATGCGCAATATGAAGCGGCTCCCAGGGTTCACTCCCGCTCTCGCGCTATCAGGTAGGCACAGCTATGGAGTCATGGATTGCCGCTGTTAAGGCAGCTTCCAATCACACACGCAAAGAGGCCATAGCTCCCGGCCATATGATCAAATGGCCCCCTCCTAGCTTCCTTCACAGTCGTATCATGACCGCCTCGCTACCACTCCAAAACTGCTAGACATGTCACTGCACCAATCTCTGCTAGCCGTCGCCTGTAGTGACTTGGTCTATTCGCTCCACTACTCTACCTGAACTAAAGCGCGGCCCGACGTCTCCCACTGTACACTGTACACACTGAATCTTCACCCGTACAGCCCTGGGCCCAAAAGAGACTCCTTTACATGCTATATTTTCCTCGTGCCAAAAATGAATAATCGAAATGAGATGCCACAAGTGCAGGCCTCGCCAAGCACACCGCAACGCCGCAAGCGCCCAATGGATACCACTCCCACACACTTTGCCAGCTGGTCGATGGGGCAACGTGGGAGCGCGACGCGGAAAAAGGGATGATGATAATGTTTGGCGCGCTGATGATGATTCCAGGCTGGTGGGGGGAGGCGCTTCGGTCGATCGGTCGTCGTAACTATTACCGTGGAAGGAGATTTTCGATCCCGTCTATCAATCATTACAAGATACCTATACAGAAAGAAAACGTGACCGAGGGAATACTATCGCTCAAAGAACGGACTCCATGATGCAACGCAAAGGGAAGAAAACCAAGCGACGACGCCGCCATTACTACTTGCTGGCGCCGCAGCATAGCGCGTTGGCCAACTTCTGCATGAAGCTTTGCTTCTCAGGTGCCTGTTGCCGGGGTTGTTGGAGCGTTGGGCTGCTGGCCTGGGCTGGGCGGTTCTGCGACAGGTTTGGCTGGCTGTGCTGGAACTGAGCCTGCGTCGATGCGCCTTCTGGTGGCGCGAGCTCGCCCATGCTCTTCCTCTTGACCTGCGAGTCGCGGTTCATGTTTTCTCTTGGGCTTCGTCCGGCCTGGGCGCGCGTCGCTCCCGGCTTGGGCAGCGGCTCGTTTAAGCGGTGGTGGTCGATGGGCAGATGGGTCTTCTGCTGCCTGTGTTGCTGGCCCTGGAGGTTCACAGCCATGGACGAGTTGGGGTTCACGTTTGAGTGATGCATGGCCTGCGCAGCGGAAGGGTGCGACTTGAGCACCTCCCAGCCCTTTCCGTTGTTGAGCTTCATCCAGTCGTACTCGCCATCCTCGACCTCTCCGGTGCTCTTGAGCGCCTGCGTGAAGAGCTCGCGTAGGTAGTCGTAGTCGGGCGTGTCCTCGAAGCCCAGGTTACGGACGTAGCTGAGGTACTTGTTGAACTCCTCTGTGATTTGTTAGCGGATGCATATCGTGATGCTACACATGCGTCACGTACCAGGGAAGCCATCGCACAGATCCTTGATGGGCGTCGTCTGCTTCTTCTCTCCAATCTTCTCGTACTTTTGCTTGTTGGTAGCGGCCTTGAGACCTTGCCATGGCAGTCCGCCGCGCAGAAAGTACATGAATACGTGACCAAGGGCCTCGAGATCGTCGCGACGCGACTGCTCGCGTCCCAGATGGGTGTTGATACTCATGTATCGAGCCGTTCCGGAAAGAGACTTGCGCTCTCTGTAGGGAATGTGCTGCTTGGTCTTGGGGTCGCGGTACTGCTTGGCCATGCCAAAGTCGACGACGTGGATGACATTGGCGCTCTTGGAGCCGGGGCGGCCAATCAGGAAGTTGTCGGGCTTGATGTCGCGGTAGATGAGGTTCTTCTCGTGGATGGTCTGGACGCGTGAGAGCTGGCATGTGTGAGCGCGTGTGCATGGTTGGGATATGCAGTTTGCCTACCATCTGCTTGGCTACCATGACAACCGTCTTGATGGAAAATTTCCTGTTGCAGTGGTCGAACAGGTCCTCCAAACTGGGGCCGAGCAGGTCGATGACCAGGATGTTGTGGAGGCCCTCCTGCCCAAAGTAGTAGACATTAGGAATCCCAGCTGTAGGCGGTCAGTATGTTGTTCGTTGTTGTTGTTGTTTGCTTGTGTCGCTAGCACGTGAGTCTAGAAAGATATGGCCGACAAGAGGCCGACAGAGAGGACGCGGCCGGCCATTGTATCGTAGACAGACGCGCAGCCAGACACGCAAACAATGAGGCAATACAATGGCCATGTACACATACACACACACACACACATACACGAGTCTCGTTGATAGTCACAGGTGCGACGGACAGGTGACGGGTGGAGGTGAAAGGGGGTCAAGGACATTGGGTTTACTCACGGCAGCCCACAAGAATCTTGTACGTGCGATACTCATCGCGTAGTTGCGGAGCATCGCTCTTCCTTGGCTCGAACTTGATGGCGACCTGCTGCTGGTTGAGCAAGTTGGTGCCCTCGAAGATGACGCCAAAGCTGCCCTCGCCAATCTTCTTGCCGACGCGGTAGTGCACGCCCACGACGTTTGAACTCGTGCTGCCGCTCGCCATGGTGCTGTCGAGTGTCGACGGTGGATGGAGTGGTAGAGGAGGGGGTGGGGGGAAGGTACGGTAGTGGTAGTGGTGGTTAGAGAGGCTGCGTCGGTGTGGGTGTGGTTGTGACAGCAGCGAAACAGGGCCGCAGCCGTTCTCCGGTAACGAGGCTTGGGGCTGAAGCAACCGGCTTTGGCGACGCGGCGTCTAGCTGGTCCTTGGGGAGGCTGCAAAGAGCAGCGTGCGAGGGAGAACGGGCGAGGTTCAGAAGAATGGGCGTTTGGGATGGGCAATGAAAGAAGAGCGACCGACTCGAGGTGGAAAAGACGTGGAGCACTGGAGAAGGGGAAGGGCAGCAGCGACATGGGGGGTGCGTGCACTAACACGGCCAGACAGCCAGCAGCCGCTTAACCCATCCGACACAACCCTCGCTAGCTCAGAGTCGACCACGACAAGCTCAATTCACTGGCCGAGCACGGGGACGGGGTGACGGGGTGACGGCAAGCCAGGGCACGCGCGCACTGCCAAAGCCTGCATAGAGACGGGTGCATGCCAATGCTGGCCGACACAGTACCCACCTCGGTAAACCTTTGATGCTATCGCGACGGCTATCTACAGTACATAGTTGTATCTATATCTATTCATGGCTGTCCATTATCTGATAGCGCTGTCCGTTGCAGCCTGTATCTGCAGCACTGCCCAGCCCCCAGCCCCATGCTCAATGTAATTGTGCTCGGAGAGGAAGCGCAAAAAATAAAATATCACTGGCCCGGAAATTCGACAACAATGCTCTACACTACTGGCTCTCCAGCCCAAAGCACACCTCAGCTCGCACCAAACAAACGCCTGGCTGCCGCTCCGTCGCCATGGCTATTGTCAGCGCTCGTCGCAAACAAGTCCCACACGTGATGATCTTTCTGTTGTTGCTTGCACCCAACATCCAGCTACTGTGGTCCGTCACGTAACATGGAAAATTAACAGGGGTCTTACTCATAGCAGATCATCTTGTTTATTTCATCTTGTAAATTAAATAGAAAGCCTCGAGAATATAGAGAAAATTCTCCTCTTTTGTAACGTCTTTTTCGTTTCTTAAATCGTCTTTTTCTTTGTGTAGAGTTATAGGTGGAATGGAAGAAAATTATGACCCCTGTTAATTACTAGCTGCTCCAGCCTCACCGCTGCATCGCGTTCGCGTCCTCTGACCCCCCCGGAGCCACCGCCATTCATGCACCGCCATGCTGCCATGCTGCCATGCGTCAATTGCGTCGCCTGCCAGGTGCCTTCGCCTCACTGCATGGCCAACGGCCTTGGTGCGACGCCCCCAGCACCCAAACGCCGCCCTCCCTCATCATCTCTCGTATTGCCAGCCATTACCGCTGCGGCGGGCACAGCGCGATGCTATCCTGTCTTACACATAGTGCTAGTATGCCACTACGCTTGCAACTCCTTTTAGGCCAGGGCCGCATGTTGGCTGATCAAATGTAGCAACTCCTGCGCGGCCATATGGAAAGTCGTAATTGTTATCGCACCCACGACCACGGTTTGGGTTGGTTCCTCGTTGGCACTATGTCTATTAGTTGATAAAATAATGCGAGATCGTGATACTGACGCAGTATATCCAATGTTTTTCATGGACATTGTGGTAAGCGTCGTTTTTGGTGCAACACAAATCAACAGCACTGACTACAACTACTAATGTAGCAAAGACCGTAGTTAGAGCTATAAACTTCATATCTCAAGATAATATATGTAATAGTTAGATAGGTGAATAGTGATGAATTAAGGTATATAGTAGATAAATACACGTGAGAAGGCTCTCTATTTATTCTCTTTCTCTACCAAGCTTTATAGAGTAGATAGAGCCTAGACTATACTAGTTATAGATAAACGTGTTCTCTTCTTCTATTATTTTAGTAATTGTACCCATTCCCTAACATCCTACACCTAGCATCTATTTAATTAGCTGACAATAGCCAAGGTACCGCCTATTATTTGCTTACTATGACTATTTTCTCACCCAACTTCTTGTATTATGATTGGCTAGAGCCCTTTGCTCGTTCTTCTGTAAGCGACCTCGTGTCCGAAGCGGCGCTTACACTTACTTAGACACCACCATGTATGTATAACACTATAGTTTTTCCGCCCCGAACTCATGAGATAAATACCTCTCTGACAATACATACATGCAACTGCAGTACTTAGTTATACCCATGTCACAAACCGTCTTATAAACGCCAATGCCCAATGCCAAAAAATCGCAACTGCAACGGCAGGCTATCGAGTCATGCCATTGAAGCGCGTCCCCATGCTCGCGCCACATTCCGCCCTTGCACTTGACATGGCCGAACATGGATAGCCGGCTGGGATGGATCCACCGGCGCAAATGAACAGCCAGCTAGCTCCATTTTCACACAGAACACAGTCGAGACCCTGCCTTGGCCTGGCCATATGTCATTTTGTGCATGTCATTATTTCGTGAATGATCAAGTACCGCCGCTTCATGCATTACCCAAAACGGGTCGAATCATCTACTGTACTTGTCAACCACACTGCCTAAGTAGCTCTGACACTGACGCTGACACTGACTACTGCAACACGTTCGTCTGCACCACACGAATCTGCCGGCTGGCCCTCTCGCGTCTACATGTACAAATGAGAAAAAATACAAATGCCCGTCTTGGTTTGGCAAACTAAGTAAACACTTTGGAAACGCCGTGACCCGATGCTGCTTTGCTGCTCCCCCTTTGCCGTCTTTGCCCTGATCCTGCCTGCTGTGCGCCCAATGACATTAATACCATTTCTACAAAAGTCCATTACAAGTCGCGCATCTCAACGTCGTCGTGATCCAGTGCGCTCTCATCATCGCCGTCAAACGTGTCCGAACCAGCTGCTTCCCGGTCCAGGTCCGCCTCCGCTTCCGTCCTTGTCTCAGGTGCTACCCCATTCCCCATCATCGGAGCGCCCGCCGGCCCATTCTGGGATTTGCCCTGTTCAGACATGACCAGTTTGGCCGCTTGGTACGCCGCCGAGAACCAATGGACTAGCCTATTCTTGTCCAAGTGTTCGCGGAGCGTATCGTCGTCGAGGAGGTTATCCTTGATAATGGGCTCCCGGAGGTCTTCGGCCGCAAAGCGGACGCATAGTTCCCCGTGTGTGCCACCGGCGCCAAGGAGCTCTTGCAAGTTCTTGGGCAAGACGACTCTCGCAAAACTATTGCCAGCTGCAGACACGTTAGTCACTAGCCGTGGTAATCTGACCATGTTCAACGTACCACATAGTCTACCCAATTCCCGGAACGTATATACTAACGCAGTGTCCTGCAGCATTTCGTTGATCTTGGCGTCGGTAATCTCCTTGGTGTTGTTGATGGTGGCCCAGTCATCCTTGAGCAAGAGGCGCTTCCACACAAGCTTGACGAGCCCGTCACGCGTCGTTCGGTGGATGTTGTTCCAGTTGACCAGTAGAACCCTGAAAGCGTAGATGAACTCGTCACCTTGCAGCAAAGTGATGCCATCCTCACTGTCGTCTGCGTTCATCAGAGTAAGAATGTCAATCATAAGTGCCGGATCGATGACCTGGTGACGGACGAGATTCTCCAAGCCTTGTCTAAGGATGGACTGGTGCGCAGGTCGGTCCCTCAGACGCCCTTGCCCAAACTCTGCCATCAACAAATCGACGGCCGAGTCCTCGTCCAGAGCGCCCGTAATGATTGGCAGCAGCCGCTCGTAGACCTCCTCTTGGATCTTGGTGTACTCCAACTGCTGTTCAATGCTCTGAAACATGGCCTCGCGTACTTTTAGCGCCTTTGGCTTCTCTCGGCGCGCATCAGCCAGTAGTTGCTGCTCATGGCCGGGTTTTGCTTCCTTCTTGCAAAGTAAAGCAAGCTTGGCCATGGAAAGCTCCACACGCTGGCACCATGAGTTCGTCTCCTGTTTCGATCCCGCCTCGTAGAGAGCTTCGGCTGCCGCCTCGTAGTTCTTCTCACCCCACACTTCGTTGATCCACCCAAGCCGCACCCGCGACGGTTCAGCTCGCAAAAACCTTGTGAGTGCCGGCTGGTTGAGATACTCTTTTGTGAAGAGTTGGCCGGCTTGGTTTTGTCGGATGTACTTTGAGTAGAATGCATCAGCCCAGTCATCGCCATAGACCTCAAAGTATCGCGCAATGCGCTCTTTGATTCGGTTGAGCTTGACAGTGCTTTCGGCCTGCTCCATCTTGCTGCGTGTGCTTGCTTTTTCAGACTCGAGCCAAGTCGTCTCCTCCCAAATCAGGTTGACGAGTGTGGACATGTCATGATACTGCTCAGCGAGTTTCATCCCTTCTGTAGCGAGTCCAATCTCCATCAAACCCATAATGTGCGACGGCCGGACATTGTTGTTCCACTCATCCTTTAGACTGCGGCCCATGGCTCGTGTCTTCTCGTCACTCTGCGCGAGAGCCCACTGGAAGCGTTCGATATGGGTCTGGCATCCCAGCTTGACGAGGCGGGGATTATCCTTGCCGATCTTTTGTGCAAGAAGCTCTTGGTAGCCTTCTTCGTAATTCTCCACTGCAAGGTTGCGGCCAACATCGATGAAGCTACGGAGGGAGCTGACAATGTTGTGTGACGATGTCCAGAATTGTGGTAGCATATCGTAGCCGTATTCAGCTTTGAGGATACCATCATCGAGAGAGTCGGACTCCAGGCCGTACGCCTCAATGTTGGCTTGTCGGAACTCAAAGGCTGTCTCCAGAACGACGAGCATAACATCAGCACCCTCACTCAGCCTCTGCATTACTGATGGTGTCTCCTTTGCACCCTCTTTCATGTAAAAGGTTCGCAGATAGAACCAGCCCCATGGGATCAAGGTTTGGATAGAGTCGACGTCCTTGAGGAAGAATTGTCGGATGCTGTCAGTTTCGCCATGCTCACGGTTGATGGCTGTCTTGTAGCGTTCATTGAGAGCCCTAACAATATCGCTCATGAGAATGTTCTCCGGGTAAGCATCCGGGTTGGCTTGTTGGTCTTGCAGCTTGTCCTGGTACCAGTTCCATAGCTTATGTGCAGCTATCAGCTTTTCCGCATGCCACAAGAGCTGCCACTTTGTCTGGAAGGACATTGGTGGATACTCAGTCTGGAGCTGAGAGACGAGGGTTTGTAGTGCGGTGGCGCGTTTTTGGAATTGTTCGTCCATGTTCGAGATGGCCTTCTCTAGGTAGTCGTAGGAAGAGCTTAGAATGCCAGCACTAATGGCGAGAGCAGCCTGGGCAGTCTCTTCTTCGGCGAAGGAAAAGCGTGACTTTACGGAGAAGTCTATGATGTTGCCGGGGACCATACTGAAAAATGTAGCTTGTTCGAGCTTGCTGCGCGCAGTAACCTTGAGCCGTTCCTTGTCTTCGTCGTCCGTCGCTGGTGGAAGCGCACTAATCTGCAAGATTCCGAACTGCTGAGCAAAGATGAGTGCGGTCGCTCGCTTGTCTTTCCGTGCTGTTGTATCCATGACGGTGCCAGAGAGAGTCACATCTGGGCGGAAGTATACAGTGTCTTGGAACGGCAAAACAAGACTACCAGAGTCTGCGAGCAGCTGTGCTTCCGGGCTCTCCTGTGGTTGAGCGAGGGACGCAACGAACATGGCTCCCGGGAATTGAACGTATGCGGTGTGTCCAGGTTGCGGAAGCAGAAGCGTTCCAGTAGGTTCCTTTTGGAGTTGGGGTTGCTGGAAGTTGCGGATCGGTATGGTCCTGTTGATGGTACCCTCTGTCCTAGATAGCTCTACTTCGAGTAGAAAGTAATCCAATGAATCATGTCCAGACAGAGCCACCAGAACAAGTAGGTCGACCGCCTCCTGGCCCTGCTGTGCGTCCATAATGGCAAAGTCCAGCACTTGGATCTGGTGCTGGCTGCGTATCTCGGGCGCTGTGCGAGCCTGGACTGCTGAGAGAATGGCATCGTGTACGTCCACATCTCGCTGATGATTATGTTGTCCCGACCAACTCAAATCCCACGTCTGGAAGAGGGCGTTCTTTGTGACGGAAATGACGTCCATGTGTCCCTTGGATTGCGATGTCCGTGCCTTGACTGAAGCTATGGTCTTGCGAATAGCTGCTCCCAGAAGCCCTTTGAAGCTGAAGAAGCTTCCTCCCGAGCCATTTGGCGCGCTCAATACGGCCGTCGTGACATTCGGTCTGCCTTGGGAATCGCGCAGGGTCAATTGAGCGAGCCTGCCGCTGCTGAAGACGAGTACGTAGCCCGCGTGGTCGACATCCACCAGGTTGGTAATAGTCTCTCCAGAGTATAGCTTGACGAATCCCTCGACTCCCTGCTGTCGCTGAGGATATAGGCTTTGCGTGTCGGCGCTGTCGATGTTTTCCCAAAAGCCAATCTTTCCTGTTGACGGTGCGAGTGCGACAACACCATAGTCATTTGTGGGACCGTTGCGAACGATGGCGCCCAGAGGCAAAGGCTCAATCGATTTCAGACCGAAGTTCAGGTTTAGGGAGATGACCTTGGTAGGACCGCTCGGGGCGCTGTAGTCCCAGACGAGGGCGCGTTCGTGTGTGAGGGCGAGCGCAAGGCCGGCAGATGGAAGAGCAGTTGCATATATGGGAGCTAGACATGTTTATTAGCAGGCGCGCATGGAGAAGGCTGGGATTGCGGCATACTGGAAGGGCGGAGTAGTGCTGACGGGAACCCGGGGAGTTTCTTGACGCTGTAGTTTGCATTCTTGGTCTATAGTGTCTCTGGTTAGTAGCCATTCCCTTTCCAAGTGCGCATGTACACGTACGAGATACGAGCCCGTGTCTTCCTTGGGCGCGCGCTTTGGAGCTGTCTTCTTCTCGCGAACGGGCATGTCGACCAGCACAACCGAATTCTCAGGGCTCTGGACGGCATGGCCGTTTATCAGGGCGCTTCCATTTCCATTCATATGGGGGACGGCCGGGTCCTTGAAGCTGTCGTCGTTGAGCTTGCTGCGCTTCCGACTTCGTTGTTGCTGAGGGCCATCCGAGTCCTTGCGCTGGCGGCGCCGGGGGTTGCGCAGAGAGCTGCGCGCGCTCTGAATGGAAGCCTCGGGTGAGAACATGATGGGCGGGATAGTCGAATCCAGGAAACACGCGAAAGAGCGCGCCGGTGATGGTGTTGGCTCTTCGCTGCCTTGGTGGTTGATTGGCAAGTTGAGAAGATTGCGTGGGTTAATGTTGTTGGAGACAGGGATCCAATGATCCATTCGACGCTAGACCACGGAGTTAACCAACGTGTAGGACACCTCATCACTGCGCCAGGCCCTTTCCCATTTCAACCCGCACTTGTCTACTTTCTACATGTGCCTGTGAATAAGCCCTTTTACTGGAAGTTGCTCTCTCATAGACGGCGCAGAGTCTTGGGCGCCCGCTGTAAGCTGCGGTGGTCCGTGTATGCGCCTGCCCGCTCTATTCAGGTACGCGCAAAACCATCATCCAGGCACCCTTCACTCATCAGTAAAGTTGCGTCACATTACTTCACTTTAACACTATCCACAGGCGAGACACTCGTAGTAGTAAGTTCATGTCTTGTTTCTTATATTTGTTACATTCGTCACTATATATCTTTCAGGAGTGCTTTTGTAGCAGCCGTGATAGCAGGAGATCTTGTGCATTTCCCATCGAGAGATTGTACACATACAGTCTGAAATTCGCAGCGACCATTACTCCTTGCATTTGACGATAGCTTCCCACACGTTGACTAGCCAGTCAACATGCAGCCATGTCATTGTTCATTCATCCACCTCTCATACCTACAACTTCTTGTCGTGTTCCTCCTCAGCAACGCTGTGCTCGGTGGACGTGGTGCTCTGCTTCTCAAGCTCCTCACCCATGGGGCCGTGGATCTCTTCTTCGAAGACGGGGTCGGCCTCGATGGTTTCGAACTTGGTCTTGAAGTCCTTCATGTTGTGTGTAGACGAGTTGCTTCGGCGGCGGGCATAGGCCATGTTGGGCCTAATGTCTTCGACCTCATCACCGGCAGCACCCCTAGTCATGTCAGTCGATATCATCATAGTTACCCTAACTAGCACCACTCACCAATTGCCCTTGCCGCTACCGCCCTTCTTGGTCTTGGTCGGGTCGGAATCAGCATGGCCGGATTTGGCGAAGTACTTGGGAAGTCTCGTCTCACGCTCAGCAGTGCCATCGGCAATGCCGGCGTGGTCACGGTCAGTGAACTTGTGAGAGCGAGTCACTAGACGAGAGTATGTCAGTCTCCGTTACATTGGTAATGGTCTGTCAAGGTATGACGTCGATGCTCAGAGCACACTACGAGCTCAATGCAAGACAGACAAGCATGTCGATGAATCAGATGGAAGGAGCTACTTACTGGTTGATGGATGTGATTGAGAGTGGGGTGGTGGTGATGGATGCTTAAGGTTGGTGTGGTGGTTCAAATACTCAAGAACGGTGAGCTCGGGAACTACTGGGGGAACTGAAGCGGGTTAATAAATGATCTTGTGATGAGAGCTTTGACCCGATTGCGTCGTATGGCGTGAAGCAATGTGACGGAGCGCCAGCGTACCTGCAGGTCTAACGTGAGGGGTCAAGAGAGACTTACGTTGTCGATGAGCAGAGAGGAGATGAGATTAGTCAAGCGTTGTTTATGAGTGAAGAAGAGGACGATTGTTGGTCTGACAAAGGAAGGCGCAATGCATCTCACGCGACGATCTGGAAGGCGGGGAAGCTGGCGGAAGCTGGAAGCTCCCTTTATATCACCGCTCAAGACCAGGCCCCTCGTATCGCCATTATCTAGAAGATTCGTCCTTTCACCGCCCAGCTGTCGCTACTGCGATTGAAATCAAACTTTACTATATTTGTTGCCTTTTCCAACGCGTTATCAGTCGGATCAACGGTGCCTGAGCTGTGTGAGGAAACATGGTACGTCACCGGTACCTGCATGTCGGTGTCGCGTGTGGTGTGAGCAACATGCCAATCCACCACATATCGCCGAAAGCCAGGCACAACTGTCTTCTATAGGACAATGATCCTTCAATGTCCTTGTCTCGAAGCCATGAGCCCGTCTCAGGGCTGCGTATGGCTTCTACTTGATAACTTCAGGGCCTCAGGGTCGGCTGTTACCCCAGATTCTGGCCGTACCTTTTAGACACTAATGCGCGCTGGATCCACTCTCGCAACGGAGAAAGCCATGCATGGATGCGCCATCCCACTTCGCTCAGCGCACACGTGACACTTGCTCGTACCACTTTGTTGATGACCAATCACCCGCTGGTACTCTGGTGATTGCATCAGCAGCGCTTTCTCCGAGGCCGCTGACTGTCTTTAGAAAAGTTTCCCGGTGCCGTGATTCACCACCACTCCCTAAATTTGAATTTTCTTTTCACTCTCTCAGACTCGAATATTGCACTTTTCAGTGACCAAGTTTACATACAAAACTCTACCCCGCCACCAATCCTCACAGTGTTGCGACACCCCGCCATGGCCCCGCGATGCCTCCTAATCGGTACGCCGTCCATTGCGGCGCACCCGGAGCGGCTGGACCAAGTCTACGAAATCCACCATCGCAGTTCGACAGACCTTCAGATGCTTGATCGCATCGCTGCAGGTCTCGTCAACCTTCCCGCCGCCACATACGATGTCGTCCTCCTCCTCGCCGACGCCGACGGCACAACGCGCGAAAGTCACAAGCTGTTTTCGCGCGACGTGATGAACAAAGTAGCCAGCGCATTGAAGATTGGAGGTGTGCTCAAGAGCCAAGCAGGCCCTTTCCAGGGCGCAGAGAAGACGGAGGCTATCCTAGCAGGCCTCACAGAGACGGAAGACGGCATGGCAAAGCCCGAGCAGGAGGAGCCTGTATCAATACCGCTCAAGTTTGGCAAGAATAAGGCAAATGGTGTGAGTGCGACAAATGGCACAAATGGCGCTGTCAACCCAGACGGTTCCGTCCCGTTGAACCTCAACCGCAAACGCGATCAGCCAGAACCCGTCAAGCCCGCAGGCGTAGGCTTTGTCGACTTTAGCGACGATCTCGACGACCCGATAATCACAGGCGAAGACGATGATCTAATCGACGAAGACGACCTCATCACTGAAGCAGACATGGCACGTCCAGTAGTCCAACGTAAGCCCTCTCCCACACTACCCTCCATATAAACCATCGCTAACACTCCCCCCAACAGCACTCGAATGCCAACCCAAGCCCGGAAAGCGACGACGCGCCTGCAAAGACTGCACCTGCGGCATGAAGGAGAAACTCGAAGCCGAAGACGCCGCCAAACGCTCCTCAGCAGACAAGGCGCTCAACTCGTTGAAACTAGATGCCGACGATCTCGCAGAAGTCGACTTTACCGTCCAGGGTAAAGTGGGCAGCTGTGGCAATTGCGCGCTCGGTGATGCGTTTAGGTGTGATGGGTGTCCGTATATTGGACTACCGGCTTTCAAGCCTGGGGAGGAGGTGCGGTTGCTGAATAACGATATCCAATTGTAAGGGACTTTTGATGTTGGACAAGAAATGCATTTTCTACGGCGTAACGTAACGGAACGCGTGTGGGTTGGGTTGGGTTGGTTTGGTTTGGTTGACTTGGAATATCATGCATCTAGATAAGTGGTAAAAACGACGTAGTTATAAGGAATATATGTCGTCCATTCAAGATCAACAACGCTCTGACTGACGTGAACGAATGAGTGCGTTCATCTACCATTCATAATAAAAAGAACCCCTCCTCCTCATAACCATAAATCCCAGAAACACACACACACACTCTCTCTCTCAACCTTCCACACCAGCCCGTCCTATAAAAAAAGCATACCTAAATAAACACCTTATCCTCCTTACCCTGTCTATCCCAATACCCCCCTCCACCACCACCACTAACCCACCGACTCCCCCTCCCTACAATCCCCTTGAGACTCAACACTCCCCAATTCTTCCCTTTACCAGCTTCCGTCGTCGTCGTTGTTGTTTCATCACCCCCTCCACCACTTCCACCACCGCCGCTGGTTTGCACACTGCTACCCAGCACACGCTCCCCCCTACTCGCATCATCATACTCTCGCGTGGGAAGAGGCATAGACTAGGTGTTTTTACCGGCGGTGCTGGTGTAGTGGTTTTTGCTGTCGGTGCTGGTAAGGAGGGTGGTAGACCGGATATCCTTTTAGCACTCTTAGGCGGTGGTGGTGGTGTAGGTGATGGTGATGGTGAAGAAGACGTAAGACGAGCTTGCCTCGTAGGAGTAGGAGTATTTCTCACACGACCGTCTGAAGGGGCGGCGCGGAGATTGATACTACTGCTTCGGAGGGTTTGGAGGGTGGCGTGCTCGATTGTTGTGGTTGTGTCTTCGGAGGAGGTGGAGGTGGCGTGGTCTTGTGTTTCATCTATATGCTGGGCTGGGGTGCTGGCTTCGTAGAATGTTAAGTTACCGGATAGATCGCGTGTAGCCAGTGATCTACTCTTTTCCCCATCACCCCCCTTACTTGAAGACTTGGTGGTGGTGGTGAGAGGAGACACTCCCGATGTACTCGTAGTACCACTAGCCCGGCGCGCGGCATCTTGCATAACCGTCTGCGCGTCGAAGAAGGGAAAAGCAGAGGACTGTGTGCGTGAGCGGTCGTGGCGTTTGCGGGGGGCGATGTTGGAGCTGGAGTGTCTGGATTGTGTGCGTGAGTGGATGCTTTTGCGTGAGTGTCGTTCTTTGGTTTGGCTGGGGCGGTGAGATTTTTTTGGCTTCAGGGGTGGCTTTTGAGTGGCGGGTTGTGGATGGTTTGGGTCGAGAGGGGGAGGAGACAGGCCTTGGTTTAGTTTTGGGTCTGGCGTCGGATCTGATGGGTGAGCTTCGTTGGCCGAGGGTGTATGTTGACGAGGCGTTTTCTTTGCCGCCGTGTTCGTGCGATGGGCCTAGGTAGTATGGTGTTGGGTCTCGTTCACTGGTACGCTTGAGTTGTCATTTGGTGTTGCTCTGGCTGTTTCGCTTTGCGGTTTTACTACCACGCTTCTCATTTCGGGTGGTGTCTACTTTGTCTAGGTTCAGCGGAGGGAGCGTGTATTCGTTTGGCTTGATGGTTTCTCGCTTTTCAGTCTCTTCAATGTCTCGCTCTTCGTCCGAGTAGACATTGTCGCTCATCTCGGCATCCTCGAAGACTTTGCTGCCTAGACCGTGTTAGTCAGATCTGAGTACACCCACTCAAGAAAGAACTCACCAGTGAGGTCATTAAGGCTGGCCTTCAGGTCGTATACACGAAAACTGTGTCGGGTGCTCGCTCGTCGAACAATACTACCCCTGTCTGAAGATATTGCGGTCCCTGGTCGCACATAACTCTTGACAACCCGGTCACGAGGGGGTGATGTCGCTGTATGGGGTCGGTTGACACGATTTTTCCGGAGACTGCCTGGGAACTTGAATTTTGGGCTTCCAGCTTGATCGCCGAAGAGTTCCCCTAGCTTTGGTGTATCAGTTATATCCTTTTCTGCTCCTGCTCCGACATCGTCATCTGGTCTGACCACTGTGTTGCGGTTCCTCGGCGACAGCGGGCTTCGGGGCGTAGATGTAGCCTCGGTGATGAAAGCAGGAGGCGACTTGTAACTACATGTTGATGCACGCGCGCCGGCGCTGAAGAAGGGAGACTGATTTGATGCCCGTTTTCGAATGTACGAGTTGCGCTTTTCACCCACCGTGCGCCCACCGACAAAGCTAGAACGCCTTGATGCAGGCACAACGCGAACACTACGACGTACTTCGGTTGGTGTAGTGACTAACGTGGTATGCTTTCTTGTCAATGGTGACTGAGGGAAAGCCGAAGGAGTGATTGATAACGTACTCGTGCGGCGCGTAGTTGCGTTGGATCCCGTGCTCTGTGGCCGATGTAGAGACGAGAAGTTTGTATTCGTTCGAGACAGTGAGTATGTATGACGCCCGTGTCCCATACCTGTAATGCGTCGATTGACAGGCAACCCGGTACTGCGGTGTATCTGGTCTTGATGCACGGTTGTTGTTCGACGCTTGTGCTTTCGAAAAGTATCAGATGACTGCGAAGCCCGCTTCGCCAGCTCGGTAGGTATTCTCATCGAGTCGGGTGAATGTTGTGATGGAGCAGTATCGTCGTAGATGCCAAATGAACTTGTCTGAAAGTGATCGAGTGTCCTCATGTCGTCGTCGCCGATTGGGCCAGCTAGTGAGTGGCCATCTTCACGTTCTTCTAGTAGATGAGGACTGTGTGTATGCGATCTAGAAGTGTGAGTCCCAGCCATGGCTGATTGGTGTCGGTTGGTAGTGGTCGTTGATTGCTGGTTGTTTCCGCTTAGATCAACCGAACCGTGGAAACAGTATTTAGGTAGATTGAGATCGAGCCGGGGCGGATGCTCTGGCGTACGTGACACAAATGGATCATGGTTCTCCTTATTCTTTTCATCATTCTGCTCAACAGTATCATCACACTCATGCCATGGCATGAAAATTGGCTGGGAAATTTCGGACTTCCTTGGGCTCCTGGGCAGCTTTGGGCTGACATAACTTTTGGCAAGCCTTCGTCTGCGCTTCAAGCAAACCGCAAATGCGACGAGTATTATAACACCAAAGATTCCCCCGATGACTGCGCCTACAATGATTGCCGTCTTCCGCCTGTCATTGCTATGCTCCCAACTGTTCGTACTACCAGGGGTGTTCTGAGGGTCAGTCGTTGCAGCCTTTGATACCATAATTTGGAAAGTCTGCGAATCCGTGTTGGAGCCCTGATCAGATACTGCTCTCAGCGAGCACTGGACGCCCTGTGGGGTAAAATTGGTGGGAACTGTGCCTGAGATAGTGCCAGTGGAGGAATCAAATTGCAGATGACCCGCCAGATTTCCCAGGTCGACAGTGAGCTTCTTGTTTTTTCCCAAGAAAGTTTGGTGGTATTGTATACTTGAAAGGCTCACCGAGCGTAAGATTGAGGGGTCCAACGTCACCCATAGTGGTCTTTGACTGAACGTTGACGTGAACAGTGTACTCAGCAATGTCTCCAGATTGGGCTTTTGCAGTGACAACAATGTCTTGCCACTTCAACTGAGTTGGCGCTGTCCCTGTGATCGTGATTGTGTCGTTGTTGAGACCTAACCAAAATGGTAGTTCTGCAGTTACAGAATGGAGATCTTTGCCATCAACGTTTGAACCATCGAGGAAGAGATCTTTCTTCAGGTCGTTTATTTGTACGCTCTGTCCTTGAGCTACGTTAATGGACTGACTGGAAGGCTTGAACACAAGTGTATGCTCGCTGACGACCATAGTAAACGAAACTGTGGAAGCAGAGAAGCCAGGGGCTTCGGAGGTGATAAGAACCATCTGTATAGTTTGCGGATAAGTCGTTGGGGATGTGGTACCGCCAAAGCTAATTGAAGAAGAATCGAAACTGATCCACGCTGGCAGTGGTGTACGATTTTCCAGCAGCGCAAAGTATGACAGTGCTATGCCATGCGAATCGAATGTATCCGAGGGGAAAGATATGTTGAAAGGTTTCGATGGTTTGACAGTAACGGTGTTGTGCCTAGATGCCTCACCTACAGCTGACAACGCTGCTGAGACATCGTCCTTTGCCGTGGGCTCATCAGCTGCCGAAATAAGCAGTTGAGAGTCCATGCTCGCAACCGCGCCACCTTGCCCTGCTGCGTTGATTTTGAAGCTTGCAGTCCCAATATCGTCGGACTGTGGTGTTCCCGAAAGTGTTCGACTGTCGCCATCTAGTGATAACCATGACGGGTTTCCAACCAGGGAGTATTGTAGATTTTCAGAAGTCGATGAGAATGTGGTGGGTGCAAATTGGAAGCTAAAAGGCGCCCCGATGCGCGCAACTGGAGGATATTGCAGGTTCAGTGGATAGTTCACCTGCGGAGTCGCACATGCCAATAGCGGTAGAAAGGGCATATAGGCGAGAAACTTCACCATTGCACTATCATTCTCATCAGTATATTTCAGCACACTGTTTCAATCCTCTTACCGTAAATTCGCCATCAGTACAAGTCCAGAGGATGTCTGACCATGCGGATGAAGGAGCACCCATACTAAAAGGCCTTCTGCCGGGTTCAGCCATCTTCTTCAAATTTGCAATCACGATCATAACGCGTGTTCGTGTCGAGGCGGGGAAAACCTTAAATTCTGGGCACAAAGACAGCTCAAGAATGTGAGACGATGGGATGGAGGGGTCGCGGCAGTAAGGGAGAACAGTGTCGCCCTGCCTGCCCTCGCGCAAGAGTACAAATATTGTAGACTTAACAGCACTCATATCTTTTAGTAGTGGCTATAACGGTGATGCGTAATATCTGACGTGGCGTTAAAGCTACCCAGCGTTGAGATGCAAAACACAGGAGTGCACTCATTCCCCAATCGCCAACTCCAACTTCAAAGCTGTTCGCCCTGGGCCATAATAGTCTGGCCGGCACTCGAATTGCTGAAAGCCACACGAATTGTATAATGCGCGGGCTGGTTTGCGATTCGCGTCGACCCACAAGAAGATGGTATGGCAGCCTCCTTTTTCCATGTGGCGGCGAAGGGAATGGATGAGTGATTTGCCGAGACCTTTCTCCCTCTCTTGCTCAACGACACAAAGCTTGTGGAGCCACGCTATCCTTTTCATCCGCTGGTAAACCAGGTATGCGGCCAGAGTGTCGGCGTCACTTTCTTTAAAGACAAGTAGTAACCCAATATTCTTCTTCTTGAGCTCGACGTCATAATTGAAGTGTTCAATCGCAGGAAAGACCTTTTTCTCGAGCTTCGCTACCTTTTCTGCGATGGCCGCACGGTTCTTTGGTGGGAAGCTTGAAAATTCAGTAATCACAAAGCCAGGCGGGGTGCGTCTCAGTACGTCAGCCATGGTGCAAAAGGGCGTCTTGAGGGCGCTTTTCGTGTCAAGCCGAATTGAGTCCGCGTCGGTGTCGGAACTACTCAAACACCATGGGTAGTCTATGGGATTTACTTTTTGTGCAAATCGCAAAGTTTCACGTTGTACTATAGTGTATGTAGTTCGGGTATGAATTGTGGCTTGACCGGCTTCTATTTTAGTTTGATGTGGGACGCACGTGCTAGCGTGATGAAGACCCACTCTAACGCGTCCGTACTTGCATTACCTCTCCTACCACTACCATCAACTCCACTCGATATGCACCTTTGTCTACAGTTGAGAGTGCTTATTGAGGTGCAGACCTAGGAGTAATACGAAATATCTCTTATTGGTGATTCATCAAGCTGATCTGAATCACGGATCTTCACCTGTTTGTTTGCAGCATCATGCCTAGAACCAGGAAGCGTCCGTATTTCAACCTTGATTTCACCTTGCGGAAAGTGTTCAAGAAAGCAAGTTTCCGGTATGCGTATCAGTACGATTCTGATAACATCCCTAATGAGAGTTGATACAGACCACTACAACGCGAAGTTGTCATGGCAACATTAGACGGCGAAGATGTCTTTCTCCAGGCTGCTACATCGTTTGGAAAGAGCTTGTGTTATCAGCTGCCCGCAGTTGTTGACTTTGGCAGTAAGTTTAGTTGTAATAACTCTTGGATCAAGCATTAACATCCCAAGTCACTATTGTGATATCGCCACTGCTAGCACTCATGGTAGGTCAAACCATATCCATATCGTAGTCCCTATCTCACTGAATGACAGAACAACCAAGTCGCCTCCATGCGCAATGCCAACATCCGTGTCGAAACAATAAACAGCACCACTCTTCCCGCGGACAGAACTAGAATTATAGCCGATCTCCAATGCGGCCATCCACTAACACGCCTTCTTTACGTGACACCGGAATTCTGTCAAGGCGACAACTTCCGCAAGATCCTACGAATCATTCACTCACAGCGTGAACTCGCTCGCATAGCCGTCGACGAAGCTCATTGCGTCAGTGAATGGGGTCACGATTTCCGGCCCTCGTTCCAACAACTCTCATTCTTCAAGACGGAGTTTCCGGACGTGCCTGTGATATGTCTAACCGCCACGGCCACCGCACGGGTACGAGACGACATCATCAAGACGCTCGCTCTGGACCCCAAAACCCTCAAAATGTTTCGTATGAGCACCAGCAGACCCAACCTACATTACGAAGTACGCTTCAAATCCGATGACGAAGACCACTACGACAACTTCATCTCCTGGCTAAAATCCACACATGCCCGCCGTGCCGCAGACCCTGAACGCGCCTCGCAGCTCAGTACCCAAAAGCAGCGCTCAGACAATGTCCCAGGCATCATCTACACGCTCTTCCGCAAAGACTGCGAGTCCCTCGCCGCCCGCCTCCGCGCCGACGGCATAGGCGCAAAACCCTACCACGCCGGCCTCTCCGTCTCTGAGCGCGCAGACGCCCTGTCAGGCTGGGTAGCTAACAAAGCAGGTTATGATGTCGTCGTCGCCACAACCGCATTCGGCATGGGCATCGACAAGGAAAACGTCCGTTTCGTAGTACACTGGCAGATCCCCAAGTCCTTCGAGGGCTTCTACCAGGAAGCCGGGCGCGCAGGCCGAGACGGAAAAGCCTCGTTGTGTATCCTGTATTATGGCCGCGAAGACCGCGATCGCGCGGCTAGCATGATGGCGAGGGATGCGGCGCGTCAGCCGACCAAAGGAGCGGGCGTGCAGGTGCAGCAGCAGCAGCTTATGAATCGGGCGAAGAGTCTACAGGCGCTCGTGGGGTACTGTGAGGCTACGGATAAGTGTAGGCATAAGCTTATTGCAAAGTATTTTGCGGATGAGGAGGATCCGCCGTGTGATTTTGCGTGCGATTGGTGCAAGGATGCGGAGGGTTTGGTGAGGAGGAAGGAGAAGGGGTTGGCGAGTGAGGAGTGGTGTTCTACGCAACGGGAGATGGGGAGGTATGAGGTTGATGAATATGAGTGAGCGATGGATGGTTGGCTCTGGAAATGGGAGTTTGGAGAGAAGCGTTTACAGGCGTTGGGCATGTTAGGTCTTGATTGGTCATCTCTGTATTTGGAAGCTCATGATCTATTCATCATACTGTTCAAATGGCTTCTATCACTGACTGTGGTGCTGCCGGTGCATGTCTTCATTCCAGTACAAATGGTGCTGTTGCAGGCGTCATCGACGCAATAAACAACCTAGCCTCAATCCTATCATGCACCCAAATCCATCTAGTATAAGAACCATCATAGCAACTTAGCGAAGGACTTCTTAATTAAAAAGAACTTGACTCAAATTCGTAATCCAACATACATACCAACCAAACCCCTCCCCAGCCCCAACGCTCATCCATGTCCCCCTGAACCAAAAAAAGTAAGCAAACCCCCCGCCACATCCCCACATCGCGCACTTGTGACGTGTCCCACCCACAAACCCCTCCCTTACTGTACCCAACCAACCCGACTATTGCATTCCCGCCCAAATCCCCGTCTTTTCTGCTTTTGTGTCTACGTATATATATTATATTAATTGAAAAATCTTTCAGAAGTCTTCATTTCCGCTCTTTCTTTCGAGAAATCGGTCTCGGTGGCGCAATGGTAGCGCGTTGGACTTCTACTACGTAAATCCAAAGGCTGCGGGTTCGAGCCCCGCCCGAGATGCTTATTGCGTTTCTTTTTGCATGGGTGGGGTGAGGGAGATGGTGGGTGTGTGGGTGAGGGTTTGGGTGGTTGATGATTTTTTTTACGTAGGTGAGGTACAGAGAGGGCTTTTACAGCGACAGGTAGGTAGAAGAAGTCTATCTGTCTAGGTGGGTATGTGGAAAGTATTGCTTACGTCGTCACTATGGATTTAGAGGACTAGACTATAGATAGTTTAACAACTGACCTTTTCTCTCTATTCGTCTATCTAAGGGTATTCCTTGCTCTTCTCCCCTCTATTACCTCTACGGTCGGATTCAATGGTACGCGATATACTCGATATCCAGTATTATCGCCTACCATTGAATATAACATTTTCTATCCCTTCCTCTACTCGTACACCAGCAACAACACAACATCTCGGTTTGAAATATACAAGTATAAAGTTAAACAAGAAGGAATTTCTGTGCTACCTCTGTATTTTTCTTTACATGTCTCTAAATGACACATCTGTCTCAGCCTTCGCAGATGAGGTCAAAGTCTGGAAAATCCGGATCCGGTCCGATATTTGTGCTTGCAACAGCAGAGTTGAAGTCTTTAACTGGAGCGGACTTTTGTGCGGCATTGCATTTGTCTGTTTGGTTTTGTTAGACTGTTGTGCTCATTCATGGCTGAGAAGGAAAGGGGGGAGGAGACTTACTCTTCTGTTCATCGCACTGATTGACAGTCAACTTATCCTTATTGTCGTTATTGTTATTACCATTGTTACTCCCATTGTTATTATTCCCACCATCCTGCTGTCTCCTCACCGCTCTCGGTTTCTTCCCCCCCCCACCACCACCCCCATTCGCAGCCCGACTACACCCCTGAAACTGATTATCACAACTCCTCTGCGCCGCCGTCTCAAAATCCGTAAACGTATCCCCATCGACTTTAAACGGCCGTTTCGCATCCCCGGAATTCGTAATCGGCGACGCTTTTGTGCCGCCTAGGGCGCTGGTAAAGGTTTGCAAGTCGGAGACTTGGCGGAGGAAGAGAGTGTGCCGCGGCACGAGGGATTGCTCCCAGTCGGTGGTTATTAGCGGGGGTTGGGGGGAGGCGTGGCAGAGGGCTGGGAGGGCGAGGTGGAGGAAGGTTAGGAGGGAGGTTGGGAGGAGCATTTTTGTATGTGTTTGGATTTGGGGTTGGTTGGGTGGAGGTTGTTATTTTCCGGTAATGAAGGTCCAGTTGGTAATAGAGAATATGTTGTATAATCGGTCCAGCCTATAATTATCGCCGTCGTTATCGTCGTGGTCGTCTTTCGCCTTGGTATCCAGACAAGCAGTGAAATTACTCCTCCTTCTGTATAATGAAACGCGTCGTCGTAAAACTCCTCAGCCGCACCGTTCGGTCGTTACAAATGGGGAAATGAACTGAAAAGCAGTACCCGGTACTGTAATCCAACGATAAAAAAAAATTAACTTTCGCTGGTGTCCGTTCGTTCGGTCGTTCGTGTATTCGCGACGACCCAGTGTGGTACTTGAACAAGCCACCACAAGCTGCGAACTCCTCCGAGAGATGGAGATGGAGATGCAAAGAAAACAAGAAAATATGATTATTTAAATAAGAAAATAGTCGTCTTGTTGTTTGCTGCCCGCAGTCGTCACAATCCTGTTGCAACCAAATCAAAATATGTTTTGAAAACGAAAAAAAAAAACTAAATGTCAAACCCGGGTGTCGCAAAGGTAACGTTAACTAGGAGCCAAGTAACTACGGGCGGAGCGCGCAGCCTTGTACACAAGTATATGTACTTTGCCAGCCCGCCAGCCCACACACACAAAGCCTTGGTAGGCGCCCGCCCACACAGCATGCATACATCCAACCCCCAACCGCCCCTCCGATGATGAAGAATCTCACGCCAAACAAGTTTGGCACCGTGGTCGGGTGGTCTTGATGTGGAAGTGCGGGCCCACAATGCCCTGGGCATGCTGCGACGCTGCTGAAACGGCTGTGCGCACCCGTTGTGTTGCAAAACCACCCCAGCCCCAATCCAATCCAATTGCATCACACATGCACAGATTCTGCCTGTACTTATGCCTGTATGCACAAACCAAGTAAGTAGCCTGAGCAATAAAAACAGTAGTCCAATGAAAAAAAGGGGGGGGGGGGGGAAAGAAACGGGGTCCTCAGGCGGTAAGGCGGAAGCGGAGGAAGGAGTTCATGTAAGTAGTTTGCATGAAGATGCCAAGTCTACCTACCTACCCATTTACACAGCCAGCTATAGACGTTAAAAAAGGCTATTTACATACATACTTCCATTACAGATAATTAAACTCTATAAATGAGATTTGCATTTTTCTCTCTCTCTCTCTCTGTCTGTCTCGCTGCTTGCTATTTGACATCGTATAATATGGATTGGTATAATGTGTGGGGGGTATGATGACTATAAACTACTGACTGACAGGCTGGCTAAATAAAAAACACACACAAACCTTCAAAATTTGTCTCGCTACAAAAAGGGTAATAATAATAAAGTGTAGGTAGGTCTTACGAGATGCAAGCAACAACAAACCGCTATCATCTCAAGTTCTCCGTCTCAGTCTCCCTCAATTACAAATCATGATTTTTTTCTTTAAACAAGTAGCGACGACGATTGACAAGGTCATCGCTAGAGAGGGAGAGGAAACAAAGGAGTGAATGTGGTCTCTCTCTCTCTTTTTCTCTTCCTCTTTCTTTCCACAATTTCCCTTGTCGTCCACAAGTCCGAGTCGTAAACTGTTTGTTCCGTTCCTGTAACTAAGGACCCTGCGTATATACAAACAAGCTCCACGCACATAAAACATCCCTCTCAACATCACACACCTCGGGTTAAGTCGTTGATATCGTAACGGGGGGGCCTTTAACAGAACCAATGTACTTAGAAGTTGGCGGCCGCATTGGGTCGTCCACCCGGATTATGATATTGATCGAGGTTCTGCTGAAAGGGCGAAGATCCCGGTCCGTTTTGCGGTTTGTCGCCGAGAGCTGTGCCAGTGCCAGCCATGAGGTCGTCGTCGTCCTCCTGCACACGCGCTTGCCGCTTCTTCATGCGCCAGAAGACGAGGGCGATGCCGCCGAGGAGTAGAGCACCGCCAACACCACCGACAACGCCACCAATGACTTTCTTGTTCGAGTCGCTGATGCCGCCGCCTTCGTTGGAGTCGCCGGCCTGTGCGGTCGGGGGGTCGGTGATGACGGCTTGTCCGGTCGTGGTCTCGAATGTGCTGGTGCCAGTTGAGGTCTGCGTGATTTCCCGTCCTGCGCTGACCGTGGTGATGACGGTAATGTACTCCTGGAATGATGTGGAAACAAGTGGTGTAGTCCGGACAAGTGGCGTGGTTCTTACGGACGAACCCGGTCGAGTGGCCGTCGGCGACGAACCACCCTGAGTTGTGCGCTCTGCCGGCGACGATGCCGGATTGTTGTTGTTGTTGTTATTGTTTCCACCATCGTTGGAAGAGCCGGGGGGAGCAGTCGTCTGTGTAGGGGCCTCGGGTGTGGGTTCTGATGGCGCTGGGTTGTTGTTGTTGTTGTTGTTGTTGTTGTTGTTGTTCTGGCTGGATGCGGGAGGAGCCTGCGACGGAGGAGGGTTGGATGACGCTGGCGGTGGTGTTGAGGCAGCTGCAGGAGGCTGTGAACTCGCTGGCGGTGGTGCAGGCGTCGATGTGGCAGCGGGAGGCGGCGACGAGGCGCCAGTGCCCTCGGCCTGCTGTCGCTTTCCGTGGTACAGATACTGGTTGATACCGTCGATGCGAATGTCGTCAAAGGTAAAGGCCGACGACACAGCGGCCAGGGCGACGACGGCACCTGAAAACCAGGCCTTGGGCAACATGTTTTGGTGGTTTTGTCGATCGAAACGCAGAGGGCAGGTGTGGGCTAGACGGGACCCAGTGGCACTTTTACACTAATGGCACGCGTTTCAGCGTTTTTACTGGTACTGATATTTAAGGGGATGACGGTGGGAAGATGGCGTGTGAATGGCGTGAATGGCGTGGTGAGTGGTGCAGCGGTGGAAAAGTGCACACGGCAAACGAGCGAAGGACAAAATCGACAAGAATAGGAGAAAAGCGAATGGTCACCGGCTTTGGCGGAGAGGGTGGTGTGTGGGAACCTATGAGCGTGCGGGTGGGTAGAGAAAGACGCTCACTCGTGATCAGTGCCATAATTAGCTGCCCCGTTGCCGCGTTGCACGCTCCAGGCCTTGCCCCAACTAAAATTCCCTTGAGACCCTGGCCTGCACGTCGCCTTGCTAAGCATGCCGAAGCGGGAGGTCGTTGGCCGTGGGTGAAAATTCTGCCTCAGAAGCAAAGTGCGGCCAGTAGATAAGGTCCATGGTTGCTTGTTTGTCAGATGTCTGTCGCGCCTTCCCGTCGCGTTGCTCGTCCCCTCGTGCCTGCCCTTCCTCGTTGCTGCCGCGTGTTTATGTTGTGCATGCGCATGATTCGCTGCTTCGCTGCTGCTTCAACCTTCTAATTCCGTCCGCATCCGTCATTGGCCCACCCGCGGCCATCAGCCTTATCCAGGTATCGTCCCCGTCTGGACCTGCGTCATCTTTTGCCTTGCGATTCCTGCACGCCCTTGTATCTTGAAGATCGATATCTGACAAATTATTATTCTGCTACATCTTTTGTATTACGACGACGACGACGACGCGTTGGCAACACCATGTTCACCGCCGCCGCCATGTCGCACGCGCTGCCGCTGACCAGCCAGGAGGCGCTTTCGGGTGTCTTCGGCTCCATCTCGCTGGCATCATGGATCTTTCTATTGGTATGTACAGTACAGCACGATCACACGCCTCAGAACGAGGCTGAGTTCCATGGTCGCGTGTGCATGCATTCACCGGCTAACCCCCACAGGTACCCCAACTCATAGAAAACTACAAGTCGGGCTCTGCAGATGGCATCTCGCTTGCCTTCCTCGCTGTGTGGTTCATTGGCGACGTCACCAACCTTGCCGGCGCGCTCTGGGCGGGTCTCGTGCCGACTGTCATTGCCCTCGCAATCTACTTTTGCTTCGCCGACCTGGTCTTGATATCGCAATGCGTCTACTACAACATGAAGAACTCGCGCCGCGATCGCAAGTCATCGACGCGCTCCACCGAAAGCGTCGAGGCGCCGCTGCTCGGCCGCCGCGACAGCAGCAACATTGGCCTGCCTGGGAGTCATAGGCGCGATTCCATTGCAAGTCGCAAGCGCAGGGCGAGCTCGCTACCAACCATCCCCGATGTTGAAGGGGGTGCAAGCGAGTGGGTCAAGAACACCGCTAGCATTATTGGTGTCTGCGTTGTAGGCGCTGCAGGCTGGGCTATTGCATGGAAGACTGGTGTCTGGGTTCCACAGCCAACACACGGCGATGCAGGCGAATCATCAGACAGCCCGCTCGGAGCTCAGATTCTTGGTTATGCCAGCGCAGTGTGCTACCTTGGAGCGCGCATCCCGCAGATTATCAAGAACCAGCGCGAGAGGTCATGCGAAGGCCTGTCGCTGCTCTTTTTCATGCTGAGCTTGCTAGGAAATGCTACATATGGCGCAGGTGTATGTCATCTTCATCTCACTGCAATACACACACTAACAACCCACAGATCATCTTCCACTCGCAAGAAAAAGAGTACATCATGACCAACCTGCCATGGCTAATCGGTTCCCTCGGCACCATGGTCGAGGACGTGACCATCTTTATCCAATTCCGCGTCTTCGGCAACGGTGAAGCATCCTCTGCTCTTGAGGCTTAGACGTCATTCCCCTGTAAATGCTGTGTATATGCGACTACTACATAACGCCCTCTACCAAAAGTTTTTGTAAATTTCATTTAGGTCTTTGATACCCTTCAATGTTGTAGAGAAGGAAAAATAGGGTCAGGTTTGGCGATGATCATGTATGTTATGCGATTCTTGGATATGAGACAAGAAGAGAAAAGTCACATTCTTTGTATACTAGAACAATTCTTGATCAAACAAGACACGAATGTCATCTATCATTGTTCTATACTGATCCCGAGACCATGCATTAGTCTATCGAGTATGAGAAGTGGCACCATCTACTTGGCGTGAGCGTATTTCTGTTCGTGAACACCGATAGCCCTAAACATATATGTCAGCTTGGAGCAGTCATTATGAATAACCAAACTCACCGTCCAGAGGGATCCGTCTGGTCACTCCACGTTGGAGTCCAGCGCATGACGGTATCAGCGCAATAGCTGGGAAAGTGTTCGTCAAACATGCACCTATACCAGTACGCCTCCTTTGTATCCGGGATATCGCTGCCCCACTCAGGCTTGGGGTTCTTCATCATCTCATCCGTAACATGCAGCTCGGCCGTGTCCTTGAGCGCGTCAATCCATCCGTAGCCCACACCGTCGGAAAATTGCTCCTTTTGTCTCCAGAGGATCTTGTCGGGCAGGTAGGGCTGCGTGTCAGGCTCGTCGGATGTGTCAAAGGCCTTGCGCAGAATGTACTTTTCAATGCGACCGTTCTCGCGGTCGATGAGCTTGTCAGCTGGGTCAATGTTCATGGCGGTGTTGAGGAACTCTTTGTCCAAAAAGGGGACACGAGCTTCGACACCCCAGGCCGATGTCGACTTGTTGGCACGTAGACAGTCGGCAAGATGCAGGTTCTTGACACGGCGAATGCATTCTTGGTGGAAGGCTGCCTTGTCAGGGGCGTTGTGGAAGTACAAGTATCCGCCAAAGATCTCGTCACTGCCCTCTCCTGAGAGCACCATCTTGACACCCATGGCCTTGATCTTTCGGCTCAACAAGAACATGGGTGTTGAGGCACGAATCGTCGTCACGTCGAACGTCTCGAGGTGGAAGATGACGTCTGTGAGAGCGTTGAGGCCATCCTCGATGGTAAAGGTAAAGGTGTGGTGCTTGGTTCCAAGGAAGTTGGCCACTTCTTGTGCGGCAACACCATCAGGAGAGTTGGGCAGACCAATGGAGAAGGAGTTGAGTTGTCCCAGGAGAAGATCCGTCTGGAGCTCGTTGGAGTCGTCAATACCCACAAGTTGGTTCTGCTGCTCACTGGCGGTTCCAGAAGATGTAGCGGCCTTTTTCCTAGTCGCCTCGTTCAGTCGCAGAGTTTCCCGCTGCGCGATCGAAGCCACCAGACTCGAGTCAAGCCCACCAGAGAGAAGCACACCAAAGGGCACTTCCGCCATCATGCGCTTGCGTACTGACCGCTCCAATGATTGCCTCAACTCCTTGTAGTCAACAGGTGTCGTAGGAATGCTCTCAGGCTCGACGAGCCACTTGGGGTCGTAGTAGCGGGTAAGCGAGTCCGTCTTGGAGTCGTAGACGTGACCGGGCGGGAAGGAGATGATGTTGTCGCAAACGGGGTGAAGGCACTTGAGCTCGGAAGCGAAGAAGACTGCACCAGGCGTAGTGCTCGATCTGCCCATGTAAAAGGTAGTGATGCCAATGGGGTCTCTTGCGGCGATTACACGATCTTGAGTCTTGTCATGGAGGACCCACGAGAACATGCCATCCAACCTGCGGGGCGCATCAATATCATGTTCGAGATACTGCTATACATCAGTGACTCCCCAAATTCCACTTATTGTTGCTCGTACCAGAGGAATGATGACCTCGCAGTCAGAGTGTGTCTTGAAGTTGTATGGCTTCTTGAGCGACTTGCGGAGGATACGGTGGTTGTAGATTTCGCCGTTGACAGCCAGTGACACTGTCTGCTCATCGTTGACGAGCGGCTGAGCGCCAGACTCTGTCCAATGTAAGTTTCCATCTCGTCTCATCTGTCGTGTGACCGCATACCGACGCCGACAATGCTCAAGCGTTCATGAACAAGGACTACAGACTGTCAGTTTAGATCCTCAAAGTAATCAAGCGTACCTACTGGTATCGTTTGCGACCCAGTTGCCACCTGCAAAGTCTCAGTTATCGTTCTCCTCGGCGCATCGGTCAAGTGGCTCACTCCAATCAGGACCCCGATGTCGGACACTGTCCGCAATGAGTCAATGAAATACTTTCGCAGTCTCTCGGGTATGGACTTACGCCTTGCCCATTTTCAGGGCTGTCGGCTTGAACTTTTGTACATCGGGATGTCTAAGAACATTAATATCTCTCTAACATTAACCGTGTCCGTATGCAGCGTCGCAAAGCCACGGGGAGGGGTAGATGTGCATGAAAGTAGAAAAACATACCTGTAGCACGCGAAGATACCACACATGTTTGCTGGGGAAGAGAATAGAGGAGGAAGAAGAAGAATGTGGAGGAGTCAGACGTCTTTTATCGCGCTCAAAATTGTTGTAGTCATAATCGCATGCCCTCCGGCGGACGGAGTGGGGCCCACGCTTAGTTGGAAGGTTCCGATTCCGATCGGAACCATTGGGGTCTCGAATATTGGCTCGCCAAAGTACCTACCAGGTCACTTAATCTCGTCGGCCTCACGGCGAGACTCAGGCCCACATGACCAACACTCCAAATCGATATGGGAAAGAAAGGAGAGATAGGGCCGACTCAGACATGTGAAAAGGACACGATATACGTTGACAAAGAGACTCCACAACCCCGGGCTCCGGCCCACTGGTTCAATCCCCACAAGCTTGTAATCTCAACCGGTGCAATCCAGACCATGGGCAAAAGAGGCAGCAAGTGCAGGCAAGAGAGGCAGCAAGAGCAGTCACAAAAGAATTAATCTCATACGGTTAACCTCGGAATTATGTAGTTGTTGATACATGGATGCTTGTGCGCGGATATGCCCATGCCTTCCCAGCAGCTTACACCATGTGCATAACCAACAAGAGCCCTAGGTCCTAACAAGACATATCCACAGCCAACAAAAGCAATTAACATCGTTTCGTGCAGCGCCGCCCATGCCACCACCCTACTTCTTCATGCTTGAAAAGTCTTTCTCCTCCAATTTCTCTCACTTAATCTCGGAATCGCTCGCTCAACAAGGTTTACTGCAATTCTGACGCGGTACTAGGGGAATGGTGTTCAAAAAAGGAAGTAGGCAAGGAGGAAGCTGACGAGGCAGAGAAGGGCTGTAATCTGAACAGATACGCCACCAGCTGGGGCTTGTTGCGTGTTTATGGCGGTCGAGGATTGCTTCGAATCTTGGGCGGATGCTCCCTTGCGCTGGCGGAGACCGCTGGCGTCACCGAGCTGCTGCGTCAACCGTGCAATTTGCGCTTTGGCTTCAGCAAGCTGGGCCTCGACATCTCCCGAAGAAGGCATCGCGTTGGACAGGGTTGCAGCAGCAGCATGATAGGTCGACTGCATACCACCGCCCGTTGCGGGATTGAAAGCCTCATTCTTGATTTCTCCCAAGTTCTTGCTCTTCTCAGGACGATCTTGTGGGACTGACACAGGGCCAGAAACCTCGGATGCACCCCGCTGGGGAGTAACGGCCTCGTGGGATGGAGATGGGGATGGCATCATGGACTCGCGTGTGCCGTTGGTCCTCGCAGGCGTTGCGTTTGGACCACCGTCGTCAGGAGCGAGGAACAGCACCCTAATCTTCTTCTCCTGGATTGAAGATTTGGCTGTTTGCTCAATGTGCGACCACTACAAAATGCGGTTAGCCGCGCGATTCACCGCTCACTCGGGTCTCCTTGACATACCAGAGATCCGACATTGGTGAACTCCTTGTCGGCTGTTATTAGGACAGACTGCACGAGGAACTTGTCGCGGCACTTTGCGTCTGGCGGCGGGTCTTCTTTCATGGCCTGGAGGAGGACTGGGCGCATGCGTCAGTTTTCTGCATGCATGCTAGGGGTGCGCGGGCAGAGGATATGCGTACTTTGGACTTCAACATGTTTGCCGGGCTCGATGCGTCCGCTATTTGGCCTTACACAGTATCTAAATCCGTCAGCCGAGGTAGGGAGTGAAGGGCTAGTGCGAGTCGTACTGCTTGGGAGCCGTGGTTTTGACCTTGAATCTGTCAGCTGCGCGTCCAGGTATAGAAGTGGCTTTGGTGAAGTTTGCTCACCTTGAAAGCAACCGGGTCAGAGTGCGGGTTCCGCAGGCGGAGCGTCTGCGACACCTCGTGCTGGAAGGGACCTTTGCCAGGTCAGCATCGCCACGTTATTCACATCCACTACTTCAAACTCACGCTTGAAGCCAAGCTCTACGGGATCGAGCTCGACGGACATGGCGGGCACACGCGGGTTGTGAGGTTTGTCGTCTTTGTGCCTGTGGCTGTGTCTTGGTAATCAGGCACGGATCCGCCGTCACAGTACGGTCGCGATCAACCTTCGCAAAGGATAAATGGGAGCGGTGTCGTATAATAAAGCGCTTAATTGATTCACCGAAAGGGGCGCAGGCGGTGAATGGTCGTTTGGCGTCGTCGTAGGCAGTAGGGGGGGGGAGCGGATGTGGAGGATGGAAGACGGATGCGAAGGTAGGGATGACGTTGCTGGTTTGGAAGTAGTCGCGCCAGTGACGCTCTTGGTTCCGGAAGCGCCTCTCAAGGCAAGACAGCTCTAACTACCACTATCTGTACATAACCAAGCTTAGTAAAGGCACGTGTTTACGGTAAAGTCGACCGTACCAAACTGTATTCTTCAAATGTTAGTACCCGTGCCTGCAGACCCATGGTTCCAGTTCCACCTTCTCCAAGCTTCCATTCCCCGCTACCGCTACCGCTACGGGCGCCTGCAATTACTTCTTATATAAGGCTGGACCCTTACACACGCAGATCTACCTACCGATTAATTCAAATATAATCCACCCGCAAACACCCACCCTACCCTCATCACAGTAACCGAGCACCTGCTATATCCGACACTCACACATCGCCACATCCAACATGGCTTCCTCAGATCTAGACACGCTCATCGACATGGGCTTCCCCCGCGAACGCGCCGAGCTCGCCGTCAAGGCTACCGGTGGTCTGCAACCAGCCATTGATTGGCTCGAGACCAACCAGGACAAAACCATCGAAGAGATCAAGCAACAGCAAGCCGGCGCCGCCGATGACGCTTCAGAAGAGCCGCCAGCCCTCAAGCCCGGCGAAGAAGCCAGATCGCTCGTTTGCGAAGATTGTGGCAAGAAGTTCCGCTCGATGAACCAAGCTACATTCCACGGCGAGAAGACGGGCCACGAAAACTTCGCCGAATCGACCGAAGAAATTGCTCCCCTCACAGAAGAAGAGAAGAAGCAGAGGCTGCAGGAGCTACGCGAGAAGTTGGCCGAGAAGCGTGCAAAGGAGTCTGAGCAGGACAAGGAGGACCGCAAGAGGAACGAGCAGATCCGCCTAAAGGCTACAAAGGAGTCGCAAGACATCAAGGAAGAGCTACAGAAGAAGGAGCGCCTTAAGGAGGCTGCCGCCAAGCGCGCAGAGAAGAAGGCTGACGAAGACGCGAGGAAACGCGTCCTGGCCAAGTTGGAGGCAGACAAGCAAGAGCGAAAGCGCAAAGCCGAGATCGAAAAAGCAAAGCGAGCGGGTCAGGCTCCTCCTCCTGCACAACCCCAGGCTCCTCTGGCTACGTCTTCGGGTCCTACGACTAGCAAACCTGCAAGCGCCTACACCGAGGCACGGCTTGCACTTCAGACATCGGGAGGAAGGGTCATGAAGACGTTCCCGGTTGAGACAACACTCTTTGAGGTCGCACATGCGTTGGAGCAGGATGGAACTACCGTCAACACCTTTACCACAAACTTCCCCAAGAAGACGTATGACCGCACCGACTTTGGCATGACGCTTAAAGAGGCGGGCATGGTACCTAGTGCGGCTTTGATCATCGGATAGACGATAGTAGTTGTCATGGGTGTATGCACCTTACGATTGATGACGGATGACGGATGATAGATGCTGGTTTATGAATGTATGAGGTAGAGGACTACTGCGAAGAGCGTGGAAATTTCTTCTATTTCCCTCATCTTCTTAGACGTAGGTAAAATCTCTGCTTGAGATTTAATATACACGTCTACTCGAGCTTAACACACACACATCTCCCTCGCATCCCATCACTTCCCCCTTAAAACCCCAACCATCTCCCCCAAAAACCCCTCATCCAACTCATCCTCCTTCCCCTTCACCTCCCCCTCCTTCCCATTTCCATTCTTCATCCCCTCCAAAACCCCACAAAGCTGCAACCGATTCCCCTCCCAACTCACCCACGCCGCAGCCTGTAAAAAACAATCGGTAATATCATCCAACTTCTTCATCTCCGTCGGCCCTATCACCTGCTCCCTTGCATCTCCGTCGTCTTTCCTCCGTCGTGGCGTCTTCTTCTTCGGCGAACACAAGGCTTGTTGTGTTGCGCGTGCTTGAGGGCTGATGTTGAAGGTGAGGGATGGTGTTGTGGAGTTTGTGTTTGTGGAGGCTGTTGAGGGTGGGGAGGCGGATAGCCAGGTACGTAGGAGGGTTATTTTGGCGCTTTTTTCGGCTTTGGATCGGGGGGGTTTCTTGTTCGGTGTGGTGGGGGGAGTGGTGGTGTCTTGGGCTGTCGCTGGTGGTGGTGGTGGTGTTTGTTTCGTAGATGATGATGACGACGACGCCGACTCAGTCAGAGCAATACCCTGTTCTCCCAGCCAATACATGCCCACACGCTTTGGATCCACGCCGAAGACATTGAATAGTTTCTCCTTGTCCTCGCCCGCCTTTTTGTTCCGCGTGATCAGACGTTCAGAATACATGGTTTGCAAGATGGCCCACAGCATGCCCTCCAGCGTATTCACCCGAAGCGTCCACTGTTGAACCGCGCTGCCACCACCAGATCGCCACCGTTGTTTCTCAATCAATATGACATCAGGTGAAGCTGCTAAAATGGTGTTTTTGACCAGTCCGTACGCTGTCTTTGACAGAATATTGAGTGAATATGCGTCGACCACGTCCACATCATCATCATCATCCGCCTCTCCCATAACCCTCCCCTCTGACTCTGACTCTGACTCTGACTCTGACTCTGATTCTGATTCTGACTCCCCCACCTCAGAACCAGGAATCCCATCTCTAGAACCCACCAAATCCATCTTCTCCCACCTCAAAACATGCATAGTAGCGTTCAGACTGTCTTTCACCGGCCATGAAATCTCTGCTTCGCAAAACGCAAGGTTCTTGATGCCCATGTCGATACTCATGATGCGGAGTTTCTGGTCCGTCGTGGGCCGTGATTTCTGCCATGTTGGATGCCGGATAAATAGCCGAGACTGGTGGAGCTCGTGGCGGAGGCGTTGGTGAAGTACGGCTTTTGTGCCCGAGGAGCGGGCTCCGATGCGTGTGAGGAGTGCTTGTAGCGACTTTGCCGTTACAGTGCGGGATTTTGGCGCCATTTTGTAGTTTGGTTTAGTTTGGGGCGGATGCGTTGCACATTGAAGATTTACGCCATGAGTGGTTTTTGGAGATGATGGGCTTTACAAGATGAGGATAGAAAGACATGCCAGAACATGGCGGAAGGTGGTGGCGTCAATGCAACGCCTGCGATGAAAAAACAGAGATTACTAGTACTGTGGAGAAATCGCGCTGTGTTCCTGTACTAACGTCAGGTTTGGGACAACCATGGTAACTAGGTGGAAGCACAATGGATATATTCGAGGTTGCAGCGTGTCCACGTGACGCGGCCCTTCTCAGTCGACATGTTCAAGCTAAGCTACACGTTTCGCATCAATCAGTCTCAAGTAGACGTGCACTCGGGTGTCATAAAATACTGGACATACTGGTGTGAAAAAACCACTGTAGTCGCCAGATACGTCTATTGGGTGCTTGCCCACACTGTCCAGTATTATGTCACCCAGGTGCGTGCATATTAAGCCTAAGTAGACGTGTATACAAATTTCATGTAGACGTGTATATGCATCTCACGATACACATCAAAAACAACCCCTCAAATCAATAATTCGATCACACCCACTTTTCCAAACCAATTCATTCAACTCTCTCACACACGCTAATGTAGACGATTATATACAAAACGCAACAATGACAAGACATCCATCCCGTCAAGCCAAAGGTATCGAGCGCGCCAAACAATCAGAATGTCGACTCGAATACATCTTTCTCGCCCACAATGCCGATAATTGGTATAGGGAGTGGCGAGTTAAGAATGTGGCTAAGATGCCCATGAATACACACTACACGGTCGACACGTTGAACCTATTTGTTAACCTCCGACTCACGGCCAATGACGGGGTTCTGGCCGCTCTTGAACTTGCTATCCGACTTGAGCAGCTCATCAGGTTTATCTGCAAATACTTGATTTAGCCTGATCCCAAAAGCAAAGAGGTTTGCGCAAGCCTCGACGTCGTCATCAGGGTTGTTGGACTCACCATGGCGTGCGTAGAGGTGGTAGTCCTCGTCCGAGTACTTGCCTACTTGGCCGTTCTCCACTTCCTTGCGCGTGAGCGAGAGCTTGTTCTTGGGGAGACCCATGGAGCCAAGGTAAGTAACCGAGTTCTTCCACTCCGTCTCCTTGCGCTTGTTGTCCCACTTGAGCTCCTCGCCCATAATGTCAATTACCTTGGGGAGAGCTTCGAGCGCGGCCTGGGCGTTCAAGAAGGCGAGACGCATGCGACGGGCGATTACGTCGGTGGCGGTTTGTGCGTATTCGTGGCGGACACAGTAGCGAACCTCGCCATCAATGTATGGGTAGAGGTCAGACATTTTGATGCCGCGGACGGGGAAGCGCTGCTCAGTGGGTGCTGAGAGAGCTGCGACAGTCCATGCGCGGTCACCGTAGGCCTGGCACAAGTACTTGGCAACATCCGTCTCGATGCCGTAGTGTTGGATGAGGTTAATGAAGAGTGTCTTTGAGAAGCCGTGTGCACCAACAAGGCGGACACGGTGAGTCTGGCAAGTACCGTCAAGAGGAGCCTCGTCCTTGACCTCTGTCCCGCTGATCAAGGTAGGGTTCACAAGGGGCTGGGTCTTCAAGCCATACTCCTTGATGGCCTCGTCGACAGTCTCTTCGGCCATTTGGCGGTAAGTAGTCCACTTGCCACCTGAGCAAGTCATCAAACCTGAAGGAGAAGTGGTAACCAAGTGGTTTCGGACAAGACCTTCAGTTGCGCTCGCGTTGGGGTCGCGTACAAGCGGGCGAATACCAGACCATGCAGCGAGGACATCTCCGCGGCGAACGTTGATCTCGGGTTGCAAGTAGCGCTTGACTTCCTTGAGAATCCAGTCAATTTCCTCTTCTCCGGCAACAGGGTCCTTTGTGATATCACACGCGGTATCCGTAGTACCGGCAATGGTGTTGCCCTGCCATGGCAGGAAGAAAACTACACGACCATCCGAGGTGTTGGGATCAATGAGACCCATGTTTGAAGGGCTGTAGTAACCGGGGAGAATGACGTGGACACCAGAGCTAGGAGCAACAATTTCTGGCACCTCTTGGTCGTCCATCTTGCGGATGGAGTCAGTGAAAGGACCAGTAGCGTTGATGACACCCTTGGCTTTGATAGAGAACTCCTCGGCCTTCTTTCCGTCGCGTTCCGCAATACAGTCCTTTGCCTTGGCTCCGCACAGGCGGCCATTGGCATCCTTCTCCAGGCTGGTAACCTCGAGATGGTTTACGACGGTAGCACCATATAGCGCAGCAGTCATGGCAATTGAGACGTTCATGCGGGAGTCGTTGTGTGCACCATCTAATTGAGTCAGTAACAGCTCCAAATTCGACATGACCGAGCTTACCATAGTAGACGAGAGCTCCAACAAGGCCTTCCTTCTTCAACATGGGGAATGCATCTAGGGCCTTGCTCTTCGTCATGTAGTATGAGCTCTCAATGTTCTCCGATCCAGCGAGGAAGTCGTAAAACTTTGTACCGGCCCAAAAGTATGGCGCCTGCCACCACTTCTGAATCGGAATCATGATAGGGAGCCATTGTGATAGATGAGGAGCAGTGTCCAAGAAGTAACGGCGTTCGCGGAGAGCTTCGACAACGAGGGCGTATCTGAAAGCGATTAGTGTATGAAAACCCAAATTTTCGAGCACACTCACTGGTTGTAGTCTAGGTTCCAAACGGCCTTTTCAAGGTATCGTACACCACCGTGGACCAGCTTTGTGCTCTTACTACTGGTACCACTGCTAAAGTCGTCGCGTTCGACTAGCGCAACTTTTAAACCTCTGGTAACGGCGTCAAGCGCAATACCGGCTCCAGTCGCGCCACCACCAATAACCAAGAGATCGTAGGGCTCCTCCTCGACTGGAGCGGCTGGTGTTGAGCCACCCCCGAGCCATTTCCTTGCCTTTTCCGAAACCTGCGCGACGACACCTGCGCTGCGCTTCAGCTGCGCAATCTGCTCATCGCGGCTTTTGGCAGAGGGGAATTGTGGTGGGCGAAACACACCTCCCTCGCCATATGTGGGTGGGGGTACTGCGGCCGCCTCGGTGCCGGGGATATCGCGAGGTCGGAGGGTAACGTAGAGTGCTCCAGCACCAATGGCACCAGCACCAGCTGTATACAACAGCGGCTTAATGAAACGGCTTCCTCGACGGGCAGCCATGATGCTCTAGTGATGGGTATATTTTTCCGGAGGTGCAAAATCGCTCCAGGCGCTGACGGGATATAATTGTACAAGATATGTCGATAAAAAATGTCAAAGGATGATGTGCTGAGGCTCGAGCCTTCACATGTTGCAATTCAATTAGCGGCCGCGCAACGGAACGGGGTCGCAAATGAATGCGGGAGGGGGGGGGGGGGTTTCTTACCTCGTGTAGGGTTACAAAAGCATGGCGAGCATGGCGCTCACGGATTGAATATTGGGAGAGAGATTGACGTGTAGGAAAGGTGGCTGTTGGGAACTGTGGAGCTTCAAAGTCTGAAGACCATTTGATCGGACGCTTGGGATGACGAAAGCGTGGATTCAAAGTCGGATGCGCTCCACTTCGGGTAACCCGGGACAGTCGACGCCGTCGACACACGTCTCTGCCCAGAGCCGCCAAAGCGCCGTAATAAAGCTGCCGAATGCTGCCTGATCAGCCTATGCCTTCACCGACTGTGCCTCTTCACCGCCGTCCAAGTTTTCTTCACCTCAAAAGATGAGATATGGCCCAAAGCCAACACGGCGGCTACAGACGGACAAGGTAGCTCATCCGCCCCCAAAGGCATTTTGGTGGAGTAGCCAGCCGGATGCGGCACCCCCACGGGCGAAATGCCAAGCAAAGTGGATCGCAGAGCCTCATGATGATCTCATGCAATGTGGAGTCGTGCATTCAAGTGTGTTGGTGGCATTGCTTCCTATTGAATATTATCGTGGCGATCCTCTCCTGACGCCTTGGCCTATCCACACGACACAATGTGCCCGGGCATGTCCCACATTCAGGCATTCCGACGTCTCAACATTCGTTGCGCCAGACTCCATACTAAACTACACATTTGACAAAAGAAAAAGGGTCCAAGGCTTAAATCCGCAAAATCCACAACAAAAGTAGCACATCCAACGCCACAACAGCACCAGCAATGCTCGAAACCGCACCTTGGTGCACCCACCCTAGTCTCTCTTTACGCGTCCGCATACTGATGACGGCAACAACACATAATACAAGCGTACAAATAGTTCCAATCAAAACTCCAGCATCAACCACGCCCCGCTCCTTCCTCCGACTCGTCACTGTCATGAGACCAAGCATGAGGTCTATCACCACAGCGGCGGCCAGAGCTGTCGAGTAAAAGCGCAACTTGGTCATTTCCGTCATGTGTTGGTGGTTTTCGACTTGTCCAAGCAATGCACGGCGCTCGTTCAGCAGCTCAGCATCGTGGGCGGGGTCACGGACAGAGCGGAATAGAGAGCTAAAGTAGCCCTTTCCGCTCGCAGGCTTGCTCTGTGCATCAATCATTCCGTAGTTTGCAGAGTGCATTGGCGACGAGTCAATTGTGTCATCGTCCGAGTCTTCGCTGGCGGCGATTGATGCCTGGTCCGGCGTGTCCTGTTTACCGAACAGCGTCCTCGCTGCTCTTGCGCATGCCTCAAAAAAGTCCTGGCCGGGAAACTTAACCTCCGCATCAGGGTCGACGTAGATGTAGTAGCCTGTTTCTTCGTCCTCGGGGTGGTCATATTCGTTCCAGTAACGTTGCTGCACTTCCGGCTCCGGGTCTGCCGGCTTCAAAGGTGGAGGGTAGTCAGAGTATGGTCTCCGACTCTTCTTCCTAAAGGCCTGCAGAGGTGGAGGATCGACGAATTCGTGAACTGATGTTGCAGAAGACTCTTCATAGCGTGAGGCCAGCGGGCTAGACTGTCCGTCATACGAGGTGTTGGAGGTCGAGGTTGCCGGAGGAGAGTTCTGGACCTGTGAATCACTCGAGTAGGCCATGGCTCTACGGCTTCGCTTCTTTACCGGTTCCGGTAGCTTTCGGATATCTTTGTCTAAAAGGGATATCTATACGAGGTTAGCTTGGAAACCTGCATATGCTTGTCAAACTGTGACCCACCCAGAATGGCTCAGACATGGCACCGGGCTTGCAGCAAGCCCATACCGCATGTGCTTCTAGTGAAAAACCCCGTACGCGCTCGACCTGCAGTTGTTAATACACCAGTTGGACGTGGTGCAGGGATCGACGTACCAAATGACTCCGCTCGAGGGTCTGAATAAGAGCCATTGCCTGGTTGCCTTCGCGCCGGATCTCCAGGATAGCATGGGGAAACCTCTTTGCCGACTCTGATCGAGCAGCTGAAGTCCAGTCGTCGCCTTCGAGATCCTTGTGTAAGGTGTCTTTTAGGTAAACATCCTTGTCCAGAGTCGCCCATATACCCCCAGTGGAGTTGTTGTGTAATCCAGTGAGCCGCGTACGCTTGGAGAGCGCGCCCGCAATTGGCTTCGTAGACGGATGTTCACTCAGCCATTGTCGAACCGCGGATGCGTCTCCAGAGTGCTTCATGCTATCTTCGTTTATAGATGTACCCAGAATGTTCTTCAAAGCCTTGCGTTCCATCTTTGCCGTCTTGACAACAGGTGATGGTTGCGCTTGCGCGTCGCTTTGGGTGCAAACCACAACTGCCGCTCCTCCAGATGCGCAACACCGCACTTGGCCAGCTGCCTTGATGCCAATGTTTCCCGGTGCCTCTTCTGTTGCGCCAATCGTGCTTGCATTTTGCTTGAAGGCATAGGCTTCGGCGTGATCCAGGACAACAAAGCCGGTCGTATCCTCGCTTCCAAAGTATGGATCGATGTTGTTGTTGGAGGAATGTCGGCGGATGGGAGTCCCCCTGACAGATGCGTTACGTCTAACGTTGGTGATGTAGAGGCGCATGTGCTGAAGCAGCAGCACCTGTGCCTCGACAATGTGGTCCGGGTGTATCCAGTATGTCGCCTTGTTTCCCTTGGAGCCCAGAGGTACTGTGTTCAAAGCCAGGTCAAAGTCGACGTCGTCGCCCTTGTCCAGCATCCGGGATATACGCGCAGCTGCCGACTGGCCGTTTCCATTCTCCCTGTTGGACGCATACGTGCCGTCCGAGTCGAAGGCGCAGCGGAGCGCGTCGAGCACATCAATGTACTGGTCCAGCAGGTAGCCCAGATCCAATTGAAACAGGCTGTCCGGGCGGCTACCAATCTCTCGTTTGAAGACATGACTGAGCTCCCTGTCCTTGGTCCAGCGCTTATACTTCTTAAGGATCTTGATGAAGCCGGTTCGCTGCGTCACCTGGAAGCGCGATAGAGAGCGAATCTCCTCTCCTGTCCTGCATTGTGTCAGCGGATGCCCGGTATGCCCACGCTGCCGTTTGTCCCGCCTACCTTGTGACGTCGGCGTCAATCTTCGCATATCGCTCGACGGTCCGCGCCGGCAGACGTCCATTCGCTGGGTTGCGTCTGGCGCGCAGTTGTTCTAGGGTCTTGCTGATGTGCTCCAACCTGCGCTCGATCTCGCCGCTCTTACTCCGTACGAATAGGTTGATGCGATCATGCTGCTCGGCTAGGACCTTGAAGAAGGTGTCTCCAAAGGCGCGCTCGGTACTCTCGCCTTGTCCCGGTATGGATACGGCCTTGTTGGTGCCTGGTGTTGTTTGGTGCTTGATAAGATCCTTGAGGTAATCGTAGTCGATATTATCTGCATGCGCCCGACTGTTAGCAACGGGCGCTCCTCTGGGTGACACAACCACGGTAACTCACAATGGCCCCATTCTGGTATAGACCTCTGGCGGAGAGTGTCGCCGTACTTCATTCCAACAGTATGGGTGAAGAGGGCAGATGAGGAATGGTCAATGGGGGGCAAGACGAGTCTTTGGGACTGGTTTCACACTAAGACGAGAGGTCTGCCGCCCGTTAGATAAGGGTCCATGATAGCCCGACGTTTAGAACCTTCGAGTGTTTGGATCGGAAACCGTAAGCACGCGTGTCCAAAACAATGATTGAGCCGTTGGACCGGTGAACTGCCGAGTGATTGCGCCAGGCGGAGTACTTACCGTGCGCACGTACTGGGAGATGCCTTATAATAGACGTCTCAACGAACTTGTGCCAAGTTCTTGCAGGCGAATGAAGTGTAGCAATGCGTTTGTCACGAGGACTGAGGAATATTCTGCATGGACAGGACTGCGAGGGGAAAAAAGTTCGAGAATAAGTAAACAGCCACAGGACGCTTGTGAGTGCCAAAGCAAGTACTTCTGCTCATTGACAGCCCGACGACTGCATGTGCAACAACATTGACCAGGTGCGGGTCCCATGCAACACCTGGGCGGACTCCGCAGGCTCGCAAGCTGGTTCACGCTACCTCATACCTGCCTTGTCCTCCGCGACAGCGATCCCTGCACATGTCATGAACAAGGATATGCCGGAACGATGTCATGCACAGCAACCGAACCAAGTACCTAGCGAATCCGCCAACCACGATCGAAAAAGCAGCTCCACCCGACGCTCAACACCACGACTCCTCCGGTTATTACGACTGAGATAGGATGCCCGTGTCCATTGCCGAGGAGAATAACCACCCGTACATGTGCTGAGAACTCCCGTGTTGTCCTGCCGTCTGCCGCGCAATCTCTGCACGCGTAGCTAGGGACTTGTGCATCCTTCAATCCACTATCTCCACGGGACGCGGCAATCCAGTCATTGGATGCATGCTCAGAGCATGGTCGAGAACTACCGTGATCGCCACAGTAAACGGCAATCGGCATGTGCGGCACTATATCGAACAACTTGACTTCGAATTGAACATTCACGCATGGCTATCGGCATCACGTCACTCTAGATCGACGTCCAAAAGCAGCCTCGCCTGTTCAGAGACGGCAACAGCATGTCACCCGAGGTACTCAATTGGCCGCGTAGAACCATCAGTCTGGAGAAAATTGGAGCAGAAAAGCTTGCGTATGAGCAAGGATGAAGCGTAACGAACATCTCCACTTGCCTCTTGCGGGGCGACATGTGGGAACAACATGCCACTTGAACATTGGTTCAAACTATGTTTGTACTTATGGTAGAAACATACGACCGGTAGAATGGTGGTAAAACATCCCATATTTTACATTCTATAGCAATTCTTCCGAGAACCCCCAATATGCTGGATGGTAAATTGAGCCAAAGTACAATTCAAAAGACCTTTCACAACTCCACGAGAGCGGTTGCGGCATCCGGCCGTCCACCCGTCGCAGGGACTTCTTGACCCAGTTCCCAAGTGGGTCTCTGTCAAGTTCGTGGGCCCGCGGCTACGGACAATGCTGCTAAGATTGAGACTATGGAGTTGGCTCTCCATTCTCAGCTGGGGCTACATGATTCTAGGCCTTGTGAACGTAATAGAATCACTATTCCAGACGATGTATTATACGAAGGAAGTGGGATTGCCGAGTACGAGAAATTAGAAGTGAACAAATAGTTAGACTGTTCGTCGGTACCCTGCCTTACAAGAAACAATATACACTGGTCCACACAAGTATAACAGAAAACAACCCGGTCTGAGTAGATGTCGCCATCAACACGCATACACTAGGGTCCCCTTCGATAAGAAGTACTCAATCTCAATCTCAATATCTAACTAACCCATCCCCATCCATACCCACCCGCATTATCATCCAACCAACCAACCAACCCACAACTCCCACTCCCACACACAGGCCTCGGCAAAAAGGCTTGAAATCCCACGCCACGCCACGCCACGCCATGCAAGCCCTCGCTGCAATGCAATGCAGCCCCTGCCCAATACCGGTCGTGTGCTCACCTGCCTATACGGTCTTTCGCATATTTTTTTTTGCGAAACGAGAGTTCCAGGGGCTTGGGTGGGTGACGTTATGTGCTTTCTTTATTACTTACAGGACAAGGGGGGGAGGGGGGCTTGTGCCTGCAGCCTGCGTTTTTGAACTACTGTAGGTTATAATGTCGTTGGTGTTGTGAGTAGGTACATACAGGCTTGCACTTGCATGCATGTGGGCGGCGTGCGGGTCCGGGTGTTTTGGTGGGCCAGTCGTGGGGGGTGGGTGAGGCACGTGGGTGGTGTTTTGGAGGCGGATTCGTTGGTGCTGGGGATGTAGCAGCAGAGCGAAATGTGGTTTTATGACGAGGGAGGGGAAAAGTGCAGAGTTGAGGGTGATGTAATGGGGGGTGGGGCGGCTGTATGCGTGCGTTGTACCGTAGGTATGTACAGCGAATGTGTTTTTCTTCTGCGCTTCTTGGTAAGGTAGGATGAATTGATGGCGTGTGGGATGTGCGTTGGCTGTCTCTGTGCGATGTCTGGTAGGTACCGCAGGTTCGTATTACTTGTCCCACATGTCTACGTACATTTACATGTGACAAGCATAACCCCAACCGCATTTTTAGCTGTCTAAAACAAACCATATCTCTTATCTTTGCCCTTCTATAGCCACGCCAATCCATGGTTCCAGTATCTATACCTATGCCCTATCCCGAGATCTACTACGTATACATCATAACCCACAACGGCATGCCCTCACCCCCCTCCTTAGCCCTCCCCTCGACATCGCACTGCCCCTGCCCAACATGTATCTCCGACAAGTTTTGAAATCCCAAATGTAGATACATATCTCTACCTTTTGGACTCGTCGCCTCTAGCATTACTGGCCACCCTTTTTCCCGCGCTATCGCCATGACGGGCCGCATTACATCGCTGGCTTTGGCGTTGCGGCTGGAGTCGTTGCTGGGGTGCGAGCGATCGTTCCCGATGACGGCGAGGTGCAGGCAGTGGGTTGCGGAGGGGGGCATGTTGGCTCGTCGGATGGAATGCGCGATTGTGTTCATATTGTGGACCATGGGGGGGTGGGCGGGGTTGGCTTGGTATTCATCGTGCACGGCGTCTAGGGTCCTGTGGGGGTGGATTGTTAGCACGTATTTCCGTATTCAAGTTGTCGTAATTGTAATTGTAGATGTGAAATGTGGTTTGTGGTGCGACGAATTCAGTGTCGTCGTATTTGACTTTGACTTACCATACACTGGAAATTCCGCTGTTTGCAACTGTGATGCATCTTCCCCCATTCTCCACCAGACCGCATATGATTTCTCTGAAGATTGCTGTGTTTATCTCGAGTGGGACATCCAATGTACCAGCCTCTTTCATCTCTTCCATGCAACAGAATCGTTGGAATGGATCCGAAGCAAATGTCTTGCCAATGATATCAACGGCGTGCTCTATAGGCTCCTCGATAAGGCCCTTTGGAATGGGAATCTTTGACATGGTTGTTGTTGTAATTTTTGGTACTGAAACTCTTCTGTCGATAAGCAAGCTAAGCCGGGTAATAATAGGGTGTAAGATTCTAAGAAACGGCAGTTCGAACGTACTGGGAGAGACAATTGACTACATAAAGTGGTAAGGCTAATCGGGCCGACCATTTGTAACTATCCGCCGGCTGGGCATCGTTCTTGCAACTAGGTCACAGCCTGTTACGCTAGCGCAGTTTCTACGGAGTTTCTGTAACAGTTTCAGCATCACTCTGTTCTATACTCAATACTGTTACCACAACATTGCTGTCATGAGATGAGGCTGAATTGATGAGGGTAGCTTACGGTCTAGATCCCTTGCTGAAGGCTACTTCCACAGTAATCAAAGTCAAAGCGCGAGCGGGTATCAACATTATTCATTGCTCTGCCTAGAGGTACATGTGGTCTCGGACAAATACAGTAGTCGTTTTTCGTGCGAACAGCGGCACACACGCAGCGAGTATAGTACTTCTACACCCTAAATACCATCTCGCCTGGATTGTTCGTCTAACCCGGGGGAAGCAAGCTGTTGTCCACAACGTCTTGTGCCTCCATTTCTTCGACCTCGGCAGTGCTGTGAAGTGGCGAACGGGGAAGCGCCATCAGACCTGGTGTATTGTTAGTATGGTTCCACGAAGAAGCGTTCTCATATTACTTACCAGTCCTCGCCGACTCCAGAATTCCAAATGGAGCGATGAGCTTCATGTAGGAGTCAATCCTGGTGGGTTTTGCCGATACCTCGACAATACAGTTGTTGGTGCTGATGTCGAGCACTTTTCCGCCGAATTGATGAGTCATGAAAGTGATGGCTCGTAGATGCTCATGCTTGTGTCGCAGTGCCTGACTGATGGGCAGATTTGTAGGATGATAGTCTTTCCTCAGAGAATCGCGAGCAGCTTCTTGGGCCATAGCATTGCGCTCATCTTCAGACAAGTCCTCTGTCTCGTAGGCACCCTCCATGTCGGGTGTCTGAGCCATTTCGCGGTGGTGGGCAAGAAGTTCCTCAAAGTACTCTGGGCCGAGAATCGAGACCTTGGCAAGTAATAGCTCACGCTGTACAAGCGGTGACTGGGTGTAGTCAAGTACGGCCCAGACAGGCACAAGATCTTCGAGTTGGCGGCGGGCTTGCTCAATGACACCATCTTGACCCTGGAGGACAATGGTCATGCGAGAGAGATCGTCTACCTCTGTATTACAGACAACCAGACTGTCAATGTTGAAGCCACGCGCGGCCAAGATACCAGATACACGAGACAGCACACCAGGCTCGTTTTGTACCAAGCAGTTCAAGATGTGACTCTTCGGGGGTGCTTGGGATGGAAGTGGCGTTTCGTAGAGGATGTTGCTGACTGCGGCAGGTGCAGACCAGGCAGGAGGGCGGTCCTCGGTAGGCAGTGGCGCGATACGGCGGTGGAGAGCCTTGTAGGCCAGCGCCTGTGTTGACGAGCTCGATGCTCTTTGTTGCTGGCGGAGCGAGCCGGCGCATTGCCTGCTGAGCAAGCTGCGCAGAGGCAGCATTGCTCGAGAAGCCATGACGAACAGGAAGTGCTGTTGAATGCAATTGAAGCAGTACTGGCAGTGGTGAAGATGTGAAAATACGAGAATGGCAGAATGAAACTGCAGGTGCCGAAGGACTTGAGTGAATGGTGAAATAAGTTCACTTTGGCAAGTACGACCGGCCGATTGTCGGAGAAGTCAGCGTCTCCCCGAACTGGCAAGCGCAACCGCGGCAGTTTGTGCTAACGTGGATTAAGCGAACTGCTCCTGCCCGTGCTAAAGCCTTACTAACACTCCTCCACCAACTCGACTCGACTGCAAACTTGCAACACCCGACACTGTGCGAAGAGAAAGCTGTACCATGTCAGAAGAACGCCGTCCGCGATCGCGCTTTGATAGCGATGACAATGATCGTCCTGTACGCTCGCGCTTTGACACGGATCGTCGCTCGAGGTCGCCGTCACGTAAAGAGTCCGAGTCGCATCGCGCCCGCAGTCCGATTGCTCGCGAAGGCAGCGACAGCCCCGCCGCAGCCAACTCGAAGAACAAGACAGCTGCAGCGGCGGCGGTGGCGGCGGCGGCTGCGAGGATCAACGCGCAGATCCAGGCGAAGAAGGGCATCCAGCATGTCGAAGTGCCGCCTATTCGCTCTGTACGTCCATGTCACCCTCCTTCATTCACGACTATTACTAACCTCTCCAGGCGCCGACCCCTCCAGCAGCCGTCAAGTCCCCTTCGTCCAACTCGGCCGCGGCTATCAGCAACGAGACATACCAGCAAGACGGTGACTTTATCAAGGACATTGAAATAAACGATCTCCGTAATCGCTACACACTGACCAAAGGAGCTACACAAAAGAGGGTAAATAATAGTCTTTGCTGTTCACTGATCGTTTAGGATCATGCCTTCTCGGGCTCTGTGGCGCTCCCTCCATCGGCGTCGCAGGGCCAGAGTCGGACTCTGTTTGCGCATCTCTGTATTCGGAGTCAGAGCTTACTTGATCTTCTAGCGCCCCAAACCATTCATCATATGCTAACCTCCGTGACATAGATCAAAGACGAGACTGGCGCTGGTACGCATACCCGATTCCACCTGTTAACCGTTTAGAATACCTGCTTATACATGCAAGATGTTACTACTCGTGGCGAATACTACCCTGACAAGAACATGGCCACAGCTACTGTAAGTCCAAGCATTGTGTTTGACGACCAAAGGCTTACTATTGAACAGAACCCGCCCCTATATCTCCGCATCACTAGCACCTCAAAAGAAGGCCTCGACAAGGCCGTAGAGATGATCGAAGAGATGATGAAGGAGGACCTCCCTAACCTTGTAGACGAACGTCGATTCCGCCGTCGTGACCCAGAAAACTTTGAACGTGATGAGTTTGGTCGGGTATGATACTCTCGCTATCCAACTAGTACACCACTAACTCGCAGCAGCGCAAATGGCCAGAGGAGAAGATCTCGGTAAACCTTGAACCTATCAACGGCTTTAACTTGCGAGCTCAGGTTGTCGGTCGCGGTGGCGATAATGTCAAGTACATCCAACAGGAGACAGGCTGCAAGGTCCAAATCAAAGGTCGCGGCTCTGGCTTCATGGAACCTAACAGTGGCTCAGAGAGCGATGAGCCCATGTATCTCCACATTGCGTTCGTGAGCCTTTCCTCTCCTTGATTCCATTACTAACGAGATGCAGCGGACCTCGTCCTGAAGGCGTAGCCTATGCAAAGAAACTGTGCGAAGAGCTTCTTGAGAAGGTAAAGACCGACTACCACGCTTACAAGGAACGCCCTCCGCCAAACCGTTACGGTGACCGAGACGGCTACTCAGGTGGACGCCCAGGATATGGAGATCGTGGTGATCGCGGTGACCGTGATAGGAGCAACAGCTACGGATACGGAGGTGGTGGAGGAGGAGGCGGCGGCTACGGCGGCGGCAGTGCGGGCGGCTATGGTGGACAGGGCGGATATGGTGGTCACAACGGCTACGCTGCTCAAGATACACTCATGTCCCCGGCCGCTGCAACTCCAATTGCCGACGCAAACGCCCAAGCCTATGATGCGAATGCTACGCAGGCGGCGTGGGCTGCCTACTACGCGCAAAACCCCGAAGCTGACCCTTATGCCGCGTATGGTGGGTACCAGGCGTATATGCAACAGTATGCCGCGTACTATGCTCAGTCAGGTTATGGTCAGACACATTCACCTGCTCCTGCTCCCGGTGCTGGAGCGGCGGCACCTCCCCCTCCTCCGCCTTCAGACGGCTACGGTGCTCCTCCGCCACCGCCTCCGCCAGCAGCATCGCCTCCCAACTACGGCGCGGTATGTATAATGGACTATTGACTTGGAAGCGCAGTTGGCTAACGTACAACTAGGTTCCTCCCCCTCCCGGCTTGTAAGTTTCAGGCAACGGCTATGATCTTGCGCTTACGACAGGCTCTCAACTTGACTTGATTGATGGAGCATAGTTCAAAGCATCCTTTGGTATCGGCCAGTAGCGTGTGTGGATTGGGCTACCATTCCTCACCGCTTCGGCGCATTCTTGACTTGTCACGCGATGACGGCTAACAGGTGTTTGGCATTGGTACGGGGTTTAGACTATCCATCCGGCCATCACATCTAGAAGCGAAACCATTGCATAGTAATAATACTACTTTAGAGAAAGCGAGTTTGCGTGCCATTTGACGTGAAAGTCTTTCGACGGGTCGGAATACTCGGAAATTTAACATCTATGACATGTACTAAGCTTACCTCCATGTATTGTGTGATTGGGTACATGTCGTAGGGTTCTCCACGCAGTAGCGTTGACCCCAGCCCCGGTACCGCGGAGCGAAGTCGCTCTTGACATTTTGTTCGAATGTTAATGCGCCTCTGAACCTTTTTGCACTTGCAACGCCACAAACACAACTTGAGATGCGTTCGCAGGTTTTCCGTGCTGGCCAAACTGCCAATAGCAGAGTGAGTAATTTCTACACGGAATTGAACTTGTTGGGTCACACGACCTCCGCACCCTCTCCATTGAAGTTTGGTTGACAGACACTAACCACTCCTCTAGACTCGCCTCCTGCCCTCTCTCCGCCAAACATCGCTACAAACTCGAAGATGTCTAGCCACGTCCCACAACCCGCCCACTGCCCGCAATGTCGACATCGCATCGCGTACCCCGCCATACGCCAAACTACTGTCCCGCCTTGAGGAAGTACGGCGCGTGCTAGGCTCCTCACGACAATTGACCTTGGCCGAGAAGATTCTCTATTCACATCTTGAGAGCCCCGAGGAGTCGCTGCTGAGCAATACGAATGGCGGGCGCGATGTGAGGGGTCAGGCGAATCTGAAGTTGAAGCCAGATCGCGTTGCTATGCAGGACGCCAGTGCGCAAATGGCGCTGTTGCAGTTCATGAGTTGCGGATTACCTAGTACCGCGGTACCTGCAAGCATACACTGTGACCATTTGATTGTGGTTGGTAGTTTCCAGGTTTACCACTTACTCGCTCGCTGATGTGTTTGAATAGGGCGAAAAGGGCGCAGATACAGACCTCCCACAATCGATAACGGGCAACAAGGAGATCTTCGATTTCCTAGAATCTGCCGCGAAGAAATATGGCATTGAGTTCTGGCCTCCGGGTGCTGGCATCATCCATCAGTCGGTTCTGGAAAACTACAGTGCTCCCGGACTCATGATGTTGGGCACAGACAGTCACTCGCCAAACGCCGGAGGTCTTGGAGCGATTGTCATTGGTGTCGGAGGCGCTGATGCGGTGGATGCTCTTGTAGATGCGCCATGGGAGCTAAAGGCACCGAAGATTCTGGGTGTCAAACTCACTGGCGAGCTGAGCGGATGGGCATCTCCAAAGGACGTAATTCTCAAGCTGGCTGGTCATCTCACAGTTCGGGTATGGGATCTATAAGATCTTGAAGTACAACAGGCTAACATGTGGATATAGGGAGGTACTGGTTTCATCATCGAATACTTTGGACCTGGTGTACAGACTTTGAGCTGTACGGGCATGGCAACCATCTGCAACATGGGTGCTGAAGTCGGCGCAACTACCTCGCTCTTCCCCTTTTCTCCCGCACACATCCCCTATCTCCAGGCGACACATCGTGGACCGATTGCTGAAGCAGCTGCCAAGATCGCCCAGTCACCAATGCAACAGAACCTACTGCGTCCCGACCCAGAAGCTGTTTACGACAAGGTCATTGAGATTAACCTCTCTGAACTTGAACCTCACATCAACGGACCTTTCACCCCTGATCTATCAACCCCTCTCTCCAAGTTCAAGTCAGTAGTTGAAGAGAATGGATGGCCAAAGACTTTTGGCGCAGGTCTCATCGGCAGCTGCACAAACAGCTCCTACCAGGATATGACTCGCTCCGAGGAGATTGTAAAGCAGGCCTCTGCCGCGGGTCTCAAGCCAAGGGCAGACTTTTTCATTACACCGGGAAGCGAACAGATCCGAGCAACACTAGAAAGGGATGATACTCTGTCAACCTTTACCGAGGCTGGAGGCACTGTTTTGGCAAATGCCTGCGGGTGAGTACACTCCATCTACATAATGAGATCACAGTACTGACGTCCTCGATGTCCGTGCATCGGGCAATGGAAGCGTACAGACGAAGTCAAGAAGGGAGAGTCCAACGCTATTTTGACATCCTATAACCGCAATTTCCCCGGACGCAACGACGGCAACCGTTCCACCATGAACTTCCTCGCCTCCCCTGAACTCATCACCGCCATGTCTTACTCTGGATCTACCACATTCAATCCTATGACTGACAGCATACCGACACCATCCGGTGAATCGTTCAAGTTTGCGCCACCAAAGGGCTCCGACCTCCCATCTGCAGGTTTCGCGGACGGTAACCCAGACTTTATGCCTACGCCAGGCGTACCCGACCCTAGCGTAGAAGTTGTTGTCGCTCCTACATCGAGCCGTCTGGCGCTTCTCGACCCGTTCCCAGCGTTCCCCGACTCCGACTTTACAGGTCTACGAGTACTTTACAAGGTAAAGGGACAATGCACGACAGACACCATCTCTGCCGCCGGTCCATGGCTCAAGTACAAGGGTCATCTACCCAACATCTCCGAGAACACATTGATCGGCGCTGTCAATGCACAAACTGATGAAGTCAACGTTGCGTATGACATCGACGGCAAGACATCGAGCATTCCTGAACTAGCAAAGAGATGGCGCGACCAAGGCGTCGAATGGCTCGTCGTAGCAGAGCACAACTACGGTGAAGGCTCAGCCCGCGAGCACGCCGCTCTGCAACCGCGTTACCTCGGCGGTCGCATCATCCTCGCAAAGTCATTCGCACGCATCCACGAGACCAACTTGAAGAAGCAGGGTATCGTTCCTCTCACCTTTGCCAACGAAGCCGACTACGATCTCTTCGCAGCCTGTGATGAGGTCGCCACAAGGGGCCTGTTAGATGTCCTCAGGAGCGGCGGCAAAGGCGAGGTTGAACTCGTGCTCAAGAAGAAGGATGGTAGCGAAAAATTCATCAAGACCAAGCACACACTGTCGCATGATCAGTGTGGATTCGTACTTGCCGGTAGCGCGCTTAACCTGTTGGCGAGAAAGGGGAGGGAGATGAAGGAGGAGGTTACGCGGAGTGCGGAGTTGACTGACTAGAACATTGTTCGGTCTGCATATGTATGAGGTTAGCAAGTGTAGTTTTTTTTGTGTGAAAAAAAGGAACTGGAAAAGGTGTATGGGGCGCTAGGCGGTTCTTATCGTGCTGACAGTTTTAAGTAGCATTGTTCAATATTTATATTGATTCATGCTCTCTACTAGAGATTTTCTGCATTCGTTTTTTTAACTACATGGCCGTCGCTTTAATTGTGTATGGTCGAGAAGTCTGTCTGCACGAGTCCCTTCATAAAGTCTCGCATCGGATTAAGCAGTGAGTCACGTCGACGGCAGTGTGTGATAGGTTCAGCGCAGTGAGATCGCCGCGGGGAACGTAGATTCCTCAATCAATCATAGAGGAGAAGAAAAAAGTTGTAGAAGCTCAGCTGAATCCACACGCACAGGGGCATTTGTGGTGCATTTTATAGGAGGTATTGGGGGGTTGATAGTGGATTGGTTGAGTGGGGCGGTTGGGTTGCCGGCTATTGCTTCGATTGCTTGTTTGGTTTGTTAGGTGTGGAGTTAGATATCCTTCTAGGGTTTGTTTTATTTAGAGTTTCCGCGGGTTGTGTAGGGAAAGGGTAGATGGAGAGCAGTAGACAGTTCGACAGGAATGTATAGCTTTTGGTAGTAGATGTTGGATGGTAGAATGATGCTTTTTTTGGTTTCTTGTGAAATGTTTGCTATCTTTTCTTGGGGAGAAAGGGGGTGTTGGAACTAGGGTTACCGGTGCGGCTGTAGTATATGTCACATCGTGTAGCTGTTTTGCCACGAAGAGTCTGCTTGTTTAGGGTGTATTAATGAATTCTTGATGAGAATAGCGGTAGAGACTGTAAGCGCCGTTTAGCGATGTTGCATATGTGAAGATCTGTGGTAGTTTAGGCATAAAGTCTAGTGAATAACTTATGTCAGGCCGCAGAACAGCGCCATAATCGACCTGCGACAGATCTCGAAATGGTCTCTTTCTGATGGCGTCAACATGCTGGATACGAGTACTCAGCCGTGATATAGTCGGCTTGTGATCGCCAAGACGCGTTCTAAGTATGCGGAAGCTGAACACAAGAGTTGAAGATCTCAATAGGTAGTTGGCTTAAAACTTAAGAGCTATGGTATTGTGCAGCGCCTGTATCATTCGATGTATAACTGAGATAGGTAGTTTAATTCACAGCCCCCACACTTTCTCCCTCTTACCTCCCTCACTCAAGTATCTGCAGCCATGCATAAAGATGCGAAACCTTTCCCGTTTCACCGTATGTACATACCTAAAAGGCGTGATCTAGTTTTCGCGTAAATCCCGATTGCCCCGCTCTGAGGGGCCACACTTGAAAACCTTTACCCCACCATGCCTCGCAACTGCCACGCCTTCTGCCTCAACCTGCGAAATAACGGTATTTATATACTATAAAATTGATTCTACTTACATCAAATCAGTACATCTTCAGTCGTATAGTGGTTAGTATTTCCGCTTGTCATCGTCTACACGACGGCAAATCCGCGGGAGACCTGGGTTCAATTCCCAGCTGGAGAGCATTCAGCACCGATCTACTTTCTTTTTTTGCCTTTTTTTGGTAGTTATCACGTGGTGGTGGATGGGTATGTGGGTTAGGATGCTAGTATTTTTTTAGTTAGCTAGCGAAGAAGGGTTCTAGTAATAGAAGAGTTTCTCAGGTTATACTGCGATGCAGACCCTTAGGCTGTGTTGTTTTACGCGCAAGAGATGTGAAGATTGTAGTCGAGACATTGAGTTGTGTATTAATCTACAAGAGTGACCCGAGAGCGTGCTTGGTGACGCTGAATAAGCCTTTGGGTAAGTTGACTGTGAGGTATATACTGCTAGATACTTATTGTATACCTAGGACATAGGTAAGCACCATAGACATGTTTGGAGCCTACAGTGGCTTTTTTACAGCAGTATATTAAGTTTCCTATGTCATTTGGGTGTATACGTAGTTCCAAAGCCCTTTGTACGCGGACGTGTCAACTATTCCATGTCACTTAGGTGTTTGTTTGTGTTAATCAATCGAGCCGCTAGCCAACTTCTCTAGAACAGGTCCAAAGAAACCACCCCAATACCCGTCTTCTGTCTCGTCTACCCCATACTTGAGCACATTCCCATACAACCTGAGCAACCGAAAAACTCCACGTATCGATCTCGTACTCAGCCCCTCAAATCGAAATTCATCCGGGCCGAGAATATGCACCCCGCTTCTCCCCGCCACGACATCTTCGCGCGGATAGGCGTAGTAGATGGAATGCTCGTGTCCGACAATGGTGAATGCAGGCTCGGCCATGGCTGGTGGGTTGAAACGAGTTTGTGAGAGTTGTGCGAGCTCCTGCTTTTTGCGCAGCGATGCCGCGATCCATATACTCATCTGGAGTTCCGCTTCTGTACGAGATCCAGATGCGTGGTTAACCTCGAAGCCGGAGAACAAGGCAGTGCGCTTCGTAAAGGTATCGAGGGTGTGTCTAATTTCGCTTTTGTGTGCAGCAGTTAGTTTTTTTGTAGAGGGCTGAGATGTTAGGGTGTTCATGCGAGTAGGAGAGGACGTAGGTCGGTTTAGCCGTCTATAGTTATGCGGCGGCTAGGGTCGGTCGGGGAGGAGGCAGGGGTTGTGGAGAGGTAGAGGGGGTTGATGGATTGCGTTTAACTAGATGCGTGGTGGTTAGTTCGCAGGTTGTTAAGAGAGAATTCGTAGTGGAAGATATACATACACGTTCTGCAACCACCATTTATCATCACCATTTAGCTCTATTGCTAGATAAAGCAGAGGTGCCACTAGATCGTTGCACCATGCATTCTCGTCTCGGTTATCGTCCTAGCAGACACGCGCATTAAGGTATATTCTCTTAACTTTCGTCCATATGCCCAATAATTCCTCAGCGGAACGCAAATCACTATAGTTTACGTCGGCTGGTTTGATTTGTTAGTAGCCCACATATAGATCAGTGTTGATAACATTCTAGATATATGGCATCAGATCTAGTAACATCTACTTAAGTACATAGACGTACCAGCAAACCCTAAGGAATAAACCCAGAGTCAATACCCTCAGCAAGCCAATCAGCAAACCGCTCAATATGCCTAGGAGGTACATCCTCTAGGCAACCAAGATCTTGTACCAACACTGGGGGATATGCGCTTCTTAGCATCATCACCGCCTCACCGCCTCACCTATTGGGCTTGATGAACGTTTCTGACTTAAGGAAACATGACTAGCGGAAGGGCTGAACGCATTCTCTTCGTTCAAACTTGATGCCAACGGCAGAGTGGGAGGGATGCAAGCATCCGACACAGAAGCAACCCAGGCGTTGACGCGATCGTGTTGAGGTATACAACCATTTTCTGAGACCATTGCGGTGGAGTTATCGCGTGCTGGGGTAGTAGGCAGTGATATATCGGCGGGTGGCTCCACAGGGTTTCCGACGCACCGACCCGCCCAGCCGATGCAATCACCTAGGCGTACCTGATACAACCAAACTGCATGCCTAAACCATCACAGATTTTCACACCTGCGACATTGATAAACGGCACTTACTACCATACTAGGCTCATTCCGTGATTTGGATAGTAATGTACTCTACCACAATCACACAAAGAACCACAACTCACTCCACAACAGCATGCACCAAAAACCCGGGTATCTAATTAAATCTCCAAAGAATAAAAACTAACCACACACAACCATCAACAAACATCTACCCAAACTTCAACCCTTGGGCAGGATCCCACCGTCCATCCTGAGGAGGACCAGCCGCAGGTCTCGCATTACCAGACGTCGTAGGCACGCCACTGAACCGGATACCAACTTCCGGCGTCCACATACCAGCTGGAGGCGGCATATTCGCTCTCGTAGGCGTCGGGGCAGCTAGTGGTTCTTCTGCATGTGCAGTAGCGCCGTAGTTTGGGTTCTGCGCATCTGCCTGTTTCTGCTGGTGGAGGGAATCCGATGTAGCTTGTTGGAGACCGAGGGAGCTCATTCGGGTGGAGAGATCGCTGTGATGTAGTGTTAGTAGATATACATATATCAAATTATTTTAACGAAACTAACTCACTTTTCAAGATGTGAAGCCTCCGACTTGCGATTGTAGGCAAAAGTGCGGGCTTCATCCCGGAATCTGTTGACGATTTTGGCGAGATCGTTGTAGAACTTTCGGCCGACGTCGAGGTTGGAGATGATTTCCTTGTACTTGAAGTATGCATTCTCCAGGTTCTGTAATGCTTGTTCGCGCTTCTTGGTGGATTGGTCGCCGCGGCGGGCGATTAAGAAGGCGGCGTTTGCATCTTGTAGTCGCTTGATGGCGGCTTCTTGCTCCTTCTCTTCGTCGTGGACCATGTCTTGGTCGGCATCGTACATCTGCAGCCGCTTGTCGAAAAGGGACTCAAACTGCACAGCTTCGATTGTCTGCATGGGAAATTCTCGCTCTAAACGGGCAGCTTCACGTAGTAGTTCCGGATCTAGCTTGCTGTCAGAAAATGGCTGGCGGAGATTGAGGTAACGCTTACTTATGTCATCCTGCTTGGCCTTTGTCCGCAAGGCTTCAATCTTCCGTCGTCTCCTACTCTCCAGTCTGCTTACTTCATTGAAGCTACCGCGAAGTTTACCAGCTTCGCGTTCTACATCACCAGTAATCGCAGGTCTCCGGCCACTAGGAACGTAGTTTTCCAGGTCATGATCAGGTCCGCTGAGTAGCTGGATGAAGTGCTCGTTCTCCTTTAGCTTCTTCTTACAATGTCATCGCTGTTGGTAGCAGCTCTGAAATAACCGTCAATCTCTTGAATCTGAGCATACAACTTAGGCGCAGCTTGTTCAGCAGGGGGTCTTGTCCAACGCTCGGTGCCGAATTTGCGTCGTGCGCCTTCGTCTTCTGCCGCTTCTGATCTCAAAATTTGTACGCCCTCTTGGTAGATGGCCTGATCGGTGTACATGAGCTTCTTTGTATCCTCCATTGAGCGTAGTAGCCGGTTGATACCATCTTGTTGGCGAATCTCATCCGCGTGGGCTACGAGACCTGGCGGAAGACCCAGTGGCTTTTCAAGGGCCTGCAGTGAACCAGGCAGGTTCAAGCTGCGGAGTACCTCGTGTATCTTGTTGGTAAGCGCTTCCAGCTGTTCAACAATGGTGTTGTTGACTAAGCGGTCACGACGGTCCACGTATATGCTAGCTGCCAGATGTACAGAGTATGGGACTAGTTTCGAGAATAGTGCAGGGCCAAGCTCACCACGCTCCCCGAGCATTGAGTTTGACTCGGCAATTTCCTTTGGAACCCTTGCTACGACCATGTTGGCCCGATCCAGAATCTTTAGCTCTGCCTTGGGTGGTACGGGTAATAGGTAGATCATGTCATTGTCCTTCTCCGCCCGTTTCAGGTCTTCCGTTATGCGGTTCTTTAGGCCATTCAAATCTGCAAGCACGAGCTTGTTGATGTACCGTTGTTCCTTGAGTGCTTCATTCACGCAAGTAAGACTATCGCGTAGTCTTGCAACCTCTTCGCCGTACTTGCGCTTCTCCAACGTGTCGCAAGCGGCGCGGTACTGGGCAGCAGCAGCAAAGTGGTGGTGCTTGGCTGTCATATGGTGTATCCACTCGCTGCTGATTGCGTCTGATTGTATTCCCGCATCGCCTGCCTCGTTATACAAGTCGGATACGCGTGCGGCTAGTTTCGCAATGGTGGCATCCTTTAGCCCATCCTTGACGGCCTTTTGCCAGAAACACTCCTGGCCCTGGGCCAACAGGAGCTTCTCCAAGCACTCCAATGTCATGATATCCATGTCCTCTGGTGGGTCTGTACGCAGCTCTGGCAGAATGCTATTCCTCAGATGTGACAATACTCCAGCGCCGAGGCAGAAGTTGTTGGCCGCTGCTTTCAGCCCGTCTGGGGTGCTTCGGTTCGACGACATGGCGAGCTGCGAGTACATGGCCGCGAGGTTGAACATGATGTTGGCGAGCTCGAAGCGCAGGTTATTTCGCGACGTCGGTCTGCTCGTGTTGTAACCCAGCGCAGGGTACCAGGGAAACTCGACGCCGATATCGATGGGAAACTTGCCGCTCAGCCATATCAACTGTGCAGCGTACTGCTGCAACTTGGGGATGTTGCTCGGATGGGGTTCTTGGGCGTGTACGGCGACGGAACGAAGCTTCTCAATTGTCTCCAGGTCCTTTGTAAACATGTCTGGATGTTGGTCATATTTGGAAGATATGTACTGTTTGATGGCGTCGGTCAGATTCACCGAGTGTGACCGTCGAAACGGGAGGAACAGGATGTTGCTGGTCATGGTTGTGAGTCGGGCTTGGGTCCCAATGCGGCGGAAATACTCACGAGGCCATGGCGAATCTTTCTTCGCAAGTGTTTACAGAAGCTCAGCGGAGACGTCACCGGGCCGCTACGAGCCCCGCGCTAGTGAAGGTGGGGCTCGTTCACTCACATCCAGGAACGCCATTAGCACAGCAAACACCAGATGAAAGCTTGGGAGACTATTTTCGCGCTACATTGGCAGTGTCCCAATGTAGAAGATGGAGCGCGGCCGTCTGCAAGGCGGACACGGCGGACACGGTGTCCTGACGCGCAAGCATTGAGCAGGAGCCTCCAGACGAGGCCATTGTCAGTGGAACCCTCCCGTGAGCATGTTTCATGCCACCATGGTGCCCGCACGTCAGAAAGTACGTGATAGCTGAAGCACGACGGGTTGCACATGCCGAGCAATGGCGTGCGAGAGGCGGATATGTCAGCGGGGCAAGAACAATCTATGCTAATCTAGCTCAATTACAAGACCATTTGAAACTTGCGCATCCATCTTTGTCCAGTGCACCTGCTTGCCGCCCTTATATATATCCGGCACTCCCTCTTCACACATTCAGACCAAACACCATCCAGCGATACCCACAACCCTCGACCAAATTAAGCCCTGCACCATCACTGCTCCTCCGCATCACTTCCCCAAACTGCAACCACAGTCTTCAAAATGACCCACACATACAAGTTCAACGTTGCCATGAGCTGTGGCGGCTGCTCCGGCGCCATCGAGCGCGTGCTCAGTAAACTTGACGGTCAGTATGACTCAGCAGTCATGCGCTGCAACGTGCGCCAGAATAGCTTCTAACTATCTTCTCAGGTGTTGAGTCCTTCAACGTCTCGCTCGAGACCCAAACCGCCGAAATCACCGCTGCCGATTCGCTCGACTATGAGACGGTGCTCGAGAAGATCAAGAAGACTGGCAAGACTGTAAAGTCTGGCGAGGCTGACGGCGAGGCCAAGGAGATTTAAATTGTGGAATGAGATATATTTCTGTTGGTGCGAGGAATGGACATCACGGTCGTCTTGTGCGCGAGCTCTACGCCGCCGCCACGACCCTCTACATCTGGAGCAGTGTATAGGCGCTGCGAATGAATCAAGGATACCCTAAATATACTGTGTATGCCACGATATGACATCAAGTGACGCAGTGGCAGCCTTCACAGCCAGTACATCAATGATCCTTTGGAGAGTCGCGGCATGTCGGAGTTTGACAAGATTGCGCCTTGCCCAAACGGCGGGTTGAGGTCACTTGCCACGAGTTGAAGCCGGGTTGTCACTTTCCCAATGGAAAAGCCACGCTATCTTCACTCATTGCGCAATTTCCGTGGCTGATTGTTACCTGCCTATTGATACGGCCAATTATCTCCGACTGATGTAATCTGACCGCACATGACCCGAAGAACCTGGTACCTGAGCTATGAGGCCCTCTGTCAACATGCTAGATACATGCATGCTCCGGCTTGTCCCTTGAACTCCACTTCAGCACTGCCTGCATTGAGAAATTTCAAGACCTTGCCCGTTTTCCGCCCCTCCCATGGCTCGTGCCGCCTGCCGAATGTGTTCGTCTATGATATAGTTGGGATGAGTATGCATGTGAACCTCAAGTTTCAAGCTCAGGATCATAATTAACCGCTTTACGCGACGACCACCTAATTCACAGATTCAAGCACGCGCACAAAACATCAAAGCTCTGACTTGAGAGTAAAACTGCATTATTCGCTGCACTGCCGTCTTACAGTAGCTGGGTCATATCGGGAACACCCGGTTCGCGGATCAGCCCTAACCGAAATATGTCAGCAAGCCCAAGGGGCTGAGCCTCATAAACTACACCAATGCAGATGGTCAGTATAATGCAAACTTTCGGGGATACACGGCATGCTGATCCGTATGACGCTAGAACATGGTACCTGCTATGCGTGTTGCTGCTATCTTGGTTTCAGGCATGCAAAATGGCTTACAGGCTATGTGATATAAATCCTTCAAGACCGTGGGGTTTGGAGGCTATAACACCAAACTCAGTTGAATAGCCTCCTCATCCTTTATCTCAAGGCCTCCAATCACCACTCTGTTTACATTATTTAGCATAGCTTCATTATGCCGACTCCTCCAAGAAGCTCAGTCTCCTTCCCGAGCCACGCGGACCTCTTCTACTTCTGCACAACATCGTCACCATCAGAGGAAGATCTCAACATCCACTACGCCCCTCCTTCGAGATCTTCCCTACGCATCGGCGTGGTCATCTACAGTCCAGAACCAGTCCAACTGCTAGACCTAGCCGCCCTCGACCTCCTCGCCATGGTCGGAAGAAACAGAATCAGCCGAACCAACGCCACGGCCGCTGCCATTGACGAAGCCATGGATGAAATCGACATTCGATATGTCAGTGTGACCGGAGAAGGGAGTTTCCCAGTCACGTCTGGCGCACGAATGCCGGTGACGGTGAGCTAAAACCTCGAATTTTGCTCCGTATCAATCACGATGCACCCGACGTGCATCCAATCCCCGTATAGCCGCCAACTCTCATGGCCAGGAAGAGAGCCGCTTTTTGGCCGCGCTGGATTCGCCTGGTCTTGACTATATTTACTAAAAAGTAGTCATCTCTGACAGTCTGGCGGAGAGGTAAAGGTCACCACATACCCCCGTCCTAATCCTCCGTTCGCATCAACATCACACCGAGCATCTGACTAATTCCCATGTTAGAACTCCTTCGCAAACGCCCCTCAATTCGATATCCTCCTCATCCCCGGGTCTTTTTCCTCGGCCGAATTACCAGCTGAAGCCTCCTCATTCCTCACAACGCAATGTCTAAACACCAATCTCCTCGCCATCATGAGTATTGCATCTGGCATCTCGTATCTAGTCCAAGCCGGCAGTTTGCAAGGAACACGCGTTTCAGCACCGCGATGTCTGCTTCCAGCGCTACAGCAGAGATACCCGGAAGCCCAGTGGCAGTTTTCATCCTGGTCTCGACATGGCAAGGTTTGGACTAGCAATTCTGCTGTATCCGCGCTGGATATGGTGGCGACTTGGATGAGAGAGTATTTCTGGGATAGGAGACAGGTTTTTGAGTGTGTTTTGACGGATGCGGGGTTGGGCTCGCTGGTTGAGTATAGTCATTGTGATTATTGATGGGGCTTACATGGACATAATCTCCACTCTAGTTACATCGCATGGACCCAAACTGCAAAAGAAAGAACAACGGGCGTAACGGCTACGATATCTGTACTATAGGACGAAGGAGTTTTCTTTTTAGAGACTGTGTATTTTTAGACAACCTTGGATAGTAGCGTCGATGATCGACAGCTCTCCGTATTTCAATGCAGAAAATTGCATCCACTGAGTAGAGCATAACATAGCCTTTCCATGGGATATCAGCAATAAGAACCAAAAAAACCCCCTCGAGACACCAGGAAAATCCAAGTGCAAAACGTTGCAAGGAGCTATATAGCAGCAACGGAATTCCAAATAAAACTACCCGCTGTCTATGAGATATTCAAAGCCAAAGAAGCTCGACCAGACAAATACATGGTGAGGAATATGTCACATCTGGCTCAGTTCAGCGCGCTGAAGGGTGTCAGGCAGCCACATGACATACACGTGCGAGAAGGGTTGCTGTCAAAGATAAACACATGTCACATCTCAAAAACAGAAAGCAAGGGTAACCTATACATGAAAATCAGATTACTTATACAGTACACTTTGGTACACACATAATACCATACCCGCATCCCCCGATAAGCCTATAACCCACATACACGAGTACACGTCAGAAAAAACTCCACATGGCATCCTGCATAAGCACGTGAAGCACATAACCTACATTACCCCAAGCGTACATAAGACCATACCTAGCGCTGAAACCCTCTATGCAGACCCGAAAAGAAAGAAAATAAACTCCCCTACCACCCCCGTAAACTCCAAAACCCCATTGTGATTATATTACCCGACTCGAACCTAAACTAAATACAAAGCCGTAGCCATAGCTAACGCTTTATCCTCATTCTTCCACGCACCTTCCTTCACCCCCTTCTTATCCTTCTTCTTCTTCTGCCTTGACTTCTTCTTCATTTCACCCTCAGAATCGGAACCGAAGCTTGATCGGAAAATGGATGATTTAGGAATATCACCTTTATTATCCGTGACAGTTTCACGTGTAGATGCGGTAAACCTAAGGTTGGGGTATAAAGCTGCAGGAGTGAGGCATGTGTAAAATGCTTCATTGCTGTCTAGTTGGCCGAGGCTAGTTTCAGGCATTGGTGGAGTGAAGATTCTAGCACGTCGTCTTCCTAGGCTTGGAGGCTGTGTGGAAGTGGGGTTCGCATACCTGGTGTGCGCTGGACGGGCGGCTGGTGCGCCGAAGGGGGTTGTGACTTGCGTATTGCTGAGCGTGTCTGTTGCTGTTCTCACTCTAAGTCTGGGATAGCCTAGCTCACGGGGCTGTATAGACGTTGTGAATGAGGTTTGGGGTAAATCCATGCTGAACGGCGTTCCGCTCACTTCATCCGGGTTCCTCAATCCAAAGTCCCTGACTGCTGTTCCTCCATTTTTTAGCTCTTCCTTGGTTCTCTGCTCTGACTTGTTCTTCTTCGGCTTACTGCTGCGCAGAAAGCCGTGCTTGATTGTGTCTGGTCCCTCGAACTTGGGGCTGAACTCGGGACTGAATTCGGGACTAAACTCATTCAAATTGGCTGCTGAAGTGGTTCCATGAAATCCCATGGTTGGGGAGTCCTTAATAGGCCACCCGCTGGTATCTGCACTCATACCCGAAAGCCTCCTTTCTTTGTATACCTGTTCAGCAGGCGGGTGGCGCTTTGAGGACGTCTTCAAATCAGGGGTTGAGGATACTGAAAAAAGAAATCGTCCAAACTTTCCTGCCTTGGCAAGAACATTTCGGAAAGAGTTCTGACGTTTAGTGACGAGAGGTGGCGTGATAACCCTCGGGAGTGATATACCAGAAGGGTTACCGACCGTGTTGTTCTGATGATGCCAGTTCGTCTTAGATTGATGTCCATTTATTGGGAAAGTGCTACGCTGAGGCGATTGCGTTGCAGGTATCGCTGTGCTGGGGCGATATTGCTCATCCACCGTTGCCATCCGCGGAAAGTCATATCTATGCAGTTGTCGCCCCCTCACTGCTGCAGAAACATTGTCATTAGACAAACCAGTCCTACGATTAAGCTCTTGCTTTTGCGCTTCCTTTACATGCCTGTGCTCCTCTTCGCGTCTGCGATCTGCTTCTTCGTGCAGCCGACGCTGTTCTTGTATACGGCGTATCTCTCTGTCGCACTCAACCTTTCTATATGCATTGGAGGACTTGAGCCCTGGCAAATCAATCAATGTATCGTCCACTGTGTTCGCAGACATTATCGAGGGTGCTCCGAGATTATCGTCGTCCGAATCACTGGATGTCTCGTGTGCATCCAGCTCAGAATCCCAATATCCTGCTGGGTGAGATAGTGGGCTTTGGGGCGGCGGTGAAAGACTGTTTGTGTTCCATCGCTTCTCATCCCTTGGCATCGTCTCTGGCATGCACATTGTACTAGCAAGTTCTCGTGTCTTTCCTGACTCGACAGTGTCCTTCGCATTTGGGCGCGATGGACCAGGTATTGATGTCTTCATGGGTGGCTGACGTCCGAAGTGATTGTGCAGTATCGCATCGACACGAGCTTTATGTTCCGAGCTTCCGCTTGTGCTATCTGAGTGCTTCGTTCCTAGACGCTGGTCTGTGTTCTGACCTCCGACATAATCATCTTGTCGACTGTTATGAATAGTAAATGGCTGTGCGGGTACATGTCCCGGCATCGGCTGTTTCCCAGAACGAACATCGGAAAAGTGCGAATGCTCACTACGCGGAGGTCGCAGGCTCGAGTCATTGACTACAATGTTACCTCGAGGGACTTCCTTGTACTCAACTGAAGTTTTCAGTAGCGCTGTATCACTCTCTTGTCGGAGATTTTGCGCACTGGCCGTCTTCCACAATGGCTTCAGGTTGTTCCAGCCACCACCTCGTAGTCGTACTGCTGGTGAAGCACTGTTGGTTATTGCAGAAGCCTGGCCCTGCGCATCGCTTCGTAGGTCAGGAGATGTCAACACAGACTGTGTCGCCAGATAATCTTGCGCATTGGAAGCAATATAGTTGCCATACATATCCCTTCCATTGTTCAGGGGTGACATTGGACAGGAAGGCCGGGAAAGATTAGCACCCAGTGGCGCATACTCTCGCTTGCCTGTCGATGGAGATGTTGGCGGAAAGAGCGACAGAGGGGCGGACCTGAGGGGCAAAGAGGAACTATCGTCTCTGTTGGCATCCCTTCGAGACTCGGCTGCTTGCAATGTAGGGCTTGAGAAGCCTTGTGCTAGCCTGGCCGATGCTCTCGATTCCATGTTTGCGCTATTCTGGTGAGATGATGGAAAGTGACTGTCAGCACAGTGCAAAGGTGTTGAGTGGGTCATGGTTCTGCCGTGGCTTCCTTGTTGAGCAGGTACTGTGCGCGCTAACGTATCCGCGTTCACCAGACTCGCGTCATACTCTGATGAATGCTGGTCCTTTGCATCCGGTGCTGTTGAACCTTGACTTGGTTGCTCTGATTGCAAAGGCTCCAGTCGATCACCATGATCTACCTCTGGCCTGGTCAAGCGCATGCAACACTCACCTTGCACACTTTGATCGTATGAGTGCTCACTTGATCCGTCCTCCTCACTCTGTGTGTCAACCACTTCCCAGTCAGGCCAGCTCTGGTGATGTGCATAATCGCGCATTCTCTTCTCGTGAACAACGGTAGTGATTCGTCTCTGATGTGAGTCGGCTAACCCACAATCAGTCTCCTCAGAAAGGGGGGATGGAAAGGCCGGTACGCTAGAAGTATCCACAGCCTCAGATACTATTGCGTATAGTTTGAGCTGATATGCTGAGCTGTTTCGTAGTTGACTTCGAACAGGAATCGGTGGTGGCGTTGTGGGCGGCTCTGCGGAAGCCGTAAATTCAGCCATTAGGAAGGTGCACCGGCGTTGACACAAGGCAATTCATGCAGTAGTTCGCAAAGGATATAGCCTGGGGAAGGGTGTAAAGTGTGGAGTATAGTGCATGCACATTCATCGAGGGATGACCTGCATGATTGTTCGGAGCGGGGCGGCATGAGTGTTGGTCAATGACGAATAATGTGAATGCAGCATCGGCTTCAACTCGAAGTAAGCCAGCACGGTGGCATTGGCGGTCAGGACTTTTTCAAATGGCGGCCCTGCCTTTGCAAATGTTGACCGCCATGTTGACCGGAAGTGTCAAACGAGCACTTGTTGGAGGCATTCTCATGATATTACATTGAAACTGCATGCATATGAGCCTTCAAATCTTGTGCTAAATAGACATGTACCAGTCAGACTAGCTTCTGACAGTCCAGAACACCATGTAAACGCCAAAAGCTCCAATGCTGGCAATTGTCTGATACAGTCGTGTATATGCACTTTGAACAAACAAGACAGGAGTGCTCACTGGGATATCCCCACCCTATGAATCACTAAACGCCCGGTAACTATGCATGTCGATGCGTACGAAAGTGAAGAACCCCGGCTAATCAGCCTCTTCGTCAAGCTTCTTGCCCTCATTCTTAAGCTTCTGATGGAGCATTTTCAATGTTTCAAACGTCAACATGGTTGTGACGGCTGCAGGGACAGCGCGCACCATGTTGGTGCCCATTCCATTGTAAAAGGCCCTCCAGCCTTCTTCTTGCAGAATGACAGTGCACGTTCGAAGAATCCCGCGGTACCGAGGCAAGTTTATCATACCATCCGATGAGGCTGTCCCAGGAGGTCGCGTGTGAAAGCGATCATGCTGGCCTCCTCGGAAGGATATGTGGTTGTCATGTGACGGTAGCGATCGCTGCTGCGTTTGTAGACGTGTGCGTAGAACTTCATGTGGGTACGTTGCTGAGGTGGCCGTCATTTTGCTAAGCACGGTTGCCAGTGCGATGGCAAACCAATGCACATCTTCGGTTTTGGTGTCGGTCTGGCCCATTTCTAGGCCAGTAAACTTCATCTTGAGAAACTCATATAGCGGGAATTGGATAGCAACGTGTGTGAGGCCAAGCAGTGCTGGTGTGAGACCAGAGTAGAAGGAGGCAATGCCTTCTTTGGCGTACATTTTGCGAAACGCATCAAAGGTGTTGCGGTAGTGCCATGGCGGCCGGTGCTCGTCTGATGCGCGAGCGCTGACTTGCGACATCAATCTCGTCTTGACTACCCATATGGGGTTGGTTACCAGAGTGGAGCATCCGCCAGCAGCTAGTGAAGCGAGGGTTCGTGCGAGCCATTTGTTCTCTGCAGTAAAATGTCATCAGTAAGACTATAGAGTAGGCGGCTAGTTGGGCTACTAACCCATCTGCGGATATAGAAAATTCTTAGTTGAATCGTAAGTGCTCATGTAGACGGCCCAGGTTGGAATGTATCCAAGGAGCATAGGCCCAAGTCCTCTGTACAGGCCGCGAATACCATCCTCGACCCATATCACGCGCGCAGTCCCGGTAAGGCCTTTGTATACAGCGCGCTTCGGTCCCGTGTAAGTTCGGGGCCGGAAAGAGCCTTGGGCCTGCAATCTGGTCTTGATAACATCGAGCGGACATGTGACTATGCCTGAAGCGACTCCTGCCGAAGCTCCACACAGCGCATTCACTGAGCTATCAGGAAGGCGGGCAACCCTCACAGCAAGACTCGCAATGGGCGAGCTCCACATACTCTGCTTGTTTGTTGCTGACATATCGCGCGGTTCGACTGCTACGGCGGAAGGCGCATACCGGTCGGGAACTTTAGGCGGGGACGGCGGCTCGGAATTGTGCGTCGACATTTGGGAAACTGTAGTTGGCGATCTGTTAGAACCAAGATCATTCCCCCCTGTACGCTGGAGAGGTCGAGATTAGGTTGCGTACAGGCCGTCGTCCCCTTTGCGGTGCCTCAGTGTGCGGAAACCCCGCAGCACTTGAGTAACACGATGACTAGCGATTGTTCGGCTCCATTGACATGCAGAAGGAAAGCAAGAAGGCGCGGGGGGTTATAGTGGCCTGCAAGCTTTTCCGGGTGTTTTGCGCTGGGGGCGGGCGTCTTATGTGCAGTTGTCTTGTGGGTAGTGCAGAAGTTGGTTTCTCGCATCCGACGTCAGAGCTAGCAAGACGGCACGAGTGAAGTTGCTTTGACGGGTGGGGACGGCGCTGAATAAGACAAAGATCCGGCGGGCGGCCAACCCTAGCTCGGCCTATTGGAGTTCGCTTCTTTCGCATTACGACCTCACCACTTCTGTCTGTCAAAACTGCGCCCGCAATTGACGACACCATCCCGACCCGACTACCCCGAGCCGACGTCGATTCTCCGCAACCATGTCTGCGCCATCCCTCGCCCCCTATATTATGAAGCGCCCGTGGCTGCAGCGCTGGGTGAAGCCCCTCTCCAACTGGTACTGCAACGCAGCTGGCTACAGGCAGCTTGGACTGAGGTACGGAACCCTTGAGATGGTTATGGAGTGGAGAAGATGAGGAAAGGAAGATGGGTGGGATATTTCAGGAAGAGAGTCGATGGGCTGACGGGATTTGCTGTACAGGGCCGATGATTTACTCCCAGAGGAGAACGATACCGTCCAGAACGCTCTCAAGCGTCTTCGACCCCAGGACGCCTACGACCGTGTTTTCCGTCTGCGCAGGGCCTTCCAGGTACATCTGAGCCATAACAAGGAAGATATGCCAATTGGCTAACATGCGCCAGCTTTCCATGTCTCACCAGCTTCTGCCCAAGGAGGAGTGGACCAAGCCCGAAGAGGTATGAATACCGAGTGCGATGGATATCCCGGACACTGACAATGCGATAGGACGTACCATACCTCTCAGGAATCATCACCGACATCGAGGCCGAGATGAAGGAGCGCGAGGACCTCGAGACCATGATTGTCCAGAAGAGGCAGAAGAACGCCGCCACCGGTCACTAGATGTACATATCGAGTCTGGCATGGTCGGAGCCGAGGCTGGTAGAATGATTTTGAGGTTGCGCAATAGAGTGTACCATATCAACAGTTTTATTAGGAACCATCTCCATTGCATACAAGGCTCAGCTGTTTTGTGTGGATACTCCGTGGCTATCAACGGTCATCAGCTAATGTGTGACCGGTTTTCTTTCCGCAATATGTTAAGTGCAGACTGACATAAGATTTGACATGACAGGTGCCAAAGATCTTTAAACATAACTTTCGGCGTTGCAGTAACCTTCATAATCCAAGACTAGAGAGACTGTGGACTTGTTGTCATTGAGAAACATTTTTACATATAATCTAGTGGAGGATTTTTTCCATTATGGGATGCACTGGGAAAAATGCATTCCTAACCTACTATCTGAGATGAAATTTGATTAATACACATTAAAATCAGCTCTCACTAATCTTCTAACTTATTGGCATATATTCCTTTGGGTGGCATGCGATCAATGTAACTAATGGGATATACGAAGGAAAAGCGGAGTGACAGATTCCTGATATGTCAGCACCACGCGACCATGTGCTCAGGCGTCAGCCCAGAAAAGGCCCCAGACACCTTCCCCTCGCAGCGCGTCACGCCTCAACCCTCCCTGAACATCCAAACTACAGCTCATGTTGATACGAAATTTTGTGCATCATAACCTTTTGACAACAACTGTATTTTGTTCGCAACCTTCTTGATGACCTAGATGCTAACCCTATGACGTCAGACCACCCTTTTCACCAGAAACACCAACATCTACAAACAATACAGTATGTCTTTGAGGCGCTCAGCACGCATCGCGAGCAGCAATACTCTAGTAAACTCCGAGCCCAAAGCTGAAAATGGTGTTGCAAAATACGAAAAGGTCGCCAAACCAACTGCGACGACAAAAAAGCGCAAAACAAAAGTGAACCTCTTACCAGCCGAAGGAACCGACGAGACAGAATCTACACCCCCAGCTACACCCCTCCCCAAGAAGAAATATAAATCAGGTGCTACCGTAGAATCACCATTGAAACCTCCACCATTCACACCCACCCCTTCAGCCATCAACCTCTTGTCAACCAGCACATCACTCCGACAACCAGAAACAGACCATCCCCTAGAGACCCTCCTCCAGCCCCGCCCCGCAGCTCCCCATGCCACAAACGCGCCCCTCTCCACTCCCAACGGCTCCTACACCGTCTCCGCGTACCCAACTTCCTCACCCATTAAGCCAGAGGACCCCTCGCCAGCCAAGAAGCGCAAGGCCAAGGAGCTGGTTCCCCCGGACGTTGGCGCAATTCCCAATGCAAGCACGGATGTTGAGAGATTGCTGAAGGATGCAGAGGAGTTTCTGGTGAAGGTGGATCCGAAGTTGGAGGAGTTGGTGAAGAAGCATCATTGTAAGATTTTCAGTCCTGAGGGGCTGAGGGAAGTGGTGGATCCTTTTACGGCGTTGAGTTCGGGGATTATTGGACAGCAGGTACGTTGGCATCTATCTCTCACTTGGGATGGGGTTACTAGGTGCTTGATGAGTGGCATGGCTTGAAGCAGCGAGCACACTGGAAAGCATCTCCCTCAAACCCCGTCCATCAGAACTGTAAAAATAACACATCCCCACCCCAGGTATCCGGCCAAGCTGCCTCTTCAATCCGCGCCAAATTCACAGCCCTCTTCCCAACCACCCACCCGGCCTTCCCCACGCCCACCCAAGTCCTCCAGCTCCCCATCCCCACTCTCCGCACCGCCGGCCTCTCCCAACGCAAAGCAGAATACATCACCGGTCTCGCCGAGAAGTTCTGCTCGGGTGAACTCACCGCGCAGATGCTTGTCAGCGCTAGCGACGAAGAGCTGATTGAGAAGCTGGTGGCCGTACGGGGGCTGGGACGGTGGAGTGTGGAGATGTTTGCGTGTTTTGGGTTGAAGAGGATGGATGTTTTTAGTACGGGGGATTTGGGGGTGCAGTGAGTAGACTGTTTTACTTTGTGTTTTTTTTTGGGGGGGGGGGCAGTGTGTGTGTATGTGTGTGTGTGGTGGTGATGATGCTAACATGCTCGTATTCAGACGCGGTATGGCCGTTTACGCAGGCCGGGACGTAAACAAACTCAAGAGTAAAGGTGGAAAGTGGAAGTACGTGATCCCCTTACCCCATCCCCCCTTTCCTTCATGAGAAACACCTACAAAGCTTTTTCTAGATGACCTAAACCCATTCCCTCTCACACCATAAACACCATCAACTTCCTCCGCGGTCCACACCAGCCTTCTCTCACAACCCTCCCAACACAGCCACCAGCCCCCCCACCCCCCATACCCACCCACCAAAACATACTAACCCCCATATCACCCACAGATACATGACCGAGCGCGAAATGCTCGACACAGCCGCCAACTTCTCGCCTTACAGGTGCGTGCGTGCGTCCATCTCTGAACCAACCCATGGTTACACGACGCCCAACTAACCTAAAACAATCTATCTTGGCTGACATGTCCACATTCCAGATCACTCTTCATGTGGTATATGTGGAGGATTGCTGATGTTGATGTTGGTGTTATGCGGGAGACATGATTCATGCGCCGCGCGTGGGTGGGTGAGGGAACGTGACTGGGGGTTCTGTCGTGTGGAAGGTACCGTACGGTAGCTATGTGGTATGTGTGTGGGCGTGTGAGAGCTCATGTGTGGGTCGATGTGCATGTGTGGGTCTAGATGAGGGGCGGGGGGAGCGGTACAGATGCTGTGAATACCTAGACCCCGGATCCTTTCTTCCGAAAAGAGTAGTATGCAATGCATCGGGGGGCTTCTGTTTCTCCCTTGGTTCGATTGATGCATGTACGGTACGTAGGCTGGAAATCTTAGCCAGCGGGTAATTTACGAGTATGTTATGGTAATGGTAAAGCTATTTGTAGTCCCACACACACACAAGTCATGCTTTGCGGTAGAAGTCATATGAATCTGGGCATGTAGCTATATGCCGTGCCAGTCCCAGAAGATTGTTACATGGCATTGCGGTTATCTCTTTCTATGCATGAGCGTGTTTGGACATGCTGGTTACACCACCCTTTTCTCTGTTTACAGCCACACCTGGAAGGGAGGCGGAGTGATTGGGTGATACCCGTTCAGCCAAGATGAAGTTGTCGCACAGCAACAACGCCATCACCCTTGCGTGCAGGAAAGCGGTCTGTCTGAGGTCTGGAGAAGCTAACTCGGCAATACTGCAGGAAATTTGTAAACAACATGACAGGATGGGGATTGTCGTATCGAGGCGAGGCGAGCCGTGGACATGGACTGGTCAACCTTGGGTCGAGCAATGCAGGGTGCCAGATGGAGACTGGTGTCGTGCGACGAGACTTGTGTAATGGTGGGAGGCGCAAGCGCGCGAGCACCGCGGAGGGATTGAGTCTTGTGTGGATTCGCTGTAGTGAGGAAAACGGTCGCACCAGAGACACAGCCTGTGTACAGCGAAAGTCACCGATCTACGATGAGTAGCGGACATTGGGATGGTCCCACAACATACAGGCGCCTGACTGTTCATACTTAGTTTGTCAAATGCGACTTCCCCGATGTGCTAATTCCAAGTAAGAAGGTAGGACAACTTGTACTCTGTGGTGAACTCGACCAGCTTGCAATACACACGGTTTGAGAGAGAGCAACTATGACGTCGGAGACACTTGCTATTAGTATTGACCGTGGTATAGCGAGTCCGCTTGAGACTCCACTTGGACATTGTCTAAGCGTGGAATGCTCAACCCCAGTGACGGTGGTATCAGATTGTCAAGGTAGGGCTGCGCCAGAGTGAAAACTCTTCACAGCAGTTTTGTGGCGGCGGATGTTACGAAGTGTCAAGTTTCATGTGGCGCTGGCAGTTGTGCCAAGCCAGGTCCATTGTGTGCTATCTGACACGGGCGGTGATTGTAAACCCCACAAACTGCCGATATGGCTGGGTGAATCCAGTGTAAAGGTACCTATAGTCTCGGCGTTGGGAGCAAGCAATGTTTCAAGAAAAGCAATTCCGCCTCATGTTTGACATGGTCGTATAGAAGGGCTTGGCGATTCTAGAAGGATGTGAACAGGGAACGTGAAGCAAATAGCGATAAACTGCAAGCTAAGTGTTTTGAATAGCAGCGGCATATGATGCTTGATGGGGCTGGATGGACGTCGCCTGATATGGAGCGCCGGGAAGTGTGCGGAAATGAGACATCAATCAATGCGCATCCACGGCGATGCTTGGCAAGGCTGTTACTTCGGGGGAAATGGGTAAGCGACGGTTCCAGTGAGGGCGGACGGTCTTGAAAGCCTGAGGAAGCAAGTGCGGGTGATGATGCTGGCAACTGAAGGGACAGGAGAGGGTTAAAGGAGGCGAGCGCATTGAGGCTAACGGGGCGAGGTGGTGGATTGCTGGTTAAATATATCTATTGTTTTTATTGACGGCGTTGGTTCTGTTCGGGCTGGAGATTTGCAACGGGCGCGCTAAGCCGATATGGGCTCGGATGTAACCGCATTGAAACGATAGGGAAGGCGCTCGTGCCAGACGACGAGGGTAGCCGGATTGGTCCAGGCCGCGCAATCAGCAGTTGCTTGTTGTGTTTCGAGTCGGCCAGAAGTCTGGAAGAGAGGGCTCGTAATGGCGCTGAGCGCGAACGTGCCGCGCATCCGTCTGGTGGGCGAGTGCCAGTGCCAGAGCTAGGGCGGGCGGCAGAGAAAAGTTGGCAGCTTGAATTTGTCTGGTGCTGGCAGACGACGGCGGCGGGCAGACAGTGTCTAGCGGACGGCGGAGCATGGTCGCAGTCGTCTCCTAGGGCGACCGATGGACAGGCGATCCGGATGGGGCCCCCTGTTGTTGAGGCTTCGACGGACGCCGCCAAATCCATGCATGCACCGCAAAACTTGAGATTGGAGAGCACGTCACTCTAAATTGTGAGCGCCGTGCCCCGGCCGAGTGCACCGAGAGCGAAATGGGATGCCGAAAAGTGGTCACTGGTGGACGCTGGGGCGGGACAAGGTGGGGAGACTGTCGTGAATGGAAACACATCTTACGCCTGTCAAACCAGTGCGTAGTCTCAGGGACTGCAGCAGAACGCCTCCTTGGAAACCCCTCTGGGTGCATCTCGAGTGACGATAGTGCAGTGCAGTGCAGTGCAGTGCAGTGCAATAGACAGCGCGCGGGCACACAACGACTGGTAGCCAACTAGCCATTTCGGATTTCACATCTTGCTGGTTGATGATCGATGATGCTGGGCGCGCTCTGGCCGCGTGTGGGATCTCCACCCGAGCAGGCTAGGGGCAACTACCTGGGTAGCGCCTTCCATAGCTGGCACCACGGCCCTCCCCTTTTCTCCACGCCTGCTCTACTTCTCCAAAGCCCTTTCCTCCCTTTGTCTTCATCCACATTCGCTCTTAACGGCCGCGCCTTCTCATCGCGCTCCTGGGACTACTCCATTTAATACTGCCTGCTTTACTTGTCAATTCTTTCCCTCGCTCCAACATCTTTCCCCCATTCAACAAATAGGCCGCAAAGTGAAACAGAGCGAGCAGTCTTAATATCCCAGGTAGGGCCCACTGCTTTCCGCGCATTCAATTGTCTCCTTGTCGCCTCTGCTAACGGTTGCTGCCAGTCATCAACCTGCTTCCACTACACAAAATGCCTTCCATGCTCAAGATTGCCCTTCCGGCCCTGGCTGCCGCCCACCAGGCCTATGGTATGTCTCTTCGCTTTCTCTGCGCATACGACAAGAAGTGCTAACGCGTCGTCACAGCCGCCTGCAGTGCCACCGCGACACTAACGATCCAGAATGCCGGTGACGCCACCGCGCTCGCATCCTGCTCGACCTTCTCGGGTAGCATCGCCATCGAGACGGGCACCAGCGACGACATCGCCATCAACGGCGTCAAGAAGATCACTGGCGACCTGATCGCCACGGCAAACTCAAACATCAAGCAGATCAGCGCCAGCGACCTGACCGAGCTTGACGGCCAGATGCACCTCGACGGCCTCACTTCTCTCTACGCCATCAACTTCCCCAAGCTCAAGACGGTCGACTCGATCAAGTGGAACGCGCTGCCCAACCTCCAGGAGATCGGCTTCGGCGCCGAGGTCACTTCGGCCAAGAACATCGACATCCAGAACACTGCTCTCCGCTCTCTCAAGGGTATCAACATTGAGGAGGTTGAGGAGGTCTTCATCGCCAACAACGGCTACATCGACACCATCTCCATGCAGCTGGGCAACGTCTCCAAGTCGCTTACCCTGGCTGACAACAACGAGGCCGTCAAGGTCGAGCTTCCCAACTTGATCTGGGCTAGTAACCTGACTTTCCGCTTCTGCGGTTCCGTCTCCGTTCCTTCCCTCGAGACTCTCAACGGCTCTCTCGGTCTCTACAACAACGGTTTTGAGTCCTTTACTGCGCCCAACCTGACTTCAGTCGGTGAGGCTGTCGCTCTCGTCGCAAACGAGAACCTGTCCAACGTCTCTTTCCCCCAGCTCACCAAGATCACCGACAACCTGCAAATCGCCAACAACTCCAAGCTCATCGAAGTTGACGGCTTCCCCAAGCTCAAGAGCATTGGTGGTGCTTTCGACATGAGCGGTAACTTTACCAGGTACGTCCACTGTAAACACCACATGCAACTTTGTCACTAACATGCAATAGCGTCAAAACCCCCGTGCTCGACAGCGTTAAGGGCGCCTTCAACCTCCAGTCAACCGACAACGTCACTGAGACCTGTGCCTTCTACCAGCCTCTCAAGTCCAAGAAGCTCATCCAGGGTGGCTACAAGTGCGAGGGCAAGCTCATCGACCCCGCCGGTGAGGGCCACACTGGTACCAAGCAGGGTGGTAGCAACGGCAAGACTGGCGCCGCCACTACCCTCAGCGCTGTCAACGGTGCTCTCGGTCTCGCCGCCATGGCCGCTATTGTCCTCTTTTAAATAAAAATGTTCACGACGCTGGCGTTCCATCTTAATTGCATAGACTACTCCCTGCGATCTGACTTTCTTTGATAGCGTATAGCATCAAAAGAATAAGCGCTGAAGTTGGTGTTCAGCATCTGAGGACTGGAGGGCTCCCGGGGACAGTTCATGGGTCAGCATGTAACACTTGTATGTATCAATTTGGCGACAAGGCTTGGGGCAGACTTTTAATCCGCAGTATACTTAAGTCTGCCTCACAATGGAGTGTGTAGAATTGCAGGAAGGTTTGATTTATTTGGGATAGTTTCAAGCAGTCATTCTCTTCATCTATTCCTTTGCGTTTTTGTTGCGACACGTGCAATTGATCTTTTCCTGCTTGGCCCCATCGTCTCCTTTCGTCATGTTTAGCGCGCGCCTATTACGTGTGGCTGCTATCCATCCCGTGCGCCGTCATCCTCACAATTTGCTGCTACATCCTAATCTCTTGCTCGAGCCGTGCAAGGCGGGGCCTGTTGTCAGCACCCATGCTACATTAGGCACACGTATCCCCCGTTGCTTTGTACGACCAGACTACAGCACCAAGTTCTGCAATATGGTACATCCTATTCAGCCCGCGGCAGCCACTTCCATCACTGTCGCCCTCATTACCCAAAACGTCGGCTTGCTGATCCATACCTTGTAAATCGATCGTCTTATCCGACAGCCAGGAAAGCGGTCTTCGGAGGATTGCCTTTCGTTTGTCGGATACGCCACGATTCTTCCCTGGCCCCAACGGACACTGATATTGACGGGCATGACAGACTAGAGATGCCCTATCATCTGGACACTGGATGTGTCGAGAGCTCGCCGATTGCACGTTCTGCGCTGACACGTCGTTCCATATTGAGACCTGTCAAACGTCTTTCTGGTCATTCAAGTGACGCCAACTCTCGAAACGACGATTTAGCCGTACACCGCCAGTACGCCTTGCATGTCTGGATCTCTGTTACGAAAACAATGGTGGACCTTGCAAGGGAAACCATGCCTGTCGTGAGATGGCTCGACTGCAAGCCTTGTCTCGACGCCAGCAAGGGGGAAATATCAATCGTTCCTACCATGAACACTAGCCCCTTCTGATCTGCACATCCTCCCCACACCCTCTTTTGAGGACTGGTACGACTTGAGGAACGATACAGAGTGTGCATTACAACCCATGTCTGATGGTTGCGATGCCCAGCTCTTTCCTTGTCGAACCGCCCGCTTCCCCGCTGCCGTTGACCCACTGCACGAGGTGACTCTCACACATAGCCAGTATAAGAGTGAAGTGTTGTCGCATCTCTTTTCTGCATCAATCAACACTTTTCAGTTTTCCCCGGTGGCTTTTGTCTTTGTCTTGTCTTTTTTCTGTCCTTATCCCTACATGATGATGCTCCTCCCCGATCCCACCAAACTTGGTTCCTCTACCACACCAAGAGGGACCTGGGAGTCAATAGTGCTTGATCAAACCATTCCGCACGTGTATGTTGGTTCCTTGTCGGCATCGTGGCACTTGTCTGACTGTAGTAGTGAACCGCAGGAGTTGATCCATCTTGCGCCAATCAAAGAAGAAAAGCTGTATTACAGCCTTACTTTCGGCGCGCCAATGCAGAGAACGCCTTCGGTGTCTTCTGCATCTTCTTCGGCGTACGATTCATCAGTGTACCATCCATCGCCTATTGTTTCTCCCAGGATGTTGCATCAAGAACCTACGTACGACCATGCGACAACTGCTCTCAATCAATGCTCCACGATGCTTGGCCACATTTAGCCGTATCGTCGTCCCATATCAGGCCCACTGGCACAAAAGCATGCTAGCAGGGTTACTCGTAGCAGGGCTTCAGAGAAGCGCACGAGTTCACAGCCTGGTTCATATAAAGGGGCAAAGAAGGAGTTGAAAAGCCCATTGAAGGCCCGCACCGAGCAAGATCGCAGGGATACCATTGGAATCACCTTGGGAAGAATGGAGCGTGTCTGTACTTCGAATAACGAACGCCTCCGAGAAACGGCGATGCCGCGACAAAATCGACGAGAGGGCGTCATGCGTAGGCTCGGAAAAAATAACATCAAAAAACCGCATGCCGCGACTTTTGGCAAGAAGGACGTGATGGAGCTGGCAATGATTCAACTTGAGCAAGACAACATGGTCTTCGGCGACATGTTACAAGAGCTCGAGGAACATGGACACAACGATCACCTCTGGTATTCTGAGATGCAAGCACTTGTTCGCTCAGGGGCTACCCAAGAGGCATTGAACGAGTGTCTAAATGGTCGCCCAGCCATCACCAATCTCCCAACTCGGGCCAGATATTCGCTTGCGCGCCGTGGTGGCCGAGACTTCCAGAGTCCCGCTTAACTTAAGCAGTAGGAAACCTTTTTCCAAATGTGCTTCGAGAGTTATCTCCCAGTGTTACAGGTGGCATACGTTTTGTTCTTTTTCAGCGGCATTGGTGGTACAGTGAGCAAACTTTGTTTTAAATCACTATTCTTGATGAACAGTGGCTGGTGGTGGTTGTGATTCTGTTTACTCGCATTGGTGGCTTGGATCTTTCCATTAAAAGTTTTGTCTTTTCTGGTGGCAGATCTGCTTCGATAACATGGCTCGGATTTCGGTTTGTCGACTTCCAGTCAGCCTGTCTCTACTGCATTCACATATTTGTCTTTTTGTGTTGGACTTCGGTCAACTTCCCTTCATTCAAGATTAGGATATGTTAGGTATGACTGTAACGGCAGATTCATCACATGGATAACACAGAATATAATTTCGGTGTCAAGTTCTATACATGGTGTCACACTTTACTAAGTGATGGGGGCGCATGTGAAAATTAACGAAAGACGCTACTCCCCCACTAGGCAACTCAAACCAGAGTTGCTATCAGTCAGTTCAGTCAGTCCGGAGCTCTCTGGACTGACTGAACTGACGTCCTGAGGTCACTGAACTGGACTGGACTGACTGCCAAGACTTTTCAATTAAACTAAAACTGACTGACTGAACTGACGTCGCCGCGGCCTGCGGACTGACTGGACTGACTGAACTGAGTTACCTGACGTCGAACTGAGATAAATGCTCCTGTACTTTTGAGATTTCTTCCTCTGATAGTGTGCGCGCTAGCCCAGAAGCTGAAGTAGTTGTTGGCTGTATACCAAGCCTCTTCCAGCTCTTCAAGCTCTGCAAAGCTGAAATAAGCTCTGGCTTCATATGGAGTCTCCGGGTGCCTAACATGTCGCCAAGCTCGCTGAAAGTCCGCTCACAGTCTGCCGCTGCTGCTGGTATTGTTAGGACGTCAATAGCGAACTTTGAGAGTATAGGGAACTGCCCAGCAACTGACTCCCAGTATAGAAGCGGATTAAGAGACAGCCAATCCTCCTCAGCTAACGCTGGTTGCCGCTTCCATATCTCATACTCATCCTCAGCAAGGCTTGCCTCTAACTGCCGTGTGCTTTGCTCAATTGACGACTGTAGAAAAGCTGATCGCGACGTTGAAATCCCTAGCCGGGGCTTCTTACGCGGCGGCGTTACAGTGTGAGCTGAAGTGGCTGCAGAGTCCTTCCGCCCCTGCCACATACGCAGGAATGCCCGGTGGTTATTGTCAAGCCAGCCGTCGCGATAGTGGACACCGTCACGGGCAGTGACATGGGTGTCAGGCACCTTCCAGAGCGCTGAGAGGTGGTGTTTGTAGTGCGGGTGTAGTATTGTAGCAGTGTAGTAGACAGGCGCGTTATCGAATTTGCGTAGTCCACCAGCAAGCTTACAATGCGCAAGGTTAACGTTTGTAATAAGATGATCTTCAGGCGCATCTAGATCTTCGTAATTTACATCCTTAAGGCGGTCTTTGAGAGCCTCAAGCTGGTCAAGAAGCCACTCAAACGTTACTAGAACTTCCCATATAGCGCCGTGTCGGCCGTGTCGGCCGCGACCTTCAAGTAGCCGTGTAGCTTCGGCAAATGGCTCAAGGAGTCGAATGTATTCTGTTATTGTCGCCCAGTCCTTGCCGCTTAGACCCCCTTCGCGTATATATAACCGTGGCTGGGCAGCAGGGAGCTGCTCACGATTCTTCCGGCGTCGTGAGGTTGCTGTTGCAGCACTATGCTCCTCAAGTTTACACTCAATATAGCCATCGATAGGGCCGTGTAGCTCAGCTGCACGGACAAACGTGTTGAAATAGCTATTCCAGCGTGTCTTAACAGGCTTCACAAGCTGCCGGATGTGGGGTGTAACACCTAGAGACTCTGCCTCCTCGCACTGTAGGCGCTCTAGTAGTTGTCGAGTTTGAGGCGTACAGATAGACGCAATCACGTCAAAGAGGACGCCAACAGGACCGTATTTGCGCCACTCATCCATGTACTTCTCCTCTTCCTCAAGGTGTGCGGCTTCATTCTCGTACGCGCTACGGTCTTTGCCCCAAATTACTAATTGTGCGCTTAGGTTGAGTATATGGCAGCAGCACCGCAGCCGCCGCTCGCTTGCGATAAAGCCAAACTCCTCTGCTAAGGACTCAACTGCAGTATCATTGTTACTTGCGTTGTCAAGCACAAAGTACCCAACCCTCGCGTTGTCAACGCCAAATAGCCGAAGTATTGTTGTTGCTGCAGCGGCAATATTATTGCCAGTGTGCGCCCCGTGTAGCTCAGGCAACCCAAGCAGGTGGTCAACTAGCTTGCCCTCGCTGTTAAGGTAATGTACGCAGAGGCCAGTAAAAGCATACTGCCCACCAGTTGAAGTCCAGTTGTCGAATGACACGTGTATAAGCGACCGGGCTTCGCGAAGGTAGTTGGCAACAGCTAGTATGTATGTATTGTACTCAGTAATAATATGATCGTGGAGCGTTTAGTGGCTACGCCAAAGGAGAGCTTCGGCTAGCGGGCTCACGGCCGCAATCATGGCTCGAAACTGCGGCGTTTCTATTACGCGAAGGCTCTGGTTGTCCGCGACTACCCAGTCCTTCAGCGCGTCCTGAAATCGAGAGGTTGAAAAGCTTGCTGCTATCTCGTTTGCTACCTCTTGCGATACTTCTATCCCTTTAGACCTCATAATATATACTTGGGACTTTGCGAGCGCGCCCATAATATTGCCCTCCCGGCTAGCAATTGGTACAGGTCCGTTAGGTCCGTGTGAGTGTCCAGGCTTGTTGCTTGAGAGGTGTCGGCCGGCGTTTGTAGTGCTGTCAGCCTCGTAGCAAGCCTCCTGCTTCCGTCGTTGATGGCAGTACCGGCAAAGCCAGTAGTTTTTCTTGTACTTGCGGTGCCAGACGGCCCAGCCGTGGCGGTAGATCCAGCTTTTTGGCCCACCGCGACTATTACGCTCAACCTGGCGCCGCTCAAGATACGGCACACGCTTAAAATCAAGCCCGTCGTAATTGTCGTCGTCGTCGTCGTCGTCGCCGTCGTTGGGGAAGTCCGCCTGTACTGCCAAGGGCTCATCAGCCTGGGCCTCGCTCGCAGTATCGCCAACAGTAGGCGCGTTTGATAGCGATGGTAGAGGAGAATTGCGCTTGTCGCATTCTACAAGGCGGCGAGGGCCTGAATTAGAGGGAGTAGACATGAAGTACACCAAGAAGTATTATGGCAACAGTAGTCTAGCGTCGTGTGTATAGCAGACGCGACGCGACGCGACGCGAAAGGCTTACTAGGTGCGCACCGGGTAGCGCATTTCCGCAAACTCTAATTAGCTTAAAGCTAGATGCTTTAACTTATATAGGATTAGTGTCTTTATATCTAGGACTAGCGCGGCTTCGAAGCCGCACTAAATGTGGCTTTCACAACTCTAAAATACTGCTTTAAAAACAGCTAACGTCAGTCTAACGTCAGTCAGTTCAGTCAGTCTGGAGGCTTCTGAACTGACTGGACTGACGTCCAGCTGCCTCAAGAACTGACTGACTGAACTGAGTCTTGGCAGTCAGTTCAGTCAGTTCGAACTGAGTTACCTGACTGATAGCAAGTCTGACTCAAACAGACGCGATGCTAAGATTCCACTTGCAATACTCGCACTCATCATGTTTATCCCACCTCCGTCGAACAGCTCTCTTCCCTGGCAACGACCACTGCCCCGAGCTTGTCTCAGGTGGCAAAGTCCAACCCTGACACTTTCCACCAAGTCAGTGTAACTATGCCTTTTCAGAAGCGCCGCTACACAAAACGCTCCTTCCGCATTGACTCGTGCCGAGTTTCTGCATATTCAACCTGACCTCTTCAGCCGTTGCTCACACGGAACGGGGAACACTAGCCGATGGGATGCCTGATCGATCGCTAACCCAGATCTGCCGGTGTGGAACCACTGGGCGTTTACCGGTACTTGCCGTGTATGTGGCTGGTTTTTGACGCAACCAAACGGATTCATGACACTCATTGATCACTACTACACGAGCTACGTTGCCGCCTTCAGTATCTTGCATTCGACTGGACCAAACAACAACGCCATGCGCGCGGAGTAACTGCATGATGCTTTGTGTAGTATTGAGGCAGTGGGGCAGCTGCCTGTCATGTCACATTCCTCCCTCTGCCGACAAACATGTGAGCAACGCCCGCGCGCTTATCCTACTCACACGGACAGTAGGTACAGTAGAACGTGTTGTTCTCACCAATCAATGCATTTGGTATCACACATTTCGTTCTCGCTTTGGCGGCAGGGTTATAGAGAAGCCGCACATCCGCCGGCAGTACTGCACACATGCAGCCACTTGATTCACACATCCGTGGAGACGATCAGATTGACCTGGAGCCATCTACAACGACTAGTCTCCGGCGGATACAGTGTGTACCCTTACAAGTGGCGTAGGGATTTGCCGCCGCGCGCTATCATCGCTTCGAATTACAACGTGGTCTTGCGTTAGCCTCTGAACCTAGCGGATGTCTGTTCAGTACCGGTATCTGCAGTGCTCGACTACCTACTTACTGCTGTCACTGCCTCGAGGTATCCACACATCTCGTATCGAAAAGTGGGCCAGTCCGTACTTTCTCGACTGGGTAATCCGTTCCTTTGGACTGTAGGTGCAAGGAAAGAGAAAGAATTAGACGACACAGGTCCGGCTGTTATGTCCGTCACCATGTCTTGCCTGCAGGTCAAGGTTATTGACTTCCCAGAGACTTGGGTTTACCAGATGACCCCCACATCAACTAAGCGCATGGAAAGACCGCAACCAATAACTCCTATTTCCTTCACCATCGTACCACGTTTTGTATGTGTATGGGTAGATAGTTGTGCTAGAGGCCAAGGTAGTTTGGGCCGTTTGTCGATGGGACATGTCGCAGGCGATAAAGAGAAGCAAAATCGGTCCAAGAGTCGGAATATTCCTCCAGCCAACACTGTTGGCCAGGGATCGGTAAGGGTACATCATTAACAGCTCAGTTTGGTAAGTAGAGCTGCAAGCCATGCCATGGGGAAGCGCAGGTGCGGTAGGATCCATGGCATCATTTGGGAGGATACGACGCCCAAACGGCTTCGAGAGTATCTTGGACATTGACCAGGCTAGGCTGGGAATTAGATTGGAAGGATGCGGATGAGACATCAGCTCTTCGCATAACGACTAATAATATCGACATCGTGGGGCCTGCCAGAGCTCGTATAAAGGCGTGGTCTGTAGTTGGTGTGTGTGGGTCTTACAAAGTAGTAGTCAAGTTAAGTTAAGTTAGGGCGTCGTCGTACTCCGACGGGCGTCTGACTAGGTACTGAGCTGACGTAGATATAGTGGCCTTTGGTAATTATCAGACATAGGATTTATAGCAAACCTGAGGCGTGAAGGAGTTTCCGATGCAAAAGTTCTCAAGCTGCACGATGCATGTGCTTGTTTAGTAGCTCCATTGGGGTCTGGGATACTGCGGTTTAGGCATCCCGTATTCGCAGACGCGTGCGGAGGACGGGCTCTAAAGTGCGGGCCGCAACGACTAAGTAGATCGTGTAGAGATTATGACGTGTGTAAACAATGGTGTCTCTTTGCAAATACTCAATTGTACGCGGCAGTATCAGTCACGAATGCGACTGCTGTATCAAACGTCACACGTAACGCAGCCTCAGTTTCGACGGTCGCGGTGCACAGCCACCATGGGAATCGGAAGTATTTCCGGCCTTTTCACGTGTCATAACAAGGTAGAATCTCACCCGTCTTTGTCATGGACACGAGGAGGAGGAGGTCAACTGTTTGTATTTCTCTGGCGATCTGCGGCATGTACTAGAAAAAGAAACTCTCATATCGAACTCAGGAATACACACAATTGATGTTTTGAAGCCATCTAGTCTTGTTCATTTCGGGGGCGTCGTCATCAGTGGCCCTATCGCGATTGATCCACACTTAGCGTCATTTGCATGCTCGCGCTCGAGATAATCTTCAAACTGACTACGCAACGCAATTGCGCCCGCCCTTTGCCTACCGTGATTCCTCTTCCAGCGGTCCGCAGCAGCGACGACCCGGCATTCTCTAGTCGTGGCCACAACGGGCCCTTTTACCGTCCCCAACACGCCCATCTTACGACGTCACGCACAACACCTAGTCTCGCCCTAACGTCGCGCCCGAGGCGCTCTCAACCGCCAAACTGGACAGACCACAGTCGCAATCACCGCCGCGGCATTCGCAGAGAGAAACCAAAGATATCAATTCGGTCAGGGCGCGCAGCTCTTCGATACGCATCTCGCAGGCAAGAGGGGAGGAGGAGGACAAGGAACACGCTGGCGGATACAAGCTCAACATGCTTGTGGGAAAAGGTTACTCGTGGAAGGCTGCCCAGGCACGGCTGCCGCCATCACGTCAGATAATAAGCACGGTGCGGAATCCGAGGTTTATGGTGGGCTTGGGCCTATTCACAGCAATTGTGCTGCTATGGCGGTCAATGGGTTCGGCAGCGGGGGACTTGCAGAGGTACATCGGCTTTCCCATGTCTCCAATGGATGCGAATGCTTCCTCTTTTTCCATTGTGTGCAGCAATCCCTGACTAACCCATCTCAGATTCTACTGCTTCGGCCCCTCCAAACCCCCAATGCACATGTCGGCAAACGAGCGGGAAGAATGGCAAAACCATCTGAATACGCCAGTAATATTCAACCATCACAAGCCAGTCGAAGTCAACGCCACCTTCATCGAGCACGTTGATCTCAACGGAATAAAGTCCACCCCGAACGCAGTCAAGAACAAGGAGCGCGTCCTGATTCTTACACCTCTCCGCGATGCCTCCTACTACATCGCCAAACACTTTGACCTCCTCACTCAACTCACATATCCGCACGAACTGATCGACCTGGCGTTCCTGGTGGGTGATACCACCGACGACACCATGGCAGCACTGGCAAAAGAGCTGGAGAGGGTGCAAAACAACCCCGACGTAGCGTTCCGGTCGACCATGATCGTGGAGAAAGATTTCGGTGTTACCCTATCCCAGAGTGTGGAAGACAGACACAGCTTCGAAGCTCAGGGCCCACGCAGAAAGGCAATGGGCAAGGCGAGAAATTACCTGCTAGCAACGGCCTTGAAGCCAGACCACAGCTGGGTATACTGGAGAGACGTGGACATTGTCGATAGTCCATCCAAGATTATCGAGGACTTTGTTGCTCACGACCGGGATATTCTTGTTCCTAGTGAGTACCGCACGGAAACAGTTTACATGACAATGCTAATTAAGTGTAGACATCTGGTTTCACAGGTACAAGGAAGAAAACGGTAAAATGGTCGACATTGAAGGACGATGTAAGTCCCTCAGCCAAGACCGACCACAGACCGCCCACTAACACACCCCAGTTGACTACAACTCCTGGCAGGAATCCCCCGAAGGCCTCAAACTCGCCGCCTCTCTCGACAAAAACGTCGTCCTCGCAGAAGGTAATTTCCCCCCTCCTCCATCCCTCACTCCATACTAATATATCCCAGGCTACAAACAAATGCCCACCAACCGCCGCTACATGGCCAAAATGGGCGACTGGCGCGCAGACAAGGACGAAGAAATACCCCTCGACGGCATCGGCGGCGTAAACATCATCGTCAAAGCTGACGTCCACCGCTCCGGTATCAACTTCCCGTGCTACGCATTCGAAAACCAGGCTGAGACGGAGGGTTTTGCCAAGATGGCGAGTCGTGCGGGTTATGGCGTTTATGGGTTGCCGAATTATGTGGTTTGGCATATTGATACTGATGAGAAGCCTGGGAATGCGTAGTCTGTGGGAGGTGGATGTGGGGGGGGGGGGGGGGGGTTTGGGGAGATGGGATGGAGGACAGGGATGCATATACCTTTTTTCATATGGTAAGGAGTTTTTTTTGTTTGGATGGGCCGGCGGGCGTATCTACTACTACAGTTGTACGGGATCGCTTTTTTTTTCGTGTTCTCTTTTGTCCTATCTGGGACGCTGCATTAGACGAGGAGTAGCTCAGCTTGTGTCTGTTTCTGCATCTTCTTCGTGTATGAGTGTAGGGAAACGGAAGAGAAGGTGGGTGGGGATGGATACAAGATTTTTTGGCAATGGTTTCTCTGCATCTTTGGTCTACACTTCAGACGATGGTAAGTAACGCTGTTACATAAAGAAAAGATGTGTTGTGCGTATCCGCTGTCTTGCTTGATTAAATGTACATGTATTCGGCTAACAATCTGGTGTGCAGATGTGCCTAGTGTCATCCTTAAAGGGTGGGATGATGAGACAGTCAGGAACAATGTGGAAGTCTTTCCTCCATATATCCAAGCCCGACCAGCTCTTCCATGCTTCATTCAGCCTTCTGTCAAGCCATGAAACACACAGTAGTATACGTTCTCCAAGCTCGCCAAGTCTAATGGTCGTAGACGCCGGCAAGGAACTTGCGCTCGTCGTAGTACTTTGCGCGGATCTTCCGCCCTCTGAACTCCCAGCCCTCGTCGAAGCGGTTGACGGCGTTCAAGGCAGACAGCACTGAACTGAACTGAATGTAGACGGCGCCATCCTTGCTGCTCTCGTCCAGCTGCACCTTTGTGACCGGTCCGAACTGCAATGCTGTTAGTAAATGCCATTCAAACATACAAAATAAACTTACCTTGTTGCCGAAGGCCTCGCCCATCTCTTGGCGGATACCACCATCGTTGCGGTCGGCGTTGGCGGTCCAATCCACACCATCGACGCAACCCCATGCAACCACGACGCTAGACTCTTCACCGAACTTGCCAGGCTCGTCCTTCTGGGCTCGCTCACCACCGCGCACATCCCAGACTTGCTGGGCCTTGACCTTGCCGTTGTCATCGTCGAAGATGGTTCCACCCTGGGGCGCCTTGCGCATCTTGACTTCCAAGTGCTGGATGACACCGTCGTTGTTCTTTCCAAGGCCTTGACCTTTCTTGTAACCCATCTTCTCCATCATCTTCTCTGCCTTGCTGAGGGTCTTGACACGCTTGGCTGGGCGTTCATCTTCCATAGGCTCGGCACCGCCGCCCTGCATCTGCAAGGCGGGGCGTTCGTAATGGACCGGGGGCCCGGAGATGGTTGCACCCGCATAGAGGACGGGAGGGGCCGAAATAGTCGCACCCTGGTAAGCTGGTGGTGGAGGCGGAGGCGGAGGCGGAGGCGCTTGAGAGTGCGGAGGCTCAAGCGCAACTGGCTTTGAGCTGTCCGAAGACAGCGGGCGGGGGCTGTTCGAGGCGTCGCTGTCGTCGCGAGACCTCTGTTGTTCACTAGCTCCACGCAGGAAGGCGCTGAAAGCTTCCTTCTTGCGCCGGTAGCCTCCGCTAGCCCTGTAAGCAGCCAAGTTGGAGGGAGTGCTCGGCTTGTGTGGTGCTTGTGGGTTCCACTGTCCGTATTGTCTGGTAAACTTCTTCTGCTCCTTCTTGCGCTGCTTCTCCTCATAGTTGCGCTGTCTGCGCTCTTCTATGATGGCAGCATCATCATCTGCAGTACTCAGGTAGTACTCGATGCCATGTTGTTGGGTGGCTGGACCAGCACCAGACGAAAACAGCGGACGGGCTGCAGGCATTACGCCCTTGTTGATCATGTTACCGGGCTTCTTTGTCTGGTTCTTGGCCTGGGGACGCTTGATGGCGTGTGGATTATGAAAGGCTACAAAATCAGATAAGTCATAATCCTATACGTGTTATGGAGTTTTACTAGTAGGTACCAGGTGTGATCTTTTGCTGCTGGGCTTTGACCTGCTCCTCCGTGTACTTGACGGGCGCAGCCGAGATGGTGGCTCCAGCATACGGGTTGGGGAGCATTGAGCCATATGGGTTGGGCAGGCCCTGCCCCTTCTGCGGCTGCTGGCCAGCCATGATATCGGTGCAGGTAAGCGCGACCGTCTACAATGGCGACTGCTGCGCCGAGCGCTGCGCACGATGGCGGTAAGATCTGTCTTCAAGAAATAGATTAGCAACTACTCCAGGTTGACCCAAGACGTCAGATCGCGTGGCGGTTCGAGGCAATGGCAAAGCGGCGAAGTGGGGTGATTGTTGTGATTGTGGTGTAGTGGCAGGCACGATCTTGAACTTAGCAGTTGCTCAAGTCCGTGCACGCATAAGGCGGCGCTAACCTCCACACTAAGACATTAGCTGCATTACGTATGCATCATGCAGGCACGCTGCCTCTTGGCCGTCGGATGCTCCTCTGTCTCCGATAACAGTCATCTCACATATCATCTCCCATATCACTATCTCTAGACACTTCTGAGCTGGCTCTGGTGTTGGGATTACACTGATAGACATTTATTCGCGCGTCATAGAATCATCATCGAGGTACCATTATATATGCGCCCCCATCTCCAAACATAGCTCTGATCGTGAATGCCAGATTAATCACTCATCATGTCTCCCACCACTCTAGAACACGCCTTCTCAAAGGACTCGTCATCGACCGCCATCATCGTGCCCGGTAGCCCTGCCCTGACAGTCTCGTACAAGAAGCTGGCCGTGGATGTCAAGTCATTCCAGCAAAAGTTGGCTAAAGTCGGCGTATCTGCCGAGGCAGCTGTGTCGATTGCGCTGCCCAATACCTACGAGTTCATCGTCTCTTTCATCGCTGCATCATGGCAAAGGGCCATTGCCGCACCCCTGAACCCGGCGTACAAACAATCCGAGTTTGAATTCTACATCGACGACCTAAGCTCGGCAATTGCTCTGGTACCCAAAGGCGCCTTTGCGCAAGATGCAGCTGCCGTCCGCGCAGCGAGGAAATACAATGCCGCCATCGCGGAATGTTACTACAATGGCAGCGAGGTCGTTCTCGACGTCAAGGAAACTGGAAAGCTCGCGGGTAAATCTGCACCAGTCTTGTCTGCGCAGCCGGATGATGTCGCCCTCGTGCTACACACCAGTGGCACCACCGGACGACCAAAGGCGGTGCCGCTTACCCATCGCAATCTGTTGCGTACCATGAAGAACATTCAAGGTACTTATGAGCTTACGGCCAAGGACCGCACGATGCTGGTCATGCCTCTGTTCCACGTCCATGGCCTGCTTGCCGGATTCCTCGCACCCTTGGCATCTGGAGGTTCCGTCGTCGTGCCTCCCAAGTTCTCTGCTTCTGTCTTCTGGAAGGACTTCAATGAGCACAAAGCGAACTGGTACACGGCTGTCCCTACTATTCACCAGATCTTGTTGAGAAGCCCTCTCCCAAGCCCAATGCCCAAGATTCGATTTATCCGGTCGTGCTCGAGCCCTCTGTCCCCCAAAACGTTCTATGAGCTCGAAAAGGCATTCGGCGCGCCGGTATTGGAGGCTTATGCAATGACCGAAGCTGCGCATCAGATGACGAGTAATCCTCTTCCGCCACACCAGCGTAAGCCTGGTAGCGTGGGAGTCGGCCAAGGCGTTGAAGTCAAGATCCTTGACGAAGCTGGCAACGAGGTAGCCCAGGGCAAAGAGGCTGAGATATGTATCAAGGGTGAAAACGTCACCAACGGCTATCTCAACAACCCCGCAGCGAATGCCTCGTCTTTTACAAAGGATGGCTTCTTCCGCACTGGAGACCAAGGCAAGGTGGACTCCGAGGGTTATGTTATCATCACTGGCCGTATCAAAGAATTGATCAACAAGGGTGGTGAAAAGATTAGTCCCATCGAACTGGACAACGTCATCGCACAGCACCCTGCAGTTTCGGAAGCTGTGAGTTTCGCCATCGAGGATGAGATGTATGGTCAGGATGTTGGGCTTGCGGTCGTGATCAAGGAAGGCCAAGCATTGACTACAGGCGAGCTGAAGACGTGGCTTACAGACCACGTTGCTAAATTCAAGCTACCCAAGCAGGTATTGCGACGCCCGATCAAATATCACGACGTGAGCCACAGACTAACATTGCACAGATTTTCTTCACCGATATCATGTACGTGAACATTAACATTGCAGCTGAAACTTGCACTAACCGCCCACTTCTAGGCCCAAGACTGCAACAGGGAAGATTCAGCGACGTCTGGTTGCTGAAGCGATGCTCAAACAAGAACAGCCCAAGGCCAAGCTATAGGTACCTATACGGCGCAGTAAGAGCAGTTTTGTTCCTCTCGACGGATCAGAATGCACCAAAGGCAGTGCGAGCCTTTTCGCAGGCAAGAAAATTACATATCTGTATTAGAATATTGTATACCATACTCCGTTACCGCACTCGGACGGTCGACAGAGCCCCGCGTAGACTGTGTAACTATGTGGTAGTACGGATAGATTGGATAGCGAAAAAGTCCAGTATTTTCTTCAGCTTCCTACTCTTTCGGATGAACTTTTCTTTACCAAAGTTGCCCTTGCGTTATGCGGGGGCCAAAATCTGTTAAACATGACCAGTTGTGGTATGGCTGTAGTTTGACAAGGCTGACCTGAACAGAACTGTGCCTCTCACATGCCGCAGGCCCATCTTCGGCCATTCCAAACGCCTCAACATGATTCCTTCGAAATATGTAATGCGCTGTTCTTTTCGTCTCACATGATAGCAGACGAAATGAAGTCGCTCTCATAGGCACATTCTGCGCAGAGGGCCGATTGGAGCGGGACGCGGAGGCTGAGTCCACGTCGTCTTTGGCCCCATATGCTGTGCCTCTCGAATTTGTTTGCTGATCGAATATCGTGACTGATGCAAGTTTTTGAAACAGGCTGCACTGCCCCTGTCACTACATATAGTCACGCTTCAGTTTGCAGTTTGTGCATTCGTCCAGACCACTTCTTCACCAGTATGCCGTCATGTAGCTATTTTAAAGAATGCCGGCAGATCGACCAAGTGCGTATGCTCCATTAAATCTCCTTTTCATTCTACCGCGGAGCCCTGTAAACATGCCTCATTCGGCATTTCGCCGGCATCACCCCCGTCCGTCATGTCTCAGAATATACACCCAGGGATTGTCATCTTCATGCGATCGACCCCGCAGCAATTAAAGGCTACACAAAACTTGACAGCCTGCCATATTTCAACGGCCAGCACTTCGACAAGTCGCTCCTCCGCAACAACTACCGCTACCATTATTACAATCGACCTAATTCCTCCTAATATGTCTTCCAACGTACCTATGGGGTACGCTAGTACTAGCGGCTCTACTACTCCTAACTCTACGCGATCGTCTTTTAGTTACAACTCTAATACCTCTAATACCTCTACATCCTCATCGCCTCCCGTGCTAAGACCTAAAAGATCGAGCCTGAAGCCCAGTCTCAAATCTTCAGAATCAGTACCTACTCTCAACAGACGATCATCACCAGCTACAGTGCGCTTTGCGGAGCCAGAGCCGCTACCAAAGTCACATACATGGCCCAGAGCGAGGCCGAGGACTCTACAGCTACCGGAACCTTTGATCAACAGAATACCAAGTTCTCCAATGAAGGCCCAACATGAAGATGGCCCTTCTTTCGCGAGTCCAGCTGCAAGCTTGACGAAGCAAGCCGAAAACCTTACACCATCCGCAGTACAGCGTCCAGTTTCGCTCCCCACTCCCCCAACTGGGACATTTCGACCATTGAGGAAATGCATGAGCAGACAGACGATGGTCCCGGCATCTCCCCAAGAGCCCGATCCAAGATGGGCGGGCATTCCACTGCCGGCTCACTACACGCCACCAACCCAGTCCCTAAAGTCTCGGGCGTCGTTCCAGTCCACGATATCCACATTTTCCCAGCTCTCCATTCAGTCAGCCCCAGCAGTTCTAGAGACACCGGCAGCTCCACAGGGCCAATACAACCCTCTCGAGCACTACATACCCTGTCTCCACCTCTCGTGCAAATCGCACTACTCACCCGCACACCTTGGACCGCACTACTACCTCCCCCAAGGCCCCTACGCTCTCTCCCGCCTCCACGGCTACTGCCCGCGCCACGCCTCCCAAGAGCTGCGAGAAGCAACCCTCCAATGCAAGCGCTCGTACGAGCTCCTCCGCCAGAACGCCGGCCGCAAAACCCTCAACGCCGTGGCCGCGGAATTCGAAGACGCAAAAGCCGTCTTCCGAGACGCGCGCACGGTCAAAGACGCCAGACTTGTCCGCATCCAAAAGAGGCGCGTGCTCGGCGCTCCGGTGCTGCTTGCGGAAAAGACAAACGACGCAAGGGAGGAGGCGTGGGATTGGCGGTACACGAATCGCCCTTGCACTACGTCTTCTTGTAATGAGTACTACACGCCTTACTCTAACCACCTTTACGCTTTCTACCGCACACCGCTTGCACAGACGTCGTCGCTGTTTCCCCAACAGATCTTTTGCCCGACGTGTGCGCAGGCAGAGGCGGAAGGCTTCGAGCAGAAGGTTAAGGAGAAGTGGGGAAGTAGGTGTGGGTGGGATGAGCGCGAGTGGGCGGAGTGGTATGGGAATGCGAGGAGCGATAGGGATATGGAATTGGGGTTTTGGTTGAAGGCACAGGAGAGGGTGGTTAGGGAGAAGGGACCCGCGAGGTGGGTTAGTAGGTTAGAGGATGATTATGGGGTTGCTGTTGATGCAGTGGCGGAGGCGCATAATAGGTCGAGGAAGGGGGGTATCTTTTCCAGGCTGTTTGCTAGTATGGTGGTTTGATGGGGGAGTGATAATTTGTAATGTTCCCTTTGGGGTATGTGACGACGCTTATGATGGGTGGTATAGAGGATGTTTAGATTTATGGGACTTTTAGATGGTATTGCATATTTTTCTCTACATGGCGTTTTTCTTTGCATGTGACCTGCATGCTTTTGTAGGAGCGAGCGTGTGAAGCTCGGCACGTGTTCCTCCCGAAAGGTCAGACAACATGCCCGACAAGCTCACCAAAGTAAAGTTCTCTGCACATTTTCTTCTAATAGAATTAGCAAACATACTCAGAGGGCTTGCTGGATGAAAAGACATGTTTCAGTGGATCAAGTGGTTGGCGGTGCTGACATTCAAGGCTAGCGAGGTGACAGTACCATAGTTGAGCCTGGAAATTAAGGCTTGCTGCCTGCGCTCTCCAAAGAAACGACCAAGACAACAAGGTCGTCACTTCCAATTCGCAAAGTCTGAATCACGGTTCTGACAGCGCTGCTGGAAAGAGCATTCGTATATAAAATGGTTTTACCCAAACCTCCCATTCTCTTCTTCTCATCCAGCAGCGTCTTACTTCACTCTTTGCAAGCGCCATCAAGCCAACTTCACTGCTTCTCATCTCAAGATATTATTGTTCCATCGTGCATCCAAACAAGAAAGCCAGCGCAATGAGTTTAACAGCAGCAAATCTCGAGGCTCTCAACAAAGCGAACGGCCAACGCTGTACTTCTACAGACACTCCCAGCACAGCAACCAGTAGCACCAGAACAGGTTTGTACGACGACGTGAGTTACCAGTACCCAGACATCAAGGAAGACACAACCACAACCACAACCGACAGCGTTAGGACGGGCCTATACGACGACATCAGTTACCAGTACTCAGATGACGATTCAGACGACGATTCAGATGATGACGAGTCTGGCCCAAATAGGTCAGATGAGGTGCTTTCTGCGAAACGTACCGCCCGATGCAAAAGCTTCTGCAGCAGCATCCAGTACGATGTTTTTCACGTAAGTCTGTTCCAAGATACCCAAAGACAGCCTTACTAACTTGTATCGCAGTATGGACCCCCATTGAATATCTCCGGAAACAGTCGTAGACATGGTTCTCCGCTACAATCGCGAGGTGGAATTCAGTGCCTGCGAAACTGAAATGTTCGATATCTTCAGTGTCGTCATCCCCCAATGTGATGGACTCGTTTCCGCAACCGTCGAAACCGCCGTTTTCGAAATCTCTATACCGTGGGTACCATACAGCATGACCATACCGACGCCGTTGTCGCCCCCTGTTATCAACGCAAGCGTCGGGTTGCGCGGAATAGCAGTGGTAGTGGCGGGGGATTCGATATGTAATCTGAAGCCTCAGTGTTGCTATCGCTTAAACCCTATCATAGGAATAAACACGAATTGAATACCATCGCATCCCCAGTTCTCAGCTTTATCAAATAGTAAAAACTTGCTGACAACGTGAGCGAACATCCAACTAGCACCTCTCGTAAACCTGACACTCGCACTCTTTGAAATCCGGGCAAAACAATGCATCTCTCCCGAAGAGAAAAGGCCATAGGTACTCAAGGACCAATCCAGCGCTATCGTCGTCCATGGGGGTCCTATTAAGCCACGTCCACGCCTTCAGGTACTCGTCTACACTCCTCTTCTGTACCTGCGCTTTACTGACCGCAAACTCAGCGCTAGGAGACGCCGCAAGATCCTCGCCGCCCATCTTGGCATCACCAAATATCTGTTTCCAGACGTTCCCCATGGGTTCATCCAAGGTACGAATTTCGTATGGTGGAGAGCGGAAGGGGTGAACCAACTTCTCACACATTTCCACCTCAGGGCACTTGAGAGGTGCAAAGCCGGAGGACTGGATAGAACGTGCGCGTAACTTTGGTATCTCACTTCGTATGTGCTGCCCGCTGGTACGTGGCTGGTTCTCTGGAGGCAGAAATACTATTACTTCTGGTAGCTTGTTGTAGTTCTCGATGATCCATCTCAAGTACACATCGGCTACACGTCCTCTGTCCACTCTTTTCGCACCCTCGTGAAGTTTTGCGAAATCATTATCAATTGTAAGAACGGTCCTCTGCCAGTTCCGAGGCAGCCGGTCCATCCATGAGAGATCCTCGTTTTCAAGTCGGGATTTGATGATCAGGTGATCAGCCTGCGTCTCATCGTCACAGATGTCAATGAGCAAGCTGAGCGAGCTCAGCCAATTGGCTTGCTCAGCCAATTGAGCGGAGGCCAGCAGCTCGCTCGGCTCGCTCGGATTGGCTGAAACAGGGCTGTCAGCTCGCTCGGCTTGATGGGCTCAGTCCCGATTAGGAAAGTTATATAGAAACCTTGGTGTTGAGTTTCTCAGCTAATATCCCACTTATGTACACCGTATTTCGCGTCCATCTCCTCATCGCTGATAGCCTCCTTTACAGGCACCTCACCACTGCCAAATCCAGCTCTTATCCATCGTCGATCGCACTGTATTGCTGCTAGAAGTTGCGGAGAAATGCTGCGCCGACGGGGCTCGAGGAGGTCACCCAGCTCGCTGAATAAGCGCTCACACTCACAGCTTGAGCCTGGGATTGATAGCATGTCGATAGCAAATTTGCTAAGGCTGGGGTAGCGATCGCGGAGTCCTACCCAGTATTTTATAGGGTCGACGCCCTCGCTAGCGATCGGTTCGCTGCGTTTCTAAGCCTCATATTCATCCTCCTCGTTCTCCGTAAGCCCTGCCGGCTTAATAAAGCTGTTAATAGCGTCTTCTATATCATTGTGCCTAACTTTAGAGCGTAAGCGCGGCTTCGGTAAGCTTTTGTACTCCGCCCACAAATGTTGAAACTTGCGGTTGCTGCTCTCTAGCCAATCAGGCTTATCCGCCCACGCTGCGTCAAGGTAGCTTTTGTAGCGAGGATGAAGGATTATAGCAGCATAGTAAGCTGGCGAGAGGTCGAGCTTGTTGTAGTACTCGCGGGCTTTAACTAGGGCAGCGCGGAGGTTGATAGCAAGGTGGTCTTCGGGTGACTCTGTATGCTCATCATAAATGACGTCTTCATAGCTTTGCAAGCGGTCCTCATAGACTCCAAGTAAGTATTCAAATACTAGAATAACCTCAGCGATTGCTCCAAAAGCACCGCTTTTGCCGCGGCCTTCAAGCCGTTTTGTAGCTTGTTTTAGTGGCCTAAGCACATCAATATACTCAGCAATCACCTGCCAGTCATGGGCATTGATCCCATCAGACCTCATCCAATCCGGCGCTGCAGGCAGCTTGTTGTTACGACTTCGGGCGTACGCGTCTTCAGTTTCAATCTTCTAAATATGGTAGTTGGCGTACCTATTAACCGCTAATTACAACTCAACAGCGCGCTTAAAACACGAAACGTAAGAGTTATAGCGAGTAACAACTAGCTTAACGGGCTCCTTGATTTTGTGCTGTTCTGTTGGCGCGTTGACAGGCTGGTCCCTAATAGCGAGCTTCTGATACTTCTCAAAAAGAGCGTACTGTTGTGGTGTTTTGATGTAGTTAATAACCGCGACAAGCACTCCTAATGGTCCATCGCCTCGCCAAGTAGCCATATTCTCAGCTTCGTTCACGCGCTCAGTCTCCTCGTTGTCGTAGGACTCTTTCTCCTCACCCCAGAGTAGCATCTGGCCAATGAGATTAAGCGTATAAGGACCGCAGCGAAGGCGACGCTCAGTAGCGCTAAAGCCTATCTGCAAGGCGAGAGTGTTAATCGTGGTGTTGTTGTTATGTGCGTTGTCGAGGACGAAGTAACCGAGCTTGCCCACAGTGATTTCGAACTGCTTGAATATTGCCATCACGACCTCAGCCATAGCCTCGCCGGTGTAGGCACCTGTCAGTTGTGGGAGCGCAATAGGCAAGTCCCTGAGCTCGCCAGAGCTATCAACGTAGTGGGCGACGATACCTAAGTAACCGCGCTTGCCACCTTTTGTCGTCCATCCGTCAAAGCTTACATAGACTTTGCTCATTGATTCTGAAAGGCTTGCGATAACCTTTAGTAACAGGTAGTTGTACAGGCGTATAACGTATCGTGAGACGCTGTTATAAGATGCCCACAAGGCTCGTTCTGCCTCTACGCTAGCTAATTATATCATATTGCGAAAAGACGATGATTCGAATTGTGAGAGTGGGAGGTTGTTTTCGACGAGCTAGGTAACGGCCGCAAGCCTAAACTCTTGTATATTGAAGTTGGTAAGCTCGTTGGCAACAGCCTAAGAGCAGCCCTTCTGAAGGGCGCGTTCGAGGAGAGTTTCTTTCCGAGGAGCGACGGTAGTGCGCTTACTTGGAGGCTTCAAGCCATGAACTTTCTTGTCTTCTCCGAGATGACGTGCTGGCGCTGATGGAGACTGCGAGACGTTATGTATGCCACGGCCAACAGTAGTGAACTTGTGCTTATAGCAATAGTGGCAGATCCACGTAACTTTTGCGACGTTGCTGCGCAAGGCGATGCGATAGCCATGGCTGTATACCCAGCTTGCTCGGTTCGAAAGTGATGTGGGCGGCTTGCAGTGCTTTGGGTAGCGACTCTAATTAAAGCCGTCGTATTTGTCCTCTACCTATACGAAACCCTTGTCGACAGCCTCGCTAGCTGCTCCTGAAGCTGCAACAGTGGCATGCTCGCTGCCCTTAGGTGGTGGGATGATCGTCTCTTCGGCGCGCGACTCTCGGAGGGTCGCTTCAAAATTTGGTGCTTGTGGCGCGGCAACGAGAGCTTGACGCGGCGACAGCGGTGGAGGAGGTGGAGATGGTGAGAATGGCTGAGTATCGACTAGCACAGGTTGGCTGGCAGTCCCGCGATGACGCGCTGCGACTCTAGGGCGCTTCGAAGTTGTCGCGATTTCTAGAGCATTAACGCATGTTCTTTTTGCTGGCATTATAGCAACGGCGAGGTAGATAATAGCTGCAAATAGAGACGCGTTGGTGGAGTATAGGTGAGTGTGGTGGGTGATAAGTAGTAAGTGAAGTGTCGCAGAAGGAGAATATTGTTGCCAGGCCGTTAGCCGGAAGTTTAGTAGCTTATTTGCTAGAAATATAGCAAAAAAGAGTGTATTTTAGGTTATAACTAGGTTTCGAACTTACGCACTACACCTAAAAATCATCGTGAGATTGCCCCTCCACCAAGTCCTTCAGCCCCAAGTTTCCAACCGCTCCATCCAACCAAGCTAAGCAAGCTGACTGAGCGAGCGCCTATCCCTAAGCTCGCTCGGCTTGCAAGCGCGCACTGCGCGCTCAGCTCATTCGGCTTGGTCAAAACGTCCAAGCCGAGCGAGCTGAGCGAGCCGGCTCGCTCGTTGACAAGTATGCTCATCGTCTACTGGGGGTTTGGGTTTTGGTGGATTCCAAGGCGCGTGTTTGGGTTTGGTATATGGGTAGTGGCCCTTGATACCAGGTGCTGGATCTCGGAGTTTCTGAGGGGGCTTTGAGATTGGTCGGAAGATGGCGATAATGGCAAGGAAGATGGCTGTTGTGATGGCGAAGGAGACTATCTTTCTTTGCATCGCGGAAGCCAGTTCGGGATGTGTGAATTGCGATGGTCGTCGCGCAACGTCGTGGAATCGCACATTAGCCTTTTCACTCAAACGAGACGCATATCGTGTTGTTGCCAATGGACGCCGAGCGCTCAGCCTCGACTTCGTCATTCAGGGGTCTTTCCCGTTCCGCTAAGATGGTTAGCGCGACTCGCCTGGATGCGCCTCCGATTCTCATACATAACTTGACTTCCACATTGATACGTGTACTAGTAATCGTACAAAGGACTTGCAACCTTGCCCACGGAACGACGGGTTAACGTTCTACCTAGTAGCATCACAATTAACGCGCGTTTGACTGACAGCAGAGCGTTTGCCAAATTTTCTTGTGAAATGAGCAAGTGTTATGCTCATGCATATATTGAGTTGGAACAAAACGCAAAGAACACGAACTCTTTCGTGTTGGCAAGTGGGACTCACAGGGAAAACCACGCAAGTTTTGAGGATATGCTCAATCATGTGACTAGACGCATGTTCATCCCTTGCTGACAAGGGGTGGCTAAGCTTACGTCATGCATCGTGGGATGCAACAACCCGCATCCTGTCTTATTGGAATTTGCCCAATGTGCAAAGAGCTAGCATTTGTGAAACCGGGCGTCCCTTTCATCTCACGGGAACTAACGTCTTCACCGCTGTTTATGCTCAATCTAAGCGTGCCGACGTACGGTTGACGCAGCAACGCAACGACGTCACAGTGAAAATGATGTGACGAAGAGTAGCAAACTTATGCAGGTACAGCTTCTTAGTCGTGACTTACATGAAGCTTTTCATCGATTTCTTTACAACTTCAAATCGTTTGACGAGAACTAACACCGAGAAGATCCACGACCATAGCAATGACGCGCAACATCTGCATCTCGGGAGGCGATGGCCATACCGGATTCCTCATCGCCGAGCTCATTCTCGACAACAGCTACTTCAAGAGCAAGGTGGATTCGGTGAGCGTGCTGTGTCTTCACCCCAGTGGAGCTAGGGCTAAGGAGCTGATGCAGCTTGGTAAGTAGACCCTCTGATAATGTGTAGTTGAAAACATGACGCTGACTACATGCTTCAGGTGCCAAAGTTATCCCGCACAAGCCTGGCCGAGAGCGCGAAATGGTCAAGACGCTCAAGGGTTCTGGCTGCGACACTGTCTGCCTGATTCCTCCTGCGCACAAGGACAAATTTGACATCACTGCTGAGCTCATCAGTGCCACCAAGAAGGCAGACATCGCAAATGTTCTCTTCATCTCGACCGCTGGGTGCGACGTCGCCGAGCGTGATAAACAGCCCCATCTGCGCCAGTTCATTGATCTCGAGTGCCTGGTCATGGCTACAAAGGGTGATGGTAGTACTTCAACTGGTCACTCGCCCTGTATCATCCGTGCCGGCTTCTATGCTGAGGTAGGTTCCAGTGCCACTTGCTGCCTATTACAAGCTTTAGGCTGATCATTTCGTAGAACTTGCTGCTTTATGCTCCCCAAGCTCAGAAGGAAGGCATCCTCCCTCTTCCGGTCGGTCAGTCGCACCTCATGGCCCCGGTTGCTCTAGGAGACATCTCTCAGCTCGCAGCCCACGTTCTTACCGGAAAAGGCAAGACTGGCTTCGATGATCGTCATCGTGGTCAGCTCATGGTTTGCACTGGCCCGAAGCTCTGCACTGGCTCCCAAATCGCAGAAGCTGCGTCCAAAGTGCTCGGCAGCTCCATGGAGTTCGAGGACATCAGCGAGGCTGAAGCCAAGAAGGTGCTGAAGGCGCAGAGTGACTCTGATCCCAGCGAGCTGCAGTACCTCCTGGAGTACTATAGTCTGGTTCGCGAGGGCAAGACCAATTACATTTCCACTACTGCCTTCGTCAACGTCACGGGCACTCATCCCCAAGAGCCTGAGGACTTCTTCAAGACATACGAGGAGAGCTTCATGCGCAAGGGCGGTGGCGAGGACGGGCATGCGGGCAAGAAAAGGAAGGGCTAAGTGAAGGCGATATCGAACGGCGCGCGCGTGTATAGGCACCAGTTTGAGCAGTGATATGCTTCAGGTGTCGTCGTCGTCGTTTTGCCCGTACATCAAGTCAAGAAACGAACAAAACTGAAACACATTGTAGTAGTCATACAGTAGTATGCTTCAGTAACACATTTCTTCTTCTTATGATAATCGTATTTGCATTATTGTTGAGCAACGACAAGTCAACCTCATAGCCCCATGTGTTTCGGTCCGACCAATCGGCTATCTACCGCCGCGCTCCGCCACGATTCAACATCGCCACTCGGGCTTCTATTATTACCATTGGCTGAGCAGGTGATGAGAGCCTCCACGCGTCGGAAACACCTTGCTCCGATCAAGTTGGTCCGACTGTGGTCGCTTAGGACTAGACAACAACTTCCTTCTCTTGTTGATCCTTCTCTAAAGCCTTCGCCTCCGCCTCTTTGGTTGGCTTCTTACCGTGATCAGGCAGCCTCTTGAAAGGGATAAGGGCGGTCAATATAACTGAGAAGGCGGCAGCTGCTAATGAGAAGGTGAATACATCTTTGATACCCACCATGTAGGCGGCAATTACTGCAGTTAAATCGTCGCCACTGAATACATCCTGCAGTTCGGAAGCTCCGGTTCCCAGAACAAGGGCAACATCAAGGTGGTTTGAGCCCGAGGTGAGGGTATGCAGCATGCGATTAGCGAAAAGGGACTGCGCGATGGCAACAAAGTAGGCACCGCTGAGGGTTTGGCACACTAGGGAAAATGTTAGTATGATTGCGAAAATACGAATGATGCTGGTCAATACTTACTGACCATGATTCCCGTAGCGCTGGCGACTTCGTCGGGTTTTGAGAAGCCCTGAACAGCCGTCATGGGGACCTGGTTACACAACCCGATTCCAAAACCAAAGAGTACCTCGGCGCCAATGTACTTGGCTTTGGGAGAGTCGACATCGAGGATATAGATGAGGGCCATACCGGCAGTCATGATCAAGGCACCGGCAAGCTCGAAGGGTTGTGTGTAGCGCGTCTTTCCGATAGCGCCACCGCTGACCATGGCTCCCAGAGCGAAAAAGGCGAGGAATGGGAGTGTATTGACACCACTTGTGACTGCGGATTGACCATGGACAGATTGGAAGTAGATGGGGAGGTAGAACATGACTTGGTAGAGCGCAGCGTAGGACCTAGACGTGGGATAGTTGGTAAGCCATTGTAGAAAATGACTGACATCAGATAATGACTTACACGAGGCAGAAAACGATATTACTCCATGTCGTACGCTGTTTCAGGATGCTCAAAGGAGCCATGGCGCGTGCTCCTTGCAGCCATTGGACAACGAAGAACCCAATTGTGAGCAGGATCCAGAGAACAAGAGTGGCAATTACAGAGCCGTCGTTCCAGGTTTTGGTCTGACCACCCCATTGAAGCGCGAGAGTCAAACAGACGAGAGATACGAGTAGCAGGCAGAAGCCCGGGATATCGAGGTTGAGGATAATCTCTTTCCATGTAGCAGGAACGGGCTTGATGTGATCCGGTATGCGAAGGAACAGCAATAGCAGGACGACGATGGGACCACCAACGGGCAAGTTGATCCAGAAACACCATCTCCACGAAACGCCACTTGTGAATGCACCGCCGATGACTGGCCCAAGGATAGTGGACACCATGAAGACGGCCATCCAAAGGCCGATTAGAAGAGGATGGTTTCTAGGCGGAGCCACATAGTTGATGACGATGAGAGTGCCACCAAGAACACCAGAAGCTCCCCAACCTTGAAGGGCGCGGCCAAAAATGACGGCAATGCTATTCGGTGCGGCAGCAGCTACGATACTGCCTACCAAAAAGATGCCGACTGCGCTGAGATAGACCCATTTGACGTTGAGGTACTTGTACAGCTTGCCCCACAATGGCGAGGCAGCGGCGGCGAGAATAAATGTTGCGCTGCCATACCAGCCCACATCGTCGAGTTTGCGAAAGTCGTTGGTGATACCGGGGATTGCGGTTGCGATGATGCCAATCTCTAGAGAAACAAGAATGGTGCTCACGAAGATTGTGAACATGACAAGGCCCAGTCGGAGGCCAGTCAGATACTCGGGCTCCACTTTGTCCGTAGGTGAGGCTGTAGCGCTATCTGGATTTTCGGAGACGCTCTCAGCTGAATCGTGCTCGTCATGGCTAGACGCAGCTGGCCTTGGCGTGTCCATGTCGGCTTTGTTGTTGCTCTCGAAATCCGAACTGTCGGTCATTCTCGCTGTTGCTTTTCACAGTCGCACTTTGTCGAAACAGTGAGGTCGTAGATGGGTTGTTCGTTGCAACCGGAACGAGAATTCGTAATATAGGGAACATACAAGTTGTGCCAATTCTCGTGCTGACAAACAACTAGGAGATGGGTAGGAGAGACAAAGAACCCCTCCCGGTACAGTGAAGTAAAGGTAAACCCATGATCAGCACGGTCCACAGATCGTCTCAGGACGTACTCAAAAGAATGTAAAATTCCACCGCCGTGTGGTCTATTTCGTCACAATATCATTTATTCCTCCGCCGTACGATGGCAAGCACGGGCGAATCCCGAAGTAGCCTAGCGCCGGCGGACGAGCGTCAAGCCCTCCCTGATCGACCACCGCACCCCAGCTGCCAAGGTTGAATTCGACCGTTCACCCCACGCTTCGCACGGTCAAAATTAGCGTCTGACTGATACTTCTTATCCCATGCCCTCAGCACACTTCGCGGTGAGGTGAAGGTGTCTTATCAGAATCCTACCGATGTGAGAATATGAGAAGGGTCCGGGCCGTACCCTAAGTAGTCATCCACACCGACACTATTTGCTGACTGCACTACCCCCTCGTCCATGAATCCTAGGCTGCTGCAGCCATCCGATAATGGGAGTCAGACTCACGAAACTGTCTGAACTTCACGCAAGCTTATCCGCGTGATGATGATGCTAGAAGACATGGTGGAGTCTCTTGGGGGGCCTCAAGTAGTGTTCTTAAACGGTCGAGACCCAAGAGCGAAGTCAGTGCTCGAACATCTATAGCTACAATCAAATTCTCCTGCTACATGGTATTAGTTCACTTTTGAATCTCTTTGAAAAGACTGCTTTGCCGAGAAAGCAAGATGCCTTCTGCAACTACGTCGATCGACGTCCCCATTGCAGTCGTCGGCCTGGCATGCCGTTTTCCTGGCGATGCTAGCTCCCCTTCGAAGTTTTGGGATATGCTCAAGAATGGCAGAGGTGAGTAACTCGAGTGCCTAGCCCCATATGAAGTTTCAAACATGCATCAGTTACAGTGAACTCACAAGATTGTAGATGCATACTCGCCTACCTCAAGCAGATGGAACTCGGACGCTTTTTACCACCCATTCAATGGCAAACTGAATTCACTCCCTACTAAAGGTGGACACTTCCTCAAAGAAGATCCTTATGTCTTCGACGCATCCTTTTTCAATATCACAGCAGCGGAAGCCATCGCTCTAGACCCTAAGCAGCGGATGGCTTTGGAAGTGGCATATGAAGCATTCGAGAACGCCAACATGCCACTTCAACAGGTTTCGGGTACCCAGACAGCCTGTTATATGGGATCTGGCGCAAGTGACTATCGAGGAGCAGTCGAGCGAGACTTCTTAAACAACCCCAAATACCATCTTCTAGGAACTGGTGATGAGATGATCTCGAACCGTATCTCTCATTTCTTCAATATCCACGGTCCTAGTGCTACAGTTCAAACAGCTTGCTCATCGAGTCTCATGGCCACTCATTTGGCATGTCAAAGCTTGAAATCAGGGGAATCGGAGATGGCCGTCACCGGTGGCGTTAGCCTGATGCTCACTCCCGACTTCACGACACATCTCAACAACCTCACGTTCCTGAATCCTCAGGGTCGATCGAAAGCTTTTGACGAGAGTGCCGGCGGATACGGTCGCGGTGAGGGCTGTGGAATCATCATTTTGAAGCGCTTGGACAAGGCTATCCAAGATGGTGACAGCATTCGGGCCGTGATTCGTGCGACTGGTGCCAACTCAGATGGCTTTACACAAGGAAGTAAGTAAAGATGGCTCTATTCAACTGAAGGGAGTTATGTTGAAGCGGAATGCATGACTTGTATACTTTACAAGCTACTAATATTCTCACGCAGTCACAATGCCGTCCTTTGAAGCACAGGCAGCACTCATCAAATATGTGTACGAGTCCAACGGACTGGACTACAATTCGGCTCAATATGTTGAGGCACACGTGAGTCAGCCATGTGATATGCACAATGCTGACTATCGCTAATCATAACGTTAGGGCACTGGTACCAAGGTCGGCGATCCGATTGAGACAAGGGCGATATACAGCACCATTGGAAAGGGTTCGTCAAAATCACGGAAGCTTTACGTAGGAAGTGTCAAACCAAATGTAAGTGTAGAATGGTGTTGCGATTATCCTTCTCCACGCCACTAACTTATAATCAGATCGGCCATCTCGAATCAGCTGCTGGTGTATCTGGAATCATCAAAGGCATTCTCGCCATGGAGCATAACCTCATCCCACCAAACGTCCATTTCACCAAGGGTAACCCGAATATTCCTTTCGACGAGTGGAATGTCGCAGTGCCCTTAAAGCCGACACCTTGGCCTGTTTCCCAGACCAAGCGCATGAGTGTTAGCGGTTTCGGCATGGGCGGCACGAATGGCCATGCAGTTATTGAATCATTCAATTCGAGTCGCCTGGCAGATGTACCCGTAAAGCTTGGGGACTTTACCAAATTTCAGAAGGCTCGCAACAAGAAACGACTCTTTGTCTTCAGCAGTCACGACCAGGCCGGCTTTAAGCGCAATGCTGATGCTTTGGCCCATCATATAGATGATCTTGGTTCTGCATCATCAAGCTCCGAATTCCTGGCGAATTTGGCCCATACACTTTCAGGAGCCAAGTCCAGTCTGTCATGGCGGGCAACCTGTCTCACAGAGAACACCACCGAGCTTCGCGATTACCTATACACTAAACCAGGCGATAATGCTTCCCGAGAAGCCAGCAGTAGGCACACCGCCCCTCGGATTGGATTTGTTTTCACGGGCCAAGGTGCTCAGTGGGCTCGTATGGGTGTGGAAATGCTCGACCGCCAGGTGTTTAGGGATTCAGTTGAACAATCGGCAACTTACCTCCGAGATATGGGATGTCTCTGGGACCCTATTGCTGAGCTTGAAAAGGCCCAAGTCGACTCTCGCCTAAGCCACCCTGAGATCAGCCAACCCATATGCTCTGTGCTACAGATCGCCCTGGTCGATGAACTACAGTCGTGGGGGGTTGTACCATCCCGAGTAGTCGGCCATTCCAGTGGTGAGATCGCCGCAGCATACAGCATTGGAGCGCTGAGCCACCGAGATGCGATTGCCGCAGCTTATTTCAGAGGAATCGCTGCTACTAAGCTTCAAACAGACGCACCAGATCTCAAGGGTGGGATGATGGCTGTTGGCTGTTCGCGAGACGAGGCAGATGGTGTGATCGAGCAATCAAAGCTCAGTGGCACAGCTGTTGTGGCCTGTGTCAACTCGCCTTCTAGCGTCACACTATCTGGGGACATGGATGCCCTTGAGCAGCTCCGAGCTATATTCGATGAGCGCAAGGTTTTTGCTCGACGCTTGAAGGTTGAGATGGCGTACCACAGCCGGCACATGAATCGCGTGTTTGGTAGCTACTCTGCATCCATCGCCGACCTTGAGCCCATAACGCAGGACGACACCGACGAAGAAGGCGACGTAAAAATCCAGGCAATGATATCTAGCGTTACTGGCCAAGAAGTTGCTCCAGAACTTCTAGGACCATACTATTGGGTTCGCAACCTGGTTTCGCCTGTACTTTTTTCCGACGCGGTCAAAGAGCTCGTCAGCCCAGCTGATCAAGATGCAAACGACAATAGTATCAGCACTGTGGATTTGCTAATCGAAGTTGGTCCACACAGCGCTCTTAGCGGGCCTGTGGAGCAGATATTGGATCACTACGGCATCAAAAATGTGGGATACAAGTCAATGCTCATCCGAGGACGCAATGCATTGGACACTAGCCTTGAACTCGCATCGGAGTTGTACCTCGATGGTGTTCCTCTTGATATCTCCCAGGTCAATGGAGATCTGAAGGTCCGTCGACTAACAGACCTTCCTCCCTATCAGTGGAACCATTCAAAGATCTTTCGCCATGAGACCCGCATTCAGAGGGAGCTAATGACGCGCCAATTTCCGCCCAGAAGTCTTATCGGAGCTCAGGTACCGATGATGGATGAGAGCCAGCATGTCTGGCGCAACTTCCTGAGACTTTCTGACGAGCCTTGGCTTCGAGGTCATAAGATTGGCAGTACTGTATTGTTGCCTGCAGCTGGGTTGGTCAGTATGGCAATTGAAGCCGCACGGCAATTGGTGGAGCCAGGAAAGAAGGCTCGATCTCTCCGTTTTCGCGAGGTGTGCTTCTCCGCTGCCATGGCACTTTCTGAAGATGTGGCTACCGAGGTAATCTTGCACATGCGGCCGCATCTTCTTGCTACTTCAGGATCCACTCCGTCTTCATGGTGGGAGTTTACCATCTCCTCATGCGTTGGCACCAGCCAGTTGCGCGACAATTGTCAGGGTCTGGTCACCATAGACTATGCGGATACCACCAGTGAGCAGATGGCGAAGGAGGACGCCAACTTCGAAGAGTCTATAATCTCAGAATATCACCGTGTTCACAAGGAGTGCCCAGACACCTATTCCAAAGAAGATTTCTATGGACAATTCGAAAAGATTAGTTGGGAATACGGCGAGGCTTTCCAAGGCGCTGAAAATGTCCATCTTGGTGACGGCGAATCAACATACGATGTTAGGCTAGTCGACATAGGCGAGACTTCTAGTAAAGGCCAGACTGATCGTCCATTCCTCATCCACGCAGGCACGCTCGACTCTATCCTGCAAGGCTGTCTCGGTAGTACGTACAAGAATGGGAGGTTCGAGAAGGATAAGCCCGCCTTGCCTACATTCATCGGCGAGATGGAGATCTCTCTGGACATGCCTGGAGACATCGGATACGTTATGCCGGGACTTTGTAAATCGAAAAGGCATGGCTTCAAAGAGCTATCGTCGGACATCAACACTTTCGACACTAGTCTTTCTAAAGTTGTTCTATCTGTTGTTGACTTCCGAATTTCGGAGCTCGAGAATGACACGGATGCCCAGGATACCGAGCAGCTTGAAGTAGATCCCGCGGAGATTACATCTGTCATTCGTTGGAAATCTTCTCTTGCGATTGCAACTCAAGAAGAACTCCAAAAGTTGGTGTTGGCTTCTGCACCCGAAGCTAGGGTTCGTGAGGTAATTCGCCATCTCCTAACCCCTACTCCGTGCCATTTTCGCGGAGGCAATAAGCAGGCTTTATGTTTCACCGAATGTAGCTAACATATACTGCAGCTTGTTCTTTTGTACATTCACAACAATCCTTCAGCGACTGTGATCGAGCTTACTCCAAACATTGAGCCACCGAACCATACAGTTATGTCAGAGCTGCCTAGCGGAACTATCCAGTCCAGCCATGTCCATTACGCTGCTATATGCGCTGAGACTTCACTCGAGGGTAACAGCGCCAATGCACACTTGAGTGGAATTCCGTTCTATCTAGGTGAATTGGATGATCCCATGCCTGGAGGTGTCACTCCAGCGGATCTCCTGATCGTTCCCCAGGCGTTCAGCGATTGCGAAAACATGGAAAAACTGTTGGATCGTTTGGTGACCCTTGGAAAACCGGATGCGGCCTTGTTACTTGAGCCAAAGAAGGATTTTGATCAGCTTACATCAATTCTGAAGGCCAAAGAGTTTCAGTGTGTCTTGAATGTTGAAAATTCGGTCGCGCTATTCAAAAGGCAGGTTTCGCAGCCTACCAATGGCTCGACCAACTGCACTTCAGCCAAATGCGACTTTACTATAGTTGAATCATTGGCACCTACCCAAGACTCTAAGGCCTTCTCTCATGCTTTGAGAGCTACCCTTGAAGACCAAGGCTATACCGCATCCGTTGCCACTTGGACTGAAATGAGTGCTTGCACTGAGACAGAGCTCGAAGGCAAAACTCATATTTCACTACTGGAACTCGATATGCCGATGCTATCTTCACTTTCAGAGCCCGACTTCCATAACTTTCGCAAGTTGGTGCTGAGCAGCAAGCGCCTGTTGTGGGTCAATGCCGGCGATGATCCATCCATGGGCGTCATCGACGGTATCCGAAGAACTATGTGGAGTGAGGTAGCGGGCATCGATTTCCAAGTCTTGCACCTCAGTGGTTTGAAAGCGGCTTTACATTTCGGTCCATCACTCGTTAGTCGTATTCTCACAACCGAAGCTCAAGACGATGAGTATCGGGAACGCAATGGTATGCTCGAGGTTGCCCGTATCTACAACAGTCCCAAAGGCAATGCGGACGTCCGCCATTGTCTCGAAGATTCCGTCCGTGTGCAACGGTTAGCAGACCAGGTCAAACCGTTGACACTGACGATAGGCAAGCCGGGTCTTTTGGACACACTGACATTCATCGAGGACGACCGCACGAAGACTGCACTCGGAGAGATGGAAATTGAAGTGGATATCAAAGCGACGGGCATCAAGTAAGACAGTCCCACTACTTGCACCAATTGCTTTCTAACATTTCCACCAGCTTCAAAGATATCATGGCAGCCATGGGACTAGTCGGCGTGTCTGTGATCGGCCATGAAGCTAGCGGTATCGTCACTGCAACCGGTAGCGCTGCAGCCTCACGCTTCAAGCCTGGCGATCGAGTGACGCTTCTCTGGGAGGGCATGCATACGACTAAGATCCAGATCGACCATCGCCTCGCCGTACACATTCCCGATTCCATGTCTTTCGAAGAAGCCGCTGCATTGCCCATGGTGCACGTCACTGCTTACCACGCCCTCATCAACATTGCCAAACTGCGCCGTGGCCAATCCATCCTCATCCACGCGGCTGCTGGTGGTGTTGGCCAAGCTGCACTGCAACTGGCTGCCTACTTGGGACTGACGGTTTACGTGACCGTTGGAAGTGACGACAAGCGCCGCCTACTGATGGACAAGTACAACATACCCGACGCCCACATCTTCTATTCCCGCGATGCCAGCTTCTTGAAGGCTATCAAGCGTGTGACCGGCGGCCGCGGCGTCGATTGCGTGCTCAATTCTCTTTCTGGGGAACTGCTTCGTGTTTCCTGGGCATGCCTTGCGCCCTTTGGCACGTTTGTTGAGATTGGGCTGCGCGATATCACAAACAACATGCGTCTTGACATGCGCCCATTTAGCCAGAGCACGACCTTTGCCTTTATCAACATTGCCAATTTCTTCTGCGCTGAGGGCCTCGACACGCTGGGCAACATTATTTCAGACACCTTTGCTCTCGTCCATCGAGGTGTTCTGCGCTCAGCCTACCCCTTGACTGTATACCCTGTTTCGGAGTTGGGGACTGCTTTCCGCACTATGCAACAGGGTAAGCATCGTGGTAAGCTTGTGCTCTCGTTCGAAGAGAACGCTCAGGCGCCAGTGCTCTGCAAGTCCAAAGACGCACTTCGACTCAACCCCGATGCCACGTATCTTTTCGTTGGCGGTCTGGGCGGCCTTGGTCGTAGTCTGGCGCGGGAGTTCATAGCCTGTGGAGCACGTCATATTGCATTCGTATCCCGGTCTGGTAATGCCGGCGAGAAGGCCAAAGCTACAATAGACGATCTCACTGCGCTCGGTGCCGTAGTCAAGGCTTATCAAGCAGATATCACGGACGAGGATGCTTTCCTCTCTACCATGCAGCAGTGTGCTGCCGATCTTCCACCCATCGCGGGTGTGCTCCAAATGGCCATGCTGTTGCGCGATTCGCTTTTCGAGAAGATGTCTTACGAAGACTGGACCGGACCCACGCGGCCCAAGATTCAAGGGACGCTCAATCTACACCATTACTTCTCTGACACCCGCCCACTCGACTTTTTCCTCATTTGCTCTTCTATCTCCGGCATTTTCGGCAATACAGGACAGACCGCGTACGCCGCTGGGAATACCTTCCAAGATGCATTCGCACAACACCGCCGCAACCAAGGTCTTAAGGCCGTTGCGATTAATCTAGGCATCATGCGCGATGTCGGCGTCCTGGCCGAGCAGGGTAGCACGGGCAAACTCGCTCTTTGGGAAGCTGCTCTCGGCATTCGAGAAAAGCCATTCCATGCCCTGATGAAGAGCATCATCAACCGTGAGTGCAAGGGAGAGGCAAGTCCTACTCAGATATGTACCGGACTCGGGACCGCAGATGTGATGAAGAATTTCGGGTTGGAACTTCCAGAGCATTTCTCCGACCCGCGATTCGGCCCGCTCAACGTCTTGAGTATAGACGCAACTTCTTCCACCAACACAGATGGTTCCTCTGTTGCATCATCGCCTTCTGCACGTCTCACTACTGCATCCACTTTCCACGAGGCTGTGTCTATCATCACGGACGCGCTAGTCCACAAGACGGCGGAAATCTTGCTCATGCCTGTTTCCGAAGTGGACCCCAGTCGGCCCATGTACCGTTATGGAGTCGATTCATTGGTGGCTCTGGAGGTGCGCAATTGGATCACGAGGGAGCTGCAGGCAAATATGGCGCTGCTGGAGATTTTGGCCGCAGTGCCTATGGGTGAATTTGCAGAGAAGATCGCGGGGAAGAGTAAGTTGGTGATGATGGGAGACGCGGGGAAATGATTGGGTAGGGGATTTTGACCATGGAGTTTCATGTTTTGAAAAAGGCGACGCAGGTATTTGTAGATGCTTTTAAGACACATAGATGTAACCTTGAAGATGATATTTCGCCATGTGAAGCCTGCAACATGTTTGGTTGAATGTGAATGTATTATTAAGTCTACCGTTACTTACCATATGGTGAAGTGGCTATATACCCCAAGGCCGGTCCACTAGCATGTCACGTGCTGTCATGTGACAAAGCCTGTGTTTAGATGATAGCCTCTCTGTTGATCTTGCCTTGCATGCCCATCATGATGAACTGTGCGGTGACTAGATGGTGGTACACTACAAGAGGTACACCGCGTTTCAAATTTCGTGCGTAATTTGAATATTTTTGCACAAATAGTGCAGAGGTATGTATAGTTGCAAGAAACCCTGTGCTTATGGAATGTTTAGTTTGGGCAAAGAGAGGAGTTCGCTGTGCATCATTAGTTATATGAGGGCGGAGGAGGCACTCGTCGGAACAGAAATAGAAAGAACTTGATAGAAAGATTGTTTGGGTTGGTAAGATAATCAAACTAATTCCTGAACGACTATGCACAAACATGTAGAACATCTAACGCCAATTCTTCGGGTATGATCGATCATCATTGCCCAAGATCTGTGTCACTTCTCATTATGCTCTCGAAAAACGCCATGTCCACTCCTTGAAACGCCCAGTCCTCACTTCCCGCAGCTAGCTCTGGAAAATCACCCTGCCATGGTGCGGCGAGTGACGAAGAAAAATACGTTTCGGAGAGATTGGCTAGGTTTCCTCCATATTGTTGGTGTTCTTGTTGCTGCTGTTGGTGTTGCTGGCGCGTGAAAGCAGCCGAAGAATCGGGAAGAGTTGCCGTGGGCGTGGTCTGAGATGAGATGTTGTTAAGAGAAAGAGCAGGGGATGGCGTGTCAGGATGGGAAATGGAGCTCAAGTGTGTTGATGAGGGGAGACGGACTCGGGAATCAATATGTATCGGATCGGAGTTGGTGTTGGTGTTGGTGGCTAGGAATCGATCCAGCTGCAGCGGAGCTGTCCCATGCATGGTAGCAGTCGCTGCAGCTTGGCTTTCGGTCAAGGTATCTCGTCCGATGCGAATAATCCCAAAGTATGGAATTTGAACGCTGACTACGCCGTCCTCTTCTCGTGTCGAACCATCTTGTTGCACAACCTCATTGCCCGCCCCACTCACGCTCACTCGTGTATCGCCGGCCTCTATCTCTATCGCCAGTAACTTCCTCAGCAAATCTGCACTCTGAGCACTCAGTGCGTCAGAATTTAGTTTGTTAACCTCATGCATGTTCTCCTGGACTTGCTCGATCATGGCACGATCGCTCAAATATTGGTGCGCGAGCGGATTATCCGCTCCAGCTCGATGACAGTCCAAGTGTGCAAGAAGCAGCGCCATAGCCGCCATGAGTGCAATAAAATCGACGGTACGGCAGCTGTAGGCGATGCGGTTGAAGTTACGCAGTGTGATGTAGCGCGACAGGACTTCACGCGACGCATTTACGCACGTCATCCGCGAGTAGTCGTGTTTACTCTCAGCAGACGACACGCGCAACATGTATGTCAGATGCAGCTGTATAAGCAGGTTGTAGTGGAATATCTGCGCAAGAAGACGCCGCATGTCCCAAAAATGAGTTTGTAGATCGGCAGAGACAGTGTTGAACTTGGGTGGCAGCCACCACTTGCTTGCGAGGCCACGAGCGGCTTTTTGCAGCTCCAAATCGATTTCGCGGGTGATGGCAAGATGTTGAGCACTGGGACTGCATTCATTACGCTCCAGAATACGAGACATCAGTGCGCAGTGCCTGCGCTCGAGACGACCCATTGGGGTATCGTTGGCAAGGCAAGTTTCGGAGGCCATGTTGCGGTCGGTGCATCCTTGCGGTATGCCCAGGAGAAGACACAGGTGTCGGTCTAAGGTGACGATGCGGAGCCACATCAGTTGTGGGTAATGCTCCGTCTTAGGATCAAGTACCTTGTACTGCGATTGGCTGTTGGATCGATGGAGACCCATCAATTGTGCGATACTCATCGCTCTTCGGCCCGCGACCCAGCTTCTTCGAAGGTTTCCAATGTTTGCTTGGTACAAACTCTCCATCATGATACACTCAAGACTTTCTATACTGCCCAAAAGCTGGTCGTTGGTCGTCACGTGGTGGATTGCGATATCAACTAAACGTTCCATGATGACGCGTGGGGGCTCAGAAAGAACTTTGATTTCTTTGTGAAGATCGGGGTGGAGGTGCTGCAAGAACGTCGCAAGCTGGAGCATGTGCCTCGCGATCAGAACAGGATGTACATGTGATTCTGGGATGGCAAGCAGGCTATCAGGAGTCTTGAGACCGTTTCGAAAGAGAGTGTCGTATGGCATGGTTAAGAGCTCGTGGGCAAGTATGGAAGAGTGACGACTGGCTTTGCAGATGCGCTCCGTATCTTCCCGTGACGGTAGTGACTCATGCAGATACCTGGAAAGCCTCTCATGTTGCATTTGAAATGTTGATGCCTCATTGTTGCTCCTGACCGTAGAAGATTGCTGCATGTGCGGTCAGTAACCGTCATATACTAGGATGATGGGAGAGATGTAGGACGTACATCTGAGGACTTGCGAGAGGGGAAGTATCGTGAAGGCTCAGAGTCTACTGAAACAGGTGTGAGAACGCTACTGTCGGCTCTTCTCCCATCGTCACTAGGAGTCGCAATGGGCCTCGGGGTGTTGAGAGACGCGCCATCGTTGCCACTGTGCGCAATATGGGTGTCGTCCACCACAAACTCCTGGCTGATGCATGGAGAGCCACGCTGTCTGCATCCATTGCAGGAAGTACTGGCAATATGCGGATCGAAAATGCACTTCATCTTCCTCCGCTTGCATTCCCAACAGCTGTGGGTGCCTTTGCGGACCTTTCTCCGCTTAGCGTTCGAGAAGGTGTCATGTGACGGTGTAGCACGTGGAGACGACATTGGGTCTACTAGCCGATGGGTTTGGAACTCTGTTCCAGCTGTAAAAGAAACGGTGAGTTGAGACGGCGGAAAGACGTTCACAATCGCAGCGGCCGGCGGTCGAAAGATATCAGCATCACGGCGGAAGCGGAGGAAGCGCCCTTTGTCCGCCGCGCGGGCGAAAAATGCCAAGAAACGCGTGGGGGTTCGGCCGTAACTAGCGCCTGGGGCTTAACCATCTCGGTAGTTAGTGACGGCAGACGGCCCGGGGATCGACGGGTGCGGCGTGGTTCGTTCAGCGACTCACCAAGCCTCGCAACTTCATCGCATTCTCTCCACTCACACGTAACCCAAACTATATGTTTTGTTTACCAACCAGCACAACACCAAATTCTTCTATGATTCATTCCTGCTGCCAGCAAACTTGAGGCCTTGAGTAACAGGTTTTCGATAACGTGATCAGCGCGCCTTGACTCGGAGAACTGGCCCATCGTATCCACATGCTAGGGGTTCTCTTCGATCGCAAATCTGATGCGTCGATGTCATCATTGGAGGACTTTTGGATGCAGTAGTTCTCCACGAACAGAAGGATTCAAGACCACCGCCAAAACCCCTGTCTTTCTTTGTAATATCTTGGTTGAGGAAACCCCCCAAGGAGTCCAAGCATGATTACCCTCATTTCTAAGACGGGTCGATAGCCGCCACTATGCCCTATCTTCCCATACGAGCCTCTCCCGGTGTCTGATGTGAAAAGGAAACTTGCTGGTTCAGAATTGCCGCCAATAGACGACTTCGCACGCAATCAAGGCCCCCCTTATGAATCAAGGCGCCCTTATCAGTATGTAGGTATCGGATCATCACAGCGGAACTGTTTTGTTGGATTATCATTGCCTCCGTGGAGATAGTAGTAATCACGTCCACATGTTGAACTCATAGGCCTTGGTGAGGTGCAGAGGTTCGGGCCATTTCCCCAAAAGGCTGTTCATCAGACTAGTTCCACGCAGGACGACCAGGGAGATAAGAATGGAAAAGCTCGGTAGAACTCTCGTCAAAATCATGTAATCGATGGTTCTTCAGTTTGATACGCCAAGGATGGGTATCGTGGTACTGTAGAAGAGATAACAATCTTCGCGCGCACACGAAAGAATTCATCCCCTGTGCCCCTCGCACACAGTCCGCAACAATCAATTAAGTGGGTCCTAGAAGGTTCAGATTGGATTGATTGATTACCGCTTTAAGCCTAGTAGTTACCTATAGGAGTTTAAGCCCTACCTAGATAGGTAAGTGGGTCTAGGAGAGTGACCGGATTGAATTGATTGTTGCGGAGTCTACCCTCGCAGACTCAAAATGGCAGGAAGACCGACTCAAGCTGATATCAGCCGCAGTACGTACATATCAGCCGCAGTACGTACAAGGAACAAAGGATGCAGTGAGCACATCCACATGCTCGGCAGTCAGCACAGCCAACATGAAATTCCGTCAGCACTATCCCCCACATGTTGCATCCAGTTCCTCAATTCGGTGATATGCAGAGCTGAGAAAGATAACTTCCTTGGCTCATCATGGGATGACATGTTCACTACTCGTTTAGGTTTCATCATGCGTTGCGATACTGGCAGAGTGAGCTTATATATGTTCTCAGCAGTTACAGAGCCGTCTGTTTTCGCAAGATTGTCTGATGCCTTATAGACGATCGTTGATTTCAATACTTAGCCACCATGAAAACCAGCCATCAAACAGTTCTTCTCTTTGGAGATGTCACGGATTCATGGGTTGAGGGCATCGATCATGTCTATATGCAGGCTGCAACAAAGCCATGGCTTCAGTCGTTCTTGGACAATCTCTTTTCCGCCATCAAGACAGAAACCAAAGCTATGGACCGAGTCCTGCAAGAAAGTTGTAAGGGTTGCTCCAGTCTTCAAGAGTTGGCCGAGAGATATCGACACACCGGAGATGAGTTTGGTATGGCGCATGCCATGCTGATCTATGCGGTCCGAGCTGTGGTTCTCCTAGAGTGAGACCCCTGCCCATCTTCAACTATAATTCCTCCATATACTGACTATTTGCAGGGCTGTAAATCGGGAGCCGCATATACTTGACTCAAGCCGACCTAGGCCCGAGATTATCGGTATCTCCGGAGGCCTTTTCAGTGCCGCGGTGATGTCAATCTCGACCAACTTCGAAACTCTTTATGCAGCATGCATCGAGGCTGGTCGTATATGGTCAAGACTCTGCAATCTTACCTTGGTAAGATCAAGGGCCATGGAGGAGCGCCCCGGTACTTGGGGCTGGGCCATTCTCGGTATCTCAGCAGCAGAGCTGGGTGAAACCCTGGAACAGTTTCAAAGTTCCATGGTAAGTTCCATATACTCGGATGAAATTACTCTAGAAGCTGATCAGAAAATTCACAGGGCATTCCTTCCTCCAAGAGAGCAAAGGTCGGAGTCCTCGGAGATCGATGGAGTACGATCATAGGGCCTCCTTCTGTTATAGAGCTTGCCTTGAGCGAATGTCCTAGTTTGAAGAATCTTCCAAAGAATGAGCTCAACATCCATGCTCTTCAACATACCTTGAGCATCTCAGAGGCTGATATCGACTACATCGTTGGACATTCCCCGCTACTAGAGACACCCCTACGTCCTGGCTACAGGATACATGGATTGGATGACGATTCTCCGGAAGCAAGCTACCCAGAATGGAGACATCTCCTGAGCGCTTCAGCATACCAGACCTTATCACGGCCTCTGGACATCACTCAGGCTGTCAGCAATCTGGACGCCGCTCTGGAAGCATCACAGCATATTGATGCCAAGATCATCGGTCCTAGTAGCCACACAACATATCTTGCCAAGGTCCTACAGACCGCGGGAAGGGGGGTGTCTATCCAGAACGATTTATCTACAAGCCCACAAACTTCAGGTACAAGTAACGGTATCGCCATTGTCGGCATGGCAGGCAAGGGACCAGGCAGCGATGACCTCGAAGAATTCTGGAATGTCATATTAAAAGGTCTCGATCTACATGAAGAAGTCCCATCCGATCGATTCAACTTGGAAGAATACTATTCGCCCAAGCATCCACCAGCCGGCCCAGGCAAATGTACCATGACCTGCCGTCACGGGTGCTTCATGAATAATCCTGGACACTTCGACTCCAAGTTCTTCCATATATCGCCCAGAGAAGCTATGCTCATGGACCCTACTCATCGATTGTTCTTGATGAACGCATATGAGGCCCTCGAGATGGCGGGATATTCAGATGGTCAAACCAAGAGTACCGATCCGACGAGGATTGCACCTTCTTTGGCCAATGCAACGACGATTGGCATGTGGTTGGTCATCGCGCTCTGGGATGCGATGCCTACACTCTGCAGGCTGTTCAGCGTGCTTCGGGCCAGGTCGACTTGCTTTCCAATTCAACTGGGAGGGACCGACGTATGCGCTTGACTCTGCTTGTGCAGCCACAAGTTCCTGCATTCATCTTGCTTGCATGAGCTTGATCACAAGAGACATAGATATGGCTGTGTCAGGGGCTGCAAACGTGTTGTCGACTCCTCATTCTTTCACCAGCCTGAGCAGATCAGGGGTCTTATCTGATTCGGGTAACTGTAAGACTTATCGGAACGATGCGGATGGTTACTGCCGTGCCGACTTTTCAGGTGCCGTGGTTCTGAAAAGGCTCGATGATGCTATTGCCCAGAATGACAACATTTTGGCTGTCATCTCTTCCTCGGCCAGGAACCATTCTGGAAACTCTACATCCATCACAACATCTGATGCTGCTGCCCAGGAACGATTGTTTCACAAGGTCTTGGGAAATGCACGCGTCACGCCCGAAGATATCTCATACGTCGAGATGCACGGTACAGGGACCCAAGTCGGCGATAAAGCAGAGATAGGGGCGGTTTCCAGTGTCTTCTCGAAAAGAAGTGATGGCAGACCTCTGCCTGTGGGAGCTATCAAGGCAAATATAGGTCACAGTGAAGCGGTGAGTATAACTTAAACCTATTTCTCATCATTGCAGATGCTGATATGATTCAAACCAAGGCAGCAGGAATGTCCTCACTACTTAAGAGCATTCTCATGTTCCAAAACAACACGATACCACCACAGGCAGGAATGCCTCACACTCTCAATCCCAATTTCCCCCCTTTACATGAAATCAACATCAAAATCCCCTCCGAGCCTCTCGAATTCAAGGCATCAGGCAACAAGCCTAGACGAATACTTCTCAACAACTTTGATGCATCGGTGAGTCATATTTTGTGTCTGCTATCTGCTACAATGACACTGACCATCCGAATTACAGGGCGGCAACTCATGCCTACTACTGGAGGACTACACGGATACGAAGGAAAGAAACGCCGATGTTAGGTCCGCCCATACCATTGTTACGTCAGCGAGAACACAGTTGTCGCACGTTCTCAACAAGAAGAGGCTTCTGAAATGGCTTCGATCGAATCCCAACACGCGCATCGAAGACCTGGCGTACACAACTACTGCGAGAAGGATGCATCATCCCATCAGATCGGCGATTACTGCATCAACTACTCCAGAGGTCATTTCAAAACTTGAAACCGAAATCGAACGCAAAGATAGCTCTTCAGGGCAGCATGCTTCCCCTGTTGTATTCGTCTTCACTGGGCAGGGATCCCATTATGGAGGTATGGGTGCCGAGCTGTATCGCTCAAGTTCCATCTTCCGTGAGAGAGTCGACCTATGTGCCTCCATCTGTGCTGGAAATGACTTCCCTCTCTTCTTGGACATCATCACCGATGAAACAGTCAATGTGTCTACAAAGAATGCAGCTCAGGTACAACTCGCTGTATTAACTTTGGAAATGGCCCTCACCCATTTCTGGCGATCAGCTGGAATTGAGCCTACCATGGTAATGGGACACAGTCTTGGAGAGTATGCCGCCCTACACGCCGCTGGTGTTCTGTCTTTGGCAGACGCTTTGTATCTCATTGGCCATCGCGCTCTTCTACTCTTGGAGCAATGCGAACCCGACTCCTGTTCTATGCTGTCAGTATCCATGCCAGTGGACAAAGTTCGGAACCACGTTACAAAGATACGTTCCTCTTCCTGTAATGTTGCTTGCATCAACAGCTCTACCTCTACTGTTGTTAGTGGTACTGCCGAAGATCTTGCAGAGTTCCAATCGAGCATTACAGCGCAAGACACAAAGGTTCGTGCGAAGACATTACCTCTCCCATATGCCTTCCATTCTTTCCAGATGGATCCAATACTGGAGGACTACTCTCGCATTGCGGCAGGTGTGACTTATTCAGCACCCAAGATCCCAGTGGCTTCAACTTTGCTTGGATCTGTCATTGAAAGAGAGGGGATTTTCACCCAGGAGTACATGGTCCAGCAGACACGCCAAGCGGTCGACTTTGTTGGTGGCCTTGTCGCTGTAAAGTCAAAGTTGGCTGACCCACTTTGGCTTGAAGTCGGGCCTGCACCAGTCTGCATATCTTTCGTGCGAGATACCCTTTCCGCTCCAGCTTCCAAGATGATGCATAGTTTTCAGCCAAAGACTAGCAACTGGATGTCCTTGTCGAAAACTCTCGCGGCCATGTACACTAGTGGTGTTGACATCGACTGGCTCGCACTCCATGCGCCATACGAAAGCAACCTCAAGTTGTTGACACTTCCTTCCTACGCATGGGACACGAAAAATTTCTGGATAACTCATACCGACAGGGTCACAGAAGTAGTTTCCGAACAGTCCCCGGTTACCTCATCCGAACCAAGCATCTCTACCTGTGCTCAGTATCTTGTCTCCAAGTCATCTTCTCCAAAAATACGGGTCACGCTTCGGGCTTCAATTTCCGACCCGGGATTTGTGGGACTTATGGATGGCCACAAAATGCAAGGTGTTGGACTATGTTCTGGAAGCGTCTTCTGCGAAGCTGCTTTTGCAGCGACTAAGTATGCCCTCGAATACAGTGGAAGGAAGAACGTAACACAGCCCTGGTTGACTCTCCACGACCCTGAGCTTCTTTTGCCCCTTACGAAGAAGCTAGTGGGCCCTGACGGCGATCTCGTCACTACAGCTGTAATGGACAGCCCCTCTGCCGAGACGATTTCTGTTACATTCAAAGCTACATCTGCAAGTACATCACATGATCTCGGTAATTGCGTAGTCAAAGTTCGCGACCCTACCAGAAGTCAGGTTGAATGGGACCGAATATCGTACTTCATCAAAGCCAGGATGGACGAGACGATCAAAAATGCCAAAGAAGGACAGGGTCATAGAATGCAACCAGAGGTCTTCTATGCGCTTTTCGGCAACGCCGTTGAGTTTTCGCCGGAGTTCCAAGGTATCAACGAGGCCTACATTGCGAAAGATTTCCAGGAGGCTGCAGCAATAGTCACTCTTCCACATGATCCTAGCGGTACTAGATTCACATTCTCACCTTATTGGGGTGAGGCTCTTGTGCATTTAGCCGGCTTCACGGTAAATGGCAACCCGGGCAAATCTCCCAAGACCACGTTCATCGTCATGGGTTTCGCGAGTGTCGAGCAGACGGCCCCCCTGGTTCCCGGGAAGCAGTATATGACATACACTCGTATCTCGAAGTGGGTCAAGGACACAGCATACTGCGACGCGATTGTCTTTGATCCCGAATCTTCCAAGATCATCTTACAGTGTATCGATCTTCGTTACCAAGAGCTTCCCCGGGCTACCTGGAAGCATATACTCGAGGGACCACATGGGACTCCCATGGCACACGCACACAAACCTCCTGTCAGAGACATCAGGAGGGACGCTGAAACAAGAGAGTTGCAACAACCCACTCCAGCCACAGTGCCAGTACAACAAAAGACAATAAATGAGCCCCAACAGCAGGAGGAAGAATCTGCTGCGGACGCAGGGCTATTCGATGCAATCTTGGACAGCATTTCGAAAGCCACAGGTACCGATCCCTCTGAAATCACGGACGACACAATGATAGCCGATCTCGGCGTTGACTCCATCATGGCCATCGAAGTTGTCGCCACTGTAAAGGCTAACTCAGGGGTTGATTTGCCCGCTGCATTCGTCTTCGAGTATCCTACTATCGGTGATCTTCGGAAAGAATTTGGAGCGAACAAGCCCACGGCTGAAAAGCCGAAATTCAGCACAGCCCCCTCTAGTGCTGGGTCTTCCATCCCGTCAAGCCCCAATTCATTGGCTCACCCGATGTCTGAAGCGGCTTCTTCGCTCTCTCTTACTTCGACATCTCTTAGTGACAGGGACGAGTTGTTGCCCCTCGAACGCCAGAGAAAAACCAAGAGAGAACAGAAGCAACCGGTCAAGATAGATGATGACACATCACCGGAGCCCGTCGTCCGAATCACGCTCCTGCAAGGCCGTCCCAGCTCCAAAAGAATTCCGTTCTATATGATGGCTGACGGTACAGGAACGATTGCAACGTATATCCACCTGCCGTCCTTCAAGTCAAAAATGCCTGTATACGGCATCGACTCGCCATTCCTCCGCTGCCCGAAGAGATTGACCAAAGAAGTTGGCATTGAAGGGGTAGCAAGACTCATCGTTGATGCGCTCATCAGAGCACAGCCCGAGGGTCCGCTCATGATTGGAGGTTATTCGGCCGGCTCCATCGTTGCATACGAGGTTTGTCGCCAACTGGGCAAAGCCGGCCGCAAGGTGGATGGTCTGCTGCTGATGGACATGTGCTGTCCACGATCCAGTCTCTTGGATGAAGACAAGATGAACTCGGACGACGATGCCAGCTACGCCATTTTCGAAACCGCGGTTGCAAAAGATGGGCTCTGGAGCGCCTCCGATACCACCCAACTGCATTTCCGCGCCTATCATGTCGCCATGCACGCCTACCACCCGCCGTACATGACGGAACAGGAAAGACCGGCTCGCACGGCTGTCATCTGGGCTGAGAAGGGCATGGTCAATCGCGTGGTTGGCAATGAGAAGCTGATGAAGATGTTGGTGGACCAAGGTATCCCGACGACATCGTATCCTGGTTACATGGAAGACCCCAAGCTAGGTTGCTTCGCCTGCTTGATGCCAGACCGTAAGAAGGCTGACCTTGGGCCGAATGGTTGGGAGAAGTATACTGCTGGTGAGGTTTTGGCGCTTTCGGTGCCTGGAGACCATCTCGATCTGCCCATGCCTGGCCATGTCCACTTGCTTCATGCTCAGATGGAGAAGGCATTTGCTTATATTGAGGAATAGGATGACATTAGTGGAGTCGTGTATAGTAACTTGGAGTGGGATTTCGTAGACTAAATTGATCTATTTTCCGGAATGCTTCTATGTAGACGATAATAGATGTTCTGTTTAGTACATGCTTATCCGGCGCTTAGAGGTATCGAGTCTTCGTGTATACTAGTGATTAAACATAATTTTGGAAGAGAGCTCTCTGTCAACTGTTGTACTGTAGTATAAGCATCAGTCGAGCTAAAACGAAATTCGTTCAACTTACGGTTTACATAGACAACTTTAGCCTGATTAGCTCACTTTGACTCTGGTATAATCGACCCCTGTCCAAGACAGCACGTGAATTGCGTCCTCATCTATGACAGCACAAGTATCGATTATACAACTAACGCATTCGTTTCAATCCACTTCAAAGCAGCAATTACGCCATTAGGTGCTATCTCAGGTCTTTCGGTAATTTTCAGGTCTTTTGTGTAGGCTTGGAGCAGTTGATAAGACGCCAAGTGCTCGCCATGGGGCACGTCTTGGGCCAAAACCGTGCGTATGAACACCCATAGCGACTCATGTTCAGACCGTAGAGTTATTGCATATTTAACCACCTCTTGTACCACCTCTTGCTTCAGCGGCAGAGATTCTATCCTGGCCAGCAGGTACATCAGGAAGGACCATCCGGATATATCGCTTGGGTGTTTACAGCACCAGATCCTAACGCGACGAGCATAATCTTCAAGTATATCGGGGCTTTCAATCTTCTCAGAGAGTCTACGAGCATATTGCCAAGCATGGTAGTTCTTAGGATGCTGCTCTCCAGACTTGCATACAGCATCTAGCTCCCTACGCCAAAAGGCTGACTTGTCATCATTCAATGCGTTCTGTAGCTCGATGGCCATGAGAGAGTCTACAACCTTGCAACGATGGTACCACAGAGTCGGAGACTTGGATTGGCGATGAAGTGGAGATGTGAGAATGCTGTTCAGGAAACAAAGTTCTTGCTGTAGTGCCTTGTGATGCGGAGTTCCACTTTGGTGACCATGATCGGCTTCCAATCGACTGAGTACTCGTTTGCGGAAGTTTGCGGGCGTGATGTGCTCTGGGTCGAAGAGAAGCATTATCTTTGTCGCTTGTAAAGTTCCAGCTACAACTGAGGGATCAGTACTCTGACTATTCTCGAAGAATCGTTGGCGAGCTTCTACGTAAGCCAAAACGAGTATCTTTTTCGGAACACCGAGACTCAGCCCATCTTGCATCAAGATACCGTCCGGCGGTTGTATGGCAGGAGGTAAGATCTCAATCTCGATAGTCTCATCCTCATGCTCCTGGAGGTACTTGCCCAAACACGTATATGCTACTTTTTGCAGATGCGTTGTCTGGTCATGTTCGGATGTCATTTTGAAGGTGATGGATGGGTAGTGGGGAAAGTAATGTGGTAGGGCAAGGGGTAACGAAAAGACGTTCCAAGGTTGCGCACGACCCACTAGCGCGCATGCAGCTGCCAAATTCACCATATGACATAACGCCTCCGCCCACTTCAACACAACACCATGCGATGAGAGCACCTGACATCGTAGCTCTCCCTCACGGTCCGCAACCATGCCTTCCCTCCTTCTGGTAGTCTTCATTCTGCAGTTATTGCTCCACATCATTAACACGGTGGGCGCAAACACGGTCAACGAGCTGGTAAGCCCCGCATTCTATTGTGACCACCTAAGAAGCACCTGCTGACTTGCGCCAGCTATGGGTCCTCTACAATAAGCTGCCAACCCCGACATCCGGATCCGCGCAGAGATGCCAGGTTCTGAAGCAGGACATTGTCCGGTTGAAGCGCGAACTTGGGAACACGTCGCCACAGGATAATTTCTCCAAATGGGCAAAGCTGGACAGACAACATAACAAGGCTATGGCGGAATATCAGAAGCTGGGTATGCAAGTCCCTGCCCCTAACCAACTTGCACGGGTTGTGTTATACGCATCTGCTAACGCACTTGCCTCTAGATGGCTCCCTCCGCTCTCACCAGGCCACGTTTACATCTGCCGTCTCGACAGTTCGCTGGCTCGGCACTCAAGGTCTTCGCTTCGTCCTCCAGTTCTGGTTCTCCAGGTCGCCCATGTTTTGGATGCCTGCAGGCTGGGTCCCATACTACGTCGAGTGGATATTGAGCTTCCCGCGCGCGCCGTTGGGGAGTGTGAGCATCAACGTGTGGGGTATTGCATGCGCGAGTATCATTTCGCTGGCAGCAGAGGCAACAGCAGCTATATGGGTACTTGTCACGCACAAGCCGACACCCATGGCTGCTGAGAAACAGCGCGAGAAGCAAGAGGCTATGGCCTTTAGTGCCAACCAAAAGCCCGCGGAGAAGGAGTTGTAATAGCGTAGCGCGCAGAGCTTCCATGCAATGATACCACATAAATAAAGTATTGAACATTGAGCTCCATCTGCACAGCACAAGGCAGGGGGCTAAATAAACTATGTCTCCCAACAAAAGACGCAAAGTCGTCGTGGCTTTCGCTCAGACACTGCAACACGAGTGGGATGATCTTGGCAGATCGTTTGGCTTCTTCTTGGCTACAAATTGAACTCGTGATCGTGGAAGAGTGCGAATCACCGAGTCTTCGAAAGAGCCATCCTGAGATATCTACAATAATTCCCGCAAAGGCACAGACAGAAGGCGATACGGTACTGAGCAGTCAACCATAAAACTGCGCGTTTGCACCGCACGCGGGCGCATGCTCGTGTGGAGGAGATTTGTGTTGTCGGATGCTGATGCGAAAAGATTGGAAAGAAGAAAAGTAACAAAGACGCGCTAACTGTATCCGGGCCGATGATGTTCCGAAAGGCGCTTCCCGCTTGCAGATTACTCCAACGACCGCGTTTACAACACCAGATTTGCGCATTCTGCATGAAACAGGTTGCCAAGACGGTATTACCCATGGATGCCTACTGTTTGTTCTACGTTATATTGCGCAAACGCTTTTGCATGACGAAGCTAATCTTGTGGACTCTCATTTGCGCCGTAGAAACTTTCTGTGGTAGGGATGTGTGTTGCACTAGTTGGTGCACGTAGCCACCACAACAGGCCTAAAGTATGTCTAAGATTGATGTTGCTTCTTCTTTATTGACTTGCAAGTGAATGCTCAACGCATATTTACTTTGTAAACTTACGTATAGTAGGGTATAGGTATGATGCTCTCATCATGATTTCATCCAAACTACGCTTCCAGCAAGTGCGAGAGATTTTATAGGTTCAACACTTGCTCGCGTGGTCAAGCGTACCTAGGGACGAAGACTTGGCAACCCCCAAGATTGATTGTATCATGCGAGGACGACACCGTCATGCTTACAGTTTATAAATGAATCTTACTACAAGGCTGCGTGCCGTATTGGCACTGCTTGTACATGTCTCGAGAGGCGAATCTCACCCTAAGTTCCAAGTTCGCTAGGCAAGGCTGTCACGGGTGCATGTCAGTCGTCAGACCGGCCCAGGTTCTAACGGGATAGCGGAAGCTTCTCGGGTAAGAGTTGACACATTGACAGTCCGTCCTCAACAGCCGAGGGAACAACAACAGCCGTTGGAGGCATGCTGACGCGCGGCCGAGTTCTGTAACCACGGGACTTTAAGATTGCTGCGACCACTCCTTGTCTATAATCAGCTGAGTTTCGGGGTGGTATGCTTTGGACGGCGAAGACACAGCCTATGATACTTCCCTAGCAACGCCGTTGACGGCTCTCCGCGGCAGTCCTGACTCTGGGGAGATCGTATTCTACAAAGGATGTCCCGGCTTCTCGTAGGGTAACGGCACATGGGACGCCCCTCGGTGCTACTTCGTATCCAGTCGTTCGCAGCTGCTGTGCACCGTGCAGGAAATTCCCCGAGTCTGCACAGTCACAGTCACAATCAGGCCCTTTGTCACTCCTTTTCCATCTCTGGGAAGCGTTGAAGAGATGGTGTTTGGCAGCCAGTGCGACATTCCCGTCTTACTGGACATTTTTCTCGCCATTCCCCGTATCCGCATGAATGGTTTAAGTTTGGCCGGTCCGAAGACGGTTCAGAACCCATTAAAGGAATCATATCCAGCAAATTGGGTCGCTTATAGTGTGCAGTGATCGCACGCAGGCAATCTTGTCCCTGCCCTGCGGACGGGAAGGCTGACTGGCGGTTGAATAGAGTTCAGGAGACGTCTGGAAACGCGAGGAGAAACACACAATCGGCTAGTTGCTCGTCTCCGATTGCCTGTTGGTGGTGTGTGCCCCTAATGGGTGCAGAAACGACGGCATGTCCGACAGCGATGATGTCTCTGCAAGTTTTGGGTTGGGCAGCTGTGCCACCCAGGCCATGTAGGAAATCGATGCAGCTACCCCGCAAAGCCCCAGCGTAGCCCAAAGCCACCAAGCACACTTGCGAAGATCCAGCCGTGGCAGTTGACTCGAAGCGGACAAAACATCGGGACATGAGACAGCCTCACTGACAGGCCGTGCAGTGTTTGCCAACAAGCGCCCAAAGCGAGGGTCGGGGTTCGGTGAGATTGGACCGGACAAGCGCTGTGACGAAATGGCGTCCTTCTCCACACGGTTCATAGATCCCCCTCCCAATGGCGATCCAAGGATTCCTGCACCAGCAAAAGTCCGCCTTATTCGTGGACAAGTCGCGCATTTCGCAATGCAAACTCCACTTGGATCGACGCACCTGGCTTGTCCGGTTTTTCTGGGGTTGCTGGTCCCTTCACCGCATCTCGCGTAGCCCTGCATCGACTCTGTTTCCAACCCGTCCGCCTCTTGCAATCGCTCTGTTGCTCACCTGTCCTCTGTCGCTTTCGCAAATCTCACGAGCACCGCCAAATTCCCATCTCGTCGACGAGGCAGCCGCCTGATAATGCCGTGGCCCAAATACCGGCTTCCCAGACGTCCGCGACCGCGATAGGACCCCGTGCAACTGTTCCACTTGAGCGCCTTCTCTATGGCAGTGGTGTCTACTCTCTAATCCAGCGCACGACATGGCGACAACCGACTTCACTGGCGATTTTCCGACCAGAGGGCCAGTGGTACTGGGCGTCTCGGCCAGTACGCTAGCGCTATGTTCGGTATTCGTTGGTTTTCGTCTGATTTCCAGATTCTTAGTGGTCCGGAGACCAGGATGGGACGACTATACCATGCTTCTCGCCTGGGTGCTGGCTTTTGGCGCTTCCTTTTCCATATGCTACGGAACGACAAAAGGCTTGGGACGAAAGCAGGAAAACATACCGTTGGAGTGGCAGGCACAGATGAAGCAGTCGTCCTACGCTTTCTCGGTACTCTATGTATGTTGAAGGTCCGCAAAACTCAAGTCAATGTACTGAGACCTCACAGAACCCAGCTTTAATGGCAACCAAGACGTCGATACTGCTTTTCTATCTCACCCTATCCACGACTCACAAAGTCTTTCGCTGGGCCACCATCGCAACCCTTGTCGTCGTCAATGTTGGCGGACTGGCCCTGACCATTCTGAACATGCTCCAATGTAATCCTCTCAGTGCTGCATGGGCTTCGCCTGTCCCCGATTCAGCGCATTGCACAAACATCGTCACCATATACCTATCTTCGGCGCCTCTTAACATCATCAGCGATCTGGCCATCTTGTTTCTACCAATGCCCATACTTACTAGCATGCGGCTACCAAAGAAGCAGAAAATTATTCTGGTTGTCACCTTCGGGTTTGGTATATTTGTTGCAGTCGTCGATGTTGTACGCATCGCATATCTTCAAGCCGCTCAACGCAACACCCTCCAGGCAGCCCAGCAGCAGACGCACGAATCCGGCAACGACCAGCGAAACACCAACGACTTTGCGTGGTTCTCATCCTTGTCCTTCATGTGGAGCACTGTCGAAATCAACCTGGGTATCATGTGTGGTTGTGTTCCTGCGTTGAAGCCACTCGTTAGGAGATTTCTTCCTCACTGGATCATCGATCATACAATCCGGGATGCAACACGCACGAGCGATGAGACTCCTGTCCTGCATACCGAGATTCTTGACTCTCGGAGGCAATCAGATGTTTTGACACCCCCTGCATCTCCGTTCAGCAAACCTCCGCAAGCGCGTAGAAGCGGTGGCGATGCACCTATTGGTATGATGGATTTCTTGACCACACCGGACATGACTGAGCTCCCGCGGATACGGCCCATGAACACCAACGTTACCTACGCGACTACCGTGCGTACCCACCACCGCCCACCGTCGACTTTCTTCGACTTTGTCAACACGGGACAGAAGAAGAATATTACTTTACGCAGCAACCGCGAGTCTGTGTACCCTGTCATCATGGTCACCATCCTCTTCTTCGTCTGGGGCATTGCTTACGGTTTTCTCGACGCACTCAATTCACGATTCCAGGAAGTTGCTCAGACGAGCGATTGGCAAACCGTCGGCCAACATACTGCATATTTCGCAGGTTATGTCGTTGGACCCCTGACGTTTGGTAGGATTGTATTCAAGCGTTGGGGCTTCAAAGCCTGCTACATGGTTGGTCTGTCGGTCTACGCTTGCGGGTGTCTTGTCTTCTGGCCCTCGGCCGTACTCAACTCCTTTCCATCGTTCCTGATTTCCAACTTCATCACAGGTGCTGGACTATCGACACTGGAGCTCAGCGCAAATCCCTTTATAGCGCTTTGCGGACCGCCCGAGTATGCTGAGGCACGATTGACCCTGTCGCAGGCCATGCAAGCTATTGGCACTATCGTCTCCCCACTCTTGGCCAAGAAGGTCCTCTTCCCTGCCAATGCCGCGAGCCTGATAGACGTTCAATGGACGTACCTCGGCATATCTTTCTTCAACATCACCCTGGCCATAATTTACTTCTACGTACCGCTTCCTGAAGCCACCGACGAAGAGCTCGAAGCCGCAAGTCTACGAACTGTACCTATTGCCAGGCAAGCCACTGTCAACATCGGATCAAAACCCATCAAGGTCATCTGGATAAGCCTAGGCCTGGCAGTATTTTCGCAATTCTGCTACGTCGGAGGCCAGGAGTCCACGTCTACATCGTTCCAGGAATACATCAGCCGTGTCACGCCTGGTGTGGATCCTGTATCACAGCTAGCATACGGGCACACGGCATTCGCCGTATCCCGATTCCTGGCTGCTTTCATTGACATATGGGTCAAGCCGCGGTACAGTTTGCTGTTCTTCTACCTCGGAGCCATCGTCTTCAGCGCAGCGGCAATGCACACGACAGGCAACGCCGGCGCAGCAGTCATCACCATGGTCATGTTCTTCGAAGGCCCAATATTCCCCAAGATCTTCGCTCAAGGCATACGCGGCATGGGCAAGCACACCAAAGACGCCTCGGTACTAATCACAGCCGCCATCGGCGGCGGCGCCGTCTTCCCACCTATCATGTTCGCCGCCCTCAAGACAAACAACGCACAATATGCCTTTTGTGTCATCGTCGCTGCCTACACGCTCGGCTCCCTATACCCTGTCTACCTCAACCTACTCCCTGCAGCGCGTCGCCTCTCCGACCCCGTCCGCGACGAAAAAACGCGCCGCGAATCCGAAATGGAGCATCGCTGTCGCGGCTCCGCTACCGACAAGCTGCGCAAATGGAGTAAAGGCAAAAAGGGTCATCATTGGAATGACGCGTTGCCTTCGGTGGAGCACAGAGAAAGGCGGTCTTGGCCAGAGGGCCTTGCGCCAAGGAGCCATAATAGCATGGCTATTGAGGCTGTGCATACGCGCACGCCCAGCCCCGCCAGTTATGCCTCGAGTAGGACATGAAGGAACATTTGCGTGTTAGTAGTTAGCACAAACGCGTTGTTGCAGCGCATGAGTTTAATGATTATGTACCCCATGTATAGCGTGGGTTTTTTTGGCGTTTTTTTTTGGAGATGGGACATGATACCACGGGTACGTTTTGCATATCTTTTTATGGGCTATGTAGCTAGATACTGGGCCTATACAGGGTGGATTTCTTTGTATTATGGATGTATATGCTGGCTTGGATTTCTGATTTTCTCTCGTTTCGGTAGGAGGAGCAGGGAGGAGAGTATAGTAATAGATAGGTTAGGTAGATGTATGTAGTTTATGTAGTGACGGGTCGGGTATCGCATACCCAATAGATAAAGGGGTAGCCTTCCTAATCTAGGGTTAGGCTATCTGTATATCTATTGGGTGTGCGATAGGTCCTCGCTGGTTGCTTGGATAGAAAGATGTAATAGAATAGCGACTGGTATGTTACTATGAGACTTCTGCATACTTGGACCTACGTCCTGCAAGCGCTATTTGAGAAGGGTGTAATATAAGTTTATTAGAATGGTGTTGTTATGCTGTATATAAGCAATGCTCTGATCTTACTCTCTCCTTAGAAACTAACACGTGCTCAGTACCTTAATCTATATCAGCATACTTTAGGCTATAGATTCAACATAAAATCTGGCTATAGCTGTGAAGGTCGTCCGAAGATGATCTTGGGTTGGTTCTCGGGGATGGAGTGATGCGATGGACACGAGGTTGTATAGCACGATTGGTAGATCGATGTAATATACGGGGAGTTGAGAATCAAGTACTAATCCTTAGATTTCGAAGTTGAACACAATGAACCGTAAGGGCTCATTGCCTACTGTTATATAATAAGCGTGCCCTCCATTGTGGCCTTTCCCTCCATGGAGGTCGCACCCTCCGTGGAGGTCATGCCCTCCATGGCGGTCATGCCAAGGTTGGAGGGCAGGTCACGTGACTGCGCGGCACAAGCTTACCCGCTGTGCCCCGCCTTCAACGTTGTCCTGCCGTTGTTGCTTGTCCTTCTCCTTGCAATCGTAACACTACCTCCCCCTTCCAGCGTATCGTCCCTGATACGTAGATTATCCGTGCCGTGGGGTCGCATAAGAGGTCCTGTGTATAAATACTCGTGGTGGGTCGTCTTGTTTTCTGAATCCTTACAGCCTCCCTGACCATGCCTAAAGAACCGAGGACCCGTGCGTCTCGCAAGAAGACAACCACCGAAGAGCGTTACGAACGCCTCCGTCGTGTCGAGCTTTCTGGACGAGAAATGCCGTTTCGCTGTGAGCGTTGCGAAAAGAATAACCTGCGGTGTTTTGTGGATACGGTGTCTGGTCGTTGTGCGGGTTGCATCTCAGCGCGATGCGACTGTGAGTTGTTTGTTCCTGAAGAGGAGTGGGAAAAGGTGGAACAAGAAAAGCGCGATAAGGAGCTCGCGTTGCTACGTTTGGAAGAAGAGGTTGCCCGGGCTCGTCGTGAGCTGGCTGAGATAAGAAATCGTGAGCTGGCGTTTGCTCGTCGCGATCGAAAATTGTTGGATGCCTCGGAGCGGGCTCAGTCGTCGGAAAGTGGCAGTACTGTCGCCGCGTCTTCTTCTATCGGTTCTACCGCTGATCCGGGCTGGTCACAGGCCAACAACCTTCTTGATCCTTCGCTTGATCAAATTCTTAATGACTTCTTCCTTGAGGCCTCTGCCTCTGATCTCGATCCGTTTTCCTCGGCTGGTTCTTCTGGTATTGCGCCAGGAGTTGCCGACAGTTTGTGAGATTGGTATCTGGTTCCCATGTATTTTCGCTGTCTGGGTATCCTAACCATTTGACTAGGTATTCCATGCCGTTGTCCACAACTCGATGTGTGACAATGTTCTCGACTTCAAATTCGTTTTCTTCTTCCGTTTCGTAGTGGAAGGTTTTCTGTAATGGCGTGTCTGGGTGTGCTGGTTCCAAGAGGCTTACGTGGAACCTAGGATGTATTCTAGCGTCTGGTGGAAGGTCAAGTGTGTATGTAACTGGCCCTTTCCGGTTAAGAATCAAAAATGGTCCGACTTTGACGTTGTCGAGTCCTTTGCTTGGTCGCTTCGTGCGAAGATTCTTTGTGCGTAGATAAACTTTATCCCCCCTCTTTAGCTGAGGTGCCATTTTTCGTTTCTTGTTGACATATGAAATGCTTTGACGTTGTGCTGTCTCGAGTTTGCTCTGTAGCAACTCATGTACTGCCTTCAGCTCCTCGGCTGTGGCGATAGCTGCTTTCCGTTTTCTGACTTGGAAGTGTGCGTGTAAAGAGATTTGGGTGTCTCCCGTGGTTTGCATAGAACGGAGTCTGTCCCGTAGACTCTGAAAGCTTGTTATTGTATGCCATTTGTGCCATTGGCAGAAGCGAAACCCAGTTGGTTTGCTGATGGTTGACGTATATCCTGAGATATGCTTTCATGGTTCTGTTCGTTCTTTCTGTCTGTCCGTCCGTCTGCGGATGAAACGCTGTTGATAGCTTGCGTTTTGTACCAATTGCGGCCAAAAGTGTCGTCCAAAAGTTTGAAGTGAAGAGCTTGTCTCTGTCGCTTATGATTGACTTTGGTATGCCGTGATGTCTGATGATTCGATCGTTGATGATGTGAGCCAGATGTACTGCCGTGAAATCGTTTCTGAACGGGATGTACTCTGCTTGCTTGGTGAATCGATCGATTACAACGAGTATTGCGTTGTATCCTGTGTTTGTCGCTGGGTCTCTTGAGACTGGTAGACCTGTGACAAAGTCCATAGAGATGTCTGCCCAAGGTTCCGTGGGTAGTTCTAGTGCTTGCATCTCACCGTAAGGTGCATGCGTGTCGTGTTTGTTCTTCTGACAGTCTGCACATTTTGTGATGAATGAGGTAACCTTTTCCTTCATTCCTGGGAACTCGTAGTTGCGTCTGATGAGTTCCATTGTTCTGGTAATGCCCGGGTGACCGTGTACAGGGTCGTCGTGGTGTTGTTGAATAATTGCCTCTTGCAATTCTTCCGGTACATTGTTTCCGATGTGGAGGATGGCGTTCAGCGTTTTTGTTGGTCCTAGCGATCCGTCCTTGTTAACCTTGAGTATCGCGGTGTCGATGACTTCCTTGGTGCCTGCGATATCTGGTCTTCGGCTGAGAGCGTCTGCTCTGCCGTTCTCTTTTCCTGGTGTATACACAATCTTGAACTTGTATTGTCCGAGTAGTTCTGACCATCTTACTTGTCTGCGGTTGAGTACTTTGGTGGTCGTAAAGTTCACTAGATTTTTGTGATCTACATAAACTTTCCATAGCTTGTACAATACAACCTCAGTCAATCCTCAACTTCTTCCCTATGCGTACGGTTCACCCACTCCAACACTCCAGTGTTGTAAGCATGCGACAATAGCTAGTAGCTCCTTGTCGTGAACGTCGTATCGTTCTTCTGGTCCTGAGAATTTGCGAGAGTAGTAGGCGATGGGGTGCCATTTGCCTTCGTGCAATTGACTTGCGCATCCGCCTAGCGCGAGATCCGATGCGTCGGTCTCAAAGCGTAATGGGTGTCCTGCTTGGAATATTCGAAAGCATGGTGGTTCTATGCTTGCTTTCTTAAGCGTTTGGAATGCGTTTTCTGCTTCCTTGCTCCACTTAAAGGGTACGTCCTTTCTTGTGAGTTTTGTCAAAGGGATGGCGATGTCTGAGAAGTCCTTGATGAACTGTCGGTTGAAGTTCAAGAATCCTAAGAAGGACTGTATCTGTACAACTGTTGTCGGTGTTGGCCAATCCTTGATAACCTGAATCTTTTCTTCGCTCATTTGTACTCCGTCCGCTCCTACTACATAGCCTAAGAAGTTGACCTTAGTCTTGTGAAATTCACACTTCTCTGGTTTGAGTCGGAGGTTGAACTGCTCAAGGGCCCTTAGTACCGTCTTGACATGTTCAACATGGTCCTCTAAAGTCTCGGAGTAGACGAGAATGTCGTCTAGGTAAGCTATGACAAAGATGTCTAGATGTGCTCTCAACACGTTGTTGATGAGTTCCTGAAATGTGGCTGGGGCATTCGTGAGCCCAAACGGCATAACTGTGTATTCGTAGTGTCCGTATCTTGATCGGAACGCCGTTTTCCGCTCCTCACCTTTCGCTATGCGAATCAGGTGGTATCCATCTCGAAGATCTAATGCTGTAAAGATCTTTGCGCGAGATAATCGATCCCGTAGTTCTGTAATGTTCGGTAAGGGGTATCGATTCTTGATTGTGATGTCGTTGAGCTTGCGATAGTCTACACATAGTCGTAGTTTTCCGTCTTTCTTCGGGACAAACATGATTGGATATCCTGCTGGTGACTGCGATGGTCGGATATATTTCTTTGCTAGACTTGTCTTGATGTAGTCGCGTAACGTGCTCAATTCTTTTTCCGATAGTCCGTATATTGGGCCGAAAGTCGGTTTCTTTCCTTCCTGTAGGACAATCTTGTGGTCCCAGGGTTGGTGCTTTGGCAATGCTTGTTCATCTGCCACTTCCCGGAATAGATGTTCGAATTCTTTGTATTCTTCGGGAATCTCAGGAGTTGCGCGTTTCTCCAAAACTCTAGTCTGTCGACCCGGTGGCTCCGTTCCGGCGTCTGCTGAGTCGGACCCTTGTTTCTTAAGGCCGTCCTTTGTCGAGGCTCGCTTTTTCTTTGCGATGTTATTCAGTTTCCTCTCATCTACCATCGTACTCTGACAATGCGTAGGCTGGCTTGTGGTTGCGTCCGTTCCACAGCACTCAAATGAGAACGTCTTCGACTTCCAGTCGATCCGTGGGTTGTGTTCTCGTAACCAGGGAAGTCCTAATATGATGTCGTGGGTAGCTAGTCCGAAGACATCTAGGTCTATCTTCTCTTGGTGTCCTTGGATGTTGAGCGTCACTTGTCTGACCTCATGGGTGATCTCTTGTTCACCTGGCATTGGCTCTCCGTTGGCCACATGTAGTGGGTAAGCTTCTTGTTTCCGTAGTGGCTTCAGTCCGGCTGAAGACGCTGCGTGCGCTGAAACGTAGTTGGCTTGTGATCCCGAATCTACTAATGCCTTCATCCACCTCCCTTCAAGCTTCACCTGGAGCTTGATGAGGTCTAAGGAGTTTACTGAGTTAATCTCCTTGCCGGGCCGTTCTGGGCCGGGCGCTGGTCTAAAAAAGCCTGATTTCCAAATCCATGGAATCCTTTGGCTATCGCATGAAGGTCGCATTCTTTGCTAAGGCACGTTTGCCAGTTGGGTTGTTGACATTCCCAAGCGTCTCCTTCATCGTATTCTTTTAGCCATACTGTTTGCATCTGATCAATTTCTTCGGGGTTGTCGTGACCTGGGAAGTATGTTTTTTCCCTTTTGTCCCATAGGTGTATTGGGCATAGGTCGTTTTTGCAGTCGAAGAATTGCCACTTGCAGCGGTACGATCGTTTGGTTTCTTCTGGGAACCATCCTGATCCGGACTTATCCGAGTAGTGTACTCTGCAATGGTCGTGAATGCATGTGACCCATGATAACTTCTCATGTTCTGGGTTCCTAGGGTCCATCCAGTAGTCGTATTCCTTTGATCTACTGATGTCCTTGGCCTTTCTCTTGTGGCCGTGTTGGAAGGTCTTCCAATCGTTCCTGGTCTGGCAGAGTTCGTCGTAGATCTCTTGCTTCTCTTCTTCCGAGATTGGCAACGTTGGTTCTTCCCATGATCGGATTGCGTCTTCGATCCAGCTTAGTTCCCATGTTGTTGGTAGGAACTCCAATATTTCGGTTGAAACGTTTTCCTTGTTTCGTTGTACTTCTAGTGACAATCGGTAGAAGTCCTGTCGCATAGCAGCCATGATGCTAGGTTCCTCGTAGGCGTACTCGATATCAGCCTTGTTGAGGTGTCGTAGTAGCTGGTTGATCTGTCCTGCGAGCTTGTAGAACTCTTCTTCCTGTACATAAGGTGTGGATGGCCTGTTGACTTCTTCGAATGTGGCCATCTTGCCGAATTTGGTCTGGTCGATTTCCGTAGCCTCTAAGTTCTTGGACTCATCTTCGAGCATATCGTACTCCGAAGTGGGCTCTTCTTCTGAGTCTGATTCCACGAGTGTGAGGTTATCCAATCCCAAAACGCTTTCCTGCGTGTTGATTTCGATGGTTGGTTTGGATATGACATTCCATGTCTCGTGTCGCTCAGTGGGTACTGCTTTGTGGATAACGTTGAGTTGTCTAACCACTTTGTTCTTGCTGTGGCAGTCCCTAGCCATGTGACCTTTCTTGTCACAATTATAACAAGTGATCTCCTTCTTGTTATATGGCTTCTTCTTGTCATTCCTTCCGAAACTCTTGCCTTTGTTGATGTTGTCCAGTTGCATTGCATCAGGGTCATGCCAGTTGTTACCGGCGGAGGGTACAACACCTCCGGGTGTCATCCGATATCCTGGTTTCTTCTTGAAGAATCGTCCCTTTGTGCGTTGCACTGACTGGTTGGCTCTAACCGGTCGGATTTCCTGCTGCAATTCGTAGAGTGCGTTGTCGATACGAATTGATTCTCGGATGAGATCCTGTAGGTTGTTGATTGCGACGCCGCTTCGCATAAGCTCTTCTTTGACTCTTTCCTTGAGTCCTTGTCTGTACATAACCCTTAATGCCTTGTCGTCCCAGTCGGTCTTCAGGGCGTGTCCCTGGAAGACACTGGCGTAGTCGGCGACTGATTGGGTTTGTTTGAGCTGTTGGATTGCACGATCTGCCTTGGATTCTTCGTTGATGACTCCGAATTGCTGTCTAAGCTTGTCTTTGAAGGTTGGGTGGTCTTCAAACATTCGTTCAATATCGTCGTCGTCATCGTTGTCGTCCATGTATTTGTTGAGGTAAGGCTTGATCCAGGTGGCGGCAGTTCCTCGCATGTAACTTGCCATGAGCAGTCCACGATCAGTAGGGTCGACCTTCTCATCTTCAAACCTGAAGAAGAGATCGAACTGGAGAATCCAGTCTTCGAGCTTGTGTCGATCGCCGTGAAATAGATCGGGTCTGGCCACCTTGGTGCGGCTTGACGAAGTTTCGTTAGGTGTGTTCATCGGGGTGTCACTCATCTTGAGGGTGTTCAAAGTGTGAAGGTCGTCCGAAGATGATCTTGGGTTGGTTCTCGGGGATGGAGTGATGCGATGGACACGAGGTTGTATAGCACGATTGGTAGATCGATGTAATATACGGGGAGTTGAGAATCAAGTACTAATCCTTAGATTTCGAAGTTGAACACAATGAACCGTAAGGGCTCATTGCCTACTGTTATATAATAAGCGTGCCCTCCATTGTGGCCTTTCCCTCCATGGAGGTCGCACCCTCCGTGGAGGTCATGCCCTCCATGGCGGTCATGCCAAGGTTGGAGGGCAGGTCACGTGACTGCGCGGCACAAGCTTACCCGCTGTGCCCCGCCTTCAACGTTGTCCTGCCGTTGTTGCTTGTCCTTCTCCTTGCAATCGTAACAATAGCTCTAGCAGTCTAATCATATATAATTCCTCCATTTCCAAGGATTATATATCTGCTCCGCGAAACTTTCTACTACCCATCTACCCCAGCAGCAACCCCCCCCCCTAAAACACAGCCTCGTTTATACAAAAACCCGGTCGCGGGATTAGCACCTCACCCACTTCCTAACTGTTGATACGGCAAAGGTGAGGTTGAATCAAGTAACGGTCGTTGCAACGAGTTGAAGTAGATGGTTATGATTGATTGGAGGAGGTGGGCTGCAGCTCGCGTACGAACTGAATCCCACCCCACGGCACGGGCCACGCACGTAGTCACGTGCTCGCCACGTACGTACGGTGGCTCGAAACTAAGAGCAACCAACACTAACACTGTTACTACAACAAAACCACTGCGTTATAAAAAGAACTCCTACCACGAAGGATCCTTAATTACTTACATTCCTCCTTTCTTCACAAAACCGCTTCCCTCCATCCGCATCTCAACTCAAACCTAAGGATTTATACTCAAACCCCTATCCCCAACCTTTATAGCCGCAGCAGCAGCCCAAGTTGGTGGAAAATGCAGCTGCCAGCTGTGTGTTTGGGGGTTAGGTCAGGACTAAGATGAGGATTTTGTAGCCAAGTAGGACATAATCAACGTAGCACTCAGCAGCGAACATAATATCAAAAAAACCATAACACATCTGCATTGGGTAACCGCATCATAAAAGTGGACTACACCTATTTCTATAACCAAAACGGGTAAAAAAATTCCTTTTCCCGAACACCATTCAAGATGACAGAACGCTATCATTATATATATGAAAGAAAAGGCCATTAAAAGTGACAAATAGCCAAAACGCCTGCAGATGCGCGCTGTTTGCATGTAAACCAGACTTTCTCTCACCATCTTGTGATGGCATCGGCCGACACTAAAAGGAAATCATTTGTAGCTTATAGCATTAGCGCCACGGTAATCGTGACGATGAAGCCAAAGTATGCGGCACTGGGTTTGAAGTAGCATGTTGCCCAGTGATTTGGTACCACAGCACTTGCGGTTGTATGTGACGTTGTTGGCGCGCGCGGCGACTTCGAAGACGGAGCCCTCGAAGGAACCGTCGTCGTAGAAGTCGACGAGGAGGAAGTTCGGGGGACGGTCCCAGTTGCCTGTGAGATTTTGTTAGAAATTTGTTTCGAAAAAAAGGGGTGTCTAAATGAAGGGGAAAGACATACTGATGCATGTGTTTGTCATAAGACCCAGACTACCAGTTCCGTTTAGTCCGTTGGTCTGGTTGATCTGAGCGACGTTGGGGACTAGAAGGTTCAGGCCAGCGAAAGCGATTTGAGCGTTCAGGTTGTGGTTCGCCATGTACATAATCTCCCTCATCTTGTTTTCTGACATGCCCTCCGGTCTGCCAAGCGTGCAGGGGAACTGAACGTCAGTAGGCGAGAAGGGCGTCTCCCACATGTTGTAGAACTCCCACAGCATGTACGGCACTGCCTCGGTATCAAAGTTGTAGTCGATAAAGGTGATGACGCGGTCGTTGTTCAGAATCAGCTCGGCAAGTGTGGGCCAGTCATTCAGTTCCATGGCGGTCTTGGGTGGTTGGTAGACGTATTTGAGGAGACCGGAGTTTTTGACAGGTTCGGCGAAGTTGACTGAAGTGACGAGGGGTTTGCCGCTGCCGTCCATTTTATCCCAATCCGAGTTTCCAAAAATAATGGTGATGACGTCGAAAGGATGGGCTTCCACCCATTCTGTAACTTCACGGAGGTAATCTTCGACGGTACCAGCATTGAGCAGGTCGCACGAGGTATGGCAGAAGTACAGCGTGCCATTGACATAGTGAGCAGATCCTTGTAGCACGCGGATTCCATCATTGAGTTGTTGTGTTACGCTGTACTCTTGGTTGCGCGCAATGTTATTCTTTCGCGTGTACGGCGAGTTGTGGGCGGCTACTTCAGTGATGTTAGAGTACTTGCGAGTGCAAAACTCGAGGTAGTTGTTGCACGGTTGTGTGTTTGATGGAAGAGCTGGGGCCGTTTCGGTACCAGTTGGTGTCGTCATGGTCTTGTTGCTACCTCCGATCTTGGTGACAGGGTCCTCGGTGCTTGTGACGGAAGCAGTTGCATTTGACGACATTCGGCTACCACTCGATGCCGATGCATAAGACGAAGTTATTGTTGCGAATGTGCTGCCCTCAAAATCCGAGGGTACAGTTGGCTTGGGCGCATTGTCGTTGGAGAAACTTCGTAGCGATCCAGTTAAAGTGATGACGGACGCTGACCCGGAGCTGCTCTGGCCTGCGGCGAGGCCCGTAAGCCATACGAGGGAGAGTATTGCCGTCTTCATGATCGTCACAGGGATACAATGTTCTGTCAGCCTTGCGTCCGGATGCTGCGTTCACGAAGCGGGATCCTGGATCGACTTTGTGGTTCCAACACGAGCGACAGTGAAAAGCGTGCAGTCGACGAAGAATGGCGAGTGAACGTGCTAGCGAGTTTCGTAGCCGTTTGAGCCGATTAGGGGGCGAATCAAATATATTGGCTACGACGTGGCACAACCGTATGCAGAAACAAACATGAACAGTGTAGAAGAGAAAGATGTGGTAAAGGCAAGCAATGTCAAGCACTGCGTATCGAAAAGGAAAAGCACAGCCACTGTTGAGGCTTCGAGAAGGGTGAGGCATTGTTTTCCAAGGCCCGAACGGGCCTTTCGAAACATCCTAGTTAACCATGACATCATCTTTGACGTTAAGCTTTTCGGCCCTTTTCTCTCACCCAACGATCTGCAATAGTCGCGCAACCAATGTAGCGCGACACGTCATGCAAAAGAGGCTGGAACCACGAGGCTGTTGGCCTAACACTAGCTAGCACGCCCATCGCACATATCACGAGCCGCCAGCAGTAGTGAAGGCTCTTTGACAAGACTCGTGGTGCCGTTTCTTGCGGTGTGATGTGGCTATGCTATAGGTACTAGGTCCGTTGCTAGGACGACATTGGTATAAGAAACGCGTGTAAAGGGCCTTCCAAGGATATGCAGACTATGCAAATGCAAATTACGATTGTCTGATATTTGTCGATATCTTCAGCTTCAGCCACTCAATCATTGCAGAACGGCCGTTTTAAGAACCAGACCCTCAAGAAGAAAAGAAATCCTCAATCCTGCTTTTGCCTTTCAACGCCTTGATTTCACTCTCCAAAACATCGATTCGATAGTTCTTGAACGCCTTCTCAATCCTCTGCCTGCTCTCTGGGTTCTTTGTGATCGTCCGCGAAGCACTGGCCGTGCCCGTCAATAGACCCAATTCGCCGCCCAAAAACAGTCCGCCGATGGTGAAGAAGAAGTATGTTGCCGCATCACCCCAGCGCGAAGGGCCAGAAATATGCGCTGAGATGTCGGGAATAGGCTCCGTGCGCCCGTCTGCGAAACGGACCTCTACGGGCTTCTCCACGGCTCGGAAGGCCCTGAAATAGGCCAGGCGCATGTTACGCAGCTTGAATGCTGTGTAGATGCCCAGCCCCATTCCAACTGCTGATGCGAAGCCGGCGTGTCTCGACACTTTTCCAGCTGCACTCTTCAGGATATCGCGATCTTCCTGATTCAAGCTACACACCATTAGCAGGTGCGAGATAAAGTCTCTGCAATCAATCGCAACTTACTCATGTTGGAAATGTTCTTCGGCAAGTTTACGGAGGTCCTTGGACCGTCGGTCACGGAACGCTGCTAGTGACTCGGCCATGTTATAATTTGCGTGTGGTCTTGGATGAAATCAATTGATCAAGCTGTGTAGTTACGAGACAGCAGCTGTCAGGTACTAGGGCGGTATTTAACTTTGACAGTTACCCGTATTTCGTTCATGATGATTCTAGTCGCTGCCATGACATCATGCGGAGATCACGGAACCTAACCACACTGAGAGTATACACACACGAGCACATGCAAGTATATCAAAAATCCAGTCGCTAGGGGTGATTGGCAGACGATTCTTTTTTCATTTGGGTCCGAGACCAAAGCTATGCTAGCAATTGTTTCAAACGAAGACTGCCACCTGTGTTATGCTCCCATCAACGCCATGCTCAGAAGAGCCCATAAACGCCATTGTGCGTGTTAAGGCGCCCAGAGTAGAAGCAAGCATGGATATACACTCATCCATGAAAAAATCATGACGATGAACAGCAAGACACTCTACAGCTTGGGCTTGACCTCGGGTTCCGCAGCGCTCGCCTCCTTGTTCAGAGTGACGTTTCCTGTGCCAGCACTTTCGCCAAAGAAAATCACCTCGACAGTCAGGTCGTCCCTGTACCGTCGCGAGAAAGGGCTCGGGAGGGTAAGGAGGGCACTTAGTTGATCCTGATCCTTTCCTCCGAGCGCGTTGCGAACAAGATGGGTTGCTGCGTTTTTGTCTTCTACTACGAAGCGCTCGTTCAAGCTTGTCTTTGTACCCCATTGTTGCTGACGGATCGGCGCTCGCTGTCCTTCTCCGCTCTCGCCTGTCTTTTGCTCTACAGGGAGTTGCTTCTGAGTGGACCACCAGCTTGTGAGCCAGGAGTGCGTTTGTGAGCCTTGGCTACCGGGATTGCCCTGAGCATCAAGCCACTGGCCTACTAAGCCTACGACCTCTTCGTTAGTGAGCATCTCCCACAAGCCATCCGTAGCCATGACGACAAAGTCACCCTTCTCGGGCTCCACTTTGGTCGTAGTGATGACGGGCTCGGCAGTAACGTAAGGAGGGGTCTTGAGTAGTGATGACGGTGTCCGCGCAAAGTAGGACTTCTTTAGTTCAGCATTGGTTTCGAGCGACCATTTGTAGTATGCGTCACCAAAAGCACGAGATGGCTCTAGTCCGCCCAGAATGCGGCCATTCCTGACTACATTGGGTTCACCCGGGTGCTCTTTGCGAAGTCGCTCCGCCTCGCTTGTTGTTCCACCAGTCTGATCTTCTGACAGAGGAGTCACTGTCCATTTGCCGTTGGGGCCTCGCCGACCAAGGATGGCGCGAGAGTCACCAGTGCAGGCCACGCGAAGTAGCTTCGATCGGCTGTCGTAGAAAGATAGGAGTGCGCATGAACCAGAGAGGGCGGGTGCAAGGAGCTCAGCAGCCGCCACCTTGGATTGTGCCTTTCGCACCTTTTTAACAGACTCGTGCACGATTTCGTTATCTAGCTTAGTGAAGCCTGTCTTGATTGCTCTATCGATGGCGTCAGGGGTCGGGAATTGCAGCTTGGGGTCTTCGACGGCAGATTTGTAGGTCGTGTTGAGCTCGCGAGCTACATAGGAGATGAGCGTTTGGCGGAGTTTGGCAGACGTGACCCAGCCGCTGTACACGTTAGCAGTGGCTCATCACTCAAAGAAGCCCAAGTGTCTTCACATACCTGTGTCCGTCGAAAACACCCCAGAACATCCAATCGCTCGCCGTGGCACCATTGTCGGTAGCCGCCAGATTCGATGGCACCTCGATAATCTTCTCTGCGTGATCGTCTTCTATTGGATCATTGCTTGGGCCTGACTATGTTAGCCAGAAAGCACTTGGTAGTCTCCAAGACATGCTGTGAGGGTGCATATCATGGATGGTAAAACGTGTTGTAGTAGGCAAAGACTACCTACACTGTACCACATCGTAGCGCACCACGCCTTGTCCCCGTCCAACAAGCCATGACTCCTCATTCTTCCTCAGCTTAGCCGTGGCTTGGTCCGGATCCAGCATCTCGAGAACCTTCCTGCCGTAATCATCCGTCTCTTTGGAGATGGGACCACTTCCGGTAATGGTTCCAGTATATAGCTCGCTAGGGCCAACGACCAGGGCTTTCCTAGTGGGCTCCTCGCTCAGAGCGCTGGACAGATTCCTGGCTTGGTCGGCGGGAGAGTGGGTATGACCTGTCGTGCGGTTACCGTTGTAAGCGTAGAAGGCACCGGAAGCGACGGCGGCAGCTACCAGCGCACCTGTAAGAGCACGGAACTGCATCGACGACGCGAGGACGATGGAGGGTGCGCGCTGGCGCAGGTGGTGATGAGTCCGGATCGTTAGTCCATTGCTCGGCGCAAAGCCGCCGACACGGCCGCGAGTGAGCTTTCGCAAGCACGGTCGACGCGCAGAGCGGAGCACTTGAAAGGCAGCCCGCATCTGGCAGGTGGAGTGAATGATCGTGGGGTGATGTCGCTTGGGTCCGGCCGTGGTTTCATGCGAGGCTTGCTTAACGAACGCCTAAGTTAGTGTGGGGTCCATCCAGTCAGACCCTGTAGTATAAAATCGACACACGACAACGACGTCATAACTTCAACACCACCACCCATTTTCCAGCTCATCGACTTCTCCCGCACGTCGACATGTCTTCACGAGCATTGCGGAGGGCGCAAAAGGAGCTGGAAGAGAAACAAATCCAGGAAAGACTTGCACAGGACCAAGAAGATGAGGAAGAGTCGGAACCCGAGGAGGCCCCAAACACAAAGGCGAAACCCAGTTTGTTCGCTCTGTTAGGAGACAGTGGCGGTGTTGAAGATGAGGATGAGGACGAGGACGAGCCACAGGGAGATCGTGGGCCAAGCGCAGATGCTTCCGACGATCACGCACACGTTACGTCAAAACCTTCAAAGAAGAGTAAGAAGAAGAAAAAGAAGGCAAAGAACAAGGGAAAGGAAAAGGCTACAGACACTGCTGAAAGTGCTGCTGTGGCCAAGGGTCGATCAGATCTTGATGAAATTGATCAGGCACTTCTTGCCCTCAACTTGAGCGCAAGGGGTCAAGCCGTCACTGGTTCGGACGAGCAAGATGCGGCCGTCAGCGAGGAGAAGAAGCAACTTTTCTCCGTCCTCAGCGTCGAAAGCCCAAATTTGCATGATGCCAACGAGATGAAGAAGTTGTTCGGCCGGGCTACTCTGCAAAATACCGAGGATGAAGGGCGAAATCGACGTGGCCAGCAGGGCGGCATCGCAGCTGCGATTGCAGGACGTAACGGTCCCGGCGCTCGCAATCTTGCTTCCTTGGGTCTCCGTAGGAACATCTTCATACAAGGCAAAGAGGAGTGGCCGCGTGCTACATCTGGCGGTCTTGGAATGGAAATTGTCGAGAAGCGAGCAGATGGCTCTGTTGAATACAAGTTTGTGCACAACCGCATGTATCAAGATGTCCAGCGACAGTTCCAGCTATGCGTTGCAAGTATGGATCCTGAGCGCATGGTTCAACTTCTCCACCACAATCGTAAGTCTGACCACGCCCTATCAATGTATACTGCTAACACTACTCTTAGCCTACCACATCTCTACACTGCTTCAGGTGTCTGAAATCGCAAAGCAACAACGAGAGGGTGCTGCTGCCGCAGATATGCTAGAGCGTGCTCTGTTCACATTTGGGCGCTCAGTACACTCCACCTTTGCTGCTAACATGGCTGCTGGAAAAGCTCGATTAGACTTCCGCCGTCCTGAGAACCGGGAATTCTGGCTCGCTGTATGGCGCTACATTGCCACACTAGGAGTTCGCGCAACATGGCGAACGTCTTTCGAATGGGCTAAGCTGCTACTCTCCATGGACCCTGAACAAGATCCTTATTGTCTCCGACTACTTATTGACCAGCTAGCTCTGAGAGGTCGAGAACCTGAGGCTCTGATCAATTTAGTCGAAGCAGATTATCTACAGCGACAGTGGAAGGTACCACCGAACCTCGCTTTCAGTGTTGCACTTGCGTATGATCGTATCAAGGAACCTCAGAAAGCACGCTCGGCGCTGCGTAATGCTGTCAAGGAGTACCCATGGATAGCAGCCCGGCTGTGCAAGGAGCTCGACATCTCCCCGATACCGAAGCCAGTGTGGGCCAAGGAACCAAATAACGACTACCAAGAGGTGCTATGTCAACTGTATGTGCCAAAGGCCAAGGACTTGTGGAATACTACAGAAGGCACTACCTTGCTAGTAGAGATTTGCTACTCTTTCGAAGAGGAGCTGGGGGCAGGGGAAGACCCATACTGGCTTGCCCAGATACCAGAAAATGATCTAGCTAGGCATGTTATTCTCTCAGATAACCAGGCGCTCCTGTCACTCCTTGAAGTTCGGGTCAAGTCCAGATATACGTCAGTATCGGACCCCTTGCCGCCTGATGACAGCATCGAATCTTACGACACTTCAACAGCGACAGCTGCAGCATTTTCTGGACGTCCCAGGAATGCCGCTCTATTACAGGAACTACTAGCCGATCTCGAAATGTGCCGGGACTATTTCGAGAGAATAGGAATCGATAGGCTGACGCAGCAAGATGTGAATGATGAGGATTTATTGCGGGCGTTGGAAGAGGCAAACAGCAGTTTGGAAGAATTGAGGAGCTACACAGAACGCTTCCAGCTTGTGCAGGAGAGGCTCCACGTAGAAGGTGTACAGGTGGTATTGAACGAGCCTCCTGAGGTGCGGGGCATTGACACTGGCTCAGATACAGATGAGTAGGTAGCGGTGGTCAGGTTGCGCCATGTGCGAGCTGATGGAGGCGTCTCCCGAGAACGCGTCACAGAGCGTAGAATGACGGCCACTTATAAAAAGTAACGGTATTGCCACACAGGCGAAATATTAAGCCCAGTTTCAGCGCATCCATGGATGTCTGGTCTTTTCTGCAAGGTGTGATATCACATTTGGCCCCCCCCCCACACGTCTTGCCCAGGGCGGATCCCGACTGCGCGACCCACTTTAGGATGCCGCACCGCACTTGACACGGTTGTAACAAGCACAGCGTACAGGCAAAGCACAAGGAAGTCGGGAGTTGCAGGTGAGAATGACAGGCAAACACGTCCGTGCAACTTGCGCTAAGGACAGCTGAAAGACCCTGTTGTCGCTCACGATTGTGACGTACGGCCAGGTTTGTTTATAGCTGGGCTCCGCATAAGCCGCACCGCCTCTGACCTACATCCAAGCCCCAGATATCAATCCGCACGTGCTCATATACTGCTTGCGCTCGACGCTCCAACATACCATACCATTCTCGACACCCGCCCCGCTACTGAAGTTTACCCGCTCTCCTACCCGTCGCCATGAGCGGCGTGCGTGCTCACATCGCCAACCGGCTGCGCAGCTCGTCACTCTCAGCCGTCCCCCCGCCACAGCACAGTTCAAACTACTCACCAGATCTCGCCAAAATCGCCGCTTCTATCCTCTACCGCTCGCCGCTTCCCTCTCCGGAAGGCAGGCCCGTCTTCATCCTCAACGCTGCTGCCCTCCCTGACTCTCACGAGGCCGATTACGACTCGCTCCTCCCCTATGTCCTGGCACGCCTACCGGAAGAAGACGAGCTCCTGAAGGGATTCGAATATGAAGTCGTCTTTTTTGCCGGCGACGGCGACGGCTCAGTCACAAGCAAGAAACATCGCCCAGGCTGGGGCTGGTTCCTGCAGGCGTACCATGTCTTATCCAGGGCCATGCGCAAGCGACTACAGAGGCTGTATATCGTGCACGAGAAGGCCTGGGTTAGGATTCTGACTGAGATCTTCTCCACCATTGTTAGTCCAAAGTTCAGGCGAAAAATTTACCATTGTACGCTTCCCCCCTGAACTGCTTACACGTGTGCTGACTCCCGACAGTATCCAGTCTGACGCAACTTGGCCGTGAGATTCCCATCGAGGATCTCCTGATACCCCCGTCGACATACCTCGCTGACCGCCGCGTGTCTGAACACATCTCCGCATCCAACGACAGCGGCAAACGAGCATTCGGCACTCGCAATCCATTCCCTACAAGCGTCAATGGCAAGACCCGCTTCCCCCGCGTTCTTAGGGAGACGACAAGCTTCGTGCTGATGGAACAGAATATCGTGTCAGAAGGCCTGTTCCGGGTGCCACCACACTCGAGACTGCGTGACTCACTAAAGGAAGCCTACGACAGGGGCCAGAAGTACATCATCTGGAAAGACAATGAAGTAACGCTACCAGTACCACCCTATGCACATGCAGAGCACCAGGATGAGATCATAGCCGAGGTCGTCCCTACAGATGCATACTCAGTCTACATGGCCGCTGCTATGATCAAGGCCTGGTACGCCTCCTTGCGAATTCCCATCTTCCCGACAGAGTCATACAGGGACCTACGCAGGCTATATGGTGACAGCCAAGAGGTCCTTGAACTAGAAAAGCTGACCGACCTATTCTCGCCCACATCCGAATGGTCTCTGCTGCCAGGTCAATCTCGCGAAATCCTATGCAGGCATCTTCTCCCTCTTATGAGTGCGATATCAGCGCGGAGAGAGCAGAACAAGATGAACGCTGAGAACCTAGCCGTTTGCTTTGCGCCAGGACTGCTACGCGGGCCTGATCAACTTGAAGATGCGAAGATGTCTTCCATTATAAGGAGGATTTTCACCCAAGCTGTCAGGATGTGGTCTGAGGGGCTAAGGGAGGCTTGTGGTCAGACGGACGACGCATTCTACGAAGGACTAAAGCTGCCCTACAATGAGCACGACTGGGAAGACCCGCCGGATGCAACGAGGAATTCAATGGATAGTGATGGGTCGCTGGAAGATCAGATCAGCGGCATAACCTTGCTGGATAACGAGAAGCTGCCCACTTTCCGCGAGCCACGTCAAGAGCAAGGCGATGAAATGCCACCTCCGCTGCCACCACGCACCCGTGCCCCATCTACTAAATCGTCCACCGACTCGATCCAGAGGAAACCCGCGCCGCCCCTTGCAGTGCCTCCTCGCTACTCCACCGTCATATCAGACGCCCCGGAGGACGTGGCTGAATCACCCATTGCCTACGCCGCGACCACGGACGGCTTCTCCCCACGCCGAAACGACGAATGCAGCATGGGAAAAGCGCCTGCTGTGCCGCCGCGATGGAACGGCCCGTCGGATGAGAAGAAGTCTGGTACGAGCAGCCCAGTCCTTCCTATGTCAGCTTCTACTCGCGTGCAAGATGATACGCCTGTACAAATTTCCACTCCTCTTACGCCTCAACTCAATATTCCTAAGAGGAAGACCCTGACTGCGATGCAGATTGACAATGTCTCCAAGGCCGTCGTCGCGCAGGATGAAGCGTACAAAACCCAACCCATGGGCGGTATGGCACTTCCTGGGCTCACAGGTAATACACCCATCAAACGGGGTCCGTCATCCGTATACAGCGGAAACAGCGAGAATGCAACCTCGCCGCTTCTGACATCGCCTCAAAGCGCCGTCTCAGCACCTGCAACAGAACCTGCTTTCCGCCGCCCAAGCATTCCCTTTTCCGCAACAACGCCACCAAGCCGCAGCCCCAGCATCACCTCGCTCGCTCGCCCCGTATACCCAAAGCCACCCCACGTCCCCATCATAAGGCACCCTTCCCCTCCAAAAGCAACAACCACGACGCTTCCCGTCCCCACGGCAGCACCTCGACTCCGCACTCCCAGCCCAGGCCTCATGCACCGTATGCCGAGTTTCGAAAAATTCAACGCCGCCGCAAAAGACCAAGGCAACAAGTCTGCTGCTGCTGATGGCGACCAAGAGAGTGGGGTCGATAGGGGTAGCACGCTGAAGCCCAAGAAGATGAATTTGAAGAAACAGTCCGTCGAGGATTTGAGGCGGTTGTATGAGGAGAGGGCGGGCACGGCGAGTGTGCTTGTGCAGGCGGGTAAGCAGAGGAATGTTTGAGTCGCCCTTTATTTACTTCCATCCGTTTATTGATAATATCATGGAGTGAGAGGGGGAGGGGTGACGGGGTTGGGGGGTTACTCGACAATTTTTTCTTTTCTTCTCTTCTTTCCTTTGTTATGTGTATATATTATTTATACCCACCCTAGTAGTGTCTTTATTTATTTACATACCTATCTGATACTAACCAGCAACTACTTAATATACTTTTTTTCTTTCTTATTATTTGCATGTGCTGCGGATATCATGATTCTCTCGATGCGTGTGTGCCTTTTCGTGGGGACTCAAAGTCACAGCTGACGTGGGCAACCAATTTGGGAATCACAGTTAATGAATTCTTCCGTATATGGATTAAGACTGAACATGCCGAAACTTTACACAACATTCCTCTCTCTCTCTCTCTTGTTCCTTGCATCTCATTCACCCATTCATCCTCTCTCACATTAGCCGTATAGCAACGACAACCGTGTATACAAGGCTCATTGTCCGCTCAACAAGATGAATTGGCCCTGATTGAATCCAAGGGGGTCTTAGTTTCCAGATGCATCGGCTTTGTAAGCCATACCCTACGCGCGCCTATGGCACGACACATGCCCGACACAACCAAACCATCCAGACCTTTGTGCTTCTATTCAGAAACTTCAACTCCAAATCATGATTTACTTGACCAAGTTATATGCCAAGTGTCAGCTTATGGGCCCAGAGCTACCATTCGGACTTTGCCACCATCCCGCGTCGTAACTCTCTTGTGCATGTCCATCATGCGCGCCTTGTGTGTACGCCGTGTTATCCTGCGGCGGTGCAAAGTTATTCGGGTGGGTATACCCTCTGTTGCCACCGTGGTTGTTGGAGCCGTCGTATACGCCGCCTTGAACGCCCGGGTAGTTGTTCATGTGGCTGGATTGCCAATCGTCGACGAACTTGAAGCCTTGGCGGTTGATTCGGTCTTCGGGGTCGGTTGTGTGTAGTACGGTTTCCAGTCCCATGGGGCTCATTTGCTGGTAGCTGTGGCGTGGTAGTATCGGCCCTGGCAAGCCTGGTATTGCTGGGAGACCATGTCAGTAGATGTCCTTGGTGAGATATGAGGAGATTAAACTTACGATTCCAAAATATGCCTTCACCTGTGTCTGGGGTGGGCGATGTCATTGTCGTGGGTATGTTGGCTGATGTGGAGACGGACTGCGGGTACTGGTAGTTTGATATTGGCAAGCTATTGTAGACGTCTTGGATGGGAGTGTGGCCAACAACAGGGGACTGGTGGCTTTGGTTGGAGACTACACTGCTGGGTCGCGAGTTTGCAAGGTGGGTGGCTAATTGCAACCGGTTCTGAGAAGCAAACATCGTCAAGCTCTCCCTCCTTTGAGGCGGTAGTGGATGGATGCGCCCAGGTCCTATGCGATTCCCAGTTATGGTCCGAGAATTTGGCGCCATTAGAAGAGGGTCTGCCGGAGGACTGACTGTGCCAACTGGTTTATCTGGGTCGCTCTTTGGTATCAATTGAGAATTGCGCAACTCGTCAGGGAAAGGTAGATTCCACGTGTTAGCCAAAGTGTATATTATCCGGAAGCTTCTTGCACCAAAGTAGTGACATTCGTGAAGATCCTCCAGGCCTTGCAAGCTCTCAACAAGATTCTTTCGAGAGGTCTCATTGTCTTTGGAATACAGCAAGTGTACAACGCTGACGGTGAGAAGAATGTGTGGTATGAGTAGATGTGCTGTTCGGAAGCTATATAATTTTCGGTAGAGCCTCACTAATTCTGAAACTTCATTGGCTGCATTGATGCAGATGGCCCGAGGTTGCACATCCGAGTGGATGAGGTCGACTTTGAGTAGCGGGCGAAAGAGGTGGACAACGATGTTATAGTATAGCATGCTATATGAGGATTTAGTGTTGCAATCAACGCAAGAGGGGTCGTTGTACATACTGTAGCACTATGATATGTGGTTCGGGTTGCCTCTTGCCCTCTAACCTCATTGGAAGTGGTAGCTTCTTGTACCAGTTCTGATACTTGCGGTAACAGTCCAACAATTTTAGGCTGGTTAGTTGATCTTTTGGCGCAAAGAACATGTAGTTGTTGTCATTTACGAGCTCTGAAAGCGAAGAAAACTCTTGCAGAAACAAGCGGGTAGTCACTATACCAGCTGGAGCATGTGAAGCGTTGGGGTATGCCTCAGGAGGGCTGGGAGCCTCTTCAAGTATGGGCTTGTCGAGAGTAATGGCGGCTCGGGGAAGTTGGGAAATACGACCCATGACAATAGTCCAGATTCTGCGTCGCGTTAGCCAACTGTATAACACCATGTGGCTTAGCACCTACGTATCTACGGTAAAACAGCCCCAAAAGGTAACCTTTCGGACTTCGACTTCGCTCGGAGTCAAGTTGAGAGTGGCATCAGCACCATATTTTAGATGTAACCCAAGTTCGACACACATGCGGATACATCTTCCCATGTAGCCAAAGCCTGAACTGTCCCTTCCTTTGCTCGGCTCCCGCATTGACATGATACATAGCGCCTGGACCGTCGTGAGACTCGGGGTTTCATCGTCAAATAGCATGCGTCTAGCCTCAGCAAAGAAGTGGTCGCCCGCCGTGCGGAAGTTGTTCGGGTCGGTACGGCCTGCAAGATCGTCTGTAAGGTGACAGGCGTATGCGCATATGGCGTTGACAAGCAATGAGCAGCAGTACTTGTCCCGACCGGCTTTGAAATCTTTATAAAAGCACTCTCGGCTGAATAGGACGTAGAATGGATGACTCCAGGTAAAATAGAGATCAAGCAGCTTCTCAACGAATTCAATGTCGTCGGTTACATTCGTCCATGTCGAACCTTGACGCTCAGGCTTTACCATGTTCGTGCGCAGACGACCGCCACTGAAGTTTTCTTCTTCAGGAACGAGACCTAGGCTAGCAGAGTGTCCAAAGTGTCTACTTTGGCCGGTGATAGTCACAGTCGGCTTTCCAAGTAGCACACTTAGCTCGGACTCGAGGCTTTGCACGTCGACGGGCGTGTTAGGAGACAGTGTCTCGTTCTTGCGCCATTGCTCGGCCAGGGCGTGGGTGTCAAGGCTCGGGTCCTTTCGAATGTGCTGAATAAATTCGTATACATTTTCTTCGGGCAGTTTCCTCAACGAATTGATCATGTACTCTGCGCTGGAGACATCTTCGGGGCCAGAGGTAGCGGCGCGGGAAGCATCACGCTTGGTACCTGCATTGTTTGTGGTAGTGAGGCCGGATTTTGTGCGGCGACTCTCGCTCTCAGCATCGTAATGGCATTCAGTCTTGTAAACAGCCGTGCAGGTTGCGCAGACGGGAGTGCCGCCATCACACTGTGGGGTCGAGTGTCAGCAAGGAAGCGTCCCCCAGTCTCGGGAAAACGACCCGAGCAAATGTTATGGGTAAGTATATGGCAATGAGTCGTCCGCGGAGGCGAAGATGCAACATCAGACCATATACCTATCTTGGTACGCCATTATGCACTGAGAATATACTTACTTTGGACTTGCGTTTGCGGCATGGGACACAGGCTGATTGAACACAACGCCGCTTACTCGCCTTGGCATCCTGAGCATATGAGTTGTCCTGTTCGTCGGGGTTGGAAGAGGGGGCAGCAGCGCTACGGGCCATGGTTGATGATCACCAGCAGAGTGAGGGACAGTCTAGGTAGGCTCCGTGGGGAACTGGTTATGGCATTGTGAACTGGATAGAAATGTAGCACGGGCAATTAGCCACCGCTAGGGGAAGTGGCAGAGCGAGTTCGGATTAGGTAGCTGTGACGTTGGTGCCAACCTCCAACGGGCCTGCCTTAGTTGGGGTTCGGTAAGAATGGAATACAAAGGACATGGATTTTGGGCAGGGTGGCGAACGGGAATCTTGTCCAACACCACAAGCTTCGAGTAAGTCGCGAACAAATCTCGATTGGCCGCGCCAACCGCTGATCTATGGATGGGGGTCCAACGCGTACTGCAGTAGCTGCAGGGTCGAATCGAAGATGGTGCCCATATGTGGAAATTCGCATCGAGATCTGAGGTGCCATGTGTCAGTTATTCCGCGGCGGCCATGTCCGCGAGACGTTCCCGTGTAACGTGAGGCGAGGCCTGCCTTGCTTCCTTTTCACCGAGCCTGGCCCAAGCTGGTGGCGGAGCCCTCAGCGTTCCATGGCCATACTGTCCAAGCAGAATTTTCAATCTTGTCCAGCAAACAGTGGCAGCAAGCACTGCTAGCTTCGGCATGGTGCACCGAGCCATCTGCCAAGCACTGCTACATGTGGGTAGTGCGAGCCAGAGGAGAAGCTTGCCCTGTCATCTCTCCGTGTGGGGGAACAGCTTGTTAACCGGTTGCATGCACCAAGATAAACTCAAAGTGTCGTTGATTCAAGGCCCGTCTAGGCCATGTTCGCAGTTGGCGGCTGCAAGCGAATGATCTCCAGGGGAGCTTTCTTTCGTGGAGGAAGGCCCGATAACATGACCGCCCACCCACATCTGCCACCCTGCCGCTGTGGGTTGTGCGCTCCGTTAGCCGCTTCCGATGCGGCTCGACGGTACATGCTTCATGCTTCGTCCCGATGCCGACGGCCTCGTGGACCAGCAAGTTCGGTACATGCGTGGGTATACGTGGCAGTACCATTACCGCTCTGCTGGGAGCTTGGAACGATGCCGGGACGGCATGCACGGCATTTACTACTGGAAACACCAGACATGGCATGATTGGATCGCATCACATGCACCTATTCCACCATAGCTCTGAACCCGAGGCCTAGATTTGAGTCGACACCGGCTTCGCTCCGTCGCCGTCACCTTTTATGCCTCATGCGGAGTGGCACACCGAATCCCACCCACTGAGTTTGCTTATCAGGAAAATCTCACATGCACCGCTCCTACGGTGCAGGATGCAACTTGATGGCATCAATGATGATACAAGTCTAATAACTTCTATTCGTCTCGAGCGTGGTGGCGTTAGAGCCTCGTAACCCCAACACCTAAACTCCTTTTCGTTTTCAACCGTGGCGAGTTCCCCCTACTCTTGGGTGCCATTAACAGGCACCACGCCCTTCAACGGTGGCAACAGACTCCTCGCTCCTTGCCTCGCCTGCTGCGCCAGAACTGCATCCATGATTACCAAAGCAGCCATGGTCTCGACAATGGGCACCGCACGTGGGACCACACAGGGATCGTGCCTACCCTTGGCCTCGAGCACGCCATCTTCCTGATCGTACGTCACAGTTGACTGAGCTTGTCCAATCGTTGCAGCGGGCTTGAATGCTACGTTGAAGTAAATGGGCGCGCCGTTTGTGATACCACCCTGGATTCCGCCAGAGTTGTTCGTCTTGGTCGTGAGCTTGGGCTTGGAGCGGTAGACATGCGCAGACGGGTTTTCGCCTGCGGGGACAGCAGGCGCCTTGATGAAGGCATCGTTGTGGATGGAGCCAGGCAGTTGCGCGCCGCCAAAGCCAGAGCCAATCTCGAAGCCTTTTGTTGCCGGAATGGACAACATGGCATGTCCCAGCTTCGCCTCCAGCTTGTCAAAGCATGGCTCTCCCAACCCTGTCGGGCAGTTCCGGATGACGCATGTCACTGTGCCGCCTATGCTGTCGTGCGCGTCCCGGTATTTTGCAATCAAATCCTCCATGCGCTTGGTAACGTCGTCGCTAGGACACCGCACTGGCAGAAACTCGTCTACCTTTTCGCGTGTGATGGAGTCGATCAACTTGAGGTATTCTGGGTTGGTCGAGGCCGTAGGGTGTTCGGCTGTGGGAGGGAAGAGGAACTCGTTTCCGATCGAGTTTGTGAATGCGACGATTTCGATGCCGTAGGCTTCGCGGAGGTACTTCTCAGCGATTGCGCCAGCAGCCACCCTTCCTGTGTCCTGTTAGTGCTTCTGTGACAGTCGTGCGTACTGGACCACGTACCAATGGTCTCACGAGCACTACTCCGGCCACCGCCTGAGCTCGCCTTCACACCGTACTTCTCCAGGTATGTCCAGTCGGCATGGCTGGGCCTTGGGTACTTGTCCATAGTCTGGTTGCCATAGTCCTGCTTGCGCTGGTTCTCGTTCATGACCCTGATGCCAATCGGCGTGCCCAGTGTGATTCCAAACTCTGTACCGGACTGGATTTCGACGCGATCCTTCTCATTGCGGGGTGTTGTGATGGCTGACTGGCCAGGTCGACGGCGCGTCATCTGGGGTTGGATGTCACTCTCGGTGAGAGCCATGCCTGGCGGGCAGCCGTCGATGATGGCGCCAACGGAGAGACAGTGGGATTCGCCATAGCTACGACTATTAGTATGCGCGAGCGCGATCAAAAAAGGCCATTGTGTGCATACGTGGTGACCCTGAAGTGTGTGCCGAATGTAGACATGGTGGTCGTGCTGGTGTAGTGGGAACTCGGTTCTTGGAACTTGAGTAGCGAATTTGGTCAAAGGAACGTGCAATTCTTCTATATGGCAACAATTTCTTAAATCTATAATTTCATGAAGCAATGTGTCTCGTGAAAAGGGCCAGACGCGTGCACTAGAGTAATCAACGTCAGAGTCACTCTAGGAGTTTTATTTATTTAGCGGGGCGCGGAGCTGACCTAGGACCCCGATCTCGGTCGCCGATGGTAGGGCTGACATGAGCATACCATCTCCCTCACCGTATCGAATCTCTCAACGCTACACCACAATCTATCACCCAGGAGTCATAAAGTACTGGATATACCGGTGTAAAAAACTCACTGTAGTCGCCAGACACGTCCATTGGGTGCAATATCACTTGGATTGTCGGTGCTTTGCAGAGAACATTAGTTGAGCTTCTGGATGATAAGATTTCGATTTCCGCCACATCCCGGCCATGGACGACAAATCATATGCATAGAGTAGATATGACACCAGCGGTGGTCATGGTAGAGATTGCGGGTAAGTACCTAATGAGATGGTCGTAGCACTGGAAGAGAACGTGGCCGAGAAGCATAGTGTCGGATTCTCCCGCAACTAAAGGTAAATTCGGTCATTCAAGAACATGTCCAACGCGAATCAGATCCTTGGGGCCAATACCTGGGGATTATCGGAAGATGACTACATATGATCAAGAGATCCAATTCAAAGAAGGTAGGCCTCATTGAAGATGTTCCTGGGTATGGTACCAGGATCTTGGAACTGCATCATCCTCAGTCCCGAGAGAGCGCGACTGACCATTTTCAACCAACTGCCAGGCCTCAGACAAGAGTTGTGTTGTAAAGAAGGCAATCGCGGGGTTAGCAGCGCCCAGTGTCGCCGAGAAGAAGATGCAACAACCCCGCGCCAAATCGACGTCGTATGCGTTGTTCTTGCGCTGTACAAAGTTGATCGATTGGCAGTCGCAAAGACGTGGGCAAGTGGGCCGAACAACTGGAAGGCGATCCCGCGCAAGATGAGTCCTCCAGATGAACAACCTCCTGGTTGAGAGGGAGGAGTGACAGGCGTGACAGTCGGTCTAGGTTCAGACTAGGGTGATACGGAGCAACACGACCATGAATGCAGAATGCGCAACCCGTCCGCAAAGTCAAACATGAGAAAGAAGGAAATCGATGTTGCCATTGATGGGTGAATGGAAAAGCCACAAATGTGCGCACGTTGCAGATGCCGACCAACTGGCAGCAAGCACGAAGATCGCCCGGGATTACTAGCGCGGACCCTTGCCGTGACCTCTCAAGAAGTTTTGCTTCTAGACAGCAACACTACCCCCCCAAACACCCCTCAATTTCTCTATCAACATCCGCCTAAACCGCCATCATGACTGAATACGTCAAAGTTGAGAAGATCGTCCCCAAGTTCCCGCCGCCGGCCTTCAGCGACATCGCCAAGGCCTCCAACGACGTATGTTTTGGCTCCCCGCGACGAGCTTGACCATTGCGCCATTGCTAACCTGGCCGCCCTCTAGCTCATCAACAAGGACTTTTACCACACCGCCGCAGGTCTGCAACATCAATTGGCTTGTCGGCGTATGTACTGACGCGGCTATAGCTGCTCTCGAGGTCAAGCTCAAGGCGCCCAACGGTGTCAACTTTACCGCCAAGGGCACATCTGCTCACGATGGCCCCGTCACCTCTTCTGTATGTTCAAGGCCGGTGCGGGCCCAAGTCCAATGGCTGACATGTTGGACAGCTCGAAGGAAAGAAGTCGCTCTCCAACGGTACGGCACAGCGTTTATTTCTCCCTCGCTCTATCCATCTCGTAATTCCTTTTCATTCATCGCGACACTGTACTTCGTATATATATCACATGGCGCAGCCTCCTGGAAAAAGGGGCGCGACTATGACGGGTTACGGAATCAGTCTGCTGACGACAAAACGCGCAGGCATCAGCATCACCCAGTCATGGAACACTGCCAACTTGCTTGCTACCAAGGTTGAGCTCAACGACACCTTTGCTAGCGGCTTGAAGACCGAGGTTCTCTCCAACTTCAACCCCGCCGCGGGTAACAAGGGCCAGAAGGTCAACCTTCACTTCAAGCAGCCCGCTTTCCACGGCCGCGCCTTTGTTGACTACTCGGCCGCTGGTGCCATTGGCACCATCGCTGATGCCGTCGTTAGCCACGAGGGTATGGTCGTCGGTGGAGAAGTTGGTTACGATGTGCAGAAGGCTGCCATCACCAAGTACTCGGCCGCCGTTGGATACACGACTCCTCTTTACAACGCCGCTGTCACTGCTACCAACTCCCTGAGCGTTTTCACTGCTTCGTACTACCAGCGCGTCAACCCCGCTGTCGAGGCTGGTGCTCGCGCCGTCTGGGACTCAAAGTCTGGCAACAATGTCGGTCTTGAAATCGCGGCCAAGTACAAGCTTGACCCTGCGTCTTTCGCTAAGGTAGGTGACAGTCCCTGACATGCACGAGGGCTGTTATGTTAAACCCCTATAGGCCAAGATCAACAACCTCGGCATTGCTTCCCTCGCCTACAACACCAAGGTCAACAGCGGCTTGACCTTTGGTATTGGCGGCTCTTTCGATACCCAGAAGCTGAACGAGGCCGGCCACAAGCTCGGCACCAGCTTCACCTTTGAGGGTTAAGCGTCTTGGTTAAAAGACATTTGTGGATAGCAACGAGTGTAGGAGAGGTTTTAGATTCCCTTGATTCTCGCCTCGCGGATTCATAAATCTAGAAGAAAAGAAGACGTATATTATTGTTGCTCCGGCATATACAAGAATTGTCTCCATGCAGGCTTTGAAGACTAGATGGTTTCGTATGGCATGCATTGCAACTGTGAGCACTGTGTTATATATGTTGTCCATGTAAGCCAGAAGTGTCTATGATTCGTTGGGTTTCCTAGACATGGTCAGGATCAAGCCCTTGTCCACTCGTATGACCTGAAATGATGAATATCCCCTGCGCGTGGAGAAGACATGTGGAGAAAGTAAGTAATGTCGTGCATGACATGCACATGCACGTAATCACTTCAGGGTGCGTGCCTATTGTGGGTATACTCTGCCAGGGTATGAGAAGGCGCGAGGTTGCACGTCGTATTGCCACATGATGACAGATCAAGCCTTCTCATGCCCCTCATGTCGATCCCCAAACAGTTTGACCGTAATCCCACATATGCCGATGACACTCGACATGACGATAAAGTTGACCACCATGTTTCCCTTTTCCCATTCCTCTTCCACCTTGACTGTGCTTCGCATCTTTCTCCGCCTAGCCCATATATGCTCATTAATGCTATCATGCGTCGCTTTATGTCGTCTATTGTCAAAGTGAGGAACCTCGTTGCCTTGTCTCTGTTGCCCGGGACCAAAACCACCCCATTCACCATAACTTTCCCGTCCGGCTTCTTTACCCTCGGCCTCGGGATGGGGGTTGGAATGTGCGTGTTCGGCTCGCTTGGCGCCATGTTTTCCGTAGCCGCCAGACTTGTAGAATGAGGGCGGTGGACCGCGGAAGGTGCTGCGCTTCTTGTTCAGTCCACTCGCTGGGCGCGACCCGTATGCAGCTGAACTGTAACTTCCTTGTGGGGCTTCATTCCCGCTTCTGCCCCATCGCGACTGCCTTGCAGAGTGCTCCAGTTGTGCGTCGTATTGTGCACGCTTCTCAGGGACGGATAGAATGTGGTAGGCTTCGCTGATTGCAACGAAGCGGGTCGAGGCGTCGGGGTCGTTGCGGTTGTGGTCTGGGTGATTTTTCTTGGAGAGGGTGTAGAATTGGCGCTTGATTTCCGACGGCGTCGCTGTGTGGTTTATTTGAAGGGTTTCATAGTGATTAACTAGAGCATCTGCATATTGTGGCGTCGAAGTATGAAAGTGCGAGACTTGTGCTATGCGCCGCGGAGGCGCAGGTATAGTGCGTTGGAGACATGAGTGACACACGTATGGTGCGTGGAAGCTTGGTGTTCGCGAAGATGAGGTCTGGGCGATTGACCGCAGGAGATTAGGTGCGCGGGGTGGCATTGCCCATATATACAGAGAGTGCGGTGTACATGGAAAGGTTGGATGAATGTTTGGTCGCATGTAGAACGTCATCGGCGCCGCTAACACGGCCATGGCCTAGCCGGAGGACAGACCGAGCCGATGGTGGCACTTCGAGGTATCTCCGACGTCTATTAGCGGGGCGTTTCACGACCCTCGTAATTTTGTAGATTCGCCCACGAGACCTTTACCTACTCAACGCCCGGTTGCATAATCAACATGGCGGCAAAGGTAGCCGACGATGTCGCCAACTTGAAGTGTATGTGTCTACATTAACGTGACATGTACAGCGCTACAGCAACTAATAACATGCAGTGGACGACTCCAACACCAAGCCTGCCAGCGGCGCGGCAGAGAACGGCGACAAGCCCACCGGCGACGCAGAACACGAAGATTCGGACGATGACAACGAGGCAGAGGAAGGCGCTCCTGAAGCCGGCGAGGGAGCAGCGAAAAAGAAGAAGAAGAGAAAGCCCAGAAAGAAGAAGAAGGCTGGAGCAGCAGGCGCTGGAGGAGCAAAGACGCAGACGGCACCACCTCGCGTACGCATCGATGAAGTCTTCCCCAACGACTCATATCCAGAGGGCGAGATCCAAGAATACGTCAACGAGAACGCTTACCGAACGACCAACGAAGAGAAGCGCCACCTCGATCGCATGAACAACGACTTCCTCACCGAGTACCGCAAAGGCGCAGAGATCCACCGTGAAGTCCGACAATGGGCCCAGAAATGGATCAAGCCTGGCATGGGTCTGACCGAGATTGCAGAGGGCATCGAAGACTCGGTCCGCGCATTGACAGGACACCAAGGCCTAGGAAACGGAGATGCGCAAATTGCAGGCATGGGTTTCCCAACTGGTCTCAGCATAAACCACTGCGCGGCGCATTACACGCCTAATGCAGGCAACAAGATGGTCGTCAACTACGAGGACGTCATGAAGGTCGATTTCGGTGTACACATCAACGGCCGCATCGTGGACAGCGCCTTCACCCTGACCTTTGACCCCGTATACGACAACCTCGTCAACGCATGCAAGGCTGCCACCAACGCTGGTATCAAGGAGGCAGGTATTGATGTGCGCATGAGCGATATCGGTGCTGCCATCCAGGAGGTCATGGAGAGTTACGAGGTGGAGATCAAGGGCGAGATGCTGCCTGTCAAGTGCATAAGGAACCTGAACGGTCATTCCATCGGACACTACACCATTCACGGTGGCAAGACCGTCCCCATTGTCAAGGGCGGGGACCAGACTAAGATGGAGGAAGGCGAGACTTTTGCTATCGAGACATTCGGTAGCACAGGAAAGGGTTACGTCCGCGATGATGTAAGTTGGCTCTTTCTCTACTTCTTTCCCACTTCCTCCTGCTAATACACTTTCTAGATGGAGACATCGCATTACGCCATGAAGGCCGACGCACCCAAAGTCGCCCTCCGCGTCTCATCAGCAAAGACACTACTCAACTCCATCACCAAGAACTTTGGCACTCTGCCTTTCTGCAGGAGATATCTTGACCGCATGGGTCATGACAAGTACCTCTTGGGCTTGAACAACCTGGTCAGCGCGGGCATCGTGGAAGCGTACCCGCCGCTGTGCGATATCAAGGGTAGTTACACGGCGCAGAGTGAACATGTAAGTTGCATCTTATCGTTGTTCAAAACGGGATCTTTATTAACGATCATCAGACTTTTGTGCTTAGGCCCACGTGCAAGGAGGTGCTTAGTCGTGGTGACGACTACTAGATGATCGGAAACGTTTGCTAAACGATTAGTCTTGGTTTCGGGCATTATGATAAAAACTTGGTGTCAAAGCACGACACATACATGCTGTAATGGTATACCAAGGGGGGTACATGACGGCTTTTATGTCGAGAGATACGATTCATGAAGTCAGGAAAAAAAAGGTACAAGACGAAATGTGAAATATGAAATGCACAAACCAATCCATCCTCGCATTGACTGATCTCTCGTGCTATTATTCTTACACGCTCGTTAACAGACGGAGACTCAGTCTAGTGCATGATAGCTAATCACGTACTTGACCTAGACTAGGTACATGCTTCCGCAAAAACATCACAATATCCGCCAACATATCGTCTAAATACATATGTCCTAGCCCTTCATACACATACCTAATTGTTTCACGCAATCCAGCGAGTTGGATGTGCGCTTTGTGCGTTGGGCATAGGCATCTAGTAGGTATTAGTTAAACTATTAGCAGGTAAGGGCGCGGTTGTATGCTTTTGTGCGGAGGGGCGGGCGGTGGGGAAGATAAATATCGTAGTAGGGTGGAGGGATTAGGGTGTTGTTTAGTTGGTGAAATCTAGTGGAGAAGAAGGGGAGGGCGTGATGGTGTGGTGGAGTAGTGGCTGTGCGAAGATTGAGGCTGTGGAGCTGCGGCCGTGGAGGATGATGATGGTTGTGGTGTGGGTTTTGGTAGGTGGGAAGGTAAGGGGGTTAGGCTATAGAGGCGTCTTTAAGGGAGTATGAGGTGATATTTTGATGTGTGTTAGGTTTGCTAGAGTGTGAAATAGGTTAGGGAAGAGAGAGGCCTATTAAATAAGTATATGTTTACCTGTTATATAGAAAGAGAAAGATCAAAAAGAAAAGCCACTATATAGGTTCTACATATACCATTCAGGTTATGCAGATGGCCTCTCTACTGTAGTACTATCGATTACATCCTTCAAAGACCATCACCATAAACTGCATGCTTACAACACAAGCATTACCGCCGTCACCACACCAGCCGCCCATCCCACCATCCTAGCACTAATACCAGCCCCGGCACTCTTCCACGGCGTCACTTGCTCCGGCACACGACTTCCTTCCACTGTCTTGTTCGCAGTCAAACACACAAACTCGACGCTGCTTTGCACTAAATTCGATTCTGGGTCAGCAAATCGTCCCAGTAGGACGACTGGGATCGTCTGGCGCGTCATGAGATCATAAATCTGGTCCGTAGTGACATTTTCGTCAATGTTACTCGCCACTTCAACGGATGTTGCTGTCCGGAACGTGTTGTAATTGTCCGGGATCTGCACCTCGGGCATGTCGGTGTAGGCGCACGTGCTGTTGGCCATGTCGACGAAGTAGAGGCCTGTGCGAAGTCATTTAGCTACATGTACAAAAGCTGCAGATTCCCGAGTCGCAAGTCAAATAGTCTCTGTTCTGTGCGAGAGAAAAAGAAAGAAAGAAAGAGCATAAGGGGGGACCTCATACAGGGGACAACCGAAGTAACGTACTGTGTGAACCGCCACTCAACATTGGACACGCCTTTTTGAACTCTTCTGATGTGGACCCAGTATCGGAGCTGGGACAGTAAAATGCCGGACTTAGTAGTGCCTTATTCAAGTGATCCATGCAGTCCGAGCTGATCACGCCGCTACAGCTGTTCTCCCCTCCGGATTCCAACGTCGCATTGATGCTTTGGTATCGGTAGTTGCAGATTTTGGTGTTGTTGGCATACTTGTCAACGAGCGAGCCGGCTCGCTCAGCTCGCTCGGCTTGGACGTTTTGACCAAGCCGAATGAGCTGAGCGCGCAGTGCGCGCTTGCAAGCCGAGCGAGCTTAGGGATAGGCGCTCGCTCAGTCAGCTTGCTTAGCTTGGTTGGATGGGGCGGTTGGAAACTTGGGGCTGAAGGACTTGGTGGAGGGGCAATCTCACGATGATTTTTAGGTGTAGTGCGTAAGTTCGAAACCTAGTTATAACCTAAAATACACTCTTTTTTGCTATATTTCTAGCAAATAAGCTACTAAATTTCCGGCTAACGGCCTGGCAACAATATTCTCCTTCTGCGACACTTCACTTACTACTTATCACCCACCACACTCACCTATACTCCATCAACGCGTCTCTATTTGCAGCTATTATCTACCTCGCCGTTGCTATAATGCCAGCAAAAAGAACACGCGTTAATGCTCTAGAAATCGCGACAACTTCGAAGCGCCCTAGAGTCGCAGCGCGTCATCGCGGGACTGCCAGCCAACCTGTGCTAGTCGATACTCGGCCATTCTCACCATCTCCACCTCCTCCACCGCTGTCGCCGCGTCAAGCTCTCGTCGCCGCGCCACAAGCACCAAATTTTGAAGCGACCCTCCGAGAGTCGCGCGCCGAAGAGACAATCATCCCACCACCTGAGGGCAGCGAGCATGCCACTGTTGCAGCTTCAGGAGCAGCTAGCGAGGCTGTCGACGAGGGTTTCGTATGGGTAGAGGACAAATACGACGGCTTTAATTGGAGTCGCTACCCAAAGCACTGCAAGCCGCCCACATCACTTTCGAACCGAGCAAGCTGGGTATACAGCCATAGCTATCGCATCGCCTTGCGCAGCAACGTCGCAAAAGTCACGTGGATCTGCCACTATTGCTATAAGCACAAGTTCACTACTGTTGGCCGTGGCATACATGACGTCTCGCAGTCTCCATCAGCGCCAGCACGTCATCTCGGAGAAGACAAGAAAGGTCATGGCTTGAAGCCTCCAAGTAAGCGCACTACCGTCGCTCCTCGGAAAGAAACTCTCCTCGAACGCGCCCTTCAGAAGGGCTGCTCTCAGGCTGTTGCCAACGAGCTTACCAACTTCAATATACAAGAGTTTAGGCTTGCGGCCGTCACCTGGCTCGTCGAAAACAACCTCCCACTCTCACAATTCGAATCATCGTCTTTTCGCAATATGATACAATTAGCTAGCGTAGAGGCAGAACGAGCCCTGTGGGCATCTCATAACAGCGTCTCACGATACGTTATACGCCTGTACAACTACCTGTTACCAAAGGTTGTCGCAAGCCTTTCAGAATCAATGAGCAAAGTCCATATAAGCTTTGACGGATGGACGACAAAAGGTGGCAAGCGCGGTTACTTAGGTATCGTCGCCCACTACGTTGATAGCTCTGGCGAGCTCAGGGACTTGCCTATTGCGCTCCCACAACTGACAGGTGCCCACACCGGCGAGGCCATGGCTGAGGTCGTGATGGCAATATTCAAGCAGTTCGAAATCACTGTGGGCAAGCTCGGTTACTTCGTCCTCGACAACGCACATAACAACAACACCACGATCAACACTCTCGCCTTGCAGATGGGCTTCAGCGCTACCGAGCGTCGCCTTCGCTGCGGTCCTCATACGCTTAATCTCATTGGCCAGATGCTACTCTGGGGTGAGGAGAAAGAGTCCTACGACAACGAGGAGACTGAGCGCGTGAACGAAGCTGAGAACATGGCTACTTGGCGAGGCGATGGACCATTAGGAGTGCTTCTCGCGGTTATCAACTACATCAAAACACCACAACAGTACGCTCTTTTTGAGAAGTATCAGAAGCTCGCTATTAGGGACCAGCCTGTCAACGCGCCAACAGAACAGCACAAAATCAAGGAGCCCGTCAAGCCAGTTGTTACTCGCTGGAACTCTTACGTTTCGTGTTTTGAGCGCGCTGTTGAGTTGCAATTAGCGGTTAATGGGTACGCCAACTACCATATTCAGAAGATTGAAACTGAAGACGCGTACGCCCGAAGTCGTAACAACAAGCTGCCTGCAGCGCCGGATTGGATGAGGTCTGATGGGATCAATGCCCATGACTGGCAGGTGATTGCTGAGTATATTGATGTGCTCAGGCCACTGAAACAAGCTACAAAACGGCTTGAAGGCCGCGGCAAAAGCGGTGCTTTTGGAGCAATCGCTGAGGTTATTCCAGTATTTGAATACTTACTTGGAGTCTATGAGGACCGCTTGCAAAGCTATGAAGACGTCATTCACGATGAGCATACAGAGTCACCCGAAGACCACCTTGCTATCAACCTCCGCGCTGCCCTAGTTAAAGCCCGCGAGTACTACAACAAGCTCGACCTCTCGCCAGCTTACTATGCTGCTACAATCCTTCATCCTCGCTACAAAAGCTACCTTGACGCAGCGTGGGCGGATAAGCCTGATTGGCTAGAGAGCAGCAACCGCAAGTTTCAACATTTGTGGGCGGAGTACAAAAGCTTACCGAAGCCGCGCTTACGCCCCAAAGTCAGGCACAATGATATAGACGACGCTATCAACAGCTTTATTGAGCCTGCAGGGCTTACGGAGAACGAGGAGGATGAATATGAGGCTTGGAAACGCAGCGAACCGATCGCTAGCGAGGGCGTCGACCCTATAAAATACTGGGTAGGACTCCGCGATCGCTACCCCAGCCTTAGCAAATTTGCTATCGACATGCTATCAATCCCAGGCTCAAGCTGTGAGTGTGAGCGCTTATTCAGCGAGCTGGGTGACCTCCTCGAGCCCCGTCGGCGCAGCATTTCTCCGCAACTTCTAGCAGCAATACAGTGCGATCGACGATGGATAAGAGCTGGATTTGGCAGTGGTGAGGTGCCTGTAAAGGAGGCTATCAGCGATGAGGAGATGGACGCGAAATACGGTGTACATAAGTGGGATATTAGCTGAGAAACTCAACACCAAGGTTTCTATATAACTTTCCTAATCGGGACTGAGCCCATCAAGCCGAGCGAGCTGACAGCCCTGTTTCAGCCAATCCGAGCGAGCCGAGCGAGCTGCTGGCCTCCGCTCAATTGGCTGAGCAAGCCAATTGGCTGAGCTCGCTCAGCTTGCTCATTGACATCTGTGGTTGTTGGGCACGTTTCCAGGTACCGAGATGTAGGCATTTCCTCGGATATCGAACCTATCATCAAATTTGGGCCCTGGAGGTCCGACGAGGACAGAGACATACCACGGGTCGTCGCCGGCGTAGGAGGAATTCCAAGTGAATTCTTGCTGGCCAGTTGAGTTCACGGCTCTGAATTCCTGGCGCTGGCTTCCGCAGGAGGAATTTTGCGCATTGACAAACGCCGTGGTGAGGAGTCCTGATATTGTAAAGAGCAGCAACTTTGGGTTGTTAGACGTCCACATATTGACTTGGCCTAAGGGTAAAGCCTTGGGCGATTATTCCTTTAGACTTGCGAGAATACATCTTTATGTACCATTTCAGTGTATGTGGCGGTTAGGCACCCTATTGGAATGACGCACGCCAAGAGCATTACCGTGCATAGTAACTCTGATTTGCCAATTTCTATGGTGTTGAGGTTAAAATCCACCCGATCGACAAAGTTCGGCATTCCGTACCCGTCTAAATGAATATGATCTACAGTTAGGTGCGCTGCGCCGTCCCGTAAGCGCTGGGAGCTGACTCGGTTCGCTACCGACGGCGCAGTTGACTGTGCCGTACTACGGTATTGAGGCACACATCCATGTAGACAAGGGTGATCTTCCTTGACTGCAAGCGCAACGAAGGAGCGACGATATCTACCGTAGTTGGCCTGGCAACAAGTACTTGGCCTTTGTTAGTAGGATTCATTTTCCTCCAAAGAACGCTGTGCGTAGGAAACTATGCGTAAGACGGGATTCATTCAACGCAGGCGCCACTTTGGCAGGAAGTTCTATGTTAGTGCCCATAGTAATCTTGTCTCGCTGAGGGAATGAGGCTTCGAACAAGTCCGAAGAGAGAGAGAATATACAAAATCTAAAAAGGGTGGTGGTGGTTGTTTTCATTCTGCGCAGTAGAGGCAATGAGTTATCAAAGGGGGAGTGCGTGCATCCCTTCGCACTCATTACATTAGTCAAAAAAGGCTGCCATTCCGAGGAGGGTACTAAGTACTAGAAACGAGAGAAGGGAGCCCTAAAAATAGACCTACCTAAACGAATTGCTAATCTTATATTTCCGATCGGTAGATGTAGATCATCTTATTTTGCCGGATAGTGTTCACGGCTCGAATGATTTAAACTGGGGTACCTTCAGTCGTAGACTTGAATCTGTTTGGCAATTGTGAGATGGAGTCGTAGCGACGATACATGCCAGCGGCAGAATCATCAAAGCGTACCGCAAGAAGAGACGTTACGAGTGTTGTTCTGGCGATAATTCCGGCAAGAGAATGTTGGATCTTCCGCTTAGGACCGCAGTTGAGTCGTCACAGCCCGTTGACGGCTTTCTCATGCGTTTAGGCTGCAGTGTTGGAACCGGTTGCTGTTCTCTTCAAATCCTACATCCTTCAGAGTCGACCGCAGAGCCTCTTGAATCGCCCACTTGCGGGCTAGCGAACCACATGCTCCATCAATCAAGCGCTCTTCTTTGTGATTCGATAGCTGAACCTATTAGCCTAATCCTATCGAAACCTTCGTATGCCGCTTACAGAAACAGCTTCTCCCTAGAATACACCTCCTTATCCGGATCATCGTCCTCCTCTTTCACGTCGAACATTTTCCGCGCCGTCTTCATAAACGTCAGATCCGCGCGTCTCCTCCTCTTAAAGCAAAAATAGCACACGGTATTCTCGCCAATAAGATCCTTGAGCGTATGCTGCAGCAGCGGAAACGCAGGTTCAAAGTACACACAATCCGCAGCGAGGATGATATCCGGGTGAGCCGGTAATTCCGACGGCGTAGGCTCACCCCAATCGTATATGGATGCACTGACACGATCTTGCAGATTGTTCAGCGCTATGTTGCGCTTCATGAGCTCGAACATTGGCTCTTGATCCGTGATATGTAGTGTCGTGTCCACCTTGCAGCCTATTGCCACTGCCAGCCCCACGAGCCCGCCCCCAGCACCAAGCTCGACTATAGTTTTTCCAGCAACGTCCTCACGATGTTTGCGTAGCATGTACTTGCTCAGCACCATGCCTGCCGGCCACAACTGTCCACCACAGCCATTCTTCAAATCTTCCTCGAGCCTGAGTGGGGGTGAGAGTAGGCCATCGAAATCCACCTCTGAGACACCCGCCGACTTTATGGGCGCAGGAGGCACGAGATCCTGGCTTACACCAAAGAAATCGTTTTCTTCGCTATCGAGCATACTTCGTTTGGGGTAAGGCCGGGGAGGAATGGGTGTGAGGTTCGGTTTGTAGAGGCAGTAGACGAAGGTTAGTGTGCGATTATGGTGGGGCCTTGTCAGACTCAAGCCAACGAGCCTAGGCCCGCCGTTCTACGTTTGTTCGCATCCAATTGCTAGTTAGACTGGTAAAAGGACCGCTTTTTCGTATCTGGTGTCACGAAAGCGGGTTCGTGATAGCATAAGAGCTAGACGTTGAAGTTGCCGTATTTGGCATCGGGTAGTTCTCCTGGCTGTCATCCGGCATGCCGTCATCAACCTGGTATGCTTGCTTATCTTATCGATGTACCGGGATCTACATCGGCCGCTCCAATCGTGTGTACGGTTGAGATGGACTACGATGCCTATCATGCGCCTTAATCCTGGGCATTCTCAAACATAGTGAGGGATTTGGATGGGAGCATGCATCCGAGGAAGCTTGCTAGTTGTACCTGCGGTGCTTATTTCATGGTCTTCCAATATAAGCCGGTCTTGTCTTCTGGAATTGCATCGCCTTACAGCCGAGTGTTTTAGTTAAATTCGTCAATCATCATGGGCCTTCCTACAGAGGTACTGCAAGCCTGGGAGGCTTGCGACCGTACTGACACACTTTTTGTTCTGGTCTGTTCTGTCTTTTGTGAGCACATGCCCTATGTCTTTGTATCAGACCGCTAATTAGACAAGGCTGGGGGATCGTACCAGCAGTAGGCGTCGTAAGAAGTCCTGGTACATGAGACAGGTGTAACACAGACTGACCATGTATATCATTATCTAGGCCTACTCGGGCTATACCACACGCTCCAACTCACTAGCAGCAATCATGCCAGCCATCCTTTCAGTAATCGTTTGCTCGATACAATGGTTCCTCATCGGCTACACGTTGACCTACGGTGAAGGAGGTGCAATCTTTGGTGACTTCGAGTATGCTTTCCACAGGAACGTGTTAGCAGAGCCCGTTGGTACGATTCCTGCAGTACTGTTCAGTTTCTTCCAATTGGTCTTCCAAGCTACTGTATGCGCCATCGCCGTAGGAGGTGCATGTGAAAGAGGCCGCATACTACCCCTGATACCCTTCATCTTCGTAGGTCGAACAACTAGCTCGTGAATCTTCAATTATGCTAACAACAGTAGTTATGGTCAACTTTTGTGTACAACCCCCTAGCCCATATGGTCTGGGGTGGAGGCTTCCTCATGGACCTAGGCGTTCTTGATTTCGCAGGCGGTACGCCGGTACACATAAACTCAGGGGCAACAGCAACAGCCATGTCAGTATATCTATCGTACCCGTTGTTCCGCTCACAAAAGTCTTCAACACGCACCCCATCGCACTTAGTCATTCACCGACCGGTCAACTCGCTCTGCCAACTCCTCGCCATGATCAGTATCTGGGGCTCCTGGCTCGCCTTTGACGCCGGCACCACCCTAGCTTTCAACTTCAAATCCGTAATGGCGCTCTGCGTTACGAATCTTTGTGCGGCTTCTGGAGCGTTGACGTGGATGTTGTACACATACGTTGAGGTCGGCCGCTGGAGTCTGGACTCGTGCTTTATGGGTGCCATCTCTGGGCTTATCATGATCACTCCTTCAGCAGGCTTCATCGATCTACCCACATCTTTCTTCTTTGGCATTCTAGGTGCATTGTTCTGTCGGCAAGCTCTGAGGATCAAGTTCAGCGCCTTTGCTCAACGCTGGCGCTGGGTTGATCATGGAGATACCTTTGCAACGCACTGTCTTGGAGGCATTCTAGCCACAATTGCAACTGGCTGCTTTGCACAAAAAGAAGTCGCAGGTTACGATGGTGTGACCGAGATCACTGGAGGCGTCTTCTTCGATGGAAACGTTCGTCAACTTGGTATACAAGTTCTAGAAGCACTTGTCGGATTCACGTGGTCGTTTGTCATAAGCTACGTCATGTATGCTCTAATTGACTGCGTACCGGGTTTTGAGGTGTTGGCCGAAGACAAGTAAGTCACATCACAGGTTGATTGGGTAGAGCTAAAGCTTGTTAGGGATATTATCGCGGGCCTGGACGCAAGTCAAATGGATGAGGAGACGCTTTGGACTGAGACACAAAAGTACTATCCCTATGCCGATCGTGAGGGCGAGTTACATCTCGATTGATGGACAGGAAATATGTGTAATGTTGTTTGGCATAATAGGCGCCAAAGACAGATAGATTCTATATCGACTAGACAGATCTGCTTGTTTGATTCATGTCGAAGGTGCGGATTTTAGCCAGTTTAATTGCGAACAAGAACAGGCGCGTACTATGCGGTGAAACGACATCCATGTTGTGCTGATTCCCAATTGATAGCATCCCATAAGTATGAAGAAGATACCCATAAACAGCATCTCATCGACCCTGACCCGCCTCATCTTGTCCCAAAGTCGAAACTCCTAACATCGCAATCTTTCAGCAAAGTCCATTCTTCCCCTTCTTGGGGTATCATCAACTCCCACTTCCAAAAGGCTTTGGAATAAGAACCTGCTCGACACGGATATAAACAACGTGCATGGATGTATCCCAATGATAGATCTATGCACGTAGCTTATATCTGCGTCGAGCAAGTCCATACTCCCAAGTCCAAAGGCTCGATATTCGCCCAACACGGCTGTCGACCTTGATCCCGTCGTAGAGTATCCCCCTCGTGTCTCTGTATTATTTCCGCGCTTCTCACTCCCCTCGATCCGTCCCACAAAAGAAATCTTGAGTACCACGATCTCTCACCCCTCCAAAGCCTTCAACCCCTCCACCAACGCCCCAAAACTCTTAACCCTCTTATGCTTCTCCCCCTCGCCCTGCCCCTTCCCTACCCCCACCCCCACCTCCCCATCCAACCCCAACTGCCTCTCCACAACCTCCCAATCCAGCACCCTCCTCGCCTCCTCCAAACCCCCAATATCCCTCACATTCGCATACCCCAACTGCTTCAACTCGCGACACGCGATATCCGAGCGGCGCCCACTGCGGCAATACAGCGTGATGCGATCGTTCTTGTCAACGGTAATGTTGTGTGTTGTAGCGTAGACATCAACGAGGGTGGATATGTCTTGGTATGGTATGTTTAGTGTGGGGGAGAGGTCAGAGGTCAGATGGCCAGTGGCGTATTCGGCGGGCGTGCGCACGTCGATGAGGAGGTCGCGGGACATTGTGGACGGGGGGTACAATGGTGTCGTGTGTGGGTTTGTACGGCGTGTGTGTGTGTGTGTGTGTATTACGCAGTCTTATATGTTGCGCGGTATGTGGCTTCGGGGTTTAAACTGTTATTTCGGGATTTAGGGCTTGGAGGGGTCGCCGATTACCCCACTATCGTCACCGACCGGCTTGTTTTTACCTTCCTGGGAAACTTGTTAGTGATGATTTACTCGCTCGGCCTCTGTGCAACTTGTCTGTGCTTGTAGCAGTTATAGACGCTAGTGTATGCTTGCTGTATGCCCTGATAATAGATCATATATGTGTTAGCTCGTTTTGGCTGTGGATCCCGAGAACAATCTTCAAGACTGCAAAACTCGATGCTTCCGCCGTCATATCGTCCAAAAAATCACAGGTCAAGTCATGATAAAGTAGCACATTGATGTGTGAATTCTTTCATTCGCACATGTGTCAATCTAGTTGACTTTGCATGTCCAATGGTATACAACAAGGAACAACTTTTCTTCTCTCGCACCCATCTTGTTGAGAAGCCTTTTCCCGCTGCCACAGCAATGATCCTTTTGCCGTGAAAGCAGATTCCCTTCTCCTTCTTACAAACGCCGAGCCCACTAAATGTAGGCCTCCAACAGCCCCATTGGCTATGCAAAACATAATAGATGATCGACCAGATGGCTGCGATGTGCCGAAGCAAACAGCGCATTTTGCAAGTAAAGAAATAGGAAAAGTATGCTCCTGCCCCCCCAATAATAAATCGCTGAAGTGGTATCAAAAAACAAACAAAGGAGACTCTGGCATTGGTATCGTAAGTGTCCGTGACATGATGGACAAAGTGATGCAGGGGAAACGCAAACATTAATATGTGGATGGCCGGGCGCCATGCAGTATATGTGCAATGCCGGCCTCTCTGGGTATCCTCCAGTGAGTGCGGCCGATGGTGAAGGGCGCAATGAAGCGCTATGTGAAAGTCTATGTGCCCTTCAGGTTGGAAGTCGAGAAGTTGAAGTTGAGAAACTCAAATTTGTCCTTTGAATTGACTCGGGTGTCTACTGAGAAGGTGCTCGCGTTGCTGTTGTCAATAGATGGTGAGCCCCTCACGGAGTGAGGCTGCTCTCGTGGCTCAAGGAGCAGTGATCGACGGTAATAACTTTGGACGTTGGCTTGGTCGCTGGCGTGCATCCTCGAAATCTGGGCCTCCATCCAGTCCTGCATCTCTGGGATGGCAGCTAACCGATAGGGAACCTGGAACGATTGCAGTTGGCCGATGATCTTGGCCGTCTTCATGTGCTTGTCAAAGTTGATGACGGAGAGACCGTCAGAGCCGGATTCACCGGGAAGCTGTCGTGTGGTGCCGTTGCCGACGTCGATGAACGTGAGGTCAGTAAGGTAGATTCCTACAAATGGAATGCATGGCGCGATGTGGTTCTGGAGACGCTGACGAAGCACGGCGTAGTTTCGGCCTACGTCAGTGACCGACTTCAGCTCATCCAGGCGAGCCTTTGTCTTCGCTGACACAAGCTCCCAGGTTCGCTTGAGGCGCATAACCATGGAAGAGTTGAGCGAGCAGATGATGGCCATGAGCGAGTCATAGTTGTGCAGCTCCAGACACTTGGCCGCAACCTTGACCCATTGCTTGATTATGACCGCACGCTTCTTTGCGTCCTCAAGCTGAAGGATGGTGTCAGCCACCAAGTTGGCCAAGTCAGTCGATAGAGTGGACATGGCTTTGACGTTGTGCGCCTTTGAATCCTTCTTCTTGGTCCACTCGAGAGCAAGGAGCTCTTCTGGCTGAATGGCACAGAAGAGCTTAGACTCGATGATGGTAAACTGCCTGGCGAGCTCTAGGGGATCAAAGTCCAAGATGCTGCATTGAGCCCTACCCTCCTTACTAGCTCGTAGTGCGTTGAGTTGGCTCTTGGTAACAATGGGAGAGGGAACGTTGCTATCGCCCTGGGTGAAGGCAGTGCTAGTGCCAGTTGCCTTTCCAATCGACGACACCAAGCGAGGCACAAGAGCACCAGCTCTCACTTCCGTGACCTTGGACGTAAGCTCTGCAAGACGCTTGCCAGCAGCAGGCATAGCTGTCCTCAGTTTGCCAGTGGCGAACGCCAGGATAACACCTAGGGCAACTGAATCACTCTCGCCGACCCAGTGGCTTTCGAGCCAACCCTTGAACACATTGTAGACCCTGAGACGTACAGGAACTCCGACTTTCTGACTGCCGCCAATGTAGTCGAATCGGTCGATCAGGCACTGCGCAAGTTCGACAGGTGTGGTGAAGAGACGGAAGGTAAGATAGAAGGCGTTTACAAAGACAATATCGGGAGTTGACTCGAAGGTGGTGAGCTGCTCCACCAAGGCGGGGAGAGATCCACCCGATATTTGACCATCCTTGTTGTAGATCAACTCGTGCACATAGGTAGTCTCCAAGAGGTGCTCTTCGCCGTCGGCAATATCTTCGCTTGCTAAAGAGCGAAGCTCTGATGAACTGCCAAAGCTGCTGATCAACGTCTGGGAACTACGCTTCTTTGTTGGTGATTGATCTGGCGTGGTAGCACGCGTGGACGTGTGTGAAACGACGCTTGCAGCATCACCCCGCCCGTTGTAGCCATGGGTGCTGCTCAGGTCATTGACAGAAGCGTTGACACTCTCGGTGTTGACAGACTCCGCAATGCTTCCTTGTGTCATGCTTGCAGGACTTTCAAGAATCTCAGATGCGCTCGGTAGTGGGAGTATGGGAGTAGGCACCGCGTTGAGTGGAGGCAATGACGAGCGAGATGACCTAAAGGACACGGCAGTTGGGCTTTCGACGATGACAGCCTGGGATGGCTGGAGGCTAAGCCTGTTGTTGTCGAGAGGCGAAGGCTGAGGTACCTCGGGCAAAGGCTTCGACTCGGAAATGGTGAGTGGTGGAGGCATCTCGCGTTCCTCAACTGGCGGCGCAGGTAGTGGTTTGTTTGTCTCCATGACGTTTTCGGCAGGTTTGGATGAAACGGCGCTGGCGACAGATTCTCTGTTACTCGAGGGGGTAGGTTCCTGGACCATGGATTCGTCGGATAGACCCAAGCCAACAGCAGGCTCGGTGTCAAATTCAAAGTCGCCTATCCTCTCGATCACAAGCCTAGCCTTGGTAACGCAGTCACCAGCAGCCCTGACACAACTTGTAGCAGCCGTCACGATTTGCTTTCCTGCCTCTGGCGCTACCACCTCTTCAACGTCCGCGTCAGCATTCGTAAACATATCCTTGGTCGCTTGGACCAGTTCGGTGAGACGGGTGTACATGGTGTCTCGTGCTTCTTCCAGTGGGTTGGACCTTCGTGAGTCTCGTTCCCATACTTCCTCAACAACCTTGAGGAGCTGGCGGCACGCGACGACGGAGTGTTGGGTGATTTGGGCTAGCTCGTCGGAAGAGCGAGATTGTAGGTGCAAACCAATAAACGAGCCAATAAAGCCCAAAAAAGCGTCATGAGCAGTGTTCAGCCGCTCGGTGGCAAGGCTTCCTTTGCGTGCGCTGGATGACTTGGCCGTGTACGACAACCGATGGGTAACGGAAGTGCGTTTTGACTGGAACGTGGGTTGGGATATGATGATCGGGGAAGCAAGAGAATCTGGCTCCGACGGCAGAGAAAAGGCAACTGACAGGCGGTTCAAGTTTCGTGGCTGTTGCGTCGTGGCGGAGTACCAGTCGTCGTGGGCCGATTGTGTAACCGGAGAGTCGTATTCATTCGCCGACAAACTGCCCTCTACCGATGGCGCTGATGTTACTGGCTGTTGCACAGCACCGTCGGTCGAGTCAGACGGTGGGGTCAGTGGTCTATGACTGCTTGCGTCGCCAAGCTCGAACAGTGACAGCGACACTGCGTCCGTGGCCCAGATGTCGAGGAAACGCACAGCCCTCGTTACAAGCTTAAACGATTTGAACACGAGCTCGTCCATGTGCTCGAACACGGGTACGAGCAGCTCGCCCGATTGTAACGCTTCTTGCAGGGTTTTGGCAGCCTTTACGAGCGTAGAGAGATCACCCAATAGAGCTTTACGCATGCGACGCAGACCTACGTGTGCAAGGATAAGTCGCGAGTCCTTTTGTAAGCACTCTGTCCGTTCCTGACCACAGTTAGCAACATTGCAAAGAAACACATTAGAATGTTACTTACCAGGAACAGTCGTACGCCAACAATCATGCCTTTGACGTAGTCCTGCCGTGAGAAGGCAACTAGTTCGCCATTCTCACCGTCACGAACCAGATCCCATAGATATGTCAATGCATTGAGCAAATTCCGTATTATGGGGTGGTCGTAGGGCTCGCAGTAGTTGGTAGGAAGCCATCCACGGGCTCCAGAGGCCAACAGAGTGCCATCTGCCCAGCCATTGGGATGTACAGAGTGAACAAGAATGACGTCGCCTTGGTTAATGGCAACGGTAATTGAGGACTCGTCCGAAGTAGATGATACAGTCGAAGTAGGGCTGTAATGGTAGAAGGCGCGGAGGTAGTTGTGGAAAATGGGCTGGGCAAGTTGCTGCTCTTGAACCATGGCTTCGTTGGAAACTGTAGGCGTCAGGGGAGGAGATATCTGCGATCGCGAGCGACTGGAGTGGGTCCCTCTTGACGAAGACTGGCGAGTGTGACCGAAAACGCCCATTTGTGATCGCGACCTGCTCGGAGACTTTTGAATGTTCAAGGGCGCCACTAGGGCGCTGGACCGTTTGTCCATATCTCCCTGGCCTGAGCCGAAGGAGGCCATTGGTACAGTGGTTAAGACAGGGACAGAGGAGAGAGAGGTCAGAAGAGTAATGGTCCTAGGATGACGGGCTAATTGGACGTTGCACTTTGGCCGGTACGTGTAGCAAGCATCTGGCAGATGAGGTATGCAGCAAAGCAAGATGGTTGGTTAATGGCACACACGAAGTGGGGATAGATGGTCGTTGCAGTAATCCGAGCTTTCTTGTCGAGTGCACGTTGCAGTAAAGCGAGATTTGTGTCGAGTGCAGGTTCCTGCAGTGGCTTTGTTATTATTATGATGTCGAGAGAGAGAGAGAGTGAGGAATGACAAGATGACGGCTAGGGCTAGTCCAGCAAGAATGTGGAGCAGAAGGCGCGACAAACGGAGAGGGACCTACCCGGCGTGACAATGACTAGTGGATGTAAAAGCGAATGGCGGCCAGATGGTGCAGCAGGTGACAGATACGGCAGTGAAGGTAATTAAGCAGTGTGGAGCCTCGTGGTGAATTCGGACCTGTCGTGGGAGTGTTTGTGGTGAAACACAGCACTGGATTGGCGGTGCGTGGGGAAGCTGGGACGGGCGGCGTTTCCGTTACACAGAGATGAGCCGTCAAGGCGGTGCTTGGACGGGGCGGGACGACGGGTCCAGACACGTTCTGTCTGTGTCGAAAATGCGACAGGTGGACGTGTTTGAGGGTGAAGGTCGGTGGGGGAAGCACACTGGGGGTGCAAGGCTGTCTTGTAACGGCGATAGCAGGGCAGGAAAGAACTAGAGTGCTGCAAGGGCCGGACCTGCCTGTGCAGAGCAGGGGAGCGTGGGATGGCTTCCAAGTTCCAACGGTTCTAGAGGAGGCAGTCGCGGCCCAAAGCGAGGGAAGAAGCGAGCGACGGTGGGCGGGCTACTACAGTAGCTATACGGGCCAGTCGACGGTGAAAGTCGACTTGTGGCGGCCGGAGAGTTGATGGCAGTGGCAGCCAGGCTCGGGTAGGGCAAGGAAGACCTTGGGAGGGACAGAGGGTCGACTACCTAGGAACTCGGACTCCACCTGCGCGGACGGACGGCCATGTTAATATCACATCGCGATGCAGCAGCATCCTTTGCCGGCCTACTCGAGCAAAAGCCTCACGAACTGAACAGGGGCCCTGCTGTCAGGCGTGGCAGGGGGGGTGTGCAAGCCAGGGCCAAGGGAGCGTTGGGTCCTGATTCGCGCCTGTGAGCCCGTGCCAGCGACGGTGGAGATGCAACCAGAGGGCTTTTCCCCGGTATTTCGCCCTGTCCCCTGTGGGTTGTGGCCATTGCCATGGTGGTTGAGCGCATGCGCATGCGCGGTATGCAGTGCAGTGCGCGGTGCAGTGCATTCACCCAGCCGAAGCTTGCACTCGCACTGCACCACTGCACCACTTGGGCATTGAAGGCCCAGCACTGGCAAAACACGCAATACTGGCGGCGGCGAAAGAAGAAGAAGCTAAAGAGACATTGGACGACCAGGGCCGCTTCCGCCATGGCGACCACGACTCGAGGGGCCGGCAGCGTCTAGGGAGCTTCCACGCTGGCCTACGTGTGTGCCCATGTGCCTGACTACGTGCTGTGCAGTCTGTCACGGTCAAGTCAGCACAAACCGGTGCCGTCTTGCATGCGACCTGCAGCTCCAGCTGCAGCTGCAAGCCAGAAGCCAGAAGCCAGACGCAGTCCGACCCACTGCGAACCTTCGCCCCGGTCCAAGCCAGCAGGCCAAGCACGGCAACGATCAACTGGCGTGAGTAGCAGCCCTCTAGCCACACCAGGCAACTTCCGCCGGCTCGTCCTCCCCGTCTGCCACGGCCGCCTTCGCCAACCAATCCACCTTCACCTCCAAAGCGCCCGCCTCGATTGGCTGACTGCTCGAATTTATCAGAGCGAATATCCTGGCTTCAATGGCTAATGGCTGTTCCATGGTAAACCTACTGGAGCCTACTGCAAGCCTCCGCTCTCTATCCCCCGAACGGTCGGAGTTGGACGAAATATCTATTCAACAGTCGGCCCTTCACATGCCGTCATTCGAGTCCGTCAAGCACTGCCCATTGCCCACTGCCCACTGCCCACTGCCATACGCGGCTACACCCTCAGTTCAGCCATCACCACGAGTCCCGCTCCCATCCCGCGGTGCCGTGCCATGTTCCTAAACCTAACATTGACCCACCTGGTGACGCGCTAGTCATCAATCGCTCAGCACCTGTGACGACGACTACGTACGATTTCTTTCGCCCTGCGGCCAACGACGGCGACCTTGCTCTACCCAAGTCTTCATATCATTTAACTATATATGCCGTCACATGCCCGCGCGCTCACGTGCCAAGAGTGTGTATGGACGGGCGCCCCAGTTGACAGTATCGATATCAAGTCATCCTAAGCAGGCCGCATCATCCAACTTCGCAACACCACCTTAACCAGCGAGCAGTACCCGGGCAGACAGGCTGCAGGCTGTAGCGAACAACGGTTGCTACGGAGCAACAGACTGTGTTTCCGCGGCCCCTAGCTACTCCCTAATTCTCTTAGCAGACGCCAGGAAGGCCAGTGGAAGCCGCCCGTCCTAGACTCGGTTCAAACAGCATGCACTAGCTCTTGACCGGGCCTCAGCTGCCCAACTGTCGACCCTCTACGCAGCTTTTTCTTATTGTCTCATATCTCAACCTCCACCAGCTGGACCACCCACACATCCCCACGCCGTGAGTTCCGTTCAAAGGTGCGCTCCACCCTTACGTCGATCATATATTGACTGCCCGCCTTCGAAGCGCCCACCCCTGTCGGCACATGCGAAAACGGCTGCTTCTTCCAGCGTAGCACTGAAGCAGCTGGGGATCTGCATCGTGTACAGGATCCGCATCGTGCATTGCCAAAATAAGAGCTGTCTATATTCCCGCTATGCGCTTTCTCTCTCGGTACTGGTGCTCACCGCGCATTATCCAACTTTGCCATGTCGGTACTGGATTCCATCCAGTCGATGCCATCCACCACTGCCGTGATAACTTGTTTGTTACCACGGCATAGTCGTCGAATCAACGCTCTAAGCGCAGCCGTTGTTGACTGACCGGTCAGCTATTGAAATAGTGAAGCTACTCACACTACACTCCGCCCAGCCAGGCAGGTTATTGTCTACGCCACATGACCATATACCGGTGTAGCTACACTAGAATTCGGTCAATGATATTCCGACATGCGACAGGCCCTGCCATCCTTCATTGACAACCCTTCATCTCAGCCACGGACAGCGGCCGACTGCCAACCAATGAGTCACGCATCTGCCAACTGGGGTTTCGCATCAGGTAGGCCGGGTAGCAAAACCTTAATGGATTGCCTTTTCACATAGCTTGGTGTCATCAAAATCTTGCTTCGTCGGTGCGAGAGCCCTATCGCTCTAGCATCGGGGTAGCTGAAGATCGTTTGTGGACCACTGACCTCATGCTGCGAGCATATCTTATTTCCTGGCACTATCTAGTTTCACCAAAACGGACAACTAACTGTAGTGGCGCCAAGATGGCGCAGACCGTATTCTCCCGTTCGCACGTTCTGAACGACAGTTCGACTTTTGCAAACTTTCTCAACGAGTTACTCGGCCCTTCTGCTAGCTATTACAAGCCTATCATCGGCGACCCGTTCGGCAGCCTCATACACCGAAGCTAGCTCGGACGCTACTGAAGCTACCCACCGCGGGGTGTCGTTAGCTGCCGACAGCCCAATGGCCCACCCTTCACGATGCAGTGCATAAGTCTACAGACGAATCGTTATATCGAATGTCTAGATTTATCAAAGATTCTGCGACAGTAGCACATTGACATCAGGCCGACTTTTTTTTTGGCAACGGCGAATCGCAACCATGCGGTATTGCAGTGGCTGTTGCGATGATCCTTCCAACTCGGAAAGAGCGCATTTCTGCAGGTACGCCGCAGACCAAGTCTCCTCACCCGCGCCACAATCCATCAAAAGCGACCCGGGAGCGCGGTCACCATGGTGCATCAGTCGCAGAACGGACATCCCTCCGCTGCAACAGTGCCGAGGCCCGGGAATTTCATCCCTTCCAAAGGGCTGTCACAAGTCATGTGAGGGGATTTGTGTGCGTCTTTACGGCGTGGTCGGCAGAGACAATGCGGCGCCGCAACTTCGCTTCAAGCCCATGCGAGCCAACAATGCCATTGTCACCATCCTCTGCACAAATTTCAGATCCTTCTTACACTTGCCCTACTCTGAGTCGGACAAACGACGATAGATGGTGCCCAACTAGAAGAGCGATAGTACCAACGGGTGTCGATCAGGCCTGAAGAAAACGTGTTTCGCGAGATCACGTGGACCATTACCCATGAAAATTACTTCTGGCCGGCGATGCGCCTAGTCAATCGTTCTTACACAAAACATAGCCGGGGTTAGGGCATCATCTATTTATTCTCCAACACCCTGCAGCTGCATCTCACCATGTCTCTGACCACCTGTCCCAAGCTCTCAGCGCTTATTGTCTTTGATTGGCGCAACGCGGCAATGGCGTCATAGTCAATGCACGACGGCTAGAGATCTCAAGATTACGTGAGGACCGGCATCAGCCTTCCATGTGAACAGCATGGAAACAGCGACTCCAACCGTAGGTACAGCATAGTGCCTTGGGAGACCTCTGTACGGAAACGTTCTTTGAAGCCGTCGTTTCGGACACAGCTGAGCTGCCAGTGTAATGATTCGGCCGAGGCTCCGAAAGTTATTGTCACATCGCGCATCTCCGAGACACACATCTCTTCAAGGTCGGTAGACTTGGCAAATCAACTCATTTCAGTAAGATTTCTCAGCTTGAGCGCCACTACAAGCCTTTCGTGCGATTCCGTCAGCAGGGTCCCGCTTCTTCCCCGTGTTCCCACAACGCAGTATCCATGTTCAAAGCCAAGCGATTGCCGCGCTTGCAGCTTACGAGGTGAAATCCGATTCATCTCCGTCAGCACACAGCATGAGAGTCCGAGAACTAGAATGTTACACAGTCGTGCCGGTTTAGATATGTCAGGAGGCTGCCGAGCCGTTGCCATATCATGTACCTGCATTATCGTATATGCAACTGCAAGGTTGGTACGTCACTTCCATACACTTCCGTAACGAGAATGTGACACAAGACAATGCTGTGCTTTCTATAGCGCAACACAAGAGATAGCTTCGACTCTACGCCTATGGGATTTGTCCGCTTTAGAGGCATAGCCTCGAACCCGTTGACCCCTCATCACTTCCTCGCCTCTCCTGCCTCTCCAAGACTCTTCTCAGACTCAACAAGGCCGAGCGAGATACGAACACGAGCCTTCCCGCAATCACATCTTACCCGCGCACCAGGTCCTTGTTTCACAATCAGCTCCAACCAGACAATCCAGGAACCGGATCCGCAGCATTCCTATTGGCGGGAAAATAAAGATCTGCTCGATATTTACTTCCTGGGAACGAATACGATGAAGCATCAAATCTGCATCCTCCAACTTGCCGACTTCCACGCGCTGGGGCCTTGCTCAAGCTGGTGGTAGATCGACGAAAAGTGTCAGCTTCCGGTCGATTTGCTTCTTTTTGATCACGGTACCTTGCTACATAGAGTAAGTTAATCAGATCCTGTCGATGGCTGATATTGCCCCCCTTGTAGATTATTGCAGCGATACGATGGTGGTAGGAACGGCCATGGGTGTTCCGTGAGTGATCTGCGTCGATGATACTGATATTGGTGTTGAAAGGTGAGCAGCATTTTGAGATCTCAAGGCCACCAGATCAACACGGATGCTTCAGCAAAAGAAACAGCTAGACCCGGAACGTGGCAGCGCACCCTTCGGGGCGTAGATCACCACTTCTAGCACTTGGCTATGCATAACGGTCCGCTTTCGGGAAGAAGCAACTGCCTCCAATTCATGGTTATCATGCGCGTGTCGCGGGGAATGGGGGTGTGACCATCGGGCTTTGTTTTCGCCTAGCCGCTGGATCCGTTGTCTCTATTCATGCGATAGGGCTATCGGGATTGTTTGCATACCGAGCAGGTGGTATGTTCAACACTGTGGCAAACATTGGATTCGCTTGACCAAAATAATACTAGACACTGCTTACGAACAGACCTGACAAGGATCCATCTGAGCGAACACGTGCGTTTCTCACGACGCATACCAGGTGCTATCCTGTCACCACGTGCCGCAACTACCGTCCAGCTCGACTCCCTCCCGCGATGTAAGAACTGTGATTCATTTCTTGATGATCAATAATTTGTCACATGCTGGTCAGAGGCACTCAAAATAGCGTCAGTTTTGTCCATTCAAATCCCTTTCTCGACGATTCCGGGACGAAAACCATGACGTTACAAGAAAGATTAGCATCGTCAATCTCTGTTCTGTTCGTCCAGTGAGATATCTTACATTGCTTGCTCCCTTACCTCCCCTTCGTGTTCCCAAACGATGTCACTTTCCCTTTCGCGGGATGTAGTAAGCCGAGTGGCGGGGTATTTCAAATACTGACCTGGTCGGCCAAGTTAAACCAAGTCGCCAACTCCTTTCTTTGTCTCTCTGCATACGCAACCCTTCCTTCATACTATGATGGCACAACTCCACAGTCTTACACGCTCCGACAGCGAGCACGTCAATCTTATTATTGGGTCTTGGCCCATTCGCCACTACCCCAAATTGTCACGACACCTCCAACTTATGTTCGTGACGAGTAGCAATCGGCCCACCAACCTCCTCCAAAACACCGAGATCCCCGTTGCCCGATTTCCAGGGCGAATGGTGACAGCGTGTCGTCACACGGATGATCCCCACGTTCTAAGAAATCCCTGGGTTATGGTTTCTGGGTCTGGGGGGTCTGGGATCTCGTTTCCTTTTTGGTCATGTCTATCAGAGCACAGACGGCAACCACCATGGTTGTCACCTCCAAGCTGAGGGCACATTTCACCACCATCCTCGCTATGTTACGTGCTATGTGTTTATCTTGACCTCCTTACTTGGCGCAGACTATGCGCGCTGAAACAACACACTCTTTTCCTTTTGGCCTTTTCTCTCAATGGCCAATAGTCCCATTTCTATTCCTTTTGCTTTTGCGCGTCTCTTCTCATCTCCTTCCTTTTCTCGGGCACAAACACCAAGTGTGTATACTACACAAGTGATTCCCACGCAATTCCACGATGACACTGCCACAGTCAGCTTAACGCTGACCCTAGGCCCTTGTTTTTGCCTCACTCCAGCTGTCGGCTTACCGGAATCAGTGTCGGTTTCGTTGGTACCTTTGGCCGCTGGACTTGCTGACGGTATTCGTTTTTTCCCCATCTTACTGTACCGAACAAACCACGATTCACAATCCCTCCCCCTCCACTTTCCCGCGAGTCGCATCCATCATGCACGGGCACTGATCGGGAAGTTACACTGTTACATGCATATCCCAAATGCATGTCGAGGGGGTGGCATCGCGCACACGTGGTACACTACATATCGCTTTTGGTTGTTCGCTGCTTCATGGGCGGCACCTGGTGTTGGACGGATGGATGGCTACTCGACGCACGTGTCGGCCAGTCCTGCAGTTGCGCCTCACGACGCCGCTCGCTCAGCTGGGGTATGTGGAGCCGATACCCGACTGTTGCCAGGGTACGAAAGGAGGATGTGCCATTAAGCCAGAAAAGCAAGCAACAACATGATCATCTTGGCCACGTGTCGGCGGCGGGTGTAAAGGCGTCAGTGTTTATGAGCATCACAGGCCACACATGTCGTTTCCGTGACCTCACAATGTCACATCAACCCTTCATCCAATATTGATTTGCACATAGCCAGCACAACTACCCACGGTGACAGCGATGGTGCGCTGACGCACAACGCTCGAATTTCCCTTTCGCAGGTGCCGAACTACCACCGGTAGTTCCTGAATCAGTAACGTTGTGACCGGTCGGTAGATGATCGACTCTGACACACACACGCACACAACCACATGAAAGCACTCCATCAGTCCTCGTATCTTCACCCTATTTCTGTCTCGCAAATTTTCAAACTGACTTGTCTCCATGTAGTGAGCGAGTGGCGAGCAGGGATATGCGTCCAGACCGTGTGTTGCGGCGAAAGAAGTTTCTAGTTTATCGGAAGCATTCATCGGCGGTACTGTGAGTGAGAAAAGAAGCTTTGATGCCCAAGTGCACAGATGACACACGACCACCATGCCATTCTCGACCTTTCCGAATTGCCTCCAAATCGCGTGCAAGGTTACGTTGTGGGCCAGGGCAGGAAAAAAAAGGGAAAACACGGCATCCCGGTGACAACGAAGAACAATGACAAACAACGAAGACGACGGATGTTCCGGATATCTTGTGGCCCAGAAATAGAGGGCCAGACTCGATAGGAGAGGAAGGATAAGTCAAGGGACACCGTTCTTGAAAGGCAACGCGCGTGCTATAATATGTTTACAACATTCAAGGCGAGACCATGCCATTAATCGTACGACTTATCGGTTGTTGGTAGTGGCGTCTGTCGCAAAAGTTTATTAGGTGGGGCCCGACCAACGGCCCTGAGCACGCTATTCTCCAAGGTTACCCCCTGGTTTCCCAGTTCGGCAATATCGCTGCGATGACTTGAATATATCATGCAATTGTAGGCATAACCTTGACCTTGGGGGACACGCAACAGGATATAACGTGGGGAAGGGTCCTGTTGCGGGGGATATGCTTTATGGGTGTTCGGACGGAGTGGCTCTTTGGGGAGCGCGATGCGCGTAGCCAAGATGGATGAAGTTTGTCTGAGTCGGCAGTTGCACAACAAGAAATGAGATAAGCCTCCAGTCTCACTGGGCGAGTATTCAAGGCGAGCAATCATTGCATGTCCATCTCGTCATCGTCGTAATCAGCCGCGCCCGAATCCATCTCTTCTCGGTCTCGGTCTTTGCGCTGCTGTTCTCGTGAAGCCGAAATCTTTCTGCTGAGTGTTAGTAAAAAACATTGTAGTCAGACTGACAGTAGTTCCAGTGGATAGACATGCCTTAATCCATCAATGACACCCGTGATGAATGATCTACCCTCGCCTACTTCCATGCCTCCAATACCGTTCATCTTGAATCCACCTCCCGCGTCCAGCACCTCAACACCACTTCTCAGCTTTGCCATTCGCACTTCCCGCAGCCCTCTCAGCAGTTTCCGTACATTATCCGGCTCTTCAAAGTCGTCAGAGGCTGCCTCTAGCAGCATTTCGCCTAGCTCAAGCCAGTGATATGGTAGGGCGTCTGGGGCCGCATCTACCGTCGAATTCGATAGGAACGGTGGCGAGATGGGAAACGTATTCTGCGAAGGCTGTGGGGGTAATCGTGGAGGAGGAGAGAATGTCTCCGCATGGTCTGTTTCGTGGTCGAGGATAGCGGTAAGAGAGTGTGTATTGAGCCAGGCTGGCGGGAGGATATTGGCACGGCGTTGGCGCTTCAGCAAGAGGGCAAGCCAGAGGGGGATATTTGCTCTATGAGGTGGATTGAGAGGTCCCACGGGTCCCTAATTCTAGTCATTAGAACCGCCAACCAAAGAAAAATCCACATATAATCTTCCAATCGTAAGAGAAAGAGAGTGTTATATGGCGGGGTGTGTTTGGAGGGGCACGCGTACTCCAAGAAGCTCAAGTCCCTCGAGTTTTTGACGTGGTATCACTGTGACGAGCTCCATTTCGCACAGAAAAGCAATTTCCGGGGGCGTCAGGCCCGGCGGGAGAGGCAATGCCATGGTTGGATGTGTAGGTGTGGCGCCTTGAATTGTATGTTCAAGTTCGCGGGCTGTGAAGCTGCCATGTCGGAAGACGCGCTCCAGGGTTTCGGTACGTAGCCGCATTGGGCCTAGCTTCTTGTTCAGTACCCGCATTGCCCATCCTTCTGCGCGCCATGTCTGATATCATCTCTTTCGTCCAAACAGTCGTTCCTCTTTCCTTGCATCTGAGAAGATTCAATGGTTTCCGTACTCGAATCATTGTCTTTGCCGGGTGCTCTCGCGTTTCTTGTGTCCGTTACGGCTACGTGGTCTAATTATGTATCGAATATCGTACCGGACGCCTATCTCGTGAGTTCATATACTCCTCGCTATTCCAGATACTAATAGAGACAGGATGAGTTCTTTCATGTTCCTCAGGCCAAGAAGTACTGCGAAGGGGATTACTCTTGGGATCCAAAGATAACCACTCCACCAGGCCTGTAAGAGCATCTTACATCTATGATATGTGCCGCGATACTGACTGTCATTTTAGATATGTGGTGTCCAAAATTCTCAAGCCCTTATTGGGCTGTGATACTCGCGCTTTGCGTCTCTTGAATGCTCAGGCAATTTGTCTCATTTTCATCATGAGCTATGCAATCCAACGCTTACTTCGAGTGCGCAATAACCCATCCCTGCGTTCTCAGAGCAAATCTGGAGAAGGCTCTCTTACTTCTGATCCTACGTTTCTCCCTTATGTTCATTCTGCTCTCAATATTGCGTTGTTCCCGCCTCTCTTCTTTTTCTCTGCGTTGTATTACACTGATGTAATGTCGACTTTGACTGTATTGTTTTCTTATGCCGCGTATCTGGAAAGTTCCAGGTCAAACTGGAGTCTCCTGAGAAACTTGGGGTTTGTTCTTCTTGGTATCGTTGCACTTTTCTTTCGACAGACAAACATCTTCTGGGTAGCTGTTTTCCCGGCCGGACTTGCGGTGGTAGATGTATTGAAGAAAGATGCACCACCAGCTACTTCAAACAGTCATGATATAACGTCAGTGCTGCAAGACAGCTGGTCTGAAGGGAAGGTTGTCGATTGTCCGGTGCAAGATGCTGGTCCTCAAGGTGCGTGACACATCATGTTATACAAAATCTGATGCTAACTGACGATTGTTAGACGTTGCCATGTTTGTAATTTCGGTAGTGGTTGCAGCAATCAGGAAGCCTCTGATAGTGCTCAAGGTTATTGTACCATACGTAATACTCCTCGTTCTCTTCGCTGGTTTCGTTTTCTGGAACGGGAGTGTTGTTCTTGGTAAGCCCTGACATCATATCAGCCACGATAGTGCTAATATTAGCAGGCGACAAATCGGCACATACAGCTACCATTCATCTTCCACAAATGCTGTACATCTGGCCATACTTTGCATTCTTCTCGGCTCCGCTCCTACTAGGACCGCTCCTTAGACCCGTTGTGCCGTTGATGCCAGAACGGTACCAAAAGATCTTTGACGAGCATCTCAACGTCTCGACCTATGGATTTCCGTCTCTTCTCGTATTTTTGCTCGCAATTTCCTGCGACTTTCTCGTCGTTCACTTCAACACCATTATCCACCCGTATACCTTGGCCGACAACCGACACTACGTCTTCTACGTTTTCAAGATGATCCGACTATATCCAGCACTGAAGTATCTGGCAGTCCCAGTATACTGCATATGTGGGTGGTTAGTCATCCAGACTCTTGCTTCACCACTGGTGAATGCACCACCAAAGACCAAGGACATATCGAAGGACACGGTCAATCACCACTCCTGCCAGATCAGCTTCGTACTCATATGGCTAATTACCACTACTCTCTCCGTTATCACAGCCCCACTAGTGGAGCCCCGTTACTTCATCATTCCCTGGATAATGTGGCGGTCGCATGTCCCATGCAATACGGCTTCACTTCCGACAGGTCAATCGAGCCGCAAAACAATGTTTGATGTGCGAATGGTCTTGGAAACGGTCTGGCTGCTCGCGATCAATGTGCTTGTGGCATACACTTTTCTGTATCGAACGTTTACATGGCCTAACGAGCCTGGTAATCTACAACGCTTCATTTGGTAGTGTGCGATACCTTGCTCAGATGGCAAGATTGTTATTACAGCAGATATGGTGATGGAACAGAAAGTGTCATCGAATATAACTTCCACATGTACAATATCCATAGCACCTAATAGACGTGTCTGGCGACTACAGTGGCTTTTGTACACTAGTATGTCCAGTATTTTATGACACCCGGGTGAGATGCATATGATTATGTGAATTACACGATAACAGAAAGACCAAAAGAGTATACCAATCTCACTTTGTCTATATCAAGGATCTGTGCATGTATCTCAGAACTACACAAGGTAAGTTGTACCCCCAGGAAACCTCTCATGGTTCTTCTGTTTGGGATTCTCGAGAACAGGCAATTGTCACCGTGAAATATATCTTTGTAACATGGTAAACCTCTTATACATGGACGGCGTTACTATGTGCCCTCTGTTATGTGAAAGAGGAGGTATGGTGATAAGCTGGTAATTGAGAAGCCATGCAGCTCGGGGGTTGTAAGATGGCACTACGTTGAAGAGGTACTTGAGTTAGATACGTTTTGAAGTTGGAGGGTTTGATGTTTTCATGTGGGTGGACATTTCTAGGTTGGTGTGACGAATGTATAGCAGGGAGTGGTACAGCGAGGTACCAGTACGGTATTCGTTCAGAGAAAGCCATGTAGATACCTCCCGCTTATTCCGATATCGAAAACCAATTCTTATGCTAAAGTTAGTGAACGGTAATAATCAATCTGATACGAAGAGAACGTAGAACCTAGCGGGATGGACACAATGAAAAAAACACTATTGCATTCAGCCATATTGATACGTAGTCGTACAGTAATGTGCATGTGCCAACATATTCCCCTGAAGCAACCGTAACGCCCTACCAACCCATCGAAAAGGTCTTACAAAACACACCATTTTTCACAGCGCATGCCTATATTTTCCCTCTACCCGTTCAACAGTACTCAACGCGCATGTCTCGACCGCTGCGCATCCATCCATCATCTCGACACCGCCGTTGTCAGATCTCTCGTACCCAACTTAGTTCTTGGCATGCTCATCGCTTCCCATGGTCATCCTCAGGGCAAAGTTGACAATGACAGCAGCGAAGAGGGCAATGGTAAGAATGGTGGGACCCAGCCTGTCGTCGAAGCCGCCCTGGCCCCTCATCCGTATGCTCCGCGCGCGCCAGTGGAAGGTAAACAAGGCGTAGATCATAGCCATCATAGCAACGAGGGTGAAGAGACCAGCGGAGATCTTTCCGATTTTGTCGCCAAAGTTAAGGAGACCGATAGCGAGGCCGCCGAGAATGACGGTGAAGTTGAGCCATGAGAGGAAGGTGCGCTCGTTGGCGAAGAAGACTTTCGGTTCGACGCGGGTTGGGAGGGCGATGCGCTTGCCTAGTGAAGAATGTTAGTAAGGAGCTCGAGGAGCTTAAAAAGGGAGTAGCGTTGCGAAGGGGGGGGCTTGACGAACCTGGCGCGGTCTGAAGGAGCGGTTGGGTAGACATGGCGATGACGATGTGATGATAGCCCCACTGATGGTGTAGTAGCACGTCGCGTTCTTGGGAAACTGCTGAGGTTGTACAGCGGTGAGCTTGGCGGTACAACGATGGGAAAAAGCAAAGTGAGGGCGGGTCAAAAGGCGCGGAAGCTTTTCGCAGTCAGCAGTAGATATACTAGTAAGAAGTCAGGAAACTTGCGACACCCAAATAAAAGCTTCCTCGTCCTTGCGGGTCGCGATGGCCCATACAATCTGCGACCAATCATGGCGACATGGGTGACCACGTGACAGGGGTAACCCGGGTGCACGCCTATTGGCTCGCGCCTGGCTTCTGGGGGCACCTGGGTGACATGGAATACTCTATGTACTGGACAGTGTGGGCAAGCACCTAATAGACGTATCTGGCGACTACAGTGGCTTTTTTCCACAAGTATGTCCAGTATTTTATGACACCTGGGTGGGTGAGCACGTGACAGGGATTGCCCGGGTGCACGCCTATTGGCTCGTCTGGTGGCCTCTGGGGGTGGCCCGGTCCTCTTTGCTCCTGCCCTGCAACCACGTCGGCAGTCACGCCAGACGCTAACCCCCAAAAGCCAAACACGTAAACACCCAGCTTGAAAGCCTCATCACACAACACTTATCGCTGATTCCCCGAAACGTCCCACAACCTACCCAGACTGCAACCCTGCTGCATTACTACACAACATCATCACAATGGCCGTCAGTACTCTGGAGCTTCCAGGGGGGTTTAAGGTTTGCTAACAAGAACACAGTCTCAGTCACCGCTTCCTACTGCCGAGCTGCAAGAGATTGCTCAGACCGTAAGTTATGAGAGACCCTCTTTTTCTCAATGTTCCTGGTACTGACATCATCTTGTAGGCTTGCGAACAGGCCATCGGTGCCGCAGAAGCATACGACCACGCCCAAGTAGGAGACTGGAACAGCAAGATCATCGTGAGTTTCCATCGCATGTTTAACCACAATGTCATTGTCCAGCTCCTGACTCCTCTTCTCTCTAGCAATACATCCTCCAGACCCTCATCAAGAAAACCAGCACTTCCGAAGCCACGCCCGATACTCCGTCGCAACCCCCTTACAAGTACATCGCCAACAGCACCGTAATCCAACACATTGGCTCTCCTGCGGAACCTGAGAAGCACGGCCGTCGCGGCATGCACAGCGCTGTCGGCGCCTTCTGGAACAACGAGAAGGATGGCACATACAGCTACAAGTGGGAGGCGGCCGAGAAGAAGGGCATGGACATTGTCATCACCATCACATGGATTGCTATCTAGAATAATAGCGTCCGCAACGCTGAGGGATGGGCGCATTTGCCGAGCAGGCGTTTGACAAATGCGCCGGGTGCGAGGGCGCAGACTTTTGCGAAGAAGGAGGGCGCGAGCGAGAGTTATGTCAACAGCTTGTTGAGTGATGGTGAGAAGTGATGGCGAGTTGGCTTGGATACCGTTTGAGTGCTGTCTCTATTCTTCTCCTCACGGTAATTGGCGTTTGAAACCTGCATGGGCATAGTCTTGCGCTTCTTCATGTCAATATGGCGAATTGATACCTAGTATTTTGTGACTTTATCCATGAACAAGGCGCAACTGCACTTCGCATGTAACTGCAGTATGTACAAGGGTTGACGTGTTCTCGTCTTCTGGACTTTGGCTACCTGGTCCATGACAGGCATGTCCTGTCGTCAAGCGCACATCACATCCAGGCCGCAATCGTGAAGCAAACGAATCTTGATACATTTGAACAGACTTGCAATATATGTCGGACCTTGGTATATACGCCTACTCTCTCCACGCCATAAAATCATCATCGCATACTTGGACTAGCCACCTCGTGACAACAACCACTCAGCCTTTTGAAGCAGTGCAGTAGTAAACATCAATTCAAAACAGACAAGCAGAGAAGAGAATTTAGGCATCCACCTTTGGCTTCTCTGCCTTGGTACCCACGCCATCTGTGTGCGTAGAGCTACTCCGTTCGCTGACAGCGTTCTCGCGCTTGTTGATGAGTGCCTTGAGTTCGTCCGTGGTGCTCTTGCCCCCGTTCTTCTCCGTGATCAGACCCTTGAGCCATGCGTTCTCCGTCTGTAGTTGCTGGATAGTGGCCTCTAGCTTGGCCACCTTCTCTTGCGCCTCCTTTTGCGACTGCTCGAGCGCTTGCTCGCGCTGCTTCTTCTTGATGCGGAAGCGGGCGCTTGCGGCCGTATTACGGCGACGCTTGTCCTCCTCTGCGGCAATGCGAGCGTTCTCGTCAAGCGACTGCTGTGGCATGACTGGAGCGACATTGTCAAGCTTGCGCTTCTTCGAGGCCTGGTCAAAGCCTTGCGCGATCGGAGACAAAGATGATGTCGGCGACCCGTAGTTGTGTGCGATTGGGTAGTGGCTAGGCTGAGTGTGCGACAATGGCATCGACGGGTCGAAGGCTGTGCTTGCGCCAAAGTTGTTGAAGTCGGTAAACGGGAAGTCGCCTGCAAGTAGGTCAAGGTCAGCCATGGCTCAAGAGGACGACGATGAGATAGACCATTCCAGTCGTATCATGAGCGTGGAGTTGTTCGCAGCTCACGCGCAATTGCGTGCTGGTGATGCTCAGCTGCAGGACGCACATGCACGGCGTTTTGAGTGGCTGATGAGAGTAGTGTGGGGTGACGATGCATATATGGCGGGGTTTGCATGCACCTTGCCAAATTGATTGGCCGGCGCTAGGCAGACCCTATACGACCCTGCGACGCACACTCTCAAACGGCCAGGGCCAGATTGATCATGGAAAGGGTAGTACCGAAGATGAGACGTGACTTACCATTCAGATTGAAGTCCATGTTTGCGTCGACGCCTGTGCTTGGGTTACGCAGAAATTCTCCGTTTGCCTTTGAAGGCTGTGATGGCTCGTTGTCAAAACTGATATCGAAGTCGGCGCTGGCGTTCTGCGTGTTGTTCACGTCTAGAAAATCGGCGTTGAGGAAGTCGGAGAAGTCCTCAGCGGGTGCCGGGTCCGACAGCAAATCCTGCTGCGGCGACAGCTGATTGAGATTCGCGATATACTGGGACACGTTGGGCCCTCGCTGGCCTTTGTAGGCGGACATGGGTGGACGTTTGTCTTCTCCAGGCGACGATGTAGTGAAGACGCTGGGTGCTGTTGTGGAGAATTTGGGGTGTTGAGGGGTTTCTAGACCGGCGAAACCCGTGTTGAGTATACCAAGTCTGATGGCGCTTGCGTGTCAACTAGATTTTGCAGAACTGGGTCCTGGTTCGGGCTCCAAGAATATTTTTCTGTCTTTGTGTGTAGAAAGCGTAGAGTGTGGTGTACAAGACGTCGGGTAGGTCCGGCAGGTGCAAGCGGTAAGAGTGATGTGGACGAAAGTCGTGACGTTCGGTTTTGTCAAGGGCTGGGCCGATGTTCAAGAGATCAACGGACCCCGCAAGCGCCTACTAGCGATTAGTGGTGACAGTACGCCCGACCGGCCTCACCCCCACGCACTCTAGAGTAGGAAACAGTTTGCGCCCTTCCAGCTAAGCTTCGTAATCAATTTCTGGTACAGGAAAGCTTCCCTATGTGACAGTCGTTTGTGAAGAGGATTACTGTTCAAAGGCGCTGCGACGACCCGATACTCATCTCCTCGGTTAACATTGTCTCTGTATTTTGTCATCAAAGACGCACATAAGATTGCGCTGGCGAATCAGGCCTCAGCGAGATCCTTCCGAGATTCTTCCGCCCGTGTTTACTAAGCGTCGGCAGTGTCAGACGGTATTATCTCCGAGGGCACGTGTCTTTGCATGTGAGCCATTTGCTTCAAAACTAAGTGCGTCTGCATCATGCAGTCATTATTTGGACCGAAGTTTGCTCTTGGCTTTGGTCTCACTTTTCCTAACAATCGGGCTTTATCTTTTATACAAGTGTTACCAATTGCGTATGGTTGCTCAAGCGATGAAGGACACATGCAAAGAGGAGCTAGCTGTGAACGTTCGCACAATCACGAAGCTCAACGACAGTTAGGCCATCATCGCGTTGCACATGCAAATACTGGAAGAGTAATCATACTACCGGTACCTACTGCAGGGAAAACCCAAGGTTGTTACAAGAGATAGCTGTGCTTGTGTGATGACACAATAACAATTGTCATATCGATTGGGAGGGTATGAACGCCGAAAACGCCAGTCTATTCCAGCCCGAGCTGATCTCAAAATGAGCATACAGGCTAGGATACCCCGTAGTAGATGCAACCTGTAGTAATCACTTAGGAATAACTAACGCATACCGGCTGTACATGCCAAATTAGTGGTTGCGATTTTGCCTCGAATACTAGAACAGCGAAGAGTTAGATCACAGTGGCTTTGGCTCGCAGTCGGGACCGGGTTTGGTTCAAGTCGGCGGAAAATGCCACGGAGGGAGGTTCGGAGCTATCCGAACGGCCAGACTTGCTCCCATATGCATGTGTATTAGTGGTATTGTAGCTCTCTCTTGCATCAAGCAGTGAAGGATACGCTGTGTCTTCGCGCTGTATTAGCGTACCGGCATAGGTCTATATTGTTGCCAATCTGTAAGAACAGCTTTGTGCAATTTGATTGAAATACATCGCACACTTAGGTAGACTGCCAGGTGCTCCTGCCTTTGTTAACAGTATCCGAGCCATGCAGGGTCTCTCCCAAGGCCGTGCCTGACAGAGACTTTACTCAAGCAAGTGTCACGAAGTAAAATTTCCTCGAACATTGGGATCGATGAACTTGTAAGGGCTCAGACGCAGATTGAATTGGTCGTTACACGTAGAATTACCGATATCACGTGTCAGACCCTGTTCCTTGACAACGCGTCTGAGCGCGACGACTATCGATAAACATTTCATCATCAACAACGCTGTCCACCCCTCCATGAAACCAGAAAAGCTCCTGCTATGGCCACCGCCCCGGATTATAAGAACATCCCACATTCGCATCGGCTGCCCGTGAACCACCGCGAAGTTCAGCGTACCTTCACCAAGCTCTCCCGCCAATCCCTCGTATCGCTCGCGCTACAATGGCTCAGCAAAAAGAACCGCGACTTTTGCAGGCCGTATCTCCTGAATGACCGCACAGAGGAGGATGATGAAGAGATCTACGAGCCTGCACAAAGCTACGAGGTACTCCAGGAAATATACAAGCAGTTGGCTGCTCGCAAAGGGGGCAGGAGAGAGGTGCTAGATCGCATCCTTGAGGGAGATTGGAGACACGGCATATCCATGTATCAGCTAGCCACAGCAGAGATACAGTATCTGCTCGACCACCCAAATGCCCTCCGTTGGACAGCGAAGCGTCTCACCAAAATCCCAAATGCTCGATCAGCAGCGACCGACATGGAGGTTACGAACGACTCCGACCATCTCCCACGATTCCAAGCACAAACCTTCATGTCCAACCTTGCGCGAGAGCTTACTCCCCTCATGAAGGCACATTACCTTATAATACGGATAAAGACATCGCCAATGACAATACTACGGGTCTACATACACGATTCGCCGTACAGTAACGAGGCATCGCTAGCGATCGAGACGAATAGCACAGATAGCGCGAAAGCGGTGTTCTTTATATGGCCCAACGGTTCGCCATTTGTATACTCGTCCCTGGCAACTCTGACAGGACAGGTTGTAGGAGACGACGGGAGACACCTGCGAGACATTGTACAACAGGCGATACCAAAGGCCTTCTCCAGACCGTCTGCTCGGTATCAATTGACCAATACAAACTTCACTACCAAGTCATTGGACGCCCTTCTGACATATCGCGGCCCCGGCAAGAGCAATGCTGCAGCAGGAGGCTGGAGCATCTTCCAGGACCATAGCTTTAGCCAAAATGCGCTGGACTTCATCACAACACAAAAAGGGGATGGGCAGGAAAAGGCTGCCGGGGATAAGAGCAATGTCAATGGTGCAACAAAGGCTGGACCAGGGAGGCCCAAACGACCACTAGACGGAAAGGAGACTTCAGAGGCCAAACGACGGAAAGAGATTGCCGCTGGTCGCTTCGGTACATCAGCACAACCAGAAGATGGCCAGGGACTTGAACGGTTTGAAGTTCGCATTGATGACTCGTTTCCAATGACATCAGATGGCAACAGTATTACGCAAGTAGAAGGCGAAACATCCAACCTCGATGCTCAAGCGACGAGCCGAACACGGAGAGGACGCCCATCGCTGCTTGATAGAACAGTAGAGGATCTTGAAGAGGTTGAGAACGAAGAGGGCTGGGCACCAAACGTGCGCATCACGTTCCAGGGAACACATGTGTTTGCCGGCGTCAGGCAATTGGTTGAAGAGGGCATCATAGACGGTGAGAAGATGCCGGGTTGGCTGACTGGCGAAGCAGGTGTCACGATAGGTTCTGTCAAGAACGGACGGATACGGAGCAAAGAAGGTGTCCCAGGTGTTTGATGGGCTCTTAATCATTAGATGCGCGGCGTTGGTAGTGTTCCTGCTGTTGATATACCCATTATGACGGGGCGTACGGCGTTTTCCTTTCTTGCACGAGACGCGAATTACATATAAAAGTTTCATGTCGCTGTTACGACTCTCCCCAAATATGCTCGCCATGTGCAAGTATTGTTTCACCTCCTTTACCTACGCCCTTTTCTTCCCCATTTTGGTCTCCTGAGCAAAAGTCTAAATTCTTATGGTCCAAAGTCACTATTTTTGTCCCTCGATAATGTGTTATCATATACCTCGTCCCCCGTCGTGCGCACAATGACGCGTCCTGGTCCCAGCTCCTAGCGAAAAAGAGTAATTACCTTTGAGATTGTGAGACTATCTCGTCGTTTGCCTAACTTCAAGTACATATCAGTGATGGAAAAGATAAAGGGCCAAGCCTAGGCCTTTGCGGATGTTGGCATCCGTCCACATAACTCATAGTGTCCACCTCTATTGCCGTAGGTACCGTTCAATGCAGCCTCGTGTGGCTCGTACATCCGACTGCGACTCACGTGCCTCAATCCCAAGCCACGGAGAAGCGCCGAGACGCAAATTTGGCGGACCACGAGCCACAGCTAGACGTCTTAATGGCTAGCCGGAAAGTGTCGGGGTCACGAGGGCCACCCGGTTTAGCCGTTTGATAAGGAAGCAACTATGTCACAGCTGCAGCTTCGGGCTCTTGTGCATTCGCGGCCTTTGATTTCGGGTCGGCGCCCGAGCGGAAGAGGCGCGGATTGGATGTGGCTTGTTGTGGCTTGTTGTGGCTGGTGCACGGCCTCTGTCCAGCGTGCCGATATCCGCTAAGGCTGACTACAACTTTGCAGGGCCAACGTCATGTGTTCACGACGCTTGCAGACGAACAGCGAGTAAGCTGGACGCAATGCAAGTGTGCTGCGGGATAAAGCGGAGTAGCCGTCTACGATGCGGCTCATGGTTGGGTCAAGCCACTGGTTCGACAATGGGGTCCGAAAGGGCACATATATGGAGCCCTTTTCGTACAGCTGCGACCCACCCCAGCAGGCTTGGAAAACGGGAATAAAGTGTTCAATTGCGTGGACAATGGTATACAGAGACTTGGCAGTGTAGTACTGGAAAACATATATACTTGACTGAAATCCCCCCCTGGTTTGCACTGCCACCATCGATGCCACTACTACATTGCATTAGTCCTATATCAGCTTTCTGTACACCACCAGAGCGATACAACACGCTTCAGAAATACGACCCACATCAGCAACATTCAACCATCAGCCAAGACCCCAACGTCATCGCTTTCAGCACAGAGTCACCCACCACACTGCCGATGACTGACTACAACAAACACGCCATCAACGCCCAAGACTTGACTTCAAGACTGCGTTCCCTCCAACAAACCACCTTCAACGCCAATACCACTGCCAACAACACCAACAACATCAATGGAGAAACCTCCCCCTACCCAACCATGTCCCAGCGACGTGCCCGACCCTCCATCGACAGCACAAGCATGCCACGCATCACTAAATCCGCCACAACATCCACCACATGCACCGCGTCGACAAACTCCTCGCGCTACACCACCACCAGCAACTTGCGCGCCTCACCAAGCGCCAGAACACACCCGGAAAGCGTGGGCGTCGCCCCGGGCGATTTCAGTAAGCCGCGCGTTCACAGGCGCAGTCGCAGGGTCAGCAGCGAGCCGCCGGATGTCATCCCGTTCAAGTACTATGGGAGGCACTCGAACCAATGGCTTTTCAACGATTTCAGCGTCACGGATGCCGTGTCCAAGGGGTGGAGGAAGGTGTTTGGGAGGGATGAAGGGGGTCGGGATTGGTATGAGGATAGGGGGAGGTAGATTAGTTTGGTTAAACGTTCGTTTGGGGAAGACGGAGAGGGAAAGTGGTAGATTTAGAGAATACATTCGTTTGCACCACCATCATCATAAACATGAAGTTTTGTTTTGTTTTGCAATTATTCCCTGAAACACTCACTCAATTCGGAGACATATTGTTACAGGAATCGCGGTATAGCCGGGGGAATCTTGAGTCATTTCTTAAGAAAGGGCAAGGATATAGCATGAATAAGTGCAATTAAAGGGCTATACAAGAAACACCGAACTACGGCAGTGACAGGGAGTTAAGAAATGTGTAGTGTTGTTTTTGTTTTGTTCAAAGATAATCATTAAGGTCTAGGTATGTGTACGTAGGTAAATGTGGTGTTCGTGCTCGTAGCACCTGATGCCAACGCTAATCTATGTTGTGCCATGCTATGCTGAATGCCAAAAACCAACGCCGCGCTCGCTTGAACCGGTGAGAATGCAAAACCTGTTTTGTCTTGCTTGTACGCCCAAAAAAAAACAGAACCAGATGATGATAGACTAGACCTTGTTGATGAAAATGTCAACGTCCACGTCTCTTGGTATAACACAAGGGAGATAGGCACCTAGCCGCGCTTCCAGAACTGATACTTCTTCGGAGCCTTCTCATTTGTCTCTGCCGCGACAGGTCTGCTATCCCTGACGCCACCTGTCTCTGCGACGCCATCCATGTGGTAGGCCTTTTCGCTTCCTCGCTTCTTGCCCTTCCTGACGTCTCTCCTGGACGCACAGCAACAGCAGAGACCCATCTGTACCAGCCAAGCGAAAATGGCAAAGGCACTTGCAACCCACATGAACGCAAACAATGTCGTTCCAATGTCCGCCCGGAGATTAATCTCTGACACACCACCAATAGTGTTGCGAAAGATGATAAACATAACGGTAGCGATAACGGAAGCGACAGTGACAAAGAGGGCGTTGACAAAGGCGAGGATAGCGACGATGAGAGTGAGCCATCGCGAGTAGATCGAGATTGGCATGACGAAGATTAGGACGAAGGAGAGGACGGTAGCAGAGAGGAAGAGACCGAACATCCAATTGGAGACAAAGTGGATGAGGTTGAGGATGTCGTTGATGTCGGCAGGGAGGTTGACTAGAGATGTTGTTAGCGACACGTTCTCTGGATCATGCAAGGCGCAACAACTTACTGGATGCTCCGGCGAGAAGCTCATTACGCAAAATCTCTACGGGGTTGAACCAGTACAATGTCTGAGGCTTGCTGCAAAACGTCACGCCCTGGCCTTTGTAGCCTTCACAGAAGCCCCAAAGGCCGACTTGGTAGAAATCATGGAGACCCAGCGTCTGGGCAATGGTGTTGATGAGAGCGAAGTTCGGAACACTAGCTGGCACTATGTTGCTCAAGTCGAGGCGGATGAAGTACCAGTTCCTGATGACAGGCTTGTTGCGTACACCGGATATGTTGACTAGGATGAGGAAGATGAAGGTGATGAAGAGGAAGAACGAGGTTGCGAGAGACCAATTTTTGCGCCTATGAGTTGCGACTTTGATTTGTTCTTTGCTGAGTTCGGGGGCGACGACAGGGGGTGAAGACGCCGACACAGCAGTGTCGTCCGACTTCCTGCGGCGATTGAAAAGATTCATGGCAGGCTGTGCAACACCAGGCGTTGAGCAGCAAAAGTGAGAGAAATGAGCAGCAATGGGATCTCCGACAAGAGAGAGAGATATCTGAAACAAAGTCGCAAAGAGCCAGCAGGAATTAATTGCCTTGTTTGCCTGGAACCACGGGGCAACGCAATCTCATACGCACATGCAGCGGTAGCAGTCGTAAGTTTTATGGATCCATCGCACCAACGCTCTTCGTCGTTGGTGTCAAGCTATGACGTATAGACCCCTAGGCAAAACTTGCAGACAGGCGCGCCGACCATGGCGCATGCCTTTGGGTTTGACGACGCCACGCACCGGCACTAAGCCACTGGCTTAATGACGATTAGCAAATCATCGCCATGGATGGATGGGCGGCTGAAGCACCGGCGTGCGTGCACGTTTTGGCACTCGCATGGTCTGGCCGGACGCGTGTTCGCAAGGCTGGTCATGACGTCGCCATGGAGACGGTGTGCAACAGACAGCTGGGGGTGGAGCTGCTTCTCGATGGCTGGGGGCTGGAGGATTTGCATGATAATGGGGCCATTCTGTACAAGTCTGGGAGGGAGCCGAGTTCGGTGGCTGAGGTTGAGTGACGGGCGGCGGGCGCGGAACAAAGCGAAATTCCGCTAGCCGTCGGATCTGCGCTGCTCCAAATAGATTCTATTGCCTGATCAAAAGGGCGTAGTCAGCATAGCCCGCGACAGCGTAGCACAGTGAACACAAATGTTTATGATGATGTTGTTTTAGTACCTCTTCTTTCTACTGCTCTATATGCTTCATCCAAATGTCTCACACCCAAACAGAAGCCTTCCATCGCGCTTCACTTCTATCACCAAGCCTCCTCGTTCTAAGCTATCATCTCCCTCTCACTTCCTCTCTCTTTAACTCACACCTGCAACGAAGAATATATATTAGACATTGGTAACTCCAGTGCCTCGCTAAACTGCCCTAGAAAAAAGTGATTTGCTCGTGGAGTTACAACTGTGATGTAGAAAGGAAAAAAAAACAAGCATGCACATACGTTGTGGCTGCAAGTGGCGTGGCGGGCAGCCAAAGCGCGCTGTGGTTGAACCACAATACCAAGGAAATCGTCATGTCCGCCAAAAGTAGCGTTGTATGCAAAAGAAGTTGACATGATATGAGCTTTTGAGATTGACCAAGGCAGTAGAGAACAACCTCTGCCAGCAGGCCGGTGGGTATATCGGTCATGATTGATATGTGCTGAAGCAGTCGCAAAGGTTTTAGTTTAGGCGTTCATTACCAAGTTCATCCTAGGTTTTAATTGGAGAGCAAAGTCATCCTTTGTACCAAGAACGTCCCGCGGTATCCGGCTGACGCGGTTGGCTCCACTACGGACAGCAAATCGACCAGCGGCCGAGATGCCAGAGTGATTAGAGCGGATAGATCCAGCATCGGAAGCACCCGACCCAGCCGGATCCCGGATACGACCAGGTGGCGCAAAGTCCAGTGCGGTGAATGTACCAGATTTACGCATGAGGTAAGGGCTCGGGAGCGCTGGTAGTTCGTCGTATGAGCCGACTAGAGGAGTATGGGGGCGCACAGCTGGGCTGTAGGGCCTGGGGTTGCCCAATGGGCTGTCTGGGCGTGCGCCATTTTGCCTCTCGCGGTAGGAAACAGGTGGGGCAAAGTCGGCGGCGTCGAAGATCATGGACTGCTCATTGAGCTTGGCTGGTGTTGGTAGCGATGACAGAGCGGAAGGCGGGGGCAGAGGCTTCTTCATGGGGGGAGGCAAGCGTCCGCTCATCGAGGACATGCCGCGAGGAGGTGGGTATTGTGATGAAGCCACGGAGCTGTTGGACATGTGAGCGCCACGACCAGTGGCAGTGTTGCTTCGGAACCGGGGAGGAGCTCGCGGCGGGGGTGTCATAGCACGACGAGTAATGGGTTCGGCAAAGGGAGCATTGGGCTGAGCGACAACGAAGTTACCAGTGCGAGGGTCGAAGACGGTGCCGTCCTGGTACTCTGAGCCATAGTCCTCAACGTAGTCGTTGTAGATGTGACCACCGGCAGGCTCGGGCTTGGAATCATCAAAGTACTCCTTGTAGAAAGATCGAATACGGTTAGCGCGCTCTTCTGGGTTCTCCTGAGGGTCATCAGACGGAGGCATGGGGCGTAAGCTCATTGATAGACGGTTGGTGTTGTGGCCGAAGTCATCCACTCCAAGACCGACATTCTGAGGACCAGTAGAGTAGCGGGGCTTGGGGGCAACGATCTTGGGCTGGTCACGAGTAGGGGAAGGCGGTGTGATCTGGAAGCCCTCACCGTAGCTAGACGTGCTGATGATACTGTGCGTGTTTGTGTTTTCGAGAACGACGGCCTGAGACTTGATTCGGGGCAATGAGGGGATTTCGTTCGAGGTCTGTACAGGCGACTTGCTGACTTGCTTCTCCGTGACACCAGGCTCAGGAATCGAGATGGTAGGAACAGAGTTGGGTTTGATGGACGGGGAAGGCGATGCGGCGGGCGGCGAGATAGGAGACTGGTTCTCAAAGCGGGGGTTGAGGGGGCTCAGAGGAATGCCTGGGTCAGGGAACTTGGTGTCGGGAGAAGAGGTGCTGACGGGGGATAGCGAATCGCCACGGACGGGGTTGGACGTTGACATTCTCTGCGCGTTCTGAAGCAGACCAGCTTGCAGACCCTCCTTCCTTGTTCCACTGCTCGAAGTTGTGTACACGGAACCAGTTTCATTGCGGTACGGGCCGCCACGGACGCTTGAGCCGCGAGTGCTCTGGTCATCCTTCAAGAAAGCGACGGGACCATAGGGGTCGTGGGGGTCATGTTGCGAGCGCGATAGCGAGTGGAAAGATTCACGAGATCCATGCAGACCGACGGGGAGAATGTAGGGGCTTCCAGCCTCAATGGACAGTCCCCGATCGTGACCTCCACCGGCGTCTTTTTCGGACAGGCTCATTTCCGGGCGTTTCTTCTTGTTCGTCTTGGCGACACCCTCCATACCCCAATCGTTGGACTTGTACTGATCTTTTGAGTCTTCCTCAGCCAGCTTTCTCTTGTTACGGCGGTGGAGGAAGCACAGGACGATAGATACACCGACGATAGGTACGCTATGCTTGATTAGCGGGTTCGCCTTCAAGGAGGCGAGTTACGTACATGACGGCCAGAGCAATTGCCATTGTGGGCACCTGGGTAGGCTTTGTGCAGCCAGGGTCGCTGTCGTTTGTGCATGATGATTCGGCGCGAGCTACGAGGACGCGCGTGGCCCTCTCAAAAACGTGCATTGTCTTGCTTCCGGTGATGGGAGAGCCAAGTTGGTTGTCGTGTCGCAGCTGGTGGCGCATGTGGTGAAGGTGATGCGAGTGCGGCATGGCTCCAAAACCGATGTCTCGGATAGATAATTATGTTTCCAAACGGAAGCTTGTCCCAGATAGAGTAGACGTGACAGCGTGCGAGCACAGCTGCGGGGGAGGCTCCAGGCAGATATTAACAGCGTAAGGTCGTAATTCAGGCGTGTCTGCGAATTGACGAGCGATACATGCAACAGTCGGAATGGTGCGGGAAAGGAGTGTGGGTTATTTTAAGCAACACAAAACAAACGATATCCGACCCAAAAAGAATGACTGGGGTAAGATAGCAGCGAGGGACGGAAGTCGTTGGTGAGGGCGACGGGTTGCTAAAAGAGCGGCAGCTGGCCCACGAAGAGGTGAGTAACAGTTGAGGGAAAGAAGACAGACGGGCGCGAAAGGTAGATGAGGCGGCGCACAGGAGCTCCATCTCCGTCTATATCTGACAGGCCTTCCCATTGGGTGGTGGCTCGAGCCTTGCACGGATCACGCCTGTCGCGCCGAGTAGAGTGAAGGGCTCCCAGCTCCCGGGCTTGTGAAGGCAGGCGCAGCCACGGCGTTTGATCTTCCTAGGTAGTTTTGGCCCGCTAATTGCATTCCGTGGGCCACATGAAGCCGCCCAGGCGGTATACGACAGCCATGTCTGCTCAAGTGTACAGAGTCACGCAATCGATAGAGCTGCAGGCGTTCGTATTCTGCCCAGGGTACATGTTCCGCCCGGTACACGAGAGCTCAGGAGGTAGCGTTTTTCTGACCTGCAGAGGGCCAATCGAACCTAATGGAAAAAGCACTAGCCTAAATTGAGCCTCACTAATGCAGGAACCCATTCGCGAATCCCCTTGATTCGTCACGTCGCCAGATTGCCGACAAGGGGTGCTGTTTGTCCGTTCCAGACCACCCGACATGGTCAGACGCGCCCACGACCCCTGAACCACACAAGAGCGTATTCATTGGACCTCGACGCCTGGACAGTGTGTTGGCCCCAGGCTCCATCTTGATCTCACACCAACTCTGCATGCGCAGCTCCATCACCCAATTCTCCTCACAATAGTATCCTCTGTACTCGGGCCAAGCCTTGTAGAAATGCATTCCTCCCCCTTTCGGTAGTAGTGGACCTCCTGTCGGTCCAGAACATGCCGCTCCGGTGTCTTCATTTCCCGCGCCCATAGCGGCCGGGCGTACAGATTGTGCACGACTCGGCGGAGCCGTGCTCTCCATGTGGACCATCCCCGAGCCCGCTTCCGCTTGTCAACCGCCATGTATGTATTGATCTTGTGCTGTTCATCAAGTCCTTTGTTTTCCTCTCCTATTCAAACATGAACCGTCCTTTCTCATAGCTCCCGCTAGCATGTCTAAGCCTCCCCGGTGGAGACGTAGCTCGCGCCGTCCCCGTCTTTTTCAACCGTTGATTCTTATGCGAGCACGCAAAGGAGCCGCCCAAATCTCGTTGACCGCCACCTGGGATCGCCGTGCAGGATCCCTTCATCAGCCATAAAATTACTTGTTTGTAGCAACCCGACTCAAAGTCGATTTACTCCGCTCCAAGACACGATACTTTACTTTTCGCAAACTGTGCCTGGGCCCTGCTATACAATTATGCCTTTGACATGTCATGTAGTGCCATCGTACAGGCCATCGGGTGCAACCTTGACTCGTCCGCGCTTGTCCTTGTTACCGATAATGACAATGACGTGTGGATGCATATGTTATCTCTCCTCTCAAATGTCCGCACACACCGTTTATCCGCCATCAATGCAGCCAACCCCTTCTCAGATTTACTCCTAACCATGTCCACTGTGTTGAATAAATTGCATCTCCACGTTGTGCTGGGGAATCTGAACTTTCCAAAAACATCGCATGCCGGCCGATTCTGAGACATGACAAGTCCCTGTGCCCAGCTCTCGGCATGTCATCTGGCCTTCTCGACACCTTCCGCTCGATAATGGTCCCTTGGGCATGGCAGAACTTCGGCACCTAGGTATCATAAGATACTTGACATACAGGTGTACAATAGCCACTGTAGTCACCAAATATGCCTATCAGGTGCGGTATGAAAATACTTCATCTCAACGCACGGGACGTTGCCGGAGATCAGTTGTACGAACCTCGATCCCAACGTTGGTCGTTTTGCCTACTGTCTACTACAATACCTGAATTTCGTTGACAATGTTGAGGATCGGGTTCTGGAGAACTGATTAGTTCTTCGGGTGGCTATGTTGTTGCCTTTTAAAGAGTTGATGTCGTAGTCTAGTTTCGGCGTCTCTGGGATTACGCAAGTCCGGAATGCGTTGCATGCAGATGCGGGTCGATACGTCCAAGTGTGGCATGTTCTTGTTAGACGGTACGAAGGGCGGGAAGGACATGGTGAGCATGCTGCTGGGCCTCCCCGAAAAGCCGCCCAACAGTTTCATTGGCGTATTGTTTCCATGGACGCTGGGTCCATGTTTGGAGGCGAGAAATTCTCTCCGTAGCCAAAACATGGTTGGCCTCGCTCATTACCTATATAAACAAAGAGTATGCGGGCCAAATGTTGGAAACAGTCGCACGGTACCAAGGGGAATAGACTTGGAGTACGGTCGTCGACGTCAGGACGTAGGCTGGAAACCGGGCTAGGGAACGTGTTACATGCCGGGAGCGAAAAAGCACATGTCTTCGGAATCTTTCAGGGTGAACTAAGAAGCGTAGTGCGCTAGACGTCGCGTCCTTGATGCTGGACATGCAGCTTCTGCTGCAACTAAACTTCGTCGTGTGATGAACTTTGTGCTGTTGGCATCCATGTCCGGCTGAAAGCGGGATGTGTAGTTAGCTGTAAATCTGGTACAACTCTCAGCAAAGTGTCCATTTCCTCCCCAGGGATTGGTCTCAGTGGCCGTAACATGCTGTAACTGTCAATTGTTTATACCCACCGGTATTCACGCAAACGGATTTCGACTGTCGCAGCATTGTAGCTACATACGTGACTGGCAGCAACTTGAAGTTTGCTCACCATGTCCTGCATGGCCAGTCACTCGAGTGTGTGTGTTAATGACGCACCTGGGTGACATAAAATACTTGACAGTGCGAGTAAGCAGTGTCTGGCGCATACAGTGACCTCTATAGACTAGTATGTGAAGTATTTCATGTCACCCGGGAGGACGGTGGACGGTGTAGTCATAGTCGCACGCGGAGCGCACCACCCATAAATATGCAGCGTGACCTGGAGCAGAATGCGCTACATGGGTAGCATCGTGAAGAAGCCGATGGAAGGCGTCACGAGCGATCGTGGGGTACAAACGTGGCTACGGCAGTGTGGGTGGAGGCAAGTAGAAGCGACCGATTGGCAGGGATGGTGACGCACTGACCAGCACCCTCTCATCCTCAAGACAAATCATCACCGGCCAGCGAAGACGTACATGTATATGCACACCACTTCCTCCTGCTACCAATTCGCTACGGGTCCCCTCTTTCCCTCTAATTGTTCACTGACACGACTGAAAACCCATTCTCTCATCAATTGACTCTGAACTACGTTGAGGTGGCTTCTTTGAACGTTTGCAACTCGCGATCCCTTCCCTTTGGTCCCTGCGTAGAACGGCCCCCGCCCCCAGCCTTTTAAGGGTCCGATCTTCCTGCTCTTCGCATCACACAAAACCGACAACATGGCGCATTTCAACACCATGGCCAGCCCTCAAACCATCTCGTCACGCACTGCGACATCACCGTCTGGTAGTAGAACTATGCAAAGTCGCCCTCAGCCCGTCCTCCGTTTGTCGGCTCCATCGGGCGTGCTGCGCCTACGAGCAGAACCGTCAGAGAGGCGACACATCCAGTGGGCTGAGGATGTAATCGACAACGAAGGCATGGGCAAAAAGTCATCAAAAGGTACTGCGTCTCTGCCACGACATCATGTTGCGTGACGTGCTAACAAAGCACAGTCTGCTGCATCTACCACAAACCCCGCGCTGCCGACGAATCTTCCGACGACGACTCTTCAGATTCTTCATCTGACTCCGACTCTGACTCTGAGCCCGACAACAGCACCGCCCGACCTGCGGGGAGGATCGGCGGCGCACGAGGACGACGACCACACCAACGCGACCATGATGATTGCGGAGACGTTCACGATCACGGTGAGGGACCGAGCCAGCCGCAGAAGCACCGGAGGCAGCGGAGGAAGCCTAGCCCGAATGCGTACGAGAAGATGCCGAAGCAGAAGAAGTAGCGTCACAGCGCCCCTTTGACGTATCCACGATGTCTTTGTGGAAATTGGGCCTGTATGACCGAATATGACTATTTGTTTGTTTGTGTTTTTTTAACCGCACGGAGTTTGGGGTTCTTGGGACCGCGTTACTGCGTTACTGCATAGCGACAGGAAAGGACATGGAAAGTCCGTAAAGCTTTCGTTTTCGATGCCACCACGTAGACGCATCACGGCGTTTGAGATCAATAGTTTATTGAATTCTGCATTACGTAGGAATAGACCCAGGCATGCAAGATTTTGCATTGCATCTCGATTGACCTCTCTCATACCACTTCCTTCACGTGTTGTCATGTTCAAACCCCTCTCTTTGCGCTTTTAACAAAAGGCTTTTTCACTCGTTCACTCGCTCGCAGGTCGCATGCAGGCTGCGCCATTGAGTGAATTGCTTTTGATGTTGGGCTCCAGTGCAGACATACGTCTGCCGACAGCCCCCATTCGTCATATCTCGCGAATCGGAGCTGAGCAGACGCGCACTCTCTGCACCTCTCCTGGTCCACATTGAACCCCTTGCATCAAGGCTTTTCGCGCAAAGAGCACGTGGGCACAGATATGCTTAACACGTACATGCTCTCAATCTTCTGCCGTAGCTGCGTTGGCCTGCTCCATGACTGCAGGCGCATGTTGTGTGGGGATGCGGACAAGTGTCTGTGGTAATGGTGGTCCATCTTCCGATCTCTTTTCTGCATCCTCCTCATCCTTGGGTTTGGGTAGTTTTGCTGCAGCGCGTGAGCAATTTTGACTTTGTCATATGCAGGCATGACTTACTGGATGCCATGTTGATAGCCCTGAGCACATTGTGCCAGTTAGACAACACTGCTGCAACCGCTGGATCACGGGTTAGTCTGAATAAATCCCTCACATACGATGACGATAGAGGATCGAGATACCTTCCGTGCCGTCCGATAGAGTCATCAGCTTGTCAGCAAGCATTTGCATTTGATCTGCAAGTCCCCCGCTCAGGGCTTGGAGGTCTTTGAGACTGGCTAACTCGGCCTTCTTTTCTTCAATGCGGGCGAGCAAGATTGGGGATTGTTGCTGAGCGCCGCCCAATGACTGGTTGCGGAGATGTGTGGGAAGCGGGCGTCCATAATTCGACATTGTTCTCTGAATATACGTCCAGCTCTTTCTCTCTCAGGTATAGTTGGCGGAACCGATGGTGCGGAGTAATACTGATGTTTTGGCGTGTGAGGGGTTGCGTTCGTCGGACCACTTCTGCTTTGAAGGGGCGTGAGATGCGAGTCTAGCTGAGAAGTATGCTCTACCGTACTCTATACCAATTCAAGAACTAGTCATGTAAATTGGACTTTTGGTCGCGGCTCCGATGGGGAGCGCGTCGCTGCCCCTTCAGTCACGTGGACGCGTCGATGGTCTAGCCATGTTTGTACTAGCTTGCGCCGAGAGCTATCGTGTTTGTTTACACATGCGCACAGCAACGGCCTCCGAGCGTTACGACATCGGACAGCAAGAACGAACGACGCAACACCATCAATCTCCACAACCCCAACCTCGCACGAATTTATAGCTATATCCGACATACCTATCTGCGCATATGGCGCGACTCAATGAACCGCCGATTGCACCTCAGCCATCGGCGGAAACGATCGAAGCTGTGAAGCGACGGTTTCTGAGGCAGAATCGCGAACTCGCCAAGACCAACTCAACACAATCCATACGCATACGCAGCCTCGAAAATGACTGCTCGCGACTTCTTGCCGAGAATCTAGCGCTGCGCGAACAAGTGTTAAGCCTGCACAACAAAATTGAATCGCGTCCGGGACTCGACCATATTGATGCAGTCAGGACGCAGCTTGAAGCTAAATTGCAGGAGCTTGGAGGCCTAGTGGCGGGCCTAGCGCAGATGAAGAATGGCAGCCAGCAAGACAAAGGACGGAGGAAGAGCCAGATGACAGCACAGAGGAAGAGCGGAGAGGAGAGGCAATGGAGGAGTGGGCTGGGACTGCAAGAGGTAGAAAACGCAATGCTGCCTACCATTACAGAAGACAAATTTTATCCTCGAAGGACCATGGGGTACGTCAGGACCGATATCAAAATCACGACATGCCACTCGAATGTAACATGCTAACGTGTTGTAGTGCGGACGAGCTTGACCAAGTTCTAGAAGGACCAGAAGGTCATTCCCCAGACATTGGACCACCACCTGTATCCCGATTCGAGAGCGAAGACCCCATCGGTTTCGACCCTAGCCCTGCCGCACAAGAGCCACAAGAGGAGACAGGTGAAGATGGCGAGCCATCGCTATCGGTCAATCTTGAGACGCGTAAGAAGCGACGAGAGAGTGGACCGAAGCTGAGCATACGTCGCGTTTCTCTCTTTGAACCACCAGAAGAAACTGAAGAGGCTGTCGCAAAGCCCATACGCACTGGTGCTAAGCGCAAGTTCAGTGTTCAGGAGGATGAGGACGTGAATCAGTCGAAATCGGACGCGTTTCGATTCAGTCGTCGTAATGCTCCGAGCGCTTCAGAGACTCAGGCATCGAACGAGGAGTCCAGGCCTACCTCGCCACATCGGCCTGTCCTTTCATCCAGTAAGTTGAACGTAATCGTATAGAGGACCAACACTAATTTCAATAGAACCTGTCAATACCGACCCAGTCTTGTCGCCCAAGAAACAACGCTCTTCACTCCAAGCAAAGCCCGAGAAGCCTGAAAAGCCAGCACCCAAGTCCCGCAGCCGCCCTCGGTTGAACATTACTCGTAACGCTGCTCCTGAGCTTGCGCCACCACCAATGCCCGAGCCCATCCCTACTGCCGACATCGTCCTTGATTCTCTACCACCCAAGACGCCCGCTGTGGAAGCTGTCTTCTCGCCGCCTTCAACCGAGCCCTCAACACAGCGACCAGATAACAAAGACACACCACCGCCTGGCGACCTTACTTCATCCGACCAGACTGGACAAGCAGGCAGACCTGGGCGACGGGCCCGCCCCCAGGTCAGCTACAAGGAGCCTAGTTTGAACGTGAAGATGCGTCGCCCTGATGCAAAGTTGGTCGACGCGGTGATTGATCGCAGGACGAGTGTGGACACTCAGAACCCGCCCTCAACTGCAGTAAAGCGTGATCCTAATGGCGAGATCGCGTGGAAGCCCGTTTCGGCAGTATCTGGACGAGGAGGCGAGGAAGAGGTCGAAGTAGGGAGCCCGTTGAGACAGAAGCTTGACCGAAGAGATCAAGATTCCAAAACTTCGCCTCCATCAGATGAGACGGAGGAACGCTCGACGACGTCAAGGTCAATTTCTGCACTCGTTACAGAGACAGGTACCGCTAAGAGGAGGGTGACTACATCCACAAAACCAACACTTGAGTTGGGAGCAACATCACAAGATCTCCCCCTTTTATCAAAGGACAGCATCGTTGTCCAACAAGAAGCGCCCAAGGATAACCTCGCCATTTTCGATTTTACAGACTCGCCCGTTGATACCGCTACCAATCCGCGCAACCGCGCCCTGGAAGCTGCTAAAGCTGCGCGAACTGCGCGTCGCCACTCCGCAATGTCCATTCCGAACGCTTCGTCTTCTGTATCAGAAGAGCGCAAAGTAGAAAGGGAAAAGGCGGAAGGTGCGCTTCCTTCTTTGCACAAGCGCACTGGGAGTGGTAACGTGAAGAGTACTAGTACTACGAGTTTTGGCAAGAGTACCAGTGCTAATGGCACTACTAGGAGTACGTCGAGTGCTCGGACAGCAAGCGTAAAAGATCGGAGACACCCAAGTGGGGAGGAGTTGCCCGCCAGTGCTAGCACCGATCTGAGGGCCAAGGTCGACGGTGCTGAAGAGACGAAGGCGCGGGAGAGGGAGACGATCGCGATGCGGGCCGAACGCGCGGCCAGCAGAAGGAAGAGCATGCTGCTCTGATGACGAGACGAGAAGATTAAAATGTACATGTGGAACGGCTACTTTCTGGATTCGGCGTTCATATGGGTTTCGACATAGCGACGGCGTTTTTTTTTCACGTACATGATACCTAGACCCCTCCCTTGTTCTTGGGATAATGGTCTCTCGTTCTTGCAGCGTTTATATCACTTGGTCACTCAGGATAACAGACGGTTCTTGGTTTCATTACTAGTACATGAAATGGGGTATCTCAGTCCAAATGAATTTCATATATGCCTGAACTCTTGCTCTTCCAAGCATTTGCTCACTTGGCCTTGCCTGGCGCACCCGCATCCATCTTCTCCAGCGCTTGCATATCGATGAGTCTTAGCTCCGTCCTCGCCCACAGTATCACCAGGCACACAAATCCCGGTAGGAAACCACCGCCCAACGCGAACCCCTCACTCCATTCCCGCGATAACCACACTTCGTACATGGCCAAAAGACCGCATACAGCACGGTTAACAGTGACGATATGGTCGCCAATCAAATCCGCCATGTCTTCTGAGATATACGGTACAGGCCGTCTCACAGACTTCTCCGTCGGCTGCTCCCAAGACGGCGTTTTCGTGTTCAACCCATAGCCACCGACTGGTTTCTTTCCCTTGTTCTTGCTCTGTTTGATCACAGAGGGTGTTACGTCCACGCCGTCTATGGGCTCCATTTGCGTAGGGGGCAGTGGCAGGAAGTAGAGCGTGTATGCTGTTGCTAGGAAGCTTGCGATGGCGATGAGGCTGGGTAAAATGGTGTTGAGAGAGAAGAGGCGGGGGGTGTAGAGCAGGGTGGGTACGAGGGGGAATGCGAGGAGGAAGAGCGTGTATTTGTGTGTTGTGGAGGTGTCGTTGCTGCTTAGGGTTTCGATGAGTGTGGCGCGGTCTGGAGGCGGGGTGGGTTTGTTAGCTGGTGTGTGTGTATATATGGGAGGGAAAGGAGAGGCGTGCCTTGTTCGTCCATTCCTGCTTCTACGGTATCTTCATCGTCGGATTCAGAGGGGTATTTGAATGTTTTGCGCAGGCGTTGCGCTGCTGCTGTTTCGGCTTCTTTGAGCTTCTCCATCTTTTTTTCTCTTCGGATTGTCGTCTTTCTGGAAGCTGGATCTGGCGTTCGCGTATGGAGACAGATGGCAGTTGAGATTCTTGGAGGTGGATATGCAAAGGTGGCTTTCTAGGCGGGCGCCAGGCACCAGTTCGTTGATGGTTCGCGGATCGGAGGAGCGGATGACGTTTGTGGGGGAACTTTGGAGCTGGGGGTGGACCCTGGAACTAGTTACGTTAGCGCGCTCTTCAAACATCCATAAATTCCGTAATACCTCTTTCATCCCATTGTTTTGTAAGCAAATCGTCAAGCCGGTGATTGCAACATTGCAACAATAAGTTATAAATTTCAGCTTCTTACTTTCTTACTCTTGTCAAGTTTTACCTAACTTCATATAACCATGTCGCAATGTGAACCTAGTCTGCTCCGCACTCTTGAAGACAGGTAGGTAGCTCATAAATCCACGGGTTTTTTTATTTACTAATGTATTAGAATGGCAACAAACCAGTGCAACTTCCCCCTACTCTGCCTACCTGCTGAACTGCGTATGTCCATATACGAGTTCACTTTCTCAGGGACTTGCTTTCACATATGCAGTCCTCACATGATCAAGTGGAACACTCGTCCCGTAGCGGGGCTGTTGTCCGCTTGTCGTCAGCTCCGCCAGGAGGCATCCCCCACTTTCTATAAGCTTAGTGTTCTGAGAGTCGAAGATGAAGACCTGGGCCGGGTAGCGAGAAGACCATCCCTCGCATACAACAAGACGCCCTGGAATTCGATTCAAACAATATAACTTGTTCGTCTCAGCGCCATGTACCGACTAATCAGCACATGGGAACGTACTACACAATCTCTTCGTAGGCTGCTTCCTAAGCTTCGTAGTGTCCAAATGCCATGGAAGGTACGCTTGCCGCCGAGTATTATGGATTCATGGCGAATAAGGTGGAGGATGCGGACCTCGAAGCCGAGACGGCTCTGTATAATGTTGAGATAAGTAGGTCTATTCACATAGATCTCTCTAACACAACCTGTGCTTGTACGTTTCTACGGAGAGTGGAGTTATCCAACTTCTAATAGGGGTTGATTTTGTTGTTGTTTTCTCCTGATAAGCGGAAGCTGTGCGTCACCTCTGAATAGTACCATAGTAATGATGCGCACGATGAGGACACTAGGGGGCCACTAGCTACACTTCTTTAACAAAATGCATTGCAATACACTGTTTCAGAATCTAATAGGATGTACTTGTATCTAAAGAAGACAATTGTATAGACTTACAATCTTGAACTCTCACTATGATAGACACCAGTCAGTGGTCAGTGAATCTAGTTGACTACGGTACGAGTTCCCCAAGTGCTTTCACTAAGACAAGGCACGTGAATACATGACAGAGACCAAGTGATTAGACTAACTGTTTTGGAGTTCCGCCACCGCCGCTGCGCTTGGACTACACGCGTGAATCATTAACCTTGTTGATATATATTCCCTGTTCAGTTCTGCAACTCTCCCACCCCCACCCCCAACCTCAACTTAGAGTTCTACCTCAACTACAACGATTCAGCCCCAAGTGCAACAATTCAGTTGAAGTACAACAACAACCAACCATGGGCACACTTCTATCTGTTGCTACAGTTCTCATCCAAGAACAAAAGTAAGTAGACACGACATATCACCTGTTCATCATGGGAACTAAACCCCCTAGGACAATAGAGAACCAATCGAAGTCGCCACTGCTACGTTTGCCCGCCGAATTGCGCAACCAAACCTATGAGACAGCCTTCTCTGGGGGCAGGATTCGAGTACGAGTAACTAACATCCATACCAAAGACGTCCACACTCAACAGACAGCCGGCGCATTGGCTCTCCGAGCTACCTGTCGCCAGATCCGCTCCGAGTCCGACTCTATCTTCTATGAGCAGTACATCTTCTACTTCTCCAAGACCAACAAATTCGAGCCGATCGACATCGCCAAGGGCTTCATGATAGACAACTATCAGCGCATCGAGCGGATTGCTGTCAACCTTCGGCTAGGCTTCTTCATCTGGCTTCATATGGATGATGAGAACCCCAACGAACTTGACAGGCTGTTCCCTTGCCTCAAACACTTCTATACGCTCAAGCCTGCACTTGTGATCACTGCTATGGCGCATGCATTCGGCAAAACGGATCTCGAGATTCATGAGGCCAAGTTCTTGATGGAGGACGAGGACTTTTTGGGGGATGAAGATGAGGAAGATGATAAGGACGATGAGTAGTTGTCCATAAGCATGTGTCCTGGCCACTGCTTGTTCATCGAGTCATTGGATGTTTTGATATCAGTCACAGATCAAAGTCTCTCGAGGGGTTAGCATGAACCCAAGAGCAAGGAAGCAAGGTCCGTCGAGGGTAATCACAAGTTTGTTTGTATGTACACAAGGGTAGATGAAACCAATTTCAGATCATCACAGGAAATGAAGGTATCATTCAAATAACATTTCTTCCATAACACTAATCCATAAAAGTACCTAAAGTATGAGCCTCTCGTCTTCTTTCCTGTCCCTTCTTAAACATCTCCCTAATCAATCACAAATCACATCAAAAGCCGGGATATTCACCGTCTCCTCCGCCCCTTGCATGCAAATCAACTCCGTCTCACTCGTCAACACGCTAACAAGGGTATCCGGCTCGCAAGTGCTAGTATCGTAGAGGCCAATCGAACAACCCTCTCGTACGTTTCCTACGATGAATGATCCAAAGGACCCGTTCCGAATGCCTGTGGTGCAGTTTTGAGATTCGTTGCCGCTGTAGCCATCTGCGGCTCCGGTGCAGCGCTCAAGACTTTGGTAGGCGGTGAAGGACCATGCGTTGTCTTGTCGTTTGAGGGGTGTTGAGAGGGCGAGGGTGGAGATGGAGAGGAGGAGTATTGTGGACTTCATGGTTCTTGTGGATTAAGGTACGTGAGGATTGATGGTATAGAGGTAATTTTTCTGAAGAGTAGTGTAGCTTAGGGGTGGTGGTAAGAGAGCGTATAGAAATTTGGCACTGAAGATGCATTGCGCATGTTTTATATCCAAGGACACTTGCCAGATGTAGGATGGTTACTATGACACTGCTAGTCTCGCATCTATGACTAGCATCGGGCGGTGATGTCTTCAGGCAGCCTGGCTTGGTTCATCGTCACATGGCTTTTCGCAATGAATCCTGCTCCTAAGAAGTCTTATATTATCCGATCCTTGTTCATGGTGTGATAAGCCCCGTGAAACCTGGAGTCACTGCCTCCACCACTTGGCATTTCTGTTTCTCATGTCATTCCGCAATATGAATCCAAGAAAGGTCATGAGAGGGGATAGATTCTACTGACTATCGGCGATGGCTTAGCAAAAAAGCACGCTCTAGATACCTGAACCATCACATCGCATCTCAGATAGGTTAAACCGCCGAAAATAACTCTTGGTATCGGTTCAGCTCAAACCTATTCGTTTACAAGTCCACCGAAGTCTCACACACCCGCCCCCGGATTCTCCCCGTAAAGCCTTATGACGCTATTGTTCTGGGCTGCTTCCTCCCAAGGCTCATCGCCCCCAACACCAATGCTCTTCACATTCAGTGTGATCAAACTGGATCGAAAGTCAGACCTCGCAGTCAGCCTGGGCGCAGTTTCAATGTCATTGCTCATCTCAGATGGCGTGACAAGTACAACAGTCTTGTCTTTGAGGGTTTGCTCGTCAAGGATGACAAACTCCGTATCGATGATTCCGTGCGCAGTGCGATCAAATTGACGGGCAAAGTTGACCAAATCATCTAGGCTCCAGTTAAGGAATGGATACTGGAGCTTTTCCTTCACTGGAGGTCGAGTCGGTTCCGTGAGTTGGTTAATGTCGGTTGTATCAACAAGGATAGCTATGTTCGCTGACTTAGTACGCATGGTTTGTACTGGATTTTCGTGGGCTTACCAATGTGTGTGCACTCTACATCCTTCAGTTCACTCGCCTCAAAGGCTTCAGCCAAGAACTCGTTTAGAAGCTGAGTACCATTAGTTACTGGGATCTGTGCCAAGGTGGCGGTTCTAAGGGACGTACTTCTGGAGGTATCCTGGCTGTGCAAAACACTGGAATAGTGTTATCGAGCTGATTGATATTGGACATGGTGCTCTGCTGACAATTGATAGGGAATGAGGCTCGTGAGTGTTCCTGCGCTGACGCTTAACAACGATGCATGTTATATGGACGCCTGCCTGCAGGTGTGACGTCAACGCTTACAGCACGTGAGAATGAGCGCAGTCGCAGCCTGATGCCAAGTACGTACCCATGGTCTCATGGGATTCTATGATTACGATTTAGCTGTAGATCGGCATTTGTAGCGTACAATACAATGCTCTTTCGTACTCGCTTACGCAGGACGCCTTGTGCTTATGTCCCGAGACAGGAAACCTGAACGGCCCCCAAGTCTTGTACATTTGGAACATCGGACCAGGGCAAGGATGCGAAATGTTTGGCAAAAATGACACTCTAAAGATGTAGTGTAGGAAGAAGTATAAGAGAGAGGAGACTTCTGGCTCTATATCAGTAGCATAAACTCATCACTTCAACTATCCATTCGCCGCATAGATCTTCGCAAAATGTATCTCAACATCGTTTCCTGGGGCGCTGTGATCTCTTTGGCCGTCAACGTCCAAGCCCAGGTCCAACAGCGTAATTACAATTGCAACAACCAACAGCGTACTTGTAACAATATCTGTTACTGGCTCACCTGTGTACAGCCGACAATCAATACCTTCACTCGGGACAGTGGAAATGCAGCGACGGTGCGACAGCGTCGAGTGGATTGTGGTGTCACGCACAGGCCGCGACCATGTACCCTTCCCGGACTAGGTGTTGGCGGAGACTGGACTGACGAATTCCCATTCGCAAGTACCCTGGAAGGTGGTCGTACCCCAAATGGAGATGGTGCAGCACTACTTTGCACTCCTTCAGCCGAGCAACGTAGTAAGTATATATTCGATGCCAACCTACAGGATATGCTAACATGGCGTGATAGCACAAGCCGCATATCTCACTAACCACATCTATGGCAACCCCCTGATGCCGCAAGGCACGCAGTTTCAACTCGTGATGCAGAACACGGGTGGCATGTAGGTTTAGCTCTCTATCTCTAGGTAATGCATTACTAATTCTGACTTCTAGTGAATACTGTGATCCAGCTGCTACACCAAACGGCTGCGATGGCTCCTTGTTTGATGGCTTCCACTACTTCAACGACGACGATATCTATTGTCAATGGGACATCAGTGCTTCTTCAGGTGTTACGTGTGTGGATGGTCAAGGCAACCCGGCGCAACCTCCTGCGAAGAAGAAGCGCGATATGGGCATGCAGGAGCCCAGAGCTGCTAACTGGAGTAATCTGTTGCACATTAGCGACCCGGAGTTGGCAAAGCGTATGAAAGCAGATATGCCAGAGTCAGTTGCTTTGCCTCTTGAAGAATAAGGTTTGGTAGATATACTTGCAGGGTTCTTAGGCTAGCACAATTTGAGCAATGTATGAGACGGACAAGACTTTGGAATCAATACACATGGGTCATTATTCCTTGTATCCATCTAGCAAGATACTATTCCATCGCCATCTCGCCTCCCCACTCACCCTGTATCTGCCTACTCAAGAAACAAATCCACCTGTCTCGCATACACCTCAGGAACCTGGTACAAATGCCCATGACCCGAATCAGGATAAACATGCAACTCCGCAATCTTGAGCCTCTGCTGCATAAGCCAGCTATTAGCCGTAGGCATCATAACATCTGCATTTCCATTCGTAATCAATGTCGGTACATCCACCTGCTGCAGCTTTGCAAAAAAGCCAGGGCCAGATACGAATTTGCCAATTGCTGCGTTCTGGGTCTGGCCTCCAGCTGCATTGACGAATGTTGTGCGAGCTTCGCCGTCGACGTGGCGTTCTGTGGTGTGCTGCCACCATGCGTGTCCGAGTGCTCTGCTCGTGTCGCTGGGGTGGAAGAAGAGCTTCATCATGACTTCCTCTGTTGGATTTTCTCCGCTGGCTTCTGCCATGATGGCTGGGTCTGGGGAGACGAAGCCTTCTGTGTATGTGGATTGAGTGCCTGTAAGCACTAGTTTGTTGATGACGTGTGGGTAGTCTACGGTGATGCTTTGGGCGATGAAGCCCCCCATGGAGAATCCTATAATGTCGACTTTGGGTACGCTGATTGCGTCGAGGAAATCCACGACTGTGGAGCCGGCTTTTTGGATTGTGGGCTGGATGGTACCGGAGCTGTTTCCAATACCGTAATTATCCAGGAGAATCAGTGAGCGTGAGGTTGCGATGCTGTTCAAGAGGAGGGGATCGATAAGGTCCATGGTTCCGCGGAAGTGGGTCAGGAATAAGAGAGGAATAGCAGAAGGTTTCCGGAAGCGGCGATAGGCAATTCTGATGCCTTTTACAGAGATATATTGGGTCGGGATAGTCTGTGCAGACATGGTGGTGGTTTGAAGTAGTTATGTTGGGTAAGAGAAACTGCTGAGCCATCACTATTGAGCCCTATGAATTTATATTGGAAGCATGCTACAGTGATTAGTTATCTTCTGTAAAAATATAGCAAATCTTGTACCAACATCAGCTGATAATGCGTATGTGTTGCTTTGTAATGGAGCACCGAGCCTATTCATGGACTAGTTCTGCATGTTTAGTAAACAATACAAAATAGTCGGGCAAGCTTAATTCACCGGCGGCGCATCCTTTTGTCCGATGAAGAAGTGAGATGTATATCATTGATTCTGATTAATCTCTGTAGACCGTCTGTGACGTGTGTCCTTGAGAAGCCAAGAAGATGCAATTGTCAAGCTAGCTGATGACAGATGCACATGCAACCCCCCTTGTGTACATAACCTTACCAGGGCAAGAAACCTAGAACAACCTGGAGATATTGCTTGCCGAAAGTGGACCTGACCCCATCCTTCAGCCAAACTCTTCCCCTATCATAATACATATCTTCCTGGATTAATACCGACCAGTACTCAGACAAAATGCTGGTGTCAACCACTGCCCGCACGCATACCAAAGAAGGAAAGAATGACGCAACGGATTTGGCGGTGCGATGATTGGTTATGGCGTGAAAGGTATCCCTCATGCAATCATACTTCGCAAATACGCAGTGAAGCTCGAGGTTGACAAACTTGACTTGTGTACACATTCCCATGTCGAGAAATGGGTGGCGGTACTTGAAGAAGACATCCACTACCGGTGTAATGTTGAATTGTCAGTAACGGAAAGTGATACCAGATGCCTCTTCTGCTATCTGGCGGCAGATATGGACGAGGACGAATGCTTTGACGGGCTTCGATTCTGCCTGACTGCGAAGTTTTTTGTCCTTGTCTAGGATGCGCACCTCGACGCCTTCGCCCATGACTAACTCGTAGATGTGGAGTCGCAACTCAGTCGGGAGACGCAATAGTCGTGATTGGGCTTGGTTGAGGAGGGTGCTGTGAAGGTTAGGGACGAGTAGCAACAGACGGTAATCCTAGCAACTTACATCTTTTTGGACTCGACCTAGTGATCCATGACCTCGCGATCCATGGTATTGTATCTTGCAAGTCACTTTGGGGTGTTGATTGCGGGGTTGTGTAGTCGAACAGCAAAGTGTTGAAGAAAGTGAGAGAAGTAGCGGAGCAAATAAACGATTTGGCGCTAAGCAGATTACAGATACGTCACTGTCACATGCACCTCAATACAGCTCGCGTAATCATGATAAGAGAGCTTGAGATAACTACGGCTAGTCCACTTACAGACACAGCGCGCTGTATACAGGTAGTCGAAAGATGTTGCGGTTTGTGAGGCAAGGGTATTGCGCATGTCACGTGCGTTGTCCTGGCGCTCCTCCCTCCCCTCCATGAGCACCTTCTCCCCTCACCAGCATCAGAGATACGTCATGTAAATAGACCCTGATTATGGCTACATATAAGGTGGCCATGACAGCACAACAACAACAGAACAGAATATACTCTGATGACTGCCTCGCACGGTTACACTTTGATTGACTGCATTGTACTGCAACAAAAGACATACAACAGTTTGAACCCTACAACGAGACCAATTCCCTCAATCTCACCCTGAAGTAACATATTCATATCATACCAACGCGTACTACACACAAAACATCAGCACCGAATCAAACACCCTAAACTACCTCCTCAAAAAGGCGCAACTCACATCCAACCTCTCCTCTATCCACTACCAACCCCATTCTCATCCGCCGCATCCAGCGCAAGCGCCAACTCCTCAACCTCCTTCTCCACATACCCCTCTGCATCAACATACTTCATCGACTCCTTGGCCTGGCGTACTACCCATGCCCTACGAGCCATAGAGTCACGGCGAGCATCTGTATTGGCTATGCCGCTGGGAGGGAGATTGTTGTGGGGGAATGCGTAGTCGTCCATTAGACCCTTTCCAGCGGGGGGAACGAGAGGTGTGGGTGAGGGGATGCTGGGTGATGCCGGGGTATGGGTGCATGCTGGATTGGGGGTGGCGACGGCGACGGCAAGGGTTGTTAGGGTGGCTGTGAGGAGGATGGGGGAGAGCTTCATGGTTATGGTTGGTAAAGTGAAGACTGTGGTGTTTGGTGGGCAGGACTGGGTTTTTTTGGCTTTGTATTGTGTGGTTTGTGTTTTTGGATTTGGGTGTATATGATGCTGTGTTCAGGTATGTCGAAAAAAAGAAAGGAAGAACTCAAGATCTTGAAAGAAGAATATATACCTCCCAGATCTTGCGAAGATATCAACATTATTCGATATTAACCTACTATCACATGCACTCGTCACCGCTCCCGCTGTCTCTGTCTAAACCTCCTCACACTATCCTTCACACCATACCCATCCCTCAGCAAACCCCCCACATCCTCCAGCCCTAACCCAGCCGTCTCGGGATAAATCCTCCAAACCGTAATCCAAGCACCCACACAAATCCCCGCATATAACGCAAACGTGCCTACGGGCGTGAAGATATTCATCATAGGAAGAAACGTAATCCCGATAAATGTATTCGAGCCCCAGTTCGTCGCAGTCGCAACGGCTGAGCCCAAGGAGCGAACAGAAAGGGGAAAGAGCTCGGATTGCTGCCAGGGTACGTTGCCCATCCCGATAGCATAGCCAGCGACGTACGTGATCATGGAGAAGAGGATGATGAGAGGCCATATCCTATTGCCGGCCGTGACGGGCGCGGCGGTTGTGGATTCAGTGGGTAGGTCGACAAAGCGGAATGCGATGGCACATAGTACGAGGCCGGATATCATGATGGGGATAGACCAGAGGAGTATGCGGCGCCTGCCAATGCGATCGATGTAGTGGAATGCTACTAATGTGAAGACAAAGTTTGTGCAGGCGATGGAAAGGGATGTGAGAGTCGGGGACTTGAAACCGACCATGCTGAAGATTGTGGCGGAGAAGTACATTAGCGAATTCTGGGAGTTGTTAGTAGGTGAACCTGACGGACATTCACAGAATAATGGAAGAATTGAGGACTTACAAATCCGCACAACTGCTGGAATCCCTGCAACATACACGCGATAACCAAAGCTCTTCGATTGCCACCAATAATGATCAGTTGTGAAAAGCTGTCCTTGACTCTCTCAGTCTTCGCCCTCCAACCGGTCTTAGTAGTGTCTGGGGTACCACGTAGTCCAGCCGCATCCTCCTCCTCTTCAATCTCCCTCTCTACACGCCTTAGTACTGCATTCACCAAGTCCTTCCCGCTTTCGTCACTCTTATATACTCTGCCCAACACTTTCTTCGCTTGCTGTGTTTTCCCAGCCTTGACGAGGTACCGCGGTGTCTCGGGCAGGAAACATAGCATGACGAATTGAATCGCAGCAGGCAGTGCACCCAAACCGACCATCCATCTCCAGCCATGCAACCTCTCAGAGAATAGCCAACCAATAATATATGCAACTACCTGGCCTCCAGTGATGAAAAGAGTGCTCACCACTACTAGTCTCCCTCGAAAAGGACTGGGGCTCAGCTCCGAAATGTACAGCGGTACAACGAAGGATGCGCTACCAACCGCAGCGCCGACAATGGACCGACCGATGATCATGCCACCCACACTACTCGTCCATGCCTGCCATAGCGCACCGAGTATGAAGAGGACATCGGCGAAGAGTATCACAGTCCTGCGGCCGTATGTGTCGGCGACGATACCGGTCAAGGGCGAGGCAAGGAGCGCGAAGAAAGAGGTACAGGAGGTTATGAGGCTCTTATCGAGGGTCGTGAGCAAACGAGAGGAGAGATCGGTGTTTATGGATATCAAGGTTGAGGATATAACACCAGTACTACATGTAACCGTTAGCACAGTGCTTACTGGGCGGACGTGGTACCAGGCAAGACGCGCAAAACATAGATACGTACTCATAGCCAAACAACAGCCCACTAACTCCAGCGCATATAGTCAAACACCAGATAAACAAGCCGGGTGATACCAATGCACTCTCATCTACCTCTTGTTCTAAAATGCCTCCCTCATCATCGTAGTGGTCGCGTGCATCACTCGGAACGTCGCTGATATTCGCGATTAGAGGTTCTGCTGCAGCGTCGTTCATACTGTATAGTTCAACGTCTTCATTGGGAGCAAGCATACAGCACACGACAACATAAGCAGCGTGTATGGGGGAGGAGAAAGGTCTGGAGGGAGATGGCAGTAGTATGGGGTTGTCGGAATCGCTGCGGGAATGCGGAACCACGCTGGGTCCACACTAGCAGGTGGGTCAGATCCGATGTACCTGCTGATGATCCTTGTCACCTGCATGTTTGACGGCTTGAACACATGCATGGCGCCATGCGCCATGCGCACATTGAATTTAGTTGTTTAAAATGGTTGTATTGATAATTGTCAGGAAGTATGCGGTTCATGGCGCGCATGCTTCGCTAGCTGATACTGTTCACACCTCCCCTTTCAATACTGTCTCATAGTCTGAAAAAGCGAGAGCAATTTCCAAGACTCCCTCCTCCTCCATGGCACGTTGCGTCGCGTGCGAGCTGTGTCGAACCCTCAGTCTCTTGTCATATCCTGCGTGTTCATGGCTCGCAAGAGTGTCATCCGTACCGTAATCCTTTTATGCACCTACCATGCCCAGTCAACGCCGATCGCTATGCGTGAAGCCATTCATTGTGACTAACCAAACTCCCACGCTAAGCGCATAGCAAATTCTGATGAAACAGGTGTTGTGGGCTTGTCGCGGAGCTCGAGCAGCAAGCCCTTGAGACCTTGCGAATGTTGCAATGCGAACTCTCCTCTAAACGCCCTCATTTAGGTTCGTTGCTGCCGTCCGGACCGACATTGGCAGGTCCAGTCGGTGGAACCTGTGGCCCTGTTGAATGCTGTTGCATCATAGGCTGAGAGTAACTTCCACTTGGTGTACCGCGGTGCTGTTGAGGGAATTGATGATGCTGTTGAGGCGAGCCGTAATGGCCACTCTGATATGGCTGAGCATAAGGTCCCCGCATTGGCGTCACTACAGGAGGGTTAGGTACGTACATGTGTCGTGGACGTGTGTACTTACTGGATCCTGGCTGCATTTGGTACATCTGAGGAGCTGGCGCGCCGGGTTGCATGTACATCATAGGCGGCTGCTGGTGGTGTCCTTGTTGAGACCCCTGGTGGCTCATCATTGGTGCGCCTGGCCTTGGACTTGGGAATCCATTAGCACCAGGACCAGGCATGTGTCCGTACTGGGGGTACGCAGGGCCGGGGGCGGGAGAATACATCTGCATCTGGGGATTACCCGGCATGCCCATGAAAGGCCCATTCGAAGGCTGATTTGTCATCATTTGACCTCCCATTGCTGGCCCTTGGGGATTGATGAACTGGCCCCCTTGTGCGTTGCGCATCGTGACATGCTGAACGTTAGGACTCATGCCATATTGTGGAACTTGCACCTGCTGGGGATAACCTGGCATTTGCTGTGGCTGTGCACCATACATGAAGGGTGCCATAGGCCGTGGCGAAGGTTGGACCGAGGACTGTGAGTGTGAATATTGCATGTGCTGAGCTTCATAATGATGCTGGTTCTGTCCGAGGTGAGGCTGCACTGGAGGACCACGCGGTGTGTGTTGAGGTGTTGGTCCCTGTGCCATACCTGGGGCTCCCTGGAGATGAGGTGGCAGTTGATGCTGATGCGACATGGGCCCGTTCGCCATGACATGTTGTGGCGCTGATAATGGTGCAGGCGGAGGAGCATGCTCAAACAACTGCTCGTACCCCTTGTTCGTATTCGATGACGGGAAATCCCAGGTAGGGGGGGTCTTGAATGGGGGCGCAATATCGGAGTGGTGAGGCTTGTCGCTTGCTTGCGCCTCCTTTTCCAAGCGTCCAATGGCATTGAAAGTGGTTGGCCCATCCAGAGACTTCACAGCAGGACGATGGCCGCCGAAGAAGCTAGTGATGGGAGGCTTGCGAACTTCTTGTCTTGATGAGTTCGGGCGGGGGCTAGAGCTGGCACTTGGGTTTCCACCAGGCTGGAAGGTGCTCGCGGCGGGGTTAGGTTTAAATTCATGAGCACGAACGTTGAACCTCGTGGAGACGCTGGAAGAGGGCGTCTGGGCTCCGCTCGAGGGCTGCGAAGGGCCAGTGGGAGGCATGCGCATATCTTGGGCGGGTATGGGCTGGGGGACACCGTTGTAGGGCTGGGCACCTTGCTGTTTGTGCTGTTGATGATTGAGCTGCAGGCGAGTGCTGAGAAGTCCTTGAGCGCGGGGAGGCAGTTGATTCATGCTTTGATGAGAACTCCGCATGCTTGCGGATGCATAGGCAGGTTGTCCCGGTCGAGGACGCTGATTTTGTTGGCGATCCATGGTTGCGCTGGGGGAAGCCTGGGTGGATTCAGGCTTGGCGGCTGGCCGTGCCACCGTTTTAGGGTCTACAGCACTGCTCGAGGCCTTTGGAGGTGTCGTCTTCAGCTCTTGCGCTTGTCTGTTTGCCTTGTCGACGATGGCTTGCTGCTTTGTCTCGTCCTTAGCGAGTATGGGAACCAGATCAGATGGTACGGGTGTGCTGAGCTTGAAGTTCTGGGCGAATTTCTTCAAGTCGTTCAGTTTCACGGCCTTGTTCTCTCTAGCAAAAGCCCTCTGGCGATCCGAAATGCGTAACTTTTCCGCAGCTGAAAACTGCTTGAAAGAATCGAGGAGGTCATGCTCAACATTAGTCGTTGCGTCGTGAGGTCGCCCCGATTTCCGGGGAGGAATGGCGGCCACGCCAGACTTGATCGCGCTACTTGGCTTCTGGAGTTGCTCAGTGATAGCCTTGTGCGCATCGACTGCTTTTGGTGCAGCCTTTGGGGGTTCCTTGGCTGCCTCTGGTACTTTGGCCGGCTCGGGTACAGCAGCAGCAGGAGCCGCAGCAGGGGCAGCGGGGGCAGTGGGGGCAGCAGGAGTAATAGTAGTAGTAGTAGCAGGGCTTGCGGCGCGCTGTGCTGCCTGCGAGCCAGGTCGCGCAACAGATGAAGAAATGATGGCGGGATCCACAGGGGCACCAGGAACTGTTGCTTGGGCGGCAGGCGCACGCCTTGCAGGAGGAGTGTATCGATTGGACTGGCCACTTGCGAGGGATGGGTAATCTCTGCGTACTCCGCTGTATTTGTCCTCCTCGTCGCCATTGTCATCGGCAGGGTTGTAGCCACCTCGCTCCTCACGAATATGGGAATTGGTCGCAGTGCTGCCCTCAATCTCCCGGGCAATCTTCTCGGCACGAGCAGCCCTCTCGGCATACTGTGGGTCGTTCTTGTTGATGGTGGTAGTGTAGAGATTCTCATCGTAGTTGCTCTTGACACCAAACAGACGCTCGTTGGTGGAGAATTGGTCCCATTCGGCCGTACGTCCGGAGGATTCGAGAGACATGTTGGGATCGACCTCTGACGGCTCCCACTTCTGAAGGTCACGTTCGCGGATGGCGAGTTTGCCGGAAATGTCAGTGTCGGTACGGAAACCTGAGGTGCCTATGACGGTCAGTTACGGCAATATTATCAAACAGAGACGTAAGCCTAGACATACCATTTTGAGTCTTGGCCTGGGACTTGTCAAGCACGACGTTATTGACATTGAAATCGGCAACATCGCTCATGTCAAACGACATGACATGGTAGTCGCCCTTACCAACGTAGTCCTCGGAAGCCTCGGCGGCACCGTTGGTCTGCGCGCTGGTAGCGGGCATCAGCTTCTTGACCATCTTGAAGACATATCGTAGTTCGCTAGGGTCCAATGAGGTGCCTGATAGCACACCGGAGTACTTTTCTCCATTTTTGAGTGTGATGATGCCCGGAAGACCCTAATCATGACCATCAGCTGTGTCCCTCGGCGCCACATCAAGCAACATCCGTCACTTACAGTCAGGTTGGCCAGCAGGTACATCATCCGATCACTGAGGTGCCTCATCGGAGTAGGTGTTTCGCCGGAGGAGGCCGGCGAGGTTTGCGAAGGCTTAGGGGAGTTTACGGCACCGTTGGAGGTGGCAGTGCTTGTGGGTCGCTGAGTGAGGGGATTGGTGCCCTGAGTCCATGCCGTTTTGGCAGGAGGTTTCCTACAAGTCGCCAAGTCAGCATTGCGCCAGGTGCGGGTGAGGGCGAGAATGGTCGAGGGGAGAGCGTTGCAGAAGTCGGTAATTGAGCAGCACACACGGCGAGGGTAGCATCTACTGGCCAGCGCAGTCGCACCGTGAGTCCATGTGACCTTGCAGACGTCACACGAGTATATCCCGCATTGCGGTAGCTGTGTCTACGGCGCTCTCGAAGCATTTGTGGGCGGGCCATGGTGCTCACAGACGGGACCAGAAAGGGCTTCACGAGCACTTGCAGGGTTGGGTCTAGTGGAGTGTGTGTGTGTGTGTGTGTGTGTGTGTGTGTGTGTGTGTGTTTGTGTTTGTGTGTTTGTGTGTATGTGTGTATGTGTGCGGAGAGTATAAGCTTACCTCTGACCGCCGTCAATGGGACTGCCGGGCTTTCGCTGTGCGTCGATTCCTTTGCCTGCTGTGCTCATCTTCAGTTGCCTGCCGGAATTGGAGGCCTGGTTCAGAGCATTGGAGGAACTATTCGGGGTCGCGGCGGCAGTGGACATGGATGGGCGAGGCGGGCGCGGGCAAGCTCGGTAGCGTGGGTTGGTGTGTGGGTGCGGGAAGGCGCGATGGGCGGGAGAAGGAGCGATGGACGGCGGGGGAGGCAGGAGCTCCAACTCGTGGGTGAGAGCAGCGCAGGGCACTCAATGCTGGAGCAAGCACAGCGTGGTCGAGCAATCGAGTGAGAGAGCCGTGCGGCCGAATTGCGGGTGTATAGGAGGCTGTGCCCGAATTACCAGCCAGAAGTCCAGAGTGAGGTGCACGCCAAGCGGATCGACTGGATGAAACAAGGTGCGGGAGCTAAGTAAGCCAGCCTCAGGCTGCAGCCGTGGATGCTCCGACGACGGCTTGAGGGCTCAACGGGCAAGACTGCTATCGGCCTTGTCTCGCAAGAGATGATGAGGGTTTGAAAGGGGACAGATGGCCTCTCGTGAGAATAGTGGAGCTGATGTCTGTGACAGCTGCGCAGCAGAGCCCTCTGTCTGGCTCACTGCAAGGCCGCTATCATGTCCGCCTGCGCCCTCTCTCGTGGCATCAACCTTGCGCCGTCGCGGGCACTATGTACAAAACATGACCGCCCCAGGCCTCGCTCATGATGCTGCCGCTGTAAGAGGTGCGCGCGCCAAACAACACACACACGTCGCATGTACAATTACGGGGCAACACCTGTTCGTTATGCCTCAACCATGCTAGACGTGCTGCCCGCTGCCCAAGTGGCTCCCCCAGCCCACCACCACCCACGCACCCACCCAGCAGCAGCAGTTGAGGCCGGACACAGACCGTAGCCTGCAGCTCAGGTCCGACAAAGGCCGTAGTCACCACTCTGTTTCTGCGCTACTGCGGGGGGTTTGCAGCAGCTGTCAAGACTCATGTCACGAAGCAGCCAAGCGTCAAGAGGACGTCGCATCCATGTTCCATGCCACCATGACTGCCGTTAGCCGTCCATCAGGGCCTATCAGCAGCCATGCGTAGAATAACATCAACATGTAGACGCTACTGTCCGTTGTGCCAGCAGACTTTGTTTTTCATATACATTATCACAGACACTCGCACGATACAGGCAATATAGTGGAGAATACATGCCGTGTGAAACAGGTGCTGGATCCATGCACGTGCTGCCCAGCCACTCCATACCAGCTAGCCCGGGCATCAGACCCAACGACGTCGCCATCACTACCGAGCGAGCGTGTCGTGCTCTCGCGCCCCGTCACCCGGCCATTCACTCTGCTGCTGCACACCTGCGCCAGTCGCTGTGCCCATCATGACCGAAGAGGCTTCCTCCATACGCTCTTCTCAGGGGTCATCACGGCGTGCGCCCAAGAATGTAGGTGTAGGTGCTGCGTGGGCCTCTCCCGCATTCCGCGCCAAACTCCCACCATGTCCATCTGTCGCTAACTTGGCCTGAAATGCAGCCTCAGCAGCAGCTTTCACAGATAGAAAAATCAGTTACCCATCTGCTGGTTGCCACCAAGCAGCTGCTCGGTCCGTCTGCCAAAGACATGCCCCGCGCCCACATGCCTGTCTGCTAACACGCTGCAGAGACGTTGACACTATGGTCGCGCGGGACCGCCACCGAGAGCGAGGTCTCTGACGTGTACGTACGTCTGGGCTACGAGTTCAACATAGCGTCGCGAGCCTTCAATGCTATTGGCGTTGACACAAATGACCTCGGAAATGTTCCCGAACTCCTTCGTGGCATACTGGAAGAGACGCTGAGCCAGGAAGCGTCGCAAGCAAGCCTCGACAACTTCCTGCCGCGGATAAGAGATATAATAATAAATCTGCTGCATGGACTGAAGAAGAAGCAGCAGCGACTACGCCAACGTACAGGAAGAGATGGATCACTTAACGGATCCGGTGGGAGTCCGCGACAGGTCAGCGTGGGGAGTTCTGGTGATGTGGAAGAAGCACAGCAGCCGCGCTCTGCAAGCACACGCGTGTCTTCGAGAGGAGATAGTCCATCGTTTGGAGGTCCTGAACTCCCTCCACGCTCCTCGTCGGTTGCTGGAGGCCGAACGTCTCCCAGCAAATACGATCCGCTACCCACGAACCAGAAAGCCAACCGCTCGACTGCCGGAAGCCAGCTCTCCACAGACTCGTCCATGTCAAGTACCACCGCCCAGCAGATGCCTGTAATCGCTCCATACCCCGCCGACGACGCTATGCCCAAGCCCCCGGACCCGAAGCCCAACTATGCTGTCGACTTTCCTCCGCCTCCACCTCCGCCGAAGCAGGAAGATGCGCTGGCCGCATTGCAAAGAGGAGGCGAGCTAGAGCGGAGGGCCTCACGCAGGTTCTCCGCATACCAGATTCAGAAACATCTAGGAACGAATGGCATACCGCTTCCACCTGTGCAGAACTCACCCATACCGAATAGGGGTCGGGATGTGCGTGAATCTATGAATGCCGTCCGCACACGAGCTTCCATGATGCATAACCGACAGCGCTCTAACCAGAGTCTAGCCCAGCAGCGACCTGTCGTGGACACAAAGTTCTCTTACGATCAACCCAACGATGCTTCAAGGCGCATCTCCGAGGAAAGTGCTCAAAGCACAGCACCGAGTATCCCACCTCCCAAGGAGTCTGGTCCTGAAGATAGCCCCATGCAGAAGACGCCAGAAGACAAGCTCGCCACACCCAGATTCCCTGAAGGTGACCAACTCTCACTGGGTGCAACTCTGAACGGACCACTAGCGGAGCCTGCTGAGCTCGGATCGGCATCGCCCGTAAAAGAGGAGCCTTCCAGGTCTGCAGCGAACCAGAAAGACTCTTACAGAGCAAAAACACCATCTCCACAACCCTCGCATTTCATTCCGGAGCAGTCACCTCAGCAAGGAAAGGAACTCACCTTGTTCCTCCAATACAAGAGCAAGATTAAGAAATATGTTTTTGCAGATGGCGCCGAGCTCTCATCTGCCCGTTTGCAGTTGGCTTTCATCGAGAAGTTTGCCTGGGATACGCACCGCTATGGCGACTTGCCTGAGATTCACATACAAGATCCCGTGTCTGGTGTGCGATACGAGCTGGAGGACATTAGTGACATCAAAGACAGATCGGTACTAGTCCTCAACGTTGAGCAGCTGGACGAGGTGAAAAGCCACATCGACGATAAATTTGGTGGGCTTAGCAAGCTGGTGGAAAGCATAAAGACCGTAGTCGAAGACCAGCAATCGGCTATACAGCGCGTTGCCGAACGCCAACAACAGACAACGAAAGAAATTGCGGGCATCGTCGCGGCACCAGTTTCATCCGCTCGCAACTCAGCATTGTTAGCCTCCAGCCCACTTCCATTGGGCAAGGCGTTCGAAGGCAGCGTTAGCTCAGCCGCTCAACTCAACGAGGTTCAATCCCTGCGCCGCGATCTAGCAGTTGTTCGACAGACATATTCATCTTTTGTGTCGGATATCCAGGCCAGCATGTCGACAATACGTACAAAAGCCAGTGCTGTCAAAGCAACAGCTATCAAAGCTGCGTTACCGTCACTTGACGGCGACAGTGGTCGCGCGTACATCAATACTGGAAAGAAGGCTCTGCAAGACGACTCGGAGAAAATTGTCAACCGAGTGGATGACCTACAAGATCTCGTCGAGGACCTCAGAAAAGATGTCGTCCTACGGGGTGTTCGACCCTTGCCACGCCAGCTCGAGACTACTGCAAAGGACCTCTCGACAGCCATCGCCGAGCTCAAGAAATTGCAAGATCTTCTGGCAAAGGAGAAGCCTCTGTGGACCAAGATTTGGGAACAGGAGCTGCAGACTGTGTGCGAAGAGCGAGACATGCTTACTATGCAGGAAGAGCTCGCAGCCGACTTGCAAGACGATCTTGAGAAAGCGGCACAAACCCTGGAACTGGTTGAACAAGCGACCAAACAGCAGAACCTTGAGAACGAGAAAGAGGCTAGCGGTAAAAGTGGGATGCGTTCGGCTAGTGGCCGCAACATGCTCAACGCGGTCGCTATGGACAAAGTCGTGGATCCGCGTCAAGCTCGAGATGGTGTTCTTGGGGAAGTCAAAGCCCTGCAGCCGAACCATGAGAGCAGACTTGAAGCCATCGAGCGGGCTGAGAAGGCACGACAACGCGATCTGGAGACGAGGAACGATGACGAGTTCAAGCGCGAGCTTGGTAGCTTTGTCGAGGAAGGCAAGCTTAAGAAGAGTGGTGGTGTCGAAGAAGCTGAGCGTCTCCGCAAAGCAAAGGACGAGCGTGCCCGCAAGGAAAACTTTGAACGCGAAGCAGCCCGTCAACGGGCCAAGGCCGAGAAGCAACAACGGGAGGCAGAAGCTGCTGCTGCCGCGGCTGCAGCTGCAGCAACGAATGGCGATGGCGCCGAAGGCCAGAATGGAGAAGCCGAAGCCGCAGAGAACCCAGAGGAGGCTAAAGGAGATGAAGGTGGTCCTGCCTAGACACCATCTTCCATCAATCTCTAGCCTTCTTATCTGTGTTGAGCTGATGCTTAGGTCTAGATCTTCCGAAAAGGCAGTTCACCGTCCGGCCGTGGGTAAAAAGCGGCGCCGTGCCCTTGTCGACGCAGATGAAATTCGCAGCTGCCACTGGAATAGACGTGCCCATACCAACTTTACCATGCACGCCTGTAGCAAACGCAAAGTTACCCAGTCCAACGATTCGATTCGTAGACAAGGACACACCAACCCGAGACACCGCTTCGACCCCCGAAGTCACAAACGCCATGCCACCACTACCCGCCACGCCAACCTGTATGCCAGAAACTCCAAGACATACGCCAACACCAACGCCGCTCCTCACCCCCAACCCCTCCACCTCCCGCGGCGGAACTCCCAAAACCCCCCTCTCCCACCGCACCCCAAAGCCCTCCCTTAGCTTCCGCTCCCGCGATAAACCCAGCCCCGGCACGCCACCCTCCCGCCCTAGAGGCATGACATTCCCCCACGGCAGCGGCGGTGGTGGTAGTGGCCATGCAATGCACAGTTCTAGCTCGCACAAGACACTGCGTGGGATGCCGCAGACGCCCACGCCGGATCGCAGCTTGGTGGATAGCTGTCTCAAGGAGAATGAGGAAGATGCGAATGGCGAAGATGCTGATAGTGTTGTTTCTTTCACGCCGAGTACAGGTGGCAAGAATATCGCACATTGGTTTTCGGGCTTGCTTGGAAGGTCGTGAGATGGCGTGCGTGAGCAACGCTTAGATTGCGAGCATTCAACGTTCGTTGCTCGTCTCGCTCTCGCCTTTATCGTTTTCATTCTTTTTACACCCCTTTCTCTCTCTCTCTCTCTCTCTCTCTTAGTGGCTGAGTGCAGCAGGTGTTGAGTGAGTGAGTGATGGTCGTCATCCTGTAATATATATATATATATATAATAGCGGCATTGTTGCGGCTTTGCTGCTGTTTTTGGTGCGTTCGGTTTTGATCTTTGTTTTCATGTTTTTTATATACATAGATTTTCACGAGATTTATGCATAGCAAGGCGTTTTCAAGGTTGGGGGATGGATGGATGGGATGGGATGGGTGGGGGCTAATTGTTGTTATGGATGGACAAGGTTGTTAGGAGATTACGATACAGAGAGAGTGCGCATTATCATGGTGAGTTATATATCATATCATATCATCATTATCACGACGAAGAGAAGAATGTGAAATCATGATTAGTTTCGTCTTCTTCGAGACGAAGTAGTTTATCCCTTTTTTTCATGTATGAATCTTTTTCCGTCTTTTTGATTTCCTGTTCATCGATTAACGTCTATGCATGAGATGCGAAATCCCTCTCCATAGACAAACCCGATGAAAAGCAGCAGTATTACCGTGCGCCGTATACGCCAAGAGTCCTCATGAATGACCCATTCCGCTCATCACATTGCCGGATATCGCCCGCCAGAACGCCGATATTGATGCAAATGCTTAATGTACCATGGTTGTTCCATGTGTAGTGCCCTTGGTCTAGTACAGAGTCTCTAGTTACCAACAGCAGTATCGTTTAGCGCGACACAGACAGCGCCGCGATGATGACCGTTGTACTGGCGAATGATGCTCTGTGTGCCTAATTCCCAAAGCCGCGCGTAGTGGTCAGAGCAAGCGGTCACAAGGTAGGCTGAGTCGGCCGAGAAGGCGCAATCCCAGACCCACCTCTGGTGACCATGTAGTGTAGTCTCCAAGGGGAAGGCGGCGGGGTCACGCTCGCTAGCTGACGGCAGGTTGTCGGTGGGCATTACATTATGCGGGGCTGAAGTATCGACGGACCAGATGCGAGCGGTGTGGTCGGCGGAGCAGGTGGCTAAATGGCGGACGTCGGGAGAGAGGAGCACGCGGGTGATGTAGGTGGTGTGTGCGACGAATTTGCAAATGGGAAGGATGGAGGTCGTGTCGCTACGCTGGATCATACGCCAAACGTAGACATTGCCCTATCGTGTCATGTTAGGAATTGCTCGAGGACCAAGAGTGAAATGAACAAACTCACGGCATTGTTCCCTGCGCAAACCATACTACCGTCGCTAGCGACAGTCACGCTGGCCACGCTAACGTCGTCTTCGGGGATGAGCTGGTGCGAACATTTGTTCTCGCCCAGGTCCCAGATCTTCACATTACCACCGCGGTCACAGCTGATCAGCTCGCCCTGGTTTGGATGGATGACAACATCGTTGACGGGGACTCCGTGGGTGTAATTACGCTGCACATTTCCACTGCGCGTATCCCAGATCTTGACCGTGCCATCTTCGGATGAGGTGACGAGCCACTTAGACTCACAATGAAATGCGACACCGGTGATGTTAGAGGTATGGCCGTCGAAGGTGAGGATGGCGTTGGGGTTGGTCGACTTGATATCGTATAGCTTGACTGTATGATGGCCGGCAGCCGCAAGGTAGCGCTTATCGGGCGAGATACATAGGCGATTGACTTGGGAGTCTGGGTGGGGAATCGTGCGCGAACATATTCCAGACAAAGCTTCCCAGAAACTAGTCCTATTGTTAGGATGGAAGGAGGCTTGAGAGATTATAGATACAAACGGACCGTATTGTGTGGTCGTAACCAGCTGTATTTGACGTCAGTGTCTACCTGTCAAGGTGGGCTAGGGTAACTGTACGGACCTGTACACAGGATGACCGACATTCTGGTCGGTCAGAACAGTTTATTCTGTCTATGATCTATTAGAAACAATTATTGTTTTAACTCCAAGGGTTTTTGTTAGTACAGCGAAGCGAAAAGGTTAGTGGTGGCCGATAATGCGAAACATGTCGCGCGCGCCTGCTGTTGTGATTGAAGAGGGAGCTTCGCGTTGAGGGGAGTCGGAGATAAGTTGGGTTGGAGTTGCTCGGGAGTGCTTGGACCAACCTTCAGCCCTACGGCGGTCAGCCTATAGCGGCCTAGCGTCGTGTAATGCTTCCTGTCAACTCTGACAGTCAGTGTCATGATGAATTCGTACTCAGTACCCTTAAAATCAGGTGATGATATTACGTATCGTAAGATACCAAGCATCAGTCTAGACTCCATCCCCAGGAGCCTTCCAATCTACAATTTACTAGCCGTATGCATCAGCGGGTAGCTCTTTGGTCCACTCTCCAGTGCATCCCTAGTGATTTCCCCGATATTTCTGAATCCGCCGACATTCATCAAGATATCCAAATCCGCTAGTAGACTACGCATGACATGGTTCACGCCCGTCTCACCCATGATTGAAAGACCCCAAATCCACAAGCGGCCGACAAAGACAAATTTTGCACCAAGAGCCAGCGCTTTCACGACGTCAGATGCAGAGCGAACACCAGAGTCGAACATGATGTAGATCTTATCGCCGACAGCTGGAGCGAATTTTAGCAAAGTAACGACCCGTAGAGGACAAAACAACATACCATCCACAATCTTTTCCAGAGCATCGAGACTAGCCACTGCGCCATCAACTTGTCGTCCAGCATGGTTGCTGACAACAATGCCATCGAATCCCAAGTCCACAGCCTTCTTCGCATCATCCACACTCTGGATACCCTTCAGAGAGAAAGGCTTTCCGCCGCTGAGCTCCTTCCAGAGTTTCATTGCCCATACTGCCTTGTCCCATGTATGCGCCCGACCGTGCCAAACATTGTCAATCCAAAGCGCGCCAGCTTCGTTAGGTTGCGTCTTCGGGTCAATGCCCTTCTCCTTCAGTCTTTTCTGGAAGACCGGGTCAGTCAAGCCCAGGTCTGCACCCAGACCGTGGTAAAAGGCGTAGTTCGAGTTTGCAACATCGTCGTGTCGCCATCCAAGCTGCCATGTATCTAGAGTGAGGATGCAGGCGCTAAAGCCACTGTCAACCGCGCGCTGAAGAATTGAATGTGTGAGTTCGTCGTCGTGCGGCATGTAGAGTTGGAAGAATCGAACGCCCTTTTCACCTCCGCCAGCTGCGGTTTCACCATCGATTCTCTTCCTCACACCTTGGTCATTGGCCAAACCAACATCCTCTATGCTTTGAGATCCTGCCGTCGAAAGACAGTACGGTAGTCCCAGCGTCCCAGCGGCCCTGGCTACAAGCAGCTCGCCCTCTGGATTATAGATTTTGTTGATACCAACAGGCGCGAACCCGATAGGTGCAGGAACCTTGTGTCCGAAGATTTCGATCGCCGTATCGCGCTGGTTGGTGTCGACGAGCATGCGAGGGATGATTCTGTGTCGATAGAAAGACTGTCTATTTACGGTATGCGTGTGCGATTGACCAGCGTTAGAGGAGGCATAGAACCATCCGCATTGGCTAAGCTTCTCTTTTGCCAGTTCTTCCAGCTTGCCCGGCTCTGGATGTAACTTAGATTGAGTGTTTGGTTGCATCAAGAAAAAAGGGCGCCTTACCAGTGTTGAAGACGGGAACTTCACCCTCGTTTGATTTCCAAAAGTTATCGCGCTGGTAAAGTGCATATTGAGGCGTGGTCCGCGCTTTCTGATTGGGGTTGACGGGGTCCATTGTCGAAGTTGTCAGTCAGATATGCTCTCAGACGGTATAACGAAAATACGCGAGATGAGGAGGGTGAGAAGACTATGTCTTTGCCTTTTATCCAGGTATCGACCGGTACTGTTGGATTTACGCATAATGGTGGCGCTTGCAATGCCACCGCTAACTATGACGAAAGGTAATGATGCTCGGAAATTAACCCTAGTGTCTGTGTTATCTCCGGATATTCGTCAACAACAAGACGGCAGTTGTAATTTTCCGATCGACACAAGTACTTACAGTACTGACTACTGGAAGCTTGCCGGAGTTTCCATTGCTTGTAAAGTCTATTGTAGAGGTTTAGTTTCCACCAGGTAGTCGGGATCATCCTGCTGGTTTTGGCCTACAATAGACACGAGTAGACGATCGTCCCTAAGATGGCAGTGGCGTTTGGCGAAAGCTTATCTGCAATTCTCTTCAAGTACCATCCATGGCAAGGGTGCTCAGATATGCTAATACATATCCGCGGCATACACTGGAATATAGCGTGGGGGCGTCAGATAGTCATATGACGTCATCACGTCACAGCCAACAAAAGCAGGTAAAGTATAAGCTCTTCTCTAATAGGGCTGTTGTGTCGTCAACAAAGAGATAGCTAGGTATAAAGGATGGCGACGGCATAGTCCGCCAGGTATCATTTCGTGACACTGCCCGCATAGGTTCCGTGAGGCTCGTTTCCATGACCCGTTGCTTTGATCCTGTAGGAAACCAACACACCCACCATCGCTTGCAAAACACGTATAAGAAAGTCATTGTATGGTTCCATGTTTCAAATGACCCACAAGGTCATCCAATCGGCGCAACCGGGACAAGTAGTACAAGCTATTTCTCGCTCGTTCGGATGGCATTTGCCTCAGGCTTAGACTTGGAGTCGGAAGTCTCGGACTTCTCCGTCTGTACAGACGATGGCGACTCAGTCACCTGGACTTTGCTTTCGTGCTGAGGACCAGGGGTGCCTTCGCGGTCTTGACGGGACTTGGCATCGGCCTGATGGTTGTACTTGTTGACCTGGGAGTCGAGATCCTTGTCTTCATCCTCGTTGTTGAACATGTCGCCATCGTGATCTCCAGTCGAGACTTCGGTACCATCTCCGAGGAGGATGACGCGACCGCCGTTGCCCTCGCTAGGTCGGAATCTGCTGTCCAATTCCATATCGATGTCATCAGGAGAGTCGTCAATGCGATGGTGAACGCCGGGACCGCGGAACTCGGCTACACAGTTGTATTAGAACTGAACTGAACTACTCGCCCTCTGAGGCAGATTTGACTGGATCTTCTGACTTGCCGTACTCTGGCGGCGCACATGGACCCTCTCCATTCGCAACCCGCTTTGCGATGTCCTCGTACCACTGCTCCTTTGTCCTTCCCTGCAGAAGACCAATGATGATCATGGTCATGTTGTCACAGCCCACACCTCCCGTGTCGCTGTTTGAAGCCAGGCAGTTGTCCATCATGTTCTCGCAGATAGAAGCAAGATCCTGCTTCGCGACGATCCCGCGCCTAACGAACTCGACCACGGCTTGAGAAGACTGGCAATCCCAGATACCTGCAGTGTATCAGTAAAAGCATGCGAAATGAACGAAGCGTGCTTGCTCACCATCGCAGGCAACAATCAGGAACTCGTCGTCCTGGTTGATGTCGTGGATCTCAACGTCTGGAAAGGCAGTGACTATTTGCTGCTCGGGTGGGAGGTCGGCGCTCTTCTTGAACTCAAAATCGCCTATCGCGCGCGACAGCGCAAGGTTGCCGTTGACACGGCCAAAGTCGACGAAGCCGCCAGCTGCTTGGATGCGTGCCTTTTCGGCTAGGTTCTGTTAGTATTGCTTTTTATCGGCCTGTCGCTCGCTTACCTTCATTCTGCGGCTTGTGGTCGAACGAAAGAGGCTTGGCCCGGCCCTTGACTCCTAGAACGGTACGCGAGTCACCGGCATTTGCCTGAATTTGTAAGCATTGGTGAAGAGATGAAACGAGGAAGTGACATACGACGTAGATCTTGTCTTTTGACAGGATACCGACCGATGCTGTGCAGCCAGAAACTTCCTCCTCGTACTTGGGATCTGTTCAAATTAGTCTCTCTGACATGACCGAAGCTAGCCAAGGCTACTTACCGCTCAATATCGCGCGGTCTGTTGCCAGGAAGCCATCCTGTAGGGCCTTTTTGATATCTCCCGCTTTGAAAGCTTCCTGCTTTGCGACAATCTGATGCAGCTGCTCGCCGGCATAGAGTGCGACCTTGTCGCCGCCGTGTCCGTCGTAAACGCCAAAGAAGGCCAGTCGCTTGTCGGTGGCTGTGGGCTTGCCGTCTTCACCGGCAAAGTCTAGTACGGTGGCATGCGCGTCCTCCATGCTGATCCGCCAGCCCTGCATCGAGGACACACCGAAGATAAGTGACTCGCCATGGCCGTTTTCGGATTTCTGTCATAACACCAAGTTAGAACTGGAGCTTTCTCGAAATGAAGTGCGCGTCTTTCCAGCCCGGTGCAGGCGCCCGTTACCAAAGGAGCCATTGATGAAGCGCACAGTGCGGGGGCGGGGGCGAGCATTTGGAGGCAATTACCTTGTCCACGACGGGCTCTGACAGTGTCTGACCCATGTTGTCCGGTACCTACGAGGACTCGTGGGAGAAGAGAAGAGGAAGTTTGAGTTTCGTCGCGAGTCTCCTAAGGGGCATAGAATTCCAAGCTGCGAGGTTGCGTGTGTGTGGGGGGGATTTCGGGATTCAGTGGGCGTGGTTGCAGACAGAAGAGTAGTCAGCAGCCTATGGTTGATTTGGTGTAGCTCCCGTGACAGAGGTCTGAGGAAAAAAAGAATTGCGTGCTCTAGCTCGCGGGGGTAGAACTGGCCAGTGTGGTGTTGTAACCAAAGTGACGCTCTCTACCTGACAGCAGGAAGCCCGTGCGCGCTAAAGGTGTGGCTGTTCGAGGCCAGGCGTGGTATGACGGCAACGCATTCTCTGCGCGCCCATTCCCCCACCAGCTCTGTCTCAATCTCGCAGCCGTTGATTTCACGCCTTGGTGCGAATTACGCGCTCAGAATGCCCAAGGGGGTCCTCTTCTCGTACTCGCTTTTGAGGCGGTACGCTGCAGTGCTGAGACAGCAGGCGCCTAGAGCAGAAGCTCGCGTGCCACTCAGACTCGCACCCGATCCTTTGAGTACCCATAGCAGCCTCTCAACAGCAGCCTACGCTGACCGGCCTTGCGCACTCTGGCATAGCTTGACGAATTGATATGACAGCTTAATTCATCGCTGAAGGCAATCGACGGGGAAGGCTGCTTATTATACTCTACCCAAGTCTCAAGGGTCCAGCCCGTTTAGGGGTCCATTCCGCTTTCCTTCCGGCCAGTACGCGGTACCAAGTACGGCTGTCTTCACATGCACCACCACCACGAATTTGTGAGATGGCTGATCTGCCCAAACTGAATGTCCTTGTACATCATGTCTGGCTTACTACACACTCCATAGCGAAAAATCAAATGTGGCGTACACGGACCACAAAAACCTCGTTTGCCTCTCTGAGTGGTGGGTGTTGCCCAATTGCGCCTATCTGTTGTGAGACAAACTAGCCATGCACACGGCATGCTTGATCGGTGTCTGATTACTACATATTCGCTTCAACTCTGATCGTTCTCAACATCACACTCAAGCGTATGATAACCTTTGTAAGTACTCGGGCTAATCACATGCGTGAACCTCGGAGGCATGAGCGTGTCTTGCACGTTGCTAGGTAAGCGTCCACCATGACCACAGTATCCCGGTGTCGCATCTACGGTTTCATGCTACACAAAGACCCGATTGCAATCTTCTTCCTACATGCTTATCCACGATTACGGGGCCGTCTTATCGGGAAGAAAGTGTCGTGGGCGGAGTGGCGTATTCTACCTGACAGTGAGATTCAGTCGGTACATATTACGGACGGACAATGGCGAGGGCAGGCATGAGCCAGTTGCTGGTTTTGCACATGTGCTCAACTTAGGCATTGTCCGGGTTGATATCATGACGCGCCAGCTTCGCCCGGACGTCCATAACGCGCTAGTCAAAGTTCCGAGGTATGTCGGCCGCGCCTGGACGCCGGCTTTCTAGGCGCGATCGGCAGCCGAGGCCTATATCATCATCATACAACTTATCCGACCTTGCAAACGTCTCTCCTTCTCCCCCATCTCATTTCTCCTTCCAACACCACAATGAAGCCAACACCAGACTGGGTCAAACAACTAAAGCCTTCGGGCGTCCAGGGCCACGAATTGCTCAAGGCCGAACGCAAAAACTCCAATGTTCCCGTCCAAGAGCTGGAGGTGCTTCTACACACACAGGATGCCATTGACAGGCGAGAGAAGATTCTCAAGATCCTCAAGGCCGAGAAAGTCTTCGACAAATCGCAAAACTACTTCATGGGCCGGATAGACAAGTTTGAGAGGGCTCTTGCAAGGGAGAAGAGGCTCCGGAACCTAAAGAAGCAGCACAACTGGACCACGGAGGAATTCCGGACTGCTGCAGACCTAGTTGGCGAACCTGGACCATACGGTCTCCATGACACCATGTTCAAGGTATGTGTATGCCATCAATCTCGCGGACAATATATTGATGTGTGCAGGTCACACTCGAGGGCCAGGCGACGCCCGAGCAGCAAGAAAAGTGGCTCACAAAGGCGAACGAATACAAAATCATCGGATGCTATGCGCAAACTGAGCTTGGTCATGGCTCCAACGTTCGTGGACTGGAAACAACTGCTACTTGGAACAAGGAAGACAAAACTTTCACCATCCACTCGCCGCATCTTACCGCTAGCAAATGGTGGATTGGTTCATTGGGCAGGACCGCCAACCACGCCGTCGTTATGGCTCAGCTCATCATCGATGGCAAGTCCTATGGCCCAACGCCATTCTGCGTCCAGATTCGAGACCTGAAGACCCACGAGCCTCTCGAGAATATCCATATTGGTGATATCGGTCCCAAGTTCGGCTACAACACCATGGATAACGGTTTCCTTCTATTCAACCAAGTCAAGGTCCCGCATATCAGTATGCTGGCTCGTTACACATTTGTCGACCCAAACACCAACAAGTACGGTCGCCGAGGTGCGCCTTCTCTTGTATATGGTACTCTGACCTGGGTTCGATCGACCATCGTTATGCAAGCTGGTAGTGTCTTGGCTCGTGGTGTCACCATTGCGACTCGATACTGCGCTGTGCGTCGTCAATTCCAGGATCGTGATGCCCCGGCCGGAGAAGCCGAGACCCCCGTTCTCAACTACACCATGGTTCAGATCCGCTTGCTGCCCCTTCTTGCGGCTACTTTTGCTCTCCACTTCACTGGAAAATCCATGATGGACATGTACCAGGAGAACCAGAAGAAGATTGCCCAAGGCACTGCCAGCAATGCGCCGAGTAAGCGCGGAGCAGGCCCCGAAGAGGTGCAATCAGGAAGCGACATGTTGGCTGATTTGCATGCTTCATCTTGTGCCCTGAAGTCGCTCAGCAGTTCGATCGCAGCTGAGGGTCTTGAGGTCTGCCGACGAGCTTGCGGTGGTCACGGCTACTCCAACTTCAGCGGTATTGGACCCTGGTATTCTGACTACCTTCCCACAACCACCTGGGAAGGTGACAACTACATGTTGACCCAGCAAGTAGCACGCTACGTAAGTTCCATGTCTCTATATCAATGCTGATCATCGCTTACTCACATCCTATATAGATGCTCAAGTCTGCTCGCTCTGTCCTCCAGGGTCAAAAGCCAACCAACGACACGACCCAAATCCTCTCGGATTTCCACGCACGCCGCAACATTGGTTGCGCCTTCGATGTCATTGGCTCTGATGATGACCTTGTTTCCGCCTTCGCATGGCGTGTTGCTTTCCTCACTTTCGAGGCTAGCAAGCACCGTGACGAGCAGAAGAAGCCCTGGAACGACCTTCTGGTTGACTTCTACCGTCTCAGCAAGGCACAGGCGCAGTACATGGTTGTCAAGACCAACCTTTCTGCACTCAGGACTATCGAGAAAGAGGGCAAGGTCGACAAGAACATCCTTGATGTACTGATGAAATTGTTCCGCCTCTTCGCGATGCACACGCTTGAGCAAGAAGGTGCAGAATTTTACGCCTCTGGTGCCTGCAGCAAGAACCAGATCTCGCTCGCTAGGACTAACACGGTCATGAACTTGCTCAAGGAGATCCGTCCTCACGCCGTCAGACTGGTAGATGCCTGGGGTTTCGACGACTGGGTCCTGGACAGTAGTCTGGGTCGCGCCGACGGAAAGGTGTACGAGGACCTGTTCCATAGGGCCAGTGAGCTCAACCCGCTCAACGACATTACAGTAGACCCCTACCCAGATAGTGATGTGCTGTTCAAGCGCATTGAGAAGAGCAAGTTGTAAAGACAGTAATCGACCTGTACTTTGGATCTGTAATTGTAGTACACGGATTTAGATGATAGATAAGATAGTAGACAAATGAGATCTAGATGAAATGTAAAGTTAGAGTGGTAAACAATCATTATGCTCTGCTGTCCGTTTCATGAAATACAAGGTCTTCGGGTCAAGAGCTGCCGGCTTCCGTGTAATTTGGTCCGACATGTGGGGTTAAGCGTCTGGTGGTTACTTACATGCACTCCAACATCATCATATAAAGCAACCAAGGTCTCAGACGCTGAACGACTCTCTGAGCACTCATATGTAAATACACGAAAATACACACATATATCCATTCTTACCCACTTCCCAATCGCCTCCAATCCAGCCTACAATGTCACCCCTCACCGGCCCGGGTATATCCCTTACCTTCCCCAAAGACGTACCAAACACAACATCGTCAAACCCTCACAGCAAGAAGACTGCAATACATTACAAGGCCGCCAACCCCGCCTACAACAAACAGCATCTCATTGTCCGCCCAATTGACGATTTAGCGCAAATGAAAGAAGAGGAAGAAGCAAAAGATTCACAAAACGACGTCCGAGTTTACAAAGAAGTTCAGATTTACGGAAAAGAAAGAAGTGACACTGGTACGTACACAACAAGTTCCGCTACAGCCATTAACCAGCACCATGTCCATCGTACCTACCCCAAACAAGGAGGATAAAGCAAAAAAAGAATATCACAACAAAACTAACTCCCACCAGCCCCAGCGTCAGCCGTCCTCCTCGCTCTCATGCAACCCACACCCTCGAGCGCCGCAGACCTAGATGCCTGGTACCGCCAAGAGCACAACGCGCAAATGTCCAAAGAACCCGGATGGCTGCGTACATGCCGATACGAATTAGTGTCTCAATCCAGCGACAACGCAGAGGCGAAGCTGACGTTTTTGGCAATGCATGAGTTTGGCGAGGGGGAGCAGTTGGGGGATACGGTTAAAGCGCTGCAGCCTGTGAGTGAGTGGACGATGAAGGTTATGAAGGAGGTGGTGGGGATTGATGCTGCGATTTATCGGGTTTAGATATCTTAGGTGTGTGGTAATTGTACACTTACTGGTCTTTGAATACCTTATTATTGCTATTATAACTTACTATGTACTTCCTTTCTGTTCTTAGAGTAGAGCTTACATGTAAAGGGGGCAGACTCCGCAACAATCAATCGGATCGGCATGATTGATTCCTATCTAGGTTAAAGGCTGCCTAATGAAGTAATTCTTTAACCTATATAGGAATCAATCATGTCAATCGATTGATTGTTGCGGAGTCTGAAAGGGGGGAAGTTATGTATGTGTTCTTCTGCTGTGTTTTACTATTTAACGGTCTCCCTCTTCCTGCTTTTTGTATCACACTATCTGACTTCAACTATCTACCTCAGACTTTCCATATTACACTACAGTTCCCTACACTTTATACTACCTTACCCGCGTCTACAAGAAACTCGTTGAAAATGCAGCTTCACCTTACAACCGCCGCCCTCTTCCTTCTCCAAGGCGCCTCTGCCCTCGGCAATTATATCTTATGCCACGAATCCCCCCCAGACTCTAACATAGGGAATACTTGTAGAGAACAAGGTCTTTTGTATCTCTGTGTAATTTGAACTTGGCAGCTATTATACATGAACTCAGACCTAATAAACAACTCTCTTAGTGCAATACCAAGTCTATGAAGCATCGGCACTACAAAGACAATTATTACCCGAATCGATACGTGTTCAAGTACTGGGCAGACCAGGAATCTGAACCTCGCGGGTGCCCGGCAACGCTATCTGGCGGGTGGGCCTGCGTCCAATACGAGTAACTCGGCGGCAACAGAGTTACGTTTGCGACAAGGGAAGATTTGACGACGATGGAGGTCAATTAGGAAGGATCGTACGGCAAAACCACATCACTGCTCGTCGACCAACGGCCTTGTCAAGAATCAACCGTCATCGCTCGTCAACGAGCATCCTTACTTTTCTTGCAAGCAATGTATCGCTCATCGACAAGAAGGCTGTCTTTTTGTATATAGTGGATAATATTTAATACGGGGAGGGGCAGGGGAAGTAATAATTTGAAGTGGCTTTTTCTCAGACTTCATAACACTACTTTTCTTTCCTGTCAAGAGCATAAGAATGGAAATATAGCACAATATTAGAAAGAGAAGTTTCGGGTAATAAAATATGGGGGCAAAGCAACAGACATGAGCAAAAGAAGTGGTTATCCGTAAAACTGAGGTTGTTCTCATTTCGACTCGGCTATACATGAAACATGATGTAAGCCCGAACATGCAAGACATCAACCATACCTAGTACCCACCCATGCCCTCCCCGAACCCGGCAAAAACACGTGAGCAGCAGAAAAAGAACCTCGCTTACAACTCCACAGCCCAGACCTACGTATACAATATACCTCAAACAGACACCCACATTACCCATCCCACTCCCCGAATCCCCATCTTCCACCCCCTCCCCTCCCTCCAACCAGACTTGCTATCAGTCAGGTAACTCAGTTCGAACTGACTGAACTGACTGCCAAGACTCAGTTCAGTCAGTCAGTTCTTGAGGCAGCTGGACGTCAGTCCAGTCAGTTCAGAAGCCTCCAGACTGACTGAACTGACTGACGTTAGACTGACGTTAGCTGTTTTTAAAGCAGTATTTTAGAGTTGTGAAAGCCACATTTAGTGCGGCTTCGAAGCCGCGCTAGTCCTAGATATAAAGACACTAATCCTATATAAGTTAAAGCATCTAGCTTTAAGCTAATTAGAGTTTGCGGAAATGCGCTACCCGGTGCGCACCTAGTAAGCCTTTCGCGTCGCGTCGCGTCGCGTCTGCTATACACACGACGCTAGACTACTGTTGCCATAATACTTCTTGGTGTACTTCATGTCTACTCCCTCTAATTCAGGCCTTCGCCGCCTTGTAGAATGCGACAAGCGCAATTCTCCTCTACCATCGCTATCAAACGCGCCTACTGTTGGCGATACTGCGAGCGAGGCCCAGGCTGATGAGCCCTTGGCAGTACAGGCGGACTTCCCCAACGACGGCGACGACGACGACGACGACGACAATTACGACGGGCTTGATTTTAAGCGTGTGCCGTATCTTGAGCGGCGCCAGGTTGAGCGTAATAGTCGCGGTGGGCCAAAAAGCTGGATCTACCGCCACGGCTGGGCCGGTCTGGCACCGCAAGTACAAGAAAAACTACTGGCTTTTGCCGGTACTGCCATCAACGACGGAAGCAGGAGGCTTGCTACGAGGCTGACAGCACTACAAACGCCGGCCGACACCTCTCAAGCAACAAGCCTGGACACTCACACGGACCTAACGGACCTGTACCAATTGCTAGCCGGGAGGGCAATATTATGGGCGCGCTCGCAAAGTCCCAAGTATATATTATGAGGTCTAAAGGGATAGAAGTATCGCAAGAGGTAGCAAACGAGATAGCAGCAAGCTTTTCAACCTCTCGATTTCAGGACGCGCTGAAGGACTGGGTAGTCGCGGACAACCAGAGCCTTCGCGTAATAGAAACGCCGCAGTTTCGAGCCATGATTGCGGCCGTGAGCCCGCTAGCCGAAGCTCTCCTTTGGCGTAGCCACTAAACGCTCCACGATCATATTATTACTGAGTACAATACATACATACTAGCTGTTGCCAACTACCTTCGCGAAGCCCGGTCGCTTATACACGTGTCATTCGACAACTGGACTTCAACTGGTGGGCAGTATGCTTTTACTGGCCTCTGCGTACATTACCTTAACAGCGAGGGCAAGCTAGTTGACCACCTGCTTGGGTTGCCTGAGCTACACGGGGCGCACACTGGCAATAATATTGCCGCTGCAGCAACAACAATACTTCGGCTATTTGGCGTTGACAACGCGAGGGTTGGGTACTTTGTGCTTGACAACGCAAGTAACAATGATACTGCAGTTGAGTCCTTAGCAGAGGAGTTTGGCTTTATCGCAAGCGAGCGGCGGCTGCGGTGCTGCTGCCATATACTCAACCTAAGCGCACAATTAGTAATTTGGGGCAAAGACCGTAGCGCGTACGAGAATGAAGCCGCACACCTTGAGGAAGAGGAGAAGTACATGGATGAGTGGCGCAAATACGGTCCTGTTGGCGTCCTCTTTGACGTGATTGCGTCTATCTGTACGCCTCAAACTCGACAACTACTAGAGCGCCTACAGTGCGAGGAGGCAGAGTCTCTAGGTGTTACACCCCACATCCGGCAGCTTGTGAAGCCTGTTAAGACACGCTGGAATAGCTATTTCAACACGTTTGTCCGTGCAGCTGAGCTACACGGCCCTATCGATGGCTATATTGAGTGTAAACTTGAGGAGCATAGTGCTGCAACAGCAACCTCACGACGCCGGAAGAATCGTGAGCAGCTCCCTGCTGCCCAGCCACGGTTATATATACGCGAAGGGGGTCTAAGCGGCAAGGACTAGGCGACAATAACAGAATACATTCGACTCCTTGAGCCATTTGCCGAAGCTACACGGCTACTTAAAGGTCGCGGCCGACACGGCCGACACGGCGCTATATAGGAAGTTCTAGTAACGTTTGAGTAGCTTCTTAACCAGCTTAAGGCTCTCAAAGACCGCCTTAAGGATGTAAATTACGAAGATCTAGATGCGCCTGAAGATCATCTTATTACAAACGTTAACCTTGCACATTGTAAGCTTGCTAAGTACTACGCAAAATTCGATAACGCGCCTGTCTACTACACTGCTACAATACTACACCCGCACTACAAACACCACCTCTCAGCGCTCTGGAAGGTGCCTGACACCCATGTCACTGCCCGTGACGGTGTCCACTATCGCGACGGCTGGCTTGACAATAACCACCGGGCATTCCTGCGTATGTGGCAGGGGCGGAAGGACTCTGCAGCCACTTCAGCTCACACTGTAACGCCGCCGCGTAAGAAGCCCCGGCTAGGGATTTCAACGTCGCGATCAGCTTTTCTACAGTCGTCAATTGAGCAAAGCACACGGCAGTTAGAGGCAAGCCTTGCTGAGGATGAGTATGAGATATGGAAGCGGCAACCAGCGTTAGCTGAGGAGGATTGGCTGTCTCTTAATCCGCTTCTATACTGGGAGTCAGTTGCTGGGCAGTTCCCTATACTCTCAAAGTTCGCTATTGACGTCCTAACAATACCAGCAGCAGCGGCAGACTGTGAGCGGACTTTCAGCGAGCTTGGCGACATGTTAGGCACCCGGAGACTCCATATGAAGCCAGAGCTTATTTCAGCTTTGCAGAGCTTGAAGAGCTGGAAGAGGCTTGGTATACAGCCAACAACTACCTCAGCTTCTGGGCTAGCGCGCACACTATCAGAGGAAGAAATCTCAAAAGTACAGGAGCATTTATCTCAGTTCGACGTCAGGTAACTCAGTTCAGTCAGTCCAGTCAGTCCGCAGGCCGCGGCGACGTCAGTTCAGTCAGTCAGTTTTAGTTTAATTGAAAAGTCTTGGCAGTCAGTCCAGTCCAGTTCAGTGACCTCAGGACGTCAGTTCAGTCAGTCCAGAGAGCTCCGGACTGACTGAACTGACTGATAGCAACTCTGCCTCCAACCCACATGCCCACCTGCCTACCTACGGTACCTCCCTCCCTCCTTCCCTCCCCCCGCCCTCGCTTACAACCCCCTCCACCACCCCAACCCCAACCCTGCACCTACCAGGTCAACAAGTTTCAGCCCTGTAGCACCGCATATGCCACAACATGCCCAGAGCGGGAAAAAAAGGCCGCAGCGATCACCAAGGGACGGTCCGCGGCGGACTGTAGCCGAGAGGGAGCAAGGAAGACCAACCGAGATCCAGGGTTCTGGAGCCGATGGGGGACATGGTTGTTGACACGACAGCAAAGTGTGTGAGGGGTAAAGGTAGGGCAGGCAAATATGGTAGTCTGAAATGCTGTATCTATCAAGTGAGGCTTTTATCGTGTGTTATGAGTTGCAAGAAGACGGTGCTGACATATCATGGGATTTTAAAGCTAGATTTGTTCTTTTTTGATTTTTCGATTCTCGTGAGCTGAATTGACCTGAACGTGCTCGATCGATCGATCGATGAGTAGCTATGTAGAGAGAGAAGAAGAAAAGATACGAGAGCGCAGCACATGATGAGTGCATTGATTGGAAAAGTACAAGTGTGCCGTGGGAGGGTCGGAAGCCAGGTTGTGTGGGCGAGGTGAGGTGTCAGGTGGCCAGAAAAGATTAAGGTTTTTTAAGCGAGAGGAACAAAACGTCCATGTGACTAGATAACCGTCTTACTGCCTTTTTTTTCTATTTTCCGCCATGTCAGAAGCGGTGGTCGAGACGCTAGAGTACTGCGGTGAGATACGCGGTGGGAAGTTATGCGAGGCGGCACGAGCCGTAGTTTCCCATCTTTGCCCCCGTCTTTCTCTTTCCGCAACTTTAACTTGCTGCAGCAGCAGTAGTGTCTTGATCCTAGGCTAGGGTTGTGATACCACACCTATTTGCTTCCATGGCCTTTGTTGCTATGCATGGATATGTGTGTAGGTACGAACGGACGGACTGGTGTTGTCTAACATGAGAAAGAGATCTAGATCACAAACCGAACATGTCAATGACGATTAGGAGAACAATATGTCTCTATTAATGCGAAACATGGATATTCCGCGGGAGCGACGGCGGCCACATCAGCCGCAGGCTGTCTACTCGGCTAAAGATGAGAGGAAGAGAAAAATGACCGAATAAGTGCATGCTACTTTGGCCCCTTGAACCATGCAGCAAGTTCCGAGATTCGTCTTCGTTGCAGATATAAGGGTTACTGGGTTGATATGCATGTCTCATGTAAGTAAAACACTTCGGCAGCAACGCTATGGCGACGACATGTCCGGCATTAGAAAGACGTGCATCGTAGAAGCTTTCTTGATCTGATGATCGTCTCTGGAGAGGTAGGTTCGGCGAGAATAGGGCGTGGTGGCTGGCTGGCTGTACTGGCAGTTGAGCGGGTGTAATGACAGATACGCACGTGTAGTCCATTGCGCAATGCGAAAGTCTTTGAAGTAAAGATGGAGAAAAGAAGAAGAAGAAAGTAAGAAATCAAGATGTAGCCAGCGACTACTGTCATGTTTACATGAGTTGCATAATGAAAATAGGAGTGAACTTACCATACTTCACATTGACTTCATCCAACACCCACAACCCTACCCGCCCACATCACTCCGCCCCCGATCCTGACACCTGACAAAATCCACCACATGACAACGCCTCACCCTCGCTTCCCCACCTCCTCCCACGTCACAAGTCCCACGTAACACGCACTGCAAAAACGCCAACCCAACCCCCAACACGCACACACAAAAACCCACCATCCACAAGCGCCCTACTAACTAAATCCTCCTGTCCAACCCGTATTCGCTTTCAGCAGCATGGTGCTACGACATGGGGGCGAAGCCCGTTGTACAACAGCGCGGTTGGGCGTAAGGAACCCTCAATAGCCCACCTAGCCTTACATCCAAGGCCCAGCAGCAAGCAGCGCGCCTATAACGGGCGGCAGTGCAAAGGCAAGGGGTGTCCCTCCGAAAGAAAACGTTCAAAGAAAAAACAAAACAAAGACAGAAAACGGGATGATGTAAGACAAACGACGTCAACGCTCCTTCGTTTTTTTCTTTCTCGAAGCCCTCCCCCGCGGACAGACAGATGCATGTTCCAGATCATCGACGTATAGGCATTTGCGGGGTGAGATGGCACTACCGTAGAGCCGAACGAAGCTTTCCGCGTAGATCGGGCGTTTAGATGGACGACGAGACAGAAAAGGCTTGTCTGTGCATCGATTGACGACGATTGTGTGTCCAGCCAGTGAGACATGCATCGTCATGATTTTTTGTGGGAACCAACATTGTGCAACGAGCGCGGCAATTGGGGAAGGGGGGATGTCAGCAGCGGACCCGCTTTTCCCCGTGAAGTGAACGTGAGCGTAAGACGAGCTGACGTGCAACTCGTCGATCAATCTCGTGAAGAAAGGAAACAAGGTAAGTAAGTCGAGCAAGACAGATGTCAAGGAGCGGGAGGAACGTTTGTCTTTGGCTACATGTTTTGATTGAGTTGTGTACTTTGTCTCTCGGGCTGCAGTTCCCTCGAGAACACATACGCCAAGATGGGCTAAGCTATACTACGTAACCAACACCAACCACCCTTCCTTCCCTTCCTAGGTCTAGTTGTGTTACCCACTACCACCCCCCATCCATTAGAACTTAGCAATATGTTTAATTGAAACATGTCCTAGGAAACTTAATTCCATCCCAATGCAACCCCACCAGAAAAAGGGGTGGCACAGACCCGCGACTGCGCTTGCCTCCTCGAGTCCCAGACAAGGACGAGTAAAGGTATAGCCGCCGAAAACCAGACAAGATTGCATATCTCTTGTGGTTATTTGAACAAAATGAAATATAATGAAAGTGAGACTAGGGCTGAAGAGCCACCGCTGCATAAACAATTGCATGATGAAATGATGATGCTCGCTTTTTGCCTGATGCAGAAACTCGGCATCACTGATATTCCAAACCGCCGCCCCAACACCGAAAGAATCCCACTTAAGGGAAGAACAGTAGAGCCAGACTACCATACTGCACAGAATGAGGGAAATATTGCTCTAATAATCGTTACAGACAAAGGAAATTCGTAACTCTGTGATGAGTGTTGGTCGTGGCTCCAATAAAGGACCGGTATCTTTTGTCATACAGTCGTACTTTCGTAGAACACAAAGTGTAATAAGATAAGGGTACAAGGTCGTGCGCGACGACGATGGGGGTATTACTCGCACGCAATTATCGACAGGGCTAAAAAAAAAGGGAAGGGTTATCCAGCAGACCGCGTAATGAGATTAGCGGCTAGCCCGAAGACCCGAAGAGCGGCCGAGGAAAGATCCAGGGAACCGGAGGTCGCTAAGATACTTGAAGAAGGCACGCTTACGCGACGGCGTTCTCGGTAGTAGTGCGGCGGCTTGCTGCATGGGACCGACAATGTCTTCATCACCGAGGTTGGGGAATTTGCCCTCGCTCTTTGCGTCGTGGAGCGTGGGCATTTTGGTGAGTGGGCCCGGTTCTGTGGGTGAACATGGTGCGAGCGTTTGGCCAATGGCCGCAGCATGTGATTTGGCCAGATCGTGATTCTTCTTCCATTCGGCGTCGATTTCTGCCCACTTTTGCTCGGTGAGACGGTAGTGTCTGGATGTCACTCCATAGTGCTCAGCAGTTCGCACCTGGTGCTTTGCATAATTGTGGCGCGCTTGCGCCCATTCTGCAAGGTGCTCTTCAATAGAGGCTGACGTACACACTTCGGGCAGATATGGTTCTGGGAGAATGGTGAAGTTGGCGTGACCCAATGCAATGGCCCATTTGTCCTCGGGATCTGCGAGCATTAGAGGAGGAATGTCTGCAGAAGGCACAGCATATCCGATGTTGGACCTTTTGATAGACGAACATGATGGCCTGGAAGAGAGAGGTGGTGTTGGATATGTGCGCATCGGCGGTGTTCCAGCTGGAGTTGGGCCCAATGATCGCGTGGCATCGGCGACGGCTGGTGACTGCAGAGGCGACGACGTTGGGAAGTCGTTGTTGCGGCTGTTCACCAGCAGTGGTGGAAGCAATGGGGTAGTGGCATATCGCTCCCTGTCCACCTCCTCAGGGTCGATCTCCATAGCATTGGCCCTGCCGACGTCAATAGCCATGGGTGTAGGCAAGTCCTCGCTCGATTGTTCGCGGCTCACCAAGCCGGGCGTGGAAGTCGGTGACATGGACTCTTCAGGGAGATCGATGGTCGAGACGTGGTGAAGAGAACCAGCAAGCGACGAGGACCGCGTAGACGGGACTCGTGAAGGCGTGGCACTGCGCGATGCCCTGCTGAGGGTGGAGCTGCGGTCGCGGACTCTGCGTGACAAGGATGGGAAGCGTCTCTCAAGCTTGCTGGTGATGCTGTGTGCGGATGCTTCTAGCGACCGTCGTCGCTTGGCCATTCGTAGTTCCGAGCCGCAAGTGGTGAAGTACTCGTCCTGAGGCTCGTAGGCTCTGGAGATCCTGCAGTCTTGAGCATGGTCAAAAGAGTCTTGGGCATCGCCTGGTGTGCATGAGTATGGTAAACTTCGAGAGTGGGCTATATGTGATACTTACAAGAGCAGCGGTATGGATCTTCGCTACCGTAGTCGTACTCGCGCTCCAGGGGCTCCTCAGTCAGCTTGGGCAACTTCCCCGAGCTGTTGGGAGGCTCAATGGGGTCGTGGATTGGCGGGCTCGAGGAAAGCGACGAGGCGGAACTGGGGAAGCGAAAGTGACCCCGGATATACTGGCTCGGCGTAGGCGGCGTAGAGCACTCGGACGCAGAGTAAAAACCTGAGTCGGCATTGGAGTAGATTGAACAAGTCGGGTCGTCAGACATGTTGAGTGAACCTTTGGAAGACTTGCGAGCAGCGACCAACTTGGAGAGGTGGAGCGGCTTATGGTCTTGAGTAGTAGGAGACATGCCGATGTTGGTCGTCGAGCAGTAGCGTCTCTTTGATTTGGCGGTCGGGGCGTGACGCGAATTTGGGCGCCGGCATCACCAAGCAGATCAAGGAAGGCAAGGCGCGCAAAGTGCGGCCAGCTCGTCACGATAACGGAAACACTGCTTTGGGAGTCGAGGCGGTCTCGTGGAGTTGGAGTGCTTGAGAGGACGCCACGAATCCAACCACGTATGTACAGTTCGGCCTGTTTATCCTGCAAAGACGTCTAGAATGCCAAGTCAGCGCCTGCGAATGGCACCTGGGCCGACGTGGAGCAGCACGTGAGTTTGGTGGACTGGGGTTGGTCGCACTCACCGAGGCAATTGGGAACTGGCTGTTGGGCAACAGGTTTCGAGTGTGTAAGCGAGAGACAACACAGCAAAGCACAGCGGTAAGGCGTCGAAAGTGGCAGCGGATTGACACGGATGGACAAGAAGGACGAAGACGGGGCGTGGTGATGGTGGACCATTTGTCTTGTGGGCAGCAGCGACCGGGAAGTGGCTTTTGCATGCCAAGGGTCAATGAGGAATAGCTTTCCGGCAGCTGTTGCTCTCCCCCGGTTTAACGACTCACGGTACACAACACCGTGACACTCACAGAAAGCTCAGGGCGCCGTCGCTTCACAAGGGACCCCCCGCCTAAAACCCGCCGTTTGGACCACCATGCCCGTCCTTGCACGGCATCTCCCTGGATCAACCCAACACTCAACAGGCCCTGGCGACATGTAGTCGATTTTTCACCTTGCCCAACCTAATTTATGTACCAGGCACACCAAATTATCCTTGCTCGTTCCCACACAGAGCAAACTCTCTTTTGCTCTGGAGACTACAGACTGGGAGAAGGCTACAGATTAAGCCATGCAGGAACAGCCGCTGTATTGCCTTGCTGACGAGCTTGATCGTACTGCGCAGAGCATCGTGCCACCACCACTACCCTCGTCACTGTGGCGGCCACTTGACAGACTCGTCTATCCGGCAGTGTAAGGCAAAAAAAGAAGATCATGGTTCGCCAGGCCCGGCCCTTCCCCATTGCTTCTTCGACCCTTTTTTCCATTGCCGTGTCTCAGTCATGACATCGCCAGGCATATTATAGTCAAGACTTCATCCCAATCCTGCTCCCCGTAGGTACTGCCTACATGGTGCCGTCTCACGTCCAGACACCGATTGGCCCACGGAGTATCGAAAACAGGGGGGTGTTGCTAAGAACTGCCTGTTGTGAAAACAAACAAACACGAAGCCGCTGCCAGAGCCTCACTAGGTTCAAAACACTGACTGATCCATTCTGATCATGTTTCAAACATGAGGCCCCGTTGCCGAGTCAATTCGTCGACGATCGCATCGTCATGAGACAGTACGAAGCGCCAAATGACCTCGCGCGAGCGGTACCCGTGCTCAGGACGAGGTTGGGGCAGCCTCCCAGCACAGCGAAAAAAGCCAGCGGGCGCTCTGGCAAATCGGGGAACTTGGTGGAAGTGATTGGCCTTTAGCCCCTGCCGCACTACACTTGTATCCATCTCCCCGGCGCCCACCGCGATTTCAGCTGGGCCCGTCTCCTTGTTCGCACGCTTTGGCGGCAAGCCTCACACCGCCAGCGCATCTCCTAGGTAGGCGTTCAGCGGCGTGCTTTTTTAAGGGTCTGCGGCAGCGTCATGACCACCCGTCCTTCAGCTCAAAATCCCATGACGACAAAAGCTTTTTTGCACCATGGGAATCGCGCGGTTTCATCGCTGTCGTGCCCTTTGCCTTGGAGCCCAGGAGAAGGAAAAGTCGGTCCTACGCTATGCCTGTTCCGCGCCGGCACGCTGGTGACAGGCTCCTGGGACGGCCATCATGACGATTGTCAGCAAAAGCATTCTAGTAGCATCGGTTCCGGTCTCAACTCGGCATAAGTCCCGCTCGCTTCATTATGCCTTCGAAGTATCCTTTTTCTCGTGATTCTCTTTGGCCAGACCGGACGACACGGACCTGCAGGCGGGCGGGAGAATACCGTTATGCCGCAGCCCACCCACACCACCCACACCACGCGCAACGCCTAACGTGCATGAAGCCATCAAGAACAGCCGGTTCAACGAGGTACTCTGGAGCTGATAGCGCTGGAGCAAGAGGAAATTGCGTTCCTGTAAAAACAACATATTGCATCTACTTCGCGACCACGTGTCGCCTTCACATTGCGCAACGCACTGCCTCATCCCAGATGAAATGCCGTCATGGAGAAGCGCGCACACTGCGCAAACATTTCCGCAACAGAGGCAGAGACGGCTCGTTGCAGGATGCCAGTCCAGACCGGTCTGATGGTCGCTTAGTGCTGCTGATCTCTTATGGGCCTGACCGGATGGATGAAGGATTCCTTCAACTAACGTGGCAGCGTGTCCACCGATGTGTTGAGCGCCGATGTACCGCGGCTTGGAAGTACTGGGAAGTACATACTGTACGTGTCTATCGATAGTCGACGTGACGTATTTGTCCATGGAAGCTGGTTCCGGTGCAGCGGCACACAGCCCTGCGCACATACATCATCGCTCATGTATGTTTTGCGCAGCTTTGTTTTAATGACATGACGTTTTGGCTCTCCATGTGCCCGGACTACCGAGCTTATTGGAGCAAGTTCTCCAGATGGGATTTGCTTTTGCTCGCAAAACCCAGACAACCGCAAAGCAAAGCTTGCGAACAGACATTTTTCTTACCTTGCAGCAATTGGTCGATTATTGGTGGATACCCACAGCTCAACGGCGTGAAAAAGATGCAAGCGTAGACTAAAGCTGCGAACCTGTGCTCGGCAGACAGCGGCCCCTCATTGACAACCACTTCAAATTCAAAATCTACCCAATCGTAGCGTCCCGGACCTCATATCCATAGCACAGTGCGCAATCGATGTCTTCAAAGCGTCGTAATCGCCGATATTCGCGGGGTAGACTGACGAGCTGTTCGGTACGCGTTCGCATCAATGAAATCTCCTCACATCAAATCCAATACTTGCTCCATAGTCTTCTATACTCAACCGAGCCCTCGAGCTGCTCACCTGGGTTAGCCATCTTACGTTATAATTCCATTATGTGCCAGAGACCCATATTATGCGCTTACAAGTCCACTCGTCGGTAGTTGGGGTTCGGATTACACGTACCTCAAAGTCAGCCGTGATGATGTCTGCAAAGCCCTCGGCGGATTTAGGTTCACGGTATCTCGAAGCGAAGCCACTGAATGCAATATGTGGCAAGATAGTGCGAGATTCCCGGTTCGACTGTGGAAATTAACGTCAGCATGGGAGCTTCTCCGTATGGTAATAATTGGGTTTGAAGCAGCCCGACGTTCCGTGCATTCAACTGCCCTATCGGGCCAATAGTGTAACCGTCTAGATTCTGAGCAATCGCCAAGCAGCGGCTGCCGCACGGTATCTAAACTCTTTACTTGGCGCAGCAAACTTACTTCGGGCCCGATGTTCAACGCACGAAATGCATCATTATGCTCGCACAGCTTAGGTGGCGCAGTAAAGAGCACGCACCGTATCGGTACGTTCAGCTTCTGCGCTAATGTAATCCACACGGCTCGTGTATCTGGATCGGCATTTGTATTGTCTTGGTCCGTCAGCCTTGTATGCGGACTTGATTGGGGTCCCGAATATACATACCGATGACTGCACTGGTACCCTCTTGTAGGAATGCAGTAGCTGCTTTTACGCACTTTTCGCGCTGTCTCAATGTGTTACTCAAAGTATTCGGAAGTCGCACAACACGTGCGGAGGGCTGTGTCAGCAACTTACAGTTTTCAGAGTGTCCTGATTCACGCGGGCGTAGCCAAATGGCTGCAGATGTTTCCAGTAGAAGGATGATTTCCCTGCACCTGGACAGCCACAGAACAGGACGATCTCGGGGGTTGCCGGTTTCGTGAAGACTAAAACTAAAGTTAGTCTGATGTGGTTGAGCAACGTCTGCGTGGTCATATTATTGAACGTACTTGCAGATTTTGGCTGTTCAGCACGCTCTTCCATGTAAGCGGTTGGCTCAAACGCTCTTACGAATGACCTGGGCTCCTCATGGCGGAAATACTCCTCTGGCGTATGGAAGGGTATGCCGACATTAGCTGCAAAGTCTCTAGTTAAACTTAGCATATCCCATACTCTGCAATACGTGAATCGGGACCGCCACTAACCTGTCACTACACGAGTGATCCTTTGCAGCACTGCCAGCCACCACTGCTTCGCGCCCACCGGCATCCCCAACAAATACCGAGTTTTCTAGGTCGACCGCGTCTGCATGCTCAACATCATAGTCTTCCAATAACTCTTGCCACATTCCCGTTCTGGGTTTTCTATACTGGTCTCGGCTTGTTGCCGCATATATCGATATTGGAAGGTCGAGCTGAGTGAGAACGGCGGTAACCTTGGTCTTGAAGTCCGCTAGCCGCTTCTGATCAGACTTGACAGTCTTTGGGTCGGGTTTTAGACTGATGCCGCCTTGGTTGCTAATGATAGCAATTAGGAAGCCGTCGTTATGAAGCTCCTTCAGCCGTCCTGGAACGCTACTGTCCCACCACTTCCAATCACTCGCATCGCGGCTGAACGTCCTTCCAGAAGCCGATGTGATCAGCGTTGAGTCGAAGTCGAAAGCCGCTATACGTCGACGCTTCGTTGCTGATTGCGCTGCTGCTGTGCCAAAGCGCCCGACTAGCAGACTGTCCTTTACAACTCGCCAGACCATCTTCTCGGGCTCTTTTTTGGACACGGGTGTAAAGAAGTTGGCAACTGCTTTGTCTTGTTTACGTTAGCATAACATGGCTAGCATGTGTGTCTAGCGGACGGACTTGTTGTGGTTGACTGCTGTCGCCGCTTCGAAGGAGGTGGTGAAACGTCTTTGCCGCTAGAGCTCGGTCTTTTGCTTAAACCAGGTCGAGAAGACATTTTAAGAGCTGTAATATTAGCAAGAGCGGTGCATGCCGGTAGTGAGTAGTCGTGAAACGATCGTGTTGACAGGCCAGCTTTAGTGAGATGGGCGAAGTTGCTCGCTTGCGCCTTCCGTTCCAACACGAGACGCGAAGTCGCGCGAGCACGTGCACGTGCATGACCAGAACTTCACATTCACGACGGATAAGGCAGTCGTCACGCGCAACATGTCATTGGTCTTGGAAGCTGCTATCTGTTTCATACGAAATTCAAACAAGGGATCCAGGCCTTGTGCGCGGCTATCTCACAATCCGTCGGTCCGCCGATCAGCGCAGTACAGGTACATTGACCCGACACGTATCTGCTGTTGGTCTTAGATGATGGGACTGTATTTGTTATCGTCACGAGCTGTTGAGCCTCGAGCCTTCCTTCTTCTGCCACGTGTTCACCATGTTACTTTCCGTCGTCTGTTATCAGCATGACTTCCTGAGGATTCTCGAAGAAGGCTCAACGCGGTCGTACTTGTGTAGGAGCAATCTGAGGGGGTTTGTACTTGACACGAGTATCTAGGGCAAGACGGTCCGGCAAAGACAAGTTCACGCAGCCCTTCATCTGCGTCTGGAATCTCTTAAGCTCATTCACACCCGCCTCCAGCACGGCTGCATCATTGAAATCTTCGATCCGGACTGTAGCATCCAGCACGTATGCGCCACTGGGGTCGAGGAGCTTGAGCCCCGTCCAGATTGGAAGAGTGGTCTTGGGTGCAGTCTGGACGTTGCGCAATTCTGGCTCGTGCAGAATGCGCCAAAGAGATATGATGACGTTGCCGTGTATGAGACGGTATCCCTCAATGTAATACTCTTTAATGAACCTGCGAGGTGGTTAGATGGTGCTAACACAATGCTGAGAGACATTCGAACTTGTTTGGCCCCGAGGCGATGATAAAAGCATGTGGATCGCCGGACAGCAAGTCGGTTGTGTGGGTGAAGCGGATCGACACGCCTCTATCACCTGTATCTGGTATGTCATTGAAGACAAACGACCATACAGGCTCCTCTCCGTCTTTTACGTCTGCAGACAGTGTCTTACCGCTCTCTTGCGGCAGGGTACCCTCGACGCTGAAGTCATCTTCGGACAGCTTCTGGACCAGCTTGGTGTAATACAGAGTCACAGGCGCGGCCTGCTTGGCCTGCTTTTGGGCGACCGTCTGGGTGCCGCCACGACGGCCGAGATTGGAGCCCGGCTCCTCAGGTTCACGGAGAGGCTTGTAGACGATGCAGCGCTCGTGAATGCGCTGGGGCTGCATGGCAGCAACCCCCGCGAGAATGCTCAGAACCTGCTCATAGCGGGCAAAAGTAACCTGGCCGTGGAGTTTCAACTCGTGCATGGTGTCAAGGTCGGAGCCGCACCGGAGTAGCAGCGAATATCGATATCCAATTCCCGCTGGTCAGAGTGCGGAGAGGGCCGTGGGGTCGATAAGGCGGGCGGGCGTGTGCAGCGTTTCGATTGGTGGGGAGGGATGCACTTGCAGAGTTTAGAAAAGAGTGCCGCGGCCTGGACGGCGCGCGTGCAGGAGCTAGGCGCTATGGCCCGGAGAGGTGGAAGCAGGAAGAACGACTTCAACAGTTGTGGTTGCGCATGGCCACCCACGTCCGTCTCGATCCGCCACTTTGCGCTGAAGCGGGGTTGACATGGCAAGGAATGCATGCGATTCTCGCTGCTCATTCGAGCATGGCCAGATGTCACTGCGTACCCGCGGGAGCATCGCGTGCTTTTCGTCTGACAGGTCGCATGTTGAGCGGCTTCGGCCTTAGCGTTCCTTCTGCAAAAGTGGAATTGATAATATTTATGGTCCATCATCACGGCTCCCCTCCACCAACCTTGAAACCTTCTTACCTTGCCTCTTGCCCTTTCCTCAACAACCAAACAACACAACTCAATACCACTATATTGACCCGTCTGCCACCTGTTTCCTGACTTTCTTCACTCCTCTGCATCAATTCTTTCGACACGGCGCATACGACTGCCAATCTCTCTCTCAGCACAACAACCTTCTCACTACCTCACAATGTTCGCTACCAAGGCTCTCGCTCGCCAGCCCATGATCCGCTTCCTCGGAAAGCGCGTCACTCCTCAGAGTACGTTAACGTTGTACTGCAGAGTGACCTTGGCTACAAAAATTAACACAGCGTCGCAGACATTGACCATACCCCGCACGTGCACCCAGCCTCCCCCACCAACGAGCTTCCTTCATCTTTCAAGGCCTACCGCAAGAAGGCACAGCAGCACGGCCCGCTCAACCACATCCCCAGCGTTTTTGTTGGTGGCCACATCGGCGGTTCAGCTGGTAGGAACCTCGGACCCGTCGAGGCCGGAAAAGGTCTTTACTTTGACCGCTCCGAGCTGCCCCAGCGCTTCCAGCCCGCATCTTTGACACTGGCCGAGATGGAGCTACTCGAGTCCGGTGGCGCCAGCCAGTTTGCGTAGACACGAAAAATAAGCGGAATCGGAGTTACTTAAGATAACGCGCGGATGTCATCGGATCAAGCCGCGGTACACATGAAGACATGCGCTCACGCGCACGAGAACGGGCGAGAACTTACCATGACTTGCTCATGATGCCTCGGCACAACTTCAACAAACGGTCTGGCGAGAGTGAGAGAGACCGGGCTACTCTCGTTTTATATACCCACCTAGACAGTTATCCGGGATGCGAGGATGGATTACTGGGAGGAAAGCTTCTTCGGCTAGGACAGCGCGAGGAGCACGGCATGGTGTTTACTGGTTACTGCATACATTGTTCAACACAGAATTAATATACAATTGATACCACCTGCTTGACATGGTCGTGATGTACAGCTGCCAACTCATAGTATCCACTCGGGCGCCATAATACTTGACATACTTGTGTACAAGCTGCAAGGGCTACTGTATTCGCCTATTATGTGCTTACCAACACTGTCAAGTATTTTATGACACCAGGTGGTATCACCCAAGTCGTGCCTACTAGCAATTCAATAGTCCCCCGCACACGTCACTTGGCTAAGTATTGCGCAATGCGCACAACAAGCAACATCACGCGATGACATGTGCACGGTACTCGCCCATGCGTTGGCGGCATCCAACGACACCACCCGGACACCTTTCGGACATATATCGGAGTAAAAGCCCCCACACAGCCTCGGCTTATCCCAACTCAGAAACGCCGCGCCCCCAAAACTTCGACTTTCCCACTTTGGCAATATCCCGCCCTACCTACAGTAGCTACACGCTTGCATGTGAAAATTCTCAGTCAACAAAAGAGCAACAAAAAAGCAATGTTTAACTTTCCCTTCTGCCCCCATGGTAGTTGCGAAACAAAGCCCATGAGAGCGTTTTTTGTTGTTGTTGTTGTGCATGATGGATCCACCGGATGAATGTCGCTGGCTGCAGGCAAAATGCCCTTATCCCGAGTGATACGGCTTTCGCCGTGTGTTGGTTGCTAGGTATACTTGCCGCGTTTGGTAGGTTGGGTGCTGTGGTGTTGAATGTAGTGTCTTCCGGTGGTTAAAAGAATGCTGTGAGTTTTGAGTCAGTGTGTTTGTTTCGTCGTGGTGATATGTGAAGGTTTGTAAAATAAGGTTTTGGATGTCATGGCGTGGCGTGGTTTGTGTTGGGGAGTTGAGTTTAAGTTGATTTTATCTTCATGGGTATCTATATGTTGGTACGAGTTTACTCTTTGCTGAGCTGCATGCAGCTGTCGCGTGGTGATATCAAACACCTCTGTTTCTAAACCTTGTCAGTGACATCCAAGGTGCCTGGATTGTGTGCCACGTCCTTGCCCTTTTGGTCTGTGAAGAGGACCTATGCGACTTCGTCAATTTGATACCGTCTCATGGCATGTCTTGACGTACCTTGTGACTATCTTTTCGACCTGGATTGGTATGAGATCAGCGTCTGTGTCGTACTCTGCCTGCGACAGACATATCAAGCAATATTATTGAGACTCAGGAGAGGAATGGCAAACGCGATCAGAGACGTACATCACCCTCATGTCGTCCACCTCGGATCTTAGTATATACGTGGTCACCCTCTTGGATAGTCTCGCCGTTCTTGGACATGATGTCGTCGCCGGTGTTGCCATCTTGGGACTTGATAGCAGGGGTGTGCGATTCGATCTCTTCTAGGGAATGGGAAAGTCGGTTTGCCATCTTTTGTTATTTTCTTGTAGATAGCTAGTTTAAAGAATGGTAAGTGCTGTTTGCACGATATGGCTCAACACCATCTCGGAGTATTGGTGATGGGGGTAGTGATCACGATGATGTCATCGTTACAATACTACAACATCCCCGCGAAAGGACATATGTTGTTGCGCAACCACAAACATTCCAAGGTTGCCTTACAACACCTCCTGGTCATCAAAACATACTGCACCGTTATGAACCGCCAAGGTAGATAAGAGACTAGATGAATCACCGTCATACTAAGATCGCCGCACTCACCTGGGCAACGTGCAGCCCAAAGTTCAACGACAAAGTCCTACGCACAGACATGCGTGCAAACCCGTGCGATCGAGGAGCCCCCATGTTTCAGACTCCTACCACAAGAACACCCTCACTGAAAACCCAAGACGGTCCAAGACGGTCAACAAGCAAGAACCCCGGTTTTCAAGGGCGTTCCTCGCTTGAAACACAAAGTACACACAACACAAGGATCGCTGGACTTCGAGTCATGTCATGAACGCGCGCCCATTGCCCAACACTTAACAGACGTCACAGCAAATTTAAAAAAGCACAGGCGAACGCGTCTCCGCACTAATACATTACAGGCGCAGGCCAAACCTTGGACTCGTTTTCTTTTGTTCCCTTCTTCCCCAAAATGACAGGCATCTCGAACCCGTTCCATGATGAAACAGACTAGGAACACCCCTTCCTCTTCCACAGGCGCTCTATTTTGAGTTGTGACAGAGGCAAACGTTTATTTACGTTCGGGGTCTGTTTTGCAAACGACGATGGGTGTGTTTCCAAGGTTACGAGCTGGGAAAAGAATGAACCAAAGGGTCCAGACTTCTACTCGTGACACACAATGACAGCGGGTTAAGGGTCCATTTGCCAATTGAGGGGGCGGAGAGGGCAGAGTAAGAATGGCTGAGACACACACCGCCGTTACATCAGGGGAACGCGCTCGCGGTTCCGCGCAAAATAGACGTCGTATTTTCGGATGAGCCGGCGCAAATATCGATAGGTCTTGGAGGCTCTGGGCGCGCGACAACGAAGACGACGACGACGACGCACGGAGGTCCGGCTGTGATCGAGGCGGCGGCCATAGCGAGGTTCTTTTTTGCACAGCCTGCACAGCCACGTGCGCCGGGGGAACTGCGGAAGGAGATTACCGATTACGGATGGACATGAATCGAGAGTGCATCTGAGCCATTAGGCCGGCGCGGTATAGCCCAGGGATGCTCGGCTCGTGCTTCGAGTGCGTTGGGCACCAACGTAACTTTGCACCGCAAAAACAAAGAAAGCAAGCGACTCAAAGTAGACGTCATAGAGAACCATGAACGACAAAGCTTTGGTCGTTACAAAGAGCATGCGACGTCACATTGTGGGAGATTATGATGATCATCATGGAGGAGATTTGATATTTGCAGTGCATAATGTATTTTCTTCAGCTAACTATCCGTGTCCATTTCCCTGGCACATGGGTATCGCGGTAGGTGAACCCATACACCAACCCTAGGTATCTGTACAATGAAGTGTGAAGTAGAATGGTAAGACCAAATGCCCGGTGCGTACACGGTAGCATAATGGTCAACGAGTGACAAGAAGAGAAAAGAGAACCAGCCCTCCAGAGCGAGGACCAAATTCCAAAAAGCAGAGAGCCCACAAACAATGCAACTCTTGAGGGCGTGTATGTAATGTTTGATGACTCCATTCACCGGTCCTGCCTGATGCGAAAGAAAACATGTCGTAACTTGGTCGTGCAAAGCGCTGACCCGGCCTGCGCTAGCTAGATAGGAGATCTTGGGTATATGTATCATAGCGTTGAGAGGTTGAAGGGAGCGCTTAGAGAAGAGTCCATGAAGCCTTGAGGCGGGTGGTCTCCTCGATGCCAAGTGCCTTCCAGGCGCCACGGGAAAGGTCGACGTCGTAGGTTCCCTTGCAGCCGGGGCAGAGGTCCATGATGGTAGCGACGACAGATCCGCCGTTGTAGTTGACCTTGACCTTCTTTCCGCACCATGGGTTGGTGGCAGCGCCGGTCTGGCTGTTGTAGGTAGAGCCACCCATCTCGTTCCAGGCACCCTGAGCGATGGCAACAACAACGTCGTCGTCGTAAAGGGCCTCACCGCAAGCACCTGCTGCACCAGTGTTGTCGTAGACAGTGATGTCGACATCGTTGAACAAGCTGCCGGCAGACATACCGGAGGCATAAGAGTTTGACTGGGCGGGAGCGGAGTAGGCTGGTGCGGGGGCCTCAGGGCTTGCTTCAGGTGCTGGAGCAGGAGCAGGCGCAGGAGCCGGGGCAGGAGCTGGGGAAGGTGAAGGAGCTGGCGCTGGAGAAGGAGTGTAGGCAGGAGGGGCAGGAGCCTCGACAGGGCTTGGTGTCGGGGCAGGTGCAGGTGCGGGCTCTGCGGAAGTCTCAGGCGCAGGAGCAGGAGTCGGGGTAGGAGTGGGAGTGCTGGTGGAAGTGGGAGTCTCGACAACAGGAGTCTCGACAGGAGGAGTGTAGGCCGGAGGAGTGTAGGCCGGGGGAGCAGATGCAGAGGAAACGGCCTTGGCTGGAGGAGAGCTGGCTGGCTTAGGCTGTTGGTAGAACTCGCCGGCACCGGTGGTGGTGGTGGTGGTGGCAGCGGCCGAAGAGGTGGATGCAGCAGGGCTGGCAGACGTAGAAGTTGGCACATCGCCGTAGACTGTAGTATAGACAATAACAGTCTCTACGACGGTCTCGTACTTGTAGACGAGGGCGCGTCTGTCGAAAGGTGCGGCAACGGCTACAGAGCCGAAGAGGAGGGAAGCGATAACGGCGGAAGTCTTCATTTTGACGGGTTGATTGTGATGAAAAGTGCTAGAGAGCTTGGATTTGGTGAGGTCTTTAAGTTGACTGGTGAACCGGCTAGCAGTTCAAGTGAGCGTTGTGAGTTGTCGTGGTGACAAAGAAGGTCGGTCGAAATGACTGTTAAAGACAAGGATGTCTTTGTGAAGGGTGCAATGAATGAATGACTGTTAAGACCTCAAGCCTGTAGAATGAATGATACAGGAAGAAGGGATAGTGCTGGAATATAAAGAGTGTGGGTGTGGTGTGGGTTAGTGAGGGAAAGGTGGGAAGTGTGGGCTTCCACGAGCTTTTACGCTAATGGTGGCGCTAGGCGACACCCCTGGCAACGTGCCACTGTCGCTCATCGCATCCTCCGCTCACCACGACACCGAGTGACTAGTTCCGTCGCCTTGGGGTTGCAGTTCCGGCCCGGCTGCTGGTGGAACGGCAAGCATAGCGCGTTCAACAACCTTTGCCCAACTCTGCCTATTCGTCCACGCTGTCCATGGCCACAGGCCCGCAGTAGCCACCCATCTCCACTACCACATTATCACCGAGAAATCAAGACTTTTTCCTTTTCTTTGTGTTCATGCACATGCGCATGTGCAAGACGAACTTGGAGTCCGCTCATTTCTTTCTGCTGACGCCTTGGCCAGCTAAACATGGCGACATTCGAAATAACGCACATGGGAAAAGCTGGTTTCATGCCTCTGCAAGGGGCTAAGTGGCCGGCCACAGGCAGCAAATCACAGCGCTGTGCCTGACGATCTTTGCATCGGGGGCCTGAAGCGCCCTGTCCCGCCAGGGGGGAAGCTGGAGCTGAAGTCCGTAAACGAAACATCCCGGGCGGCGAGTGTGCCTGCTGCGCCAACTCTGCGCCTCCTCCAGGTACCCGACAGGTCATCACCGCTAATTGAGGCTTCGAACGCCTCGGTTTCGATTCGTCTTGGGCCGACATGATACACGTGTATTGCCCAGACTTGCCCCACGGTCATGACAGCAGACAGCAGACATCGGACAGTCCAGAGCGCAAAGCTGGCTTTCTGTTGACAACCACTCACAGTGCGTGTGCATGTGGCCTGTTCCATCTTTGCGCGCGCATACTCATCATTGGCTGCCTTTGCTCCACTGCCTGCCAGCTGCAGCCCGACGCTGCTGTGTGCCGAGTTGCAACGGGGACCGGTTGAAAGCGTGCAATTGTTGGTGACATAAGAATACGTGCGGTTGTTTTACCGGACACCCTCAACAGACTCGTCGTTCGCTCGCTTTGTCTGCACGCTGCAGTTCCTGCAGTTCCACAGCTTCTGGACTCTCAGATGATGGCATTGTCAAGCCATAAGCATGCGTTCGAAATGAATTGTGGACCTGCATGCACCTTTGCTGTTTTCCTACTGGGCGCTTACCTCTCCGCGCGGCAGCCATGTGCGAGAATTTGCGCCCTACGTTATCCACTTATCGATTGCGATAGCTATCCTTCTCCACGCCCGTTGCACTGGCCAAGTTCGAGTCTGCTTGGGATCAAAAAGACTTTTCCTTGGTCGCTTCTAGGCGTCACGCTCGTTGACTCATCTCCACAGTCATCCGGCATACCGAACCACGCGTCGTGCATCTTGACCGAAACTTTTAGTCACCAGGAGCCGCAGCTAGATAATTCCCATTTCGTCACTGCCCGGGTTCCTCAGAGACGCTTCACAGTAGCAGCTGCTGGGATATATCACAAAGAGCTGCCGAATCAAGCCGTAGGCCGGTGATTGCCACCCCGGGGCCTCGGTTCCATTGCCGTGAAATCGTTCCTTTTTACCCATGGCACTAAAATCCAAGATGCACGCGAAGCGATCTACCGATGATCCTGTATCGAGGTATGACGGTTAAAAAAGACTGCATGCTTGGTACCAATTACAGACTCGTGCAATTTCCCATCAAAAGCGACTCCTGCTGAGCTTGTAGCCTGAAGCGTTAGCATCCTGCGCGTATATGCGGTTTGACATAGTTTTGACATCGCCTTTTGGTACGCTAAGGGGTATCAAGTTGCTTTTTGAGTCTTCAAACCTGCAACGCTTGGTCATGGTTTTACATCCAGATGAGGTTTACGAGTAATCCTCTGCTTACCGAGATGAAGGCCACCTACCAACACGATGGAGCCGCCCCCGGATCATCACATCGTCTTCCGCGACCCGATCGCGCTTCGATCAACACACTGACCGAGCGATCTGCAATGCGTCTATGTACAACGTCTCTAGCACTTTGGCGCCATTTGTGCACACACACATGTATACAGCGAAGAGTTTTACACGCTATGTAGGCATCGAATACTAGATGACCTTGGACAGTGTCTGGTGTGGTTGAGCAACATCCGCAACTAGAGCTAGGGACAGAACTCTTTCAGAGTCACCGGAGCTGACCAAGATGACACCGCTCTGCCGAAAGTGTTCCCGCTGTCGCATCAAGCGAATGCTGCACGACCCAACCTCGGCGTCTCAAGCCTGGCAGATGACGAGGCACACACGCTATGCTCAGGTCGGGCAACATGTCCTTTAGTCACCTACATGTTCTTTTCGCACAGTTCATTTTTTTACCTTTCGATCCGATGTGTGCTTCTCCGGAGCCTTTGCCCCGTTCCACTTGTCAGAATGTCTCACCCGTTTTCGTGATTGGTTTCATGTCATGATTGCCTGATGACAGCTGAACATCAAAGGCCGCGAATAAGAGCATGGTATCCCCATAATCAGCAAACGTCGAATATTGCCAATTCTCGTAATGTATCATTATGCTGAGAGAAGGGCGTTCAGCCGCATTTGCCACAGTTTCTTTTCTTATATCTATAATTTCCGCTCTATTCTGCGGCGTCAGCATCAACGGGTACACCTCCCGATAATGAAAGAGAACAGATTTGGAATGAAGTAGTTGAAAATGTTATACATTGGTGAAAGTTTCTACCACTACACTATCGCTGTTGCCCCTAGCCGGCCGCACATAGCTTCTGGTCGTTGTCTTCTTTCCATGTCACCTCCTATGTCAGAGATGTACCTCTCGCTCCAGTAAGCTTCAAGAATCGCATACCAGATAGTAAACGTACTCGCAGGTGAACCCAAACATGCCCCTAGCCCACATGATGTCCTCAAACGCCTCGTTCTCGCTCTCAAACATCTTCACGGTGAACCATGTCTGCTCCATGTCTTGGCCCCAACCCCCGCCAATGAAAGAATCTTGATGGAACCTCACTCGCCAAACCACTTCATCTCCAGGCCCCTCCATCTTATCCGCCTGCACAATCGGCAGCGAGGAACGAAATGCGGCCTTCTGGCCAAACTGCCTCGCCCTGAAGGTCGGCGCACAAACCATCTCCTGCGCATCTAGAAACCTCACTACGTCTCCGTCATCCCAGAAGACGTTGTTCTCGTCGTGGATGCGGAAGGCATATGACAGAGGTAGGTGATTATCTCCGCTGTGGCTTTGACGGAGAGCGATGCGGAGGAAGTCCATGCCCAGGCGCAGTGTCATGACCATGATGAACATGCGCTTGGCTTCGTTGAAGACGCGGTTGCTGAAGAAGGCTTTGCTGTGTGCGGGGAAGTAAATCGTCTTTAGGTCTGGGTCTTGGTTGACAACGGCCTCGATGTTGGTCTTGGTGGTCAGCGCATATATGGCGGAGCGGGGGATGAACTCGATTCCGTGGCCGTTGAACTTGCTGGTGACTGTGTTCTCGATGATGTAGCTTTGGATTTGCATTAGCTGGAGTGAATGAGAAGAGGTGTTGAGAATGGTGAGGGGTTGAGCCATGGTGGGTAGAGGTGCTGGTGGTCTGGCAGCGACGAGGTTGTGTTTGTGGAATGGAGTTCTTGAGTAGTTAGTTTGGAGAGAATTGTTAGTGAGGAGAGTAGTAGAGGAGAGGTTCTTATGGTGGTGAGAGATCGGGGTGCTGTTCAAATAGCTAGCTAAGTCTTGTTCACTATCGCAGTGAATGGCAGTTTCTCTTCGTAGGCAGTTGCTCTGACAATAGGATGCGTTTTGAATCACAATATCACTTTTCTAAACAACAGAAACCCTTATTCAAATATCCGGTGACCTCCAAGGCTGCAGTCCACATGGCCTCCAATCTCACCTTAATCTCTTATGGTACCGCTGGACTTTACCGCTCTCTCACCCCAGCCCAAAGGGCACAATACAACTAGCCTTCACTGCGAATTGTGGAAAGCGGGGCTTTAGAGCCTGTAACCCGCGTGATATTATAGAGCACTGTCAGTCCTACGGTGCACGCAAGCCGGTCACACAAGCTGAGTGTATAAGCTGGCAGCTTCCACTTCCTTCACTACGACCATCTGATATGATCTCAAAGCGACTTTAGAATCTCCTCCTAATTTGCCGAAAGATATTCCAAACAAATATGAACGCCCGCTTTACTCAATAACACACGGCTCTTCGCGAGAGTTAGACACAACGTCATCCAGCCCCCACAATCTCATCTGGCTAGGTAAGAAGTACCTTACCAAGTCCCCGATACGCCTAGCCTCTAGAGCCTCCTCTGCGTTCTGATCGCCATTTGTATCGCTCGTCACAAGTGGCACTGTAATTGTGATTGGCAGATTGACATCCCACATATCGCGCCTCAGGATGTGCATCAGGTAGTTCATGTCGAGACCAGCGTATATGATGTACGTGAAGAGCTTCCTTGCATGCGCATAGATGCTGTTGACAAATTTCCCAGGCTCATCGAGGTAGTATTGGCCGAAGCGGATGCCGAGGTGGATGACGTAGGCAATGGTGGTGTAGCTGGCGAAGCGGTGGATGGCGGCAAGCGGGAGGTAGGTTTGCTGTGTGCCCGAGACGGTGTGGGTTTTGACGCAGGCCTCGAGTTCTAAATTCCATATTCGAATGAGCGTGTTCCATTCCTGTAAGGTGCATTGAGGGTCGACTGTGGTGAATTGGTATGCCATGGTGGTGGTTGCTGGTGATATTCTGGTGTGTTGTGAACGGTGGTAGTGAGATGGTCGCTTTGCATCTCTTTGGGGGGGTGTTTTGTATTGATTGTGATGGGTTATTTACCATGGTACTAAAAAAAACTTGGAAAAGTCCGCAACCGAATTATTGTCAAGAGAATTGTTCGAAGCCGATTGATTGGTTCTAGCTTGCAGTCGCTACCAATGTTTGTTCATTGTTTTTCTACAAACGACCTGCTCATGTGCTTAATCGTGAATTCTTGTATATGCAACCATAATGACTGAGCTCTCTATACGTGTTCATTGCAAGGACTTTAATTTTCCTAGAAAATACAAACAGTGACAGAACAGTACTGAAGTATAAGTATATGAAAACCACAGGAAATATCTCATTATGCTAACAGTGCTACTTCTGTTTCATCTTTCCATTTCATAGAACTGAGTCGTAAAATTAGATACGGAATTATATCGACCCTACTACAATTTTTGGGCACACCGTAACATGATTTGAGTCCACATCCAACCTAAATATTATGCTTCTACATCATTAGGTCCTCGTAATCACAAATATGTACGTTTCTTCGTCTTCGCAAGGCTATACACCTTCTCAAGGTCCTAGAGCATGATGCTTAATCCATGCTACTTATATTCGTAACGAGTTGCCAAATTCGACGCCAACACTAGTACGCTTCCGCTTAATCCCACAACTACAACCAGACTTCTCAAAAACACAAACCAACCCCTAACGATAGGAATACGTGTGCCGTTACAGTGACCATGATATCCATACTATTACAAGGTCCTCCTAACCCGTGCACAAATTCTCGCTGACCACATGACATCCTGAACTTCCAAGGTTTCCTAAAATCTCGACGTCAACAGTGCCGTCACATGAACGCAGCGGCTTAGAACATCTGCTGGGCCTGACCATGAACCGGGAACAGACGATCTTTCAAAGTAGTAGGCGGAGTCTCCACACCTTGGGTGTAGCGTGAATATGACTGTAAGTGAAGATCGAGAAAAATGCGGGGTTATTAGTGTTTGCGTGTGCACTTTCACGTGGCCTCGGGATATAAGAGCCGTTTGTGTGATAGGCGTCGGGGGTTAGAACGCTTCATTTAAGTGGACGAGAAATATCCAGGTAGCGGTGCTGGCATATGTGCTCATGTTTTAGTGACGTAGTAGCATCAGCAATGTGAAGTCATGAAGAGAGTAATCACCGCTGTTGATACGGCTAAGGTATCGGAATCACCTTCGTTGCAACGAGTTGAAATGATTGTGATTGTTCTTGTTGTTCTATGGAGGTGGAGGGAGGTCGGCAGTAAGGCAGCAGCTAGAGCTCGGACCACACGGCTTAGTCAGCCGTGTAATCCAAGCTCGTGCATGCAGCAACCAGCTGCCTTATCTACCGCAGGTTCGATTCCCAACAACCGCAAAAACCGAAAATATGAAAGACAGACTGTGATTAAAACATAACAATTAGATTACAAAAAGAGCTTCATTAGTAGACCTAGATCTACTAAAGACTGAATGTTGCGAAACATATCTTGCATGGTCATCTAGAGAGCGACAGCACTTGTTTTCTCCCTCCCAAACGTTACAATTTTTCCTTATTTATGCAACCCTCTTCACCCATTCAATAACCCATCGAGCAAACCACCACCACTGCCTCCTCCCTGCTGACTCTTGAGCGGACATCCCGTATTCTGGAAGATGGGATTCAATTTCGTCAGCGCAAAATCCAGCAACGCTCCCGTGATATCTGTGACCGTGCTAAGCATGCTCGGCACAGGGCCAGTAGCCAGCTGATATAAAAAGCACCCCAGGTTCGCCGTGCTAGGCAACTTGCCATTTTTGATGACATCAAATGGCGTTTCCAACGCAAGGAAGTTGTCTTTTCCGACATTGCCACCAAAGAGTTTGGGAGCCTGCAGGTACTGAGCAAGGATTTCTTCAGTGACACGGAGGACGTCGTAGGGCGTACGGCGCGAGAACCAGTTTTCAGGAATGCGTTCCGGGACGTGGCGCCAGCCACCTTCTGCAGATGGGTCCTCGACGGCGCCGTAGAAGCTCTTTATGGTTGCCAAGTTGGGAGTGCCTTGAGGACCGTAGCTGGGGAACAACTCGTAGAGGAACGATGAGGCGCCATAGAGAAGGAGTGATAGAGGTCCGAAAAAGAAGTTTGGGTTCTGGAACAGCTTGTGTTAGTGTGTGGCTCTTGCGAAGTTTTGAAAGTAGACCAAAGATTATACTACTGACCTCGTGAAGAGATTCACCGTACCGCTGACTCCGATACACGGAAAGGGTGTTTCGATCAAACTTTCCGCCAGAAACTCGGTCGGCGACCTTCTTCATGTTGGCAAACAGCGTACCATTGAAGCTATAATTATCGCCACCTGAGGTGTAGTAATCATTGCGCGTAAGCGAGGAATCAGATTCAAACTTGTTGTGACCATTGAGACCAGGTTCGCGGCCAAGAAGAGGAAGCAGAGCTGTGCGGGATGTAGCATCGCATCCGAGACTGAGCTTTCCAGTCAAGACGTCACCACCGGCTTGGACTCCGAGTACGGCGAGAAGGACCGCCAGGTCGTAACCGACATTGTAGACATTTTGCTGCGCGTCGACGAGTTCTTCAAAGGTGGTGATTCCGTCATGGGAGAGGAAATTGTGCTGGTGTTTATCAGACGTGCTGTCATGTGCATGATGAATGTTTTAGTACTTACATTGGCCGCAGCATTCAGGCCAGGACATGGTCCGCGGATGTCATTGGGACCAGGAGGTGTGTAGGCATGTGCAGTATCGCCGTCCGCAGGGACTTTAATGCCACCTCTTCCGTTGCCCGGAAGCCCATTCTTCGCTCCCACGTAGGTGTATGGGGCAGTGTAAGGGGCAGCACCTTTGTGGACTGGGTTGAAGGGACAGTTTTCCTGTCGCTTTTCCGCCTGGCGCGCCTGTCTGAATAGGCCAGAGTTAACACCAGGTTCACCAGCTACCCAAGGGTAGGCAGCAGCGAAAGGCGCCTGTAGAAGAAGAAGAGAAAGTGCATGCATAACGATGAAGATGATTGACTGAGTGATAGACTTTCGTGTTATATGACCGGCCTCTATACGAAAAGGCTGGTGCGCATGTAGGTTGTTATGATCATCCCCCAAACTCATTACTTATACGACCGCGTTGTCTCAGATTAACTCATCCGCATCATCACCTGTCAGTCTATTCTCGTGTGGAGAGAGGGCGGGACCGAGGCATTATGCATCCCCAGCGTCATAATCATACTCGCCAACAGCACCTTCTTTCTTAGTATCCGCCTGCTTCCATTGGCCTAAGCATGGCTTAGATTTTCCATGGCACACCATGTAGCGGGTGATCGACATAGCTCCAGGGTTATAAATCGCGAGTAAAGTAGTGGATATAAAGGACGTAGAGTCGACAGAAGCGGAAGCTGAGTGCAGTACACGACTATCGATGCACGCCATGTGGTAGTTGCCGGGAGGAAGTGGCGCTACGCATGGACGGAAGGTCCAAGCTCCGAGCGACCAGTTCACATCCCTTGCCTGATTAGGCTTGGGTACGAGAACACCAGACGATCTTTTTCCACAACGAGGTATTCTTAGCCTAATAAGTCCCAGGCTAGCGGATTGTGGGGGATTCTGCTGGCCAATGATGAATGACTTTAGTCCGTACCCTCCTTGCGATCATCTTCCTTCTGACCCTGTTGCGCAGCCAGCAATGTGCCGAGGCAGGCTGCGGGTCTCAGTGTATTCGATCGCTGTGAGATTTTAGGAAATCGAGCAATGTTATGTAGGATTCGGAAATACTGAGACGGGGATCTGCTTTCTCTCTGTGGAGTTGGTGAAACTCGCCATTATACTTCCTGTAGCGTCGCCGAGCTGTCATGCATGGCGACAGTCCAGATTCAAACATTAAATTGAAATGATGTTCATGGCCAGCTCTAGTTCTGCGACTACTCTCGTTGGTAGTCTGACTCTCAGCTTGAACCTCGCAGTGCTCCCTATCCGCTGTTCTTACGTGCCTGGGTAGTACAAGCTTCAACCCGAACGCGTTCCCTCCAGGGATATCAAAAGATTAAAGCTTTCTATTATAAAATCAAGATTGCCAATATCTATCCGAGTGTCATCGCGTAAACATGGCTGAGAGGCTTCTCACTCAAGCTTATCGGAAGTCTTCCGCGGCAGAGTCTATCTAGCCAAGCGCAAACTCTGTATCACGTCATATAAGATACAACCGATGCTATAACCAGGAACCAGGCGACAGGGGTACATTGAGCTGAAGGAAATGAGTTGAATACTATTGTTGGGTCAGACAAAGACGGCTCGCCGCGAGGGCAACTAACATAGCGTCCGCAGAATGCCAGTATCTGACACTTCCCCGCTGGGAGAGGTGGTAGCCAGGTACAATGGAACAAACCCTGATCTACAAGAAAAGTTTCTGGAACTTGCTTTTTCGCCTCAGCTGCCAGGGTTTCACTCCTGCAGATTTCTTCCAAGGTTACCAATATGATGACGGGAAAATTGCCACCGCGAGAGTCACTCGTTCCTAACCTGCCGTACCTGATTGTTTATCTTGCTTCATAGCTTCTCCAATAGAGCTTTACGGGATCTCGTCAATATCATCTGCCCATCCATACCGCTTTCGACTGCTACCAGATTCTTCATGTTCACAGATACGGACATCTCACCTTCGACACAAGGCATTTAGCCTTGTCCAGGGGTGACTACCAAGTTTGAGGTACTGACAAGTTGCATCAATCTCCGTATTCGAGGTGCTATTTTGAGGATACGAGCCTGCACGTTTGTTTACCCGTCCACATAGCACGTTTCTTGCCAATAGTACTCTTGCGCTGTCTGGTGATATGCATAAGAAAGCAAGAGTTTTAAAGTGAAGGGTCGATGCCTACACGGAAGAAGAGGTACGATGAAAGGACGTGACTTTGTTACTAGAACAGTCAGTGGCAATCTTATCGCGATAGATCTTACTTGGGTTGATGTTATACTTTGTAGCTAATTCATCGCCGTATTCCTTATAGTATACTCATCGGGCAGAATGTATGAATTCACCTTTTCATGTGAGACAGAACCCAAAACAGATGGGAACACACTCACTGAACTGAGCTCTTTATCACTCTTCACCACCTCGGCGCCTTACTATAAATAACCTCTCCTTGGTGTTCTTCCGTGAAACTCTACCTCACTGCACAAATTCGGCACTCTACAGCCTCGTCACCCGACCAACCAGTGATCGGAATGGTCTGGTCTGACTTGGTCTTGGTCTGGTCTAGACCGCCAAGACTTGGTCTGGTCTGGCGATTTTTTGAGACCGTGGTCGGACCGGTCTAGATGATCGGACCGGTCCGGCTATAAATAGGTCCACGTGACTAGATCTTAGACTAATCTAGCCAGAAAATTTAGCACAATATGAGTCATTAAGATCAAGGTAAGTCTTCTACTTACATAGAACAATCAAGTCCTTAACAACCTACTTATATACTATTGTTATGGAGCCTTCAACACCAACCTCACCGTCCCCATCGAATATTATAAGACTAGATTTAACGTCTCTTACTCCATCTCCTATCCCCACGTCATCACCCACCCCTATACTATCACCCACTCCTATTCAATATCACGAATCTCCAGATGAGTTCGTGCAGGGCGGTATCACGTACGTGAAACGTGCAATAATTGCAAGGAAGGATTTCCGTCAAGGTACATCACACATCTGGAAGTACGGACTCCAATACATTCGAGATAGCGATAAGAAAGAGGTGTATTACTGCCATGAGTGCAGGGTTGGGAAGAGCAAGCAAGAGTTGTTTGTCATCAATGGCACTTCTAGGATCCGGAATCACCTGGAACAGAAGCACCAGATTGATCCCCAGAGTGGCATCAAGCGAAAGGGTTCTGTACGGAAGTCTATAATCGACCAGCAAAAGGATGGGGCTGCTTCCAGCATCTTTTTCTGGAAGGAGTCAGTAGAGAAGTTTAAAGAGCTTCTAATTCGTTGGATTGTGTACTGCCATATCGCCTTCTTTCAATTAGAGAACCAGTACTTTCGTGAACTACTCCTCTTTTTAAATCCGGCACTACTCAACCACCTCCCGAAGGCTGCGAAGACTATCCGAAGCTGGGTAATGAATGCATTCATATCGAAGAAGCAACAGCTTAGGGAGGACCTACACCATTCACGGAGTAGGATCTCTATCTCCTTTGATCTCTGGACTTCACCAAACCCTTACGCTATCCTAGGCGTCGTCGCTATGTGGATTGATACTACCGGCATGTGACGTGTTACCGCTTTAGGTATGCGACGTATATACGGCGAACATACTGGAGAGAATCTTGGATCGGTGGTCCTTGAATTGCTGGAAGAATACGACATTAGCGGAGATCAGATTGGATACTTTATGCTGGATAATGCCTCGGCAAATGATACCGCTGTTGAGTTTATACTCAAGGATCTCTGCCCATGGATGAAGTCAAAACAACGTCGTCATCGCCGGCTGCGTTGCTTGGGCCATGTCATCAACCTCTGTTGCCAGGCGTTCCTTATGGGGCGAAACTGTGAGAAGTATCTTGCGAAGCTGGAGAAGCATCATCAACGTGGCGACTATACGAAGGTGGAAGAGCTCTGGAAGAAGTTCGGATGTTTGGGTCGTCTTCACAACCTGGTGCGATACATCAGGCTTACTCCACAACGGCGTGAGGAGTTTGCTACAATTATTATCGGCGGAGATCTTTCGCAATTCGACGGGCTTGAGCTTATCCAGAACAACTCGACCCGCTGGAACTCATGGTTTTATTCGATTACACGTGCATTAAATGTTCGAGAACGTTTAGAGCTCTTCTCGGCTCGTCATGTACCTGGAAAGGGCTCCGTAGGGATCGCGAACTTTAAGCTTGATGGACAGCACTGGTTTGAGCTTGAAAAGATTGAACTCGCTCTCAAAGACTTCTATGCTGCAACTTTGCTTTCTGAAGGTAAGAAGACGTCACTTGCGGACTGGTTTTCAACTTTGGACTGCCTTCTCCGGGAGATAAGCGAGACGAAGGATCACTACCACGACATCCACACTGAGGACGATAACAACTTTACATGGAAGTACCTTCAAGGCTGCGCTGATGCTGCTTGGTTAAAGTGCGTTGAGTACTATAACAATCAGCAGCTGAATTGGCAAAATCGATTCCCTGAAGATACTGACCTTCCACCGGCATATTATGCGGCTCAAATCCTTGATCCATATCGCAAGTGGGGATGGTTCAGGCAAGAGTGGGTTCTTCATGGCGACGAAGAGAAGAAGAGGTGGTTTGAAAACGCACAATTAGCGGTGAAGCATCTCTGGGAGACAGAGTATAAGGGAAGGTACCCTGTCGAGATGCTGCCACCACCAGCCAGGAAGGAGAGAGATCCTGACCCAGCATTTGATCGCCAGCGGGAACATAAGCGCATTCGAATAGACGCTCCAGTTTCTACAACTGATTTGTATGAACAATACATCTCTACTGACCGGCTTCATAACGAAGAGGCAGGTTGCAATGAGGCTATTGCGTACTGGCTATCTCGCTACGACTCCCAACGAGATCTCGCTCGCTTCGCTCTAGACATGTTTGCGATCTCGCCTATGTCGGATGAATGCGAACGTCTTTTTAGTAGCGCGAAGCTTACTATCGTCGATCGCCGTGGTAGGCTGAAGGCAGATATTATAGAAGCGTGCGAGTGTCTCCGGGCCTGGTATGGAAAGCCCCAAGCTGAGGGGAACAGCGATATCGAGGATAGTGAGAACGAAGACGACTAGATTGACAGTCAGTAGTAAAACACATTTCCTCGGCTTCCTTCTTTGCTTCAGCCTCATTCTTGGCGGTCTTGTTGGTCGGACCGGTCTGGTCGGACCGGTCCTTATGTAAGCACCTGGTCTGGTCTGGTCTGTACCCTCAGACCAGACCAGACCAGACCATTCCGATCACTGCGACCAACACATAGCACAACGCATAGACCACAAAAGAGCTTACACTCCCCACCTACAAAAAAACACAGGACCATGGCAGCTACATCTAAACAACCTGTCCCGCCAACGCTAGTGTCCACAGTCACCGGCGAAATCGCTACGGTTGTCGTCGGCCCCTCGAAGAAGCGACACCTAATTCACAAGGACCTCATCTGCCACCACTCGGGGTACTTCCGCAAAGCGTATGACAGACAGAAAGGACTATGGAAGAATCCGGACCAGATTTTCACGCTCGAAGATGTCGATGTAGATGTGTTTAACCTCTTTGTGCACTGGCTATACACCCAAGACATACCCTGCAATACGTATGCGGAGATATATCATATGATGGGGTGGAACAACGGTGATCAAGTCAACTTTAAGGATATTTTGCTGAAAGCGCGGACTTTTGGTCATCGCTTCTTAGCGGTGGGTTTTCGTCGCGTTGTTCATAACATCTATGTGGAGGGATGTAAGATTAAAGCGATCGAGTAGGGACACTGGAAAGCCAATGGAAAAGAGACAAGAGATCGAGCATAGGATTTCTTGTTGCTCTAAGCTCACTCATATCGGAGAGATAGACGGGGAGGCTTGTATAGGCTAGTTCGCTAGTACTTTGGGTGATATGTCATATTAACAAATCGGCAATATTAGCTAACACAAGAACTTTTTCTATGACGACCTCTGCACTTCTTAAACTTCCATTGCAAAGAACAAATGTGTAAACACTAACTTTGCGTATACAGCCATTTGAAACCTGCTGGCTTGAGTTTGCCTTTAAGCAATATTCCTATTTTATTGCACATGAATGGATGGTATGATGCTGATAGTAGTGGAGGTAGTTTTTTTTTCTCATGGTAGACTCAATATCACCGTGATTCCTGCACTTCGGCTTCTTCACTTTCCTCGAGCTTGTCTTTCTTTTGCCCGGCAAAAGCATTTATCAGCCGTCATGCTTATGGCGGATATGACAATGTCAACTTCATCTGTCCCAGCGGCCCCAGCCAACATAGCGTCCCGTACCGAAGGGCCTGAGTCGCACCTGGGTGTCATAAGATACTTGACATACTTGTGTATTAAGGTCACTGTAGTGCCAAACACGCCTATCAGGTGCTTACCCACACTGTCAAGTATTTTATGACATTCAGGTGCTCGCTTATTCTGACAGTAGAATATGGCGTGTTTGACCCGACCATCGACGATGTCGGATTACGCTATACGAAAAGGCCAGGTGCTGAAGACGGACAAAAAGAATAGGAAAGGTGTATGCAGCCACTGACTCGCTCGCGTATCATGCCTTTGCGAGAATGCAATGCTTCTACGATATCAAGCATTCAACTATTTCCTCTTGTGGCATCGCGGTCTTGACACTTTTACCTATAGTATCCGGCCTTGGCACTACCGGTGTGAAGTCTCGCACCGATAAGGATCTTCGATATGCATGGCGGAAGTGAGAATGCCATGTGATGGGGCCGAGGACGAATGAGTAGGTAAGGCTGAGGTGGAGGCATCTGTCGATCTTCTTCCCAGTTCCATCTAATTCTGTCTAGTTGCCGCTTGCTTAGCGCGCACCGGTCAGTCGCGATTCCAAGGTTATCACGTATGCTTCATGACCCCTCCCCAGCCTCCGAACTCACCTTCTCCGCGACAAGTGAGTGACGTGCAGTGACGACTGTGTATAATACCGTGTGCATTTCTGTCGTCTTTTGAGGCACTAGGACACTGACTGCAGCCTACCAATCCGACGAAGCCATCACTACAATCTGCCGGCTGAGCACGCAATCTGCCTCAATCCTTCCTTTCTGTGTATATCCTTAACTCCGGCGCAAAGATAACTCGCTGTTGCTTACTTGATCCGGCCGTGACACTAAGCGTCATCATCGCGGCTCGTGCTTTGTTTCATCATCTCCCCAAACACGACCCGCGCTCGTTTCCCAAGGTTCCCGACACACTCGCGAGACAGCTGTACAAGAGGAATCCCTCCTACGCCATGTCTCTTACCGACTCTGAGCTGGAGCTGGTCAGCTCACATCTACAAGGCGAAAACGACGATATCCCAGAGGAGCCCGATATGATGCAGTCATCCGACGCTGAAAACGGCCAGTCGTTTGTTCCTCCACCACGGATCGCCGCACGCTTCTATCGCCATGCAAATAATCGTCGCAAGTCGTCTGCCACGTCGTCGCGCCGAAATTCGCTGTCCTCGACACATTCGCATACATCAAACCGCTCGTTTCGCAACAGCTGCCAGAGCCACCATGTAGCCCAGCACCTCCGCCGTGCCTCTATACTCGAAGACCGCAAGGCGCGATTGGCAGATCGTGCAGCGCATGCTGAGCAGGTCCGGTTGCGTGCTGCATTGGCCAAAGCTACCCCGCGTGGCTCCAATAGTGAAGAGCGGGCGCTGGCAGCACAGCAGGCTCGCGAGAAGCACCTGGCCCAGGTGGCCGCTGCCTGTGCTGAGGAAGTGAGGAGGGCCAAGAAGATTGCAGAAGACATGAAAGAACGCAAGGCGGCTGAAGAGCGAAGATACCGCGTGGAAATGGAGGAGAAGCTGGCAGAGGCCGAGAAGCGGAGGCTGGAGTACAAGCGCAACCCCCGCCGCCCACGCACTGCTAGCTCGCCCCCAGGCGACGTCAAGATACGCACCGAGCGCCCAATCGTATCCACTGAGGAAGCAGCAAAGAGGATCCAGGGAGCCTGGAGGGGCAAAGTTAGGAACAACATTGTCACAGCATGGCTCCAGCTTGGTCTGTCCATTGAGATGGTCCAAGAAACCAGTTTTGACGTCATCACGGGTATGCTCGCAGACGAGAAGCTACTCAAGACGACTGAGAGAATCATGACTCTGTTCGTGCTACTCCCAGATGCCGACCCAGCCTCCCGCAGCGCAGCCGTCAGGACGTTCCTCTCTGCATACCTCATCTTAGCACACCCTACACACGTCTTTAGCCGAGATGGCGACCAGGAGCAGGACCTCATCACCAAGGCCAAGGACCTGGTCATCAGCTTTGAGTCTGCTTTGGCAAAACTAACCAAGCTCAACTCCTACACCCCGTCACCAACGCGCACAGAGACGGTACTCTTGGCCCATGGCGCCTTCGTTACCGCTTTCAACGACTGGAAGGCGCGTGATTCTTCGGCCCTCATCGAAACCATGGTTGCGTCGTTTGTCAGTCTCGACGAGATATGGCAAAGCGTCAAGGATGCGACAGTCGATGAGGTCGCCAATGAGTACAGGAACGGCATTCGGGATAACCAGGCCATCCTGCTGAGTAGGATCAAGAAGTTGGCGGGGCCCGACAAGGCCCTCACTTTGATCAGAAAGGCTATACGCGAAAGCCGAAGCCTGAGGCCAAAGAAGAAGCCTGCTGGAGAGACCATTCGGCCCCGCGTTGCAAGCGGCTCGACTCCAGACTCTCCACTATCAGCCGAAAGTGCAGCCAAACAGGCCGAGGCTGCGTCAGAACTCGCTGCTTCTGGACAATCAGAGCTTCAGGATCCTACTGCCCAGGGCCATCAGGCCCAGTCGCTGTCAAAGGTCTTTACCGTCGTACCAGACAACCGTATATTAGTCCACGAGCTATCGATCGATAAGGAATACCGTATCGATCCATCGCCCACCGCCGACCTTCGCGATGCCCTCAACCGCGAACTTTGCGACGCCATGCGGAGAGGCTTCGAGGAGGGCGATAGCGCCAACTGGACTGTTGCCATGGCGGAGAACATACGAGGCAAGCTGTTGCGACTCTTGAAGCCTGGCAATTCCATGCACACCCTCATTTCTGAGACACTGGATCCAGAGCACGTCAGCAGGCAATGCAGTCAAGGTGTCTTCTCATACGGGAAATTCTTTGATTTCATTGCTAGCATCCTGCCTAAGCTTTGCGCACCCTTTAGAGATACCGAAGTGCAATCGCTCGCGGAAGAGCTACAGGAAGAGGGTGATGTACCAAGTATGATTGAGAAGCTTTTCAAGGTGCTTCATATCATCGATCTTCTCTCGCTAGACTACTCCAACTTCCTCCTGATGAACGCTGCGCCAACACTCATCAAAGAGGCTGTCGGCTACGAGCAGCGCATGTTTACCCAAGACCTCGAGGAGAACAAGATCACTCTCGACCGCACCCGCCGCTGGTGGCGCAGCGCAGCAGTAAACATGCACACTGAAGCCGACCGCCGCGATCCGTGGAGCCAGGCAAACCCAATCAACCGCCCCACAGCGCATAAGATCTATGCTCGTGGTCTGGTTGACCTCGCAATCGCCACCCCACCTCTTCGCAATTCTGAGCTACCAGAAACCCTCGAGTTAGACAGGGCACGCATATCCCGCATCCGCGAAGACGCCCTCCGCATCACCACCATCGGCGGCATCTTGCTCACGGCGAAGAACCTACTCAAGCGCGACGTGCGCGCGCAGTGGAAGTCCGAAGCTAGCAAGATGTGGTTGGTACTAAAGGAGAACGGATACATGTCCGACCCTTCCACTCCCAGCAAGATCTCTTCTCTGCTAGAGTCTTCACGCAACATGCCACCTTCGACTCGCTCCCAGCTCTCCTCCACAATCACGAGGTTGCTCACCCAAGCCGAAGCGGGGAAACTCTCTGACCCCGTTATGAAAGTCCTCTTCCAGCGCCTCAAGACGCACATCTTCAACCGCGTAAGCGCCAGCAGCTCCGGCGAGCGCGTCAAGGCTGCTAGCACCGCGACTGAGGGCCTTGCTACTACCGGTCTGCCAGAGTTTGTGAGCCAGGTTGCTTTCATCTGCGAGCAGCTTGGTAAGCTGGGCGAGGTGGATCGCAAGTGCCATGGCAAGTGGTACGAGGAGATTGCAGAGGAAATGGAGAGGTTGGGCATTGAGGGCGGCGAAGAACTTACGCGCTCGTTGAGTACGGAGAGTGATGCTGCTGCGTCGACGAGCTCGGGCTCGTCGTCTGTGTAAGATGATGATGATGATGATATGGTGGTGGTTTTGATTGGATTGTAGACTTGACTGCAACTTTTCTTTGGCGTTTTTACTCCTGTTTTTCGTTTCAGTCTTTCAGCTTTGGTCTGATGGCAGTATATCCATTGTTCATTCTTTTTTTCTTTTTCGCTCTCGCGCGCGCTGGTCTTGCTTGGTCGTTACATTCTTAGGTCTCTGTTCTTTTTGCAAGGCGCTGGGGGAGAATCTTCTTCCGATTCGGTTTCTAGTTTCCTTTGCTATGGGGGTTTCATGAGCATATACGAATCGCTCCAGGGTTCTTCCTATCTTGGTTGCTGGTTTATCTTATGGGGGACTATGTCTACCTATTGGGTATATACATATCACTGGACTGGCTTGTTAGCGAAGGGCAACGCGCGCCAGGTGAGCGATGCAATACACATCTTCTCTACACTCATGCCTCTCGCTTTCATTCTGGACTTAACATGTGTCATGGTTCGTTTGTAGGCAGACAGACAGACAGTGTTTAATGCTGCTGGCAGCACTTAGACACCACAGCCCAGTAACAGTGAGAGGTGACTGTTCCGTACATGCACATGTACAGTACACGCTATCCTACGTCTCGCCCACTCACTATCAAGGCATACACGTAATTGCATTGTACCCAGTCACCCACAATTGCCGGTGACAAGATCTCCCCTCCACACGGTCCTCAGTCTATCTCACAGTCACACCGTTTTTCTTGCTCGATACAAAACATCCTTACTACCCCCCTCTCCCTTTCTCACTCTATTCGGCGGACACCGAAGATCTGCACACCAACGATGACATACCGCTCACCACATACCTTATTGTCTTAAAACATGTCACTGTCACATGTACCCCATGTCCGAACTTTCGTACTGGGGGGTAAAGCGAGAAAGATCAGTTACACAAGACGCACAGACGGAGAGGCAAAAGGGGAGGGTTACAGCGCGTCTACGGCGTCAGACTGGCGTCTACAGCGTCTAATAGCGGGGGAGAGTGAGACTAAGAAAACAATGGTGTGTATGCATGTCAGAGAGCAGCAAGAAAAAAAAAGAATGTCATCAAGTACGTGGCATTCGTGAGACAGCGCGCGCGGCAAAAGTTTCCTTACAAGGTAGGCAGTGCGTTCAAGTCAGATGAGCGCGCTATAGACGCGGTGTGTAATTCGGGGGGAAAACGTTTATGGGGAATTGAGAGCGAGAATCTCCACCTTAAACTTATACAAAGAATCAGATATTGGTTTAGGGGGGGGAGGAAGCGATATTATTACGTTCTTATTTCCTCAGTGCAAAGTTTTTCGGGCGGTTTTCAGTAAGTGTTTTACCCCACACGTGTGTTTTGATTTTTTTTTCTCTCTCTCAATGGCTTATACGTAAAAGGCTTCAGCAGCTGAGGTTGGCAATGAGTTGGCGGTCGGCTGAATAGGTCGTTCATGGAGTAATAGAAGCGTATAAACGGGGTGTGTGTGTTTGTACGTTGCATGTTCTAGTTTAGTTGAGATGCAAACGCGGCGATATATCCTCGTTTGGCGATAAACGTCAGCACGGGACCGAGGCATAACAGCCTCCAGCAAAGCCAGAATCGCATGATGCTCTTTTCGTATGTTTCTCAAAGGTTTTGCTTGGCATGAGGTGCTCCTAGCGGGGGCGGACCGGACACAGCCCCTGGCGGACGACGGATGCCAAAGTTTGCCTTTCTAGCTTCATCGATGCGTCCCTTTGCGAGACTGATGCCGGGGACAACCCACTCGCCGCAACTGCATTGCATGCCTTGCCAGGCGTACTTGCCGACGTTGTTTCTGCACTTTTGATTTGGACATTCAAGACGACCTTCCAACTTGCCTTGCTCGAGCTCGGGGCGCATCCAAGACAGGGGGTCGAGGAAGTAGTGGGCACAGTTTTGCGATGCCGCGGCAGCTGAAGGCCCTTTTGCTTTTTCATTGCTGACGGTTGAACGTGGTCCATGCGATAGCAGGTATTTTGACGTTGCCAATGCTCGTCTAGAAGCAGAGAATCGTAAGCGGCGTTGAGCGACAAGAAGGCGGCGAACAAGGAATATCTTGAAAGTCGTGGCCTGCATCCCTATCGTACGGCTCCACTTACCTGCATTTACGGCATCGCAACTCGAACCCCGAGGCTTCGTCAGTTACATGCTCGTCTTCGAAACGGATCTTGTCCGCCTCTGGAGCTTGACCACAGGCGCGGCTGAGCTCAATCTCGCGCTGGTAGACCCATCGTTGATAGGCCGGGGTGCTTTCAACGTCTTCGGGTGTTTGCATCTTACCGTATAGTTCAAGCTGCTTCATGAAGCCGTCGTTGGGTTCGCAGATGGATCGCGCTTGCCGGAGGTGCGACAAAGCTTCCGAAGGGCTGATGTTGTGCTCATGCATCAAATAAGCGATGACGACGGTGGCCGATCGCGACTTGCCCATAGCACTAGAGAAGGATTTTTGGTTGGCATATTGATACGAGTGGCTGCGAGGAAATAGAGTGGCAAGGAAGCGGTGTGAAACGGGAAACAAAGGCGCAAAATGGAAGGCGAGCAACGTGTAAAAAGTCTGCTGCAGGACGCGTGGAAGGCAAAGCTGGAACTGCATGCATTGCAAGCATGTCACGAGTGCCTCAGCCGCCGATTCTGATGAAGATGGCAAAATTGCCAAGCAGGGTAGTCGTCGATGGCGATCCAGAGTTGTTTGGATATGCAAGGCTTCAGCTCGACCGGGGTGCGAACTTACCAATGCACCAAGACTCCGCCACCTCCCTTGAGCCCCTCGCGTATAAAGGCGTTCGTGGCAGGGAAATGCTCCAATAGATTCTCGTCATCGACGTCGTCGACCTCGACGACCATGTGCTTGAAGGGGCTGAATAGACTCTGATCTGACGGGGTGCGTAATACCGACAAGACGTGCGTGATCTTGGCTTGCTCGAGGGCCTCGCGCCGTCGCAAAGTGAAGATGCTATGCAACACTGGTTAGACTGTAGTCTGGTGACGCCGGGTGCCGGGTCGCCGTCCTGGGGTAGTAGTCGAGTGGGAAACAGTGGTCGAGATTACGTACCCGCCAATGTACAGGTTCAGGTCGCCTGGGACTCTGTCGATGAGAGCCATGACTGTGGGTGTACGGTTATCCGAGAAAGATCGGGGACCGGAGATGGGGCAATGGGGATCAACGATAGATTTGGAAGAGGCGCTCACGCTCGCTGATGAAGGTGCGAGTAAGGGTCCATTTTTCACCGAGGTCTGCTATCATGTGTGCCCACCAAAATAGCGGAGCGTGAACCTCCTGACAACTTCAAATACTCCGTAGCACGGGATTGGTAGGTCGGGGGCATGTCATTACGGCAGTACAACCTCAAGCAGAACTAGAAGACAAATTGCAGCGTGTTTTGAGTTTACAATATATGGCGTGTTGTTGAAGCAGACGTAATAGAGCACGGTACATGATTAATGATCACATGAGTAGCGCTACCCGCCAAACCGTCAGCTAGAAAGGACTAGTACATGTAGTCGGTAGCATCAAAATACAAACACACTTGTAGTAGCTGCGGAGTGAATGCAGCGCGTCGTATTGCCCGCGGAGTAGGCTGGCTAGCGAAACGCTTTGGTCGGGTGATTGTCGGTGTCAGGCGTGGTCGAGTAGACGGAGGGAACGGTACATCCGCACCTACGACCGCGGAGCTGTTGCTTGTTCATCAGGGACTGGTTACCATGGACATGGATGAGCCCTACGGATTTTATTTTAGTCGGACAAGAAGCGTTCGTCCGCTGTTGCGCCTGCAGGAGGTAGCCAAGTTGCCGGACGCCATGGCGTAGTGGGTGTGAGTTGCTTTTAAATAAACATGATGGCGGCTGGGACAGGTTGCACTCGCACTCACGACTTGGTTGCAACTTGCACTTGCAAGGCTGTGGTGGCGCGCCTCGTCCCGCATCGGCAAAGCGCATCATCACCTAGTCTTGGGTTCGAGAAACGGTAGTTGATACTCTCGCATGCCATGTCGCCAACAACAGGTAGTCATTGTCCAAGCGGTGCAGGCGTTGCGGATCCGCCCTGTCTCGATGTAGGTGTACGGCCGCTTACCTTGCCATGTATTGTACTTGTCATTACCATGGCCCACCAACGGTAACATGGTGCATGGTGGCATGTCGGTACCTCCAAGTGGCCTCGACCCGAACCCCCGGAGTAATACCTACTCGTGTCGTTTGCATGCTGCCGATCGTGACAGCACGAGGCACCCTGGGGCAGAAATGGGCAGTCATGGGTAGTCATGGGCAGTCATGGGCAGCCATGAACACAGCCCCGTATAATACCGGCAAGTACATGTGTAAGACTGAACGAGGTTGCCAGTGTGCGTAACACCAATTCATGTACCAAAAATACCGCCGAGTCGGACAAGGAAGGCGATATGCTAGATCAGTGTCTCTGTGTAGCATTGGCTGGGGGGTGGGGGGGTAGTAGGTAGCGCGTGGAAGCATACCGATCAACGACTGCAAGGTGGCATGGTAGACAGGGCACTCAGCCTGACTAAGTGACCATGACCAACAGTGGGTTCGTATGGTGTGGGCGAGACAATGTACGGTAGCTGGTAGGTCAAGTGAAGGGGGGGGGGGGCCAGCTCCGGTGCAATTCTGGCGGGTCTGTGCACAGACGACGGCTTCCGCTTCCCGCGTCGTGTGCTAGGCTCAGAACGGAACCCCTAGAATCTGACCTGTGCCGTTCTGCTGCACTCTCGACTCCCTGAATGGAGGCGCAGCGCCCGCAACGCTACATGTTGGACCATCTGTGAGATGATGGCCGGCATGTACCCCCCTTCTCGTCGGCCAGGTCGCCCACGCCGCCGGCATGCTTCGCCCTACGATAGGAAACCTGACGTCTGGCCGTCGGCAGGCGTGCATCCCAGGCTGTGCGGTATTGGCGTGCGTAATACTGCAATCGGCCAGAGTAGGAGGGGCGGGCGCCAATCCATTGATTGATTTCATGGTTGATCTTCCAGTCATCCGTCATCCGGCGTGTGGAAAAAAAGCTTGGTAGAATACGGCTGACACGCACGGCTGGTGGACGGCTTCACGGTAAGTACAGTACGTATACTGTATGCCTGTTGGCGGCTGGCGGCTGGCGGCGTCGAAACTCGGCGCCAGAGGCTACGACATCAGACTACTGGTAGCCCTATGCATGCAGGCCAAACAACGCTGGCGTGTGAGGCCCACAGTCCTGGAAAGCTGTCGACTGCTCCAGGGCTCCTCCAGGGCTCCAGGGCTCTCCCACTCCACCAGACCCATGAAATATACCCCTGCTTGCCAGTACCCACCCGGCTAATCCGTGCCAGGAGTGACCAGGACGGCCAATCACCGATAAAGTCCTGTTACAGCGTAGTGCTTAATGTCTAACTGAGGCCCCAGTTGAGGGCGTCCTTTTCTCTTTCGCTCGAGCCTGCAAACTACTACTGCAACTGCAACTTGCTACTGCTCCTGCTCCGGCTGCCGTCCAAGATTTGCAGCCGTGCCTCTTTCCAGCAGAACTGTCACCTCGCACGAGCACACACTAGACGCCAGACCAGGGAAGCTTTCTTCTCCCTTTTTTCTCCACTCGCCGGCGGTCCGCGCTAATAGGGTCCCTACCGCATTTCCGCTTGGCTTCGTCCACTGCCGTGTACCATGAAGTTTGCATTTAGCACAAGTCTTTGAGCTTGACTGTCCGACTTGTACACGTTTATATGCCTAATAGCCTCCATTGGAGAGACCAGACTGATATTGTGGCGGTGTTGGGCCAGACGTCTTTTTCGTTCAGCTCTGGGTCAGTTTAACGAGGGTCCTCAGCCCTATGAGCAGCCTCAATCACTAGTCCACGGGTACGAAGAAACCGCCGCCCCCGCTTCGACCATCATTCATCAGCCTCGCCGACAAGAAACGTCAACCAAACTCGGCCGTTTGCGCGCATCTGCCTAGGTAAGCTGCAACACTCGACCCAAGCACGCAACCCACATTTTTTAGCTGCTGGCCCTTCAACTCTTCCCTGCCTGTTTCGGCCATGCCGTCCTTGGTGCTGGCTAACCATTCTGCTGCTAGGTCCGTGCTCGCCTACACTACCCAGTAGCCACTGCCTTCCCCAGCGCTGTCTTCTGCTCGTCCAAGTCGCGCCTCGCCACAGTTGCTGCGTGAGTGGTGGCCGTGGGTACGCTTCAGCTGCCCCCTAGTGGCGCCCATCCCACTACATCATATCGTTCCCCCGACCGGACCATGTCCTCGACGCCGAGCATTCGGGTATATGATTCCCATCATTACCCACTACCACACCACCGCCGACCGTCGATACCCACTCCAGCCGTGGCAATGGCTATACCAAGGGTACGTAAGCCCAGTGTTCAGCTGCAACCCTCTGCCGCCCTGCTTGGTCCGCTATCCGATGCTCATAACATGCTGGAAATAGCACATGACCATCACAGCAGGCGCAACCCATACCCTACGCGACCATTCACTGACTGTAATACACTGCTTTAGGCACGCGAAGAGGTGCCGCCACCCTTGCCTCCACCACGTCACATCGAACACCTCAGGAGCGGGCAGGACCCGGGCTGGCAATGGGGTAACACAAACAGTCCAAGGGACACGGGTTTTGGCGGAAATCGGCTCGCGACAGTTAGGCCTGGCTCGAGCTTGTATGGTGGAGCCGCAGGCAGCTATCCGCGGGAGCCATCTGTCGAATACATGTTCATCGGTGGCCGTGAACCCTCCATCCCTAGGTCGCTCGACGACATGAGCTCCGAACACAGCAACAACAGTGATGAGGACCGTAGCATCAAGTCTCGCCCCTCGCTTGGAAATCACAGGTAAGACCACACATCATCATCATCATCATCATCATCATCATCGTCTTCGTACGAGTCTTCGTCATCATTAGACTATTCCTTTTAGTGGCAAAGCCACTGGACTCCTTACGAGAGTGACTAACGGCCATGGTTAGGTTCACAAGCGAAAGACAACTAGGCCACAAGACACTCCAACACTCATCCAACGCCTACGACAAGCAGTTACTCTCCAAAATCGGCGGCCCCAACACGCCTACGCGGACTACTGCTCCCCCTCTCTCCTCTGGCAGCTCACAGGACCCAAACACCGAGGCACATGCCCCAATAAACAAGCTCAACGGTCAATTGAAACCGTTGACCGTACCCGCCCTCTCACCAGGCTACAACGGCTTTCGCAGCCCCATCTTCGACCCCGCTGAACCACATCGCGCTCGCTACAACAGCATCTCAACTCCAGGACCTTTGGACGAAAGCGCGACACCACATCGTGGTAGCTACGATCATAGCATCTTCTCTGAACCTGACTTCGGCATGGAAGAGAATGGAATGCGCGATTTGAACATCAACGAACGCAGCCCTGCCGAGTCAGACGAGTACCAATTAGGCCCGAAGGGCGGCCTGAAGCGGCGGGCCTCATCACCGCCCTCCGAAGCTGCGCGTGATGATCGACCCACGACAAGCGGCCACAACGATCTCTACCATCGTCGGTCCGCCCAAATGCTGGTTAATCGAAATTGCACTGCTTCACGCTTCCAGTCAAACCCAAGCTCATTATCGTCTGCTGGGTCTGCAAGCCAACGAAGCGCTTCTATCGGTTCTTCGTTTGGATTTTCGACAGCTGCAAGCAGCATGACAAGTTATGGCGGAGATCAGCGCCTTTCGCCCAATGCGTTGTCGCCTTTGGGCGAGACGGATTCAGGGCCTGTCTCGCCGTATGCAGCTAACAGGTCTCTGGACCCGAGCCCCCGCGGGTCCTTATCACGGCCTGTGCATCAACGAGGCTTCTCGGAGACCGAACATCCGCAGATCCGTAAGATGTCTACTGACAGCATGTTGCACTCGAGGCAAAATTCAATCGCAAATCGCATACCAGGTGCCTATATTTGCGAGTGTTGTCCCAAGAAGCCCAAGAAGTTCGATAGCGAAGATGAGTTGCGGTAAGTGACAAGGATACGCGACTTGCCCACCGCTATTTCGCCTGACCACCCTTGAGCGACAATGCGCTGACCCGACCGATAGATTGCACGAGCTAGAGAAGCAGTACATTTGCCAATACTGCCCCAATCGCTTCAAAAATAAGAATGAAGCTGAACGCCATCAAAATTCCCTGCATTTACGTCGCCATTCCTGGTCATGCGCCACGCTTGCGGGCGTCCATGCAGCCTTCCACCCCTCGCCTACTCGCCCAGCTGCTGCAGACGTATGCGGATACTGCGGCGAGGAATTCCCCAACCCTGCGGACTGGGAGGCACGATCAGAACATCTCAATCACGTGCATAAATTTGGTGAATGTAACCAAGCCAAAAAGTTCTTCCGTGCAGATCACTTCCGGCAACACTTGAAGCATAGTCATGCTGGCACCAGTGGAAAGTGGACAAACATGCTGGAGAACGCATGCATGAGAGACGAGCCTCCGCCACAAGAACGTGTTGTCTCTATAAGCTCCGTATCCGGTCCCTCAGCCCTTGCGCCCAAGCCCGGTGTTATTAACGAAGTCCACGACGAATCATAATTTCGAAAAGCATGTTACCAATCAGTCTGAACGTCGGCAACAACAAGTCTTCAGACATTATTTTCTAAATGTTGAAACGCAGCTTTCGACACCATCGGCTACCCTTTTGGATATTCGCATTCTTCCCATTTCAGCTCTGTTTCCCATAGAACAGATTGTACAAGCATTGTTTTTTGTTTTAGCGAAAAGTTTTCCATGTCTACAAAGATTGCCCTGCATTTCCATGCAATCTAGGCGAAGGTTGGACGTTATGGTATAACGACATTTGATGACAGCATTCGGTAACACTCTGACGCTGGCCAACGACAGAAATTTGATGCATTTTCAAGGGTGTTGTTCTTTTCCTTCGCTCACGAGGGCGTTGATTGGACGGGGAAAAACGTCCAGGGTCATTGGTGTTTACGATAGGAGGGGGCAAGAAAGAGGATGGAGCAGTCTTACACGACACAACTCTTGTTAGGTCCATATAGCAAATTACAAACTGAATTGCCAAACCTCTTGGAATCTTGGAGAACTCTTGGAAAACAGGCTTGATCAGCTGTTTTTCACACTGCTCATTTGTGCTTTACGGGCTGGCCCGCGCGCACACAAAGAGCAAAAAGGCAAAACGGGAAACGGGAAACGATAACATATCAGTCTTGTTATATCAAGCATGATTAGCCGTGGTCCTCTCGGCTCCAGGTACTCAGTTTCAGTCTACATCCTTACACAAACACACTCACATACACGCGCGCGGACATGGACATTCACACACAATACACGAGGTTTCAAACGGACCTAGACCACGGGACAACGGTTATTTGTTTCAGCCGCCTTCCCTCCCCCCAGACACTCTCATCGTCATCACATCACACGCGCCCAAAAGCAGACATGATTGACAGTGAGCGTCAGTGCGTAGGTATAATCCCCCCTCCCCTACCATGCGAACGGGACTGGGGTGATGTGATGGGCGGAGGCGGCGCGGCTGTCAGCTTTGACCCTTGATGCCTTCCTCGGCGGTACTTTTCTCTCTCTCTTTTTTTTTCCTGTCAGCAAACGTGGTTATACGGGGGGATGGGGAGGGGAAGGGTCGATGGTTTGATTTGATTTTTTTTACCCGCGAGACTTGATACGACGATGGGTTGCGTCTGCGTCTGCGTCTGCTGATGCGGCTGCGGAGGCGGATGCTTGCTTGCGTAGGTTGCGGGGGGTGCGGGTAGGGTAGTATCACCTGCTTACTCTCTCTTTTTTTCCTTGGGAGTCACGTCTAAATGGAGGGAAAGAGGGGAGGGCGGAAGGCGGAAGAGTGGGTGTGAGATTCTTCTTTTTTCGTGACGTTTGAGCTTGATGTTTCAGACGCTTCTGTTGGTTTCCAGTGTAGAGAGACAAATTCTATGATTTGACGTGAATGGTTCAACTATCCTTGCTACACGTATGTCTAGAGATCAATTGCGTCAACCTCGAACGATGAACGAAAAATGGTTGGAGTACGAGATAGGTAACTCGCACAGGGCTGATTGCTGTACATAAAAGTCGTCTAAGCCGCTCTTGGTAAAAATGAAGGCCATGTTGAGAAGGTATATGTACCAATCAACGCAGGGGCAAAGTGTGTTCACTTTTTGTCTCAACAGGTTATGAGCCCGGGTCGCTTTCAGCGCATCAGCATGTTCGCGAAGGAACTGCTGGTTGGGTGAGTGACCAGAGCCGAGTAAGGGTCAGAGCATGAGGCCAGCGCCGAGTAGGGCCAGAGCCGGAGTCAGCACCGTGAAGGGCCTGCGTTGCAAACCACTCGCATTACTTTGTCTCCCTGCCTTAATTGCGGGGGTGTGTTGAGAAGGTATATGTACCAATCAACGCAGGGGCAAAGTGTGTTCACTTTTTGTCTCAACAGGCCAGTTATTTATTTGGGTTTGGTGCGCGCGCCAGTGAGAGAAGAGGGACATGGGGTTGAAGTTTTTTTTTGCGTTCGGGTTCGGAGGGCGTCGTGTATGGTATCTGTGCTTCTGTGTGTTTTTGTTTGGGTTGGGTTGGGTGCGTTATGGGACGGCGGACGGACGGACGGACGGCGGACGGACGGACGGACGGTTAACCAGGGCATGATGGACGTGCGTAAGCTTGGTTCGAGGGCGTTCTTGTTGCGCCGAACGACCGCACCGCGCTTGGCTGGGGTAGACAGGGAGCGTGGGGGAGTCATGGATCGAGCGAGGGAGCGAGGGACTGGGATGTGCACACGTGTGCCGGTGTCAGCAGATTGTTGGGTAAGATTTAGGGGGTTGGCGGGGATGGGAGGGGACAAGCTAGGGGAGATGGCGAGTTTAGCTTTTAATTTACCGGTCGGTGTTGTTAATACAGGGATGAGTGCGCTAGACTGCTTGTGATGGACATCTGTGTGTTGTCGGGTCGATTAATCCGATCTGTGTTGCTCAAGTACAGTACCTTGTTTGCTTGGGATTGATACACGTTGGTGAATAGTGCATAGGATGTGACTTCTCAATATTGCTGGATTAGAGACTCTGCCATCTGTCTCGTTTGATCGTAGTACTCCTACACTCTTACTATCTATCGAGTACATGTTTATGCAATATCTACCTAGGTAGATGTCATAAGTCTTTCTTCCGGCGAATACAGTGAAACAATGCTGAGTCAGCAACACTTAGTTATATTGAACAACTAACTATAGCTGTAATAGTGTTTCAGAACGACAACATTTCTTGGTGCTTAGGGTAGTTGAGTAATGTAAATTAGAAAAAGCGCTTGAGGACTGGTTCATATTTGTTGAGTAGAATAGCCTGTGTCAAGAGGTTTGGGTTGGCAAGTGCATGCGAACGTTAACTACCCCTTGATTGCTTGCTGTGTAGTAAGTCCACAACATCTTGGCTTTGGAACAAACCAAGAAGAATTCTGGAACAAAACGGGATCTGCCAGACGTGCCTTTCAAACAAGCGCCCAAAGAATACATGCATAATCCGCCGAACGAGCCTTTGCATATTTCCTTGGCAGATTTTGACTTTGACGCTGGTCTCTTGTCAGGTGAGGTGTCGCTTGGTATGCCGCTTTGGCTGCTTACTCCAGGCTTCTGGCAAAACATGACTAGCCTGGTTCTGAGTGATTGGGATGGGCAGTATGTCACTGCGAGCTTTTGATTGGAGAGAGTCGCGTTTAAGCTTACGTGGTTGGTGTTTTCCGGCTGACGAGGGGTTGATCGTGACTGCCGGGATATGACTAGCTGCTAGTGCGACTTGGCAGGTCGATGTGGGGTTCAGCCTTATTAGACGAACTTTGTAACTGCGACGCATTTCTAGAAGTAGAAATGAAGACGTCCTTTGATACAGAATTCCGCGTCTTGGCACCAGAAATACTACCGGTCACTGTGCGGCGTTCCGACAATTTCAAAATCAGTTCATGTCTGTTCCAAATCGGGATAGTCTTCCTAGGGGCTCACCAGCAAATCTTCATACTAAGACCTACAAGACCAGCTTACTGTACAGTATTCAACCAAACACACCACGTACCCACCTTCTCTAGCGCTGACCTTCCTAACCTCTCATTCTAGACTCGGTGCCCATCATACCATGCTGTCCCTCCCCCATCGCGCTTACATGCCCCCTCCCCAAATCAGTAGAATTTGCGATGGACGTAAAAGAACATCCGATATCCGGGATATCTGACGTCGGCAATATACCGTGGGGTTAAGAGAAAAACAGCACCGTGTTTTGGATTGAGCCATAATGCTCAGCAACTGAAAATCACACAGTTTAAGCTTCCAGACTTTGCCTCAAAAGAGGGCGGAAAGTGGTGGACGAGAGCGGGTGAGTGAGCACTAGTACCCCGTTACGGTAAAATAGTAATCGCCGACCAACCAATATTTCCTTTGCGGCCCGTTGTTTGATGTAGTATATACATCTGTGCGTTCTTCTTGGTAGACCGCCGCGTCCGGATGATCGCCTGGGCTTGCCGCGGGTTCCCGGATCCGATATGCTGGCTCATACAATAGTACTTGCGCGTCGGTGACGGGTAGGGTGAGCTGCCTACAATGGTGCGGCAAGACAGGGGAGATTGGAGATTAGAGGGTTGATTGGAATTGAGCTCTTGGTGAGTGGTTGGCTGGTACGTATTCGCATGGAAGACAACGGCAAGTGGTGCGGGGGAAAATGCCGAAAAGTTTGATTGTGCAGTCGTGTTGTTATTTGGAATCATGATATGGAAAACCGTTTGATTTGCCCGTTTGCTGTGCTTCATCCCGGTGTCGTGGCTGTACGATATGTGACCAAGATGTAAGGCCACAGGGATCGTCTCACATCGGCCAGCCCTATGCGGGTTTCTGGGTTTACCAGGTGATGAAACGTTGAAATCACTCCTAAGCCAAACCTATACTGTTTGTAGATATCCTGTCCTGCAATGGCTGACTATGACCTTTCCGGGAATACTCCACTGACCAAGTCGTAGTATCTCAGGCCTGTTTCTCATTTGAGGAAAGCTTGTTATGTATCGACCACTAGCTGCTACACGTTACGACTACAGATTTGGGTTAGTAAATGTGTACAACAGTGGTACGTCTATATATAATCAAAATGAACTGAGTGCATTCCGCTACCTCTACCGTCTTGAAAACATCACGATGATCAAACAATGGTAGATCCCCACATTCCGTGTCACCCGTCGCAGATGTGAAGTTCAGGTCGTGTTCGGTTTATTTCCTATACTGGTACAATGGAAGATTGAGTTCCGAAGATCAGACCATGTATTGATCATAAGAAGCGCCACGTAGTGGGTAGTTCCCGTATCTCTCAACGTGACGATCGCGCGTTGTCTCATGCCAAGGCGTGGTGCCGGACTAATGCGCTACACGAGCTGTCGTGCTATGCGCTTGGATATCTAGAGTATCAGTGTATTGAGGAACGGAGTTGGCGGGCTGCAGCGCTGTGTTGATCAGTTTGATCTCGGCAGTCCAATCTCGTACAATTGCGTACGTGTGGAGGCAGACGCTGAGTACGGCCGTCTACGTCTAGTGTCTCCGTGCGCCAGGGTGAAAGACCATCGAACCGGGTGATATCCGGCAACTATCCCACCGAAATAGCCGCGGTAGTGCCCGTATAGACGCTTGATAATGGATTGCTAATCATTCCAGGTCCAAAAGCTCGGACATGTTCGATCGACATACGAGCAGCATCAGCATGCGCCACGGCGGGAGGAACAGACTTCATTCTTAGTCAGTAGGGGCTTGGCTAGTTTGCAACTGGAATGTACATGCGAATCTGTGGTAGTGGCACAGAGTTCGATATGCAGTGTTGTTTGCTTTTGCTTACGCTGACTACAGCAGTGGCCCCGCGAAATCTTACATCGGGACGCCTGAACTGCACACGAGATGGAAAAGGCCCGACAGTGCCAATGGCTCTGTTTAGTCTTGAAAACTGTCTGTAGTAGAGATAGAGATGTTCGGTTCTTACACGATAGATGCTGACATTCTTGCGTGCGCGTTCAAGAACCCTTGCTCTGTTTAGGAGGTGATCAGTCTTTGTGGACTCAATTTCTTACATACCTTTTCGAGGTTTCCCTATTGTGCTGTGAGCGTATAGATTGCAACGTAGTGGGTGTGATTCGATAAGAGGGTGGAGGGCAGCGCGATAACCAGCACTTCGAAATTCTTGGCGAAGTTTGCCATCTCACCGTCAGCCTCCAAGAAGTACGATTTGATGTCATCTTCGTATGATCACTCCAAGATCGTCAGCACTGAAAATAGTTTTCACCGCGAGTTGTTACCAATCACGGCACAACCCAATGACTTGTGTCACTGTATGATCGTCGATGCAAAGGTCCTGCAGAGAACCGGGATACTGCCCCATAATTGAAAGTTGAAAAGCACCGTAGGGCTGACTAGGCAATAAGAAGAGAGCTGTACGGATCGTGCATCGGGTGTATGTGGTCCGTAGCACCGGCAAAGGCACAGATGCATCGGCAGTTTTCTCTATGGACAAGACATATTCATCATGCTCACATCGGATCTAGGGTGGGTAAGACAGCGAGCAAATCTGGTGCTAAGACCAGCAGTAAAGTGTAACCATATAAGCGAGTCTATTGCGATTGATCAAGTTTTGGTTCTTAGCTCCCCACGTGGTCGAACCAGGATCGGTAGAGAACATGCCGGTACAATATATTCGAGAGTTTACACTATAACTCTTGGGGTGCAGTAGTCGGCGACTACAGTACACATCGCCAGCTGAAGTTTAGTGCCGAAAACCCCAGTCTAGCCATGTCGCCAAGCAGATTGAATCACGAGGCACGTATGACATTCGGCAAGCATAGAATTGGAGGCCGCTAGTTGCTGACCGCATTGTCCACGATGACTATGTGGTTGGCGGCAGTAAATTCCGTCTAGGGTCGCCAAGGCATACCGGTATTCTCCCAACAGTTGACGGACGAAGAGGAGATGATCGAAGATGAATGGGGTGACTGACGCACGGTGACGACCTAGCTCATTCAGGATTGTGGTATGTATGAGCCCTATGGGTTGCCACTGGGTACTGAAGGGAAGTTTGCAGGATTGCTCAGCCTCTCGCGGTTTCGTTTAGCAATTTCCACATTCCGCAGCTTGTCTAGCCTCATTTGATAAAAGTTCCTGTACCAAGTCAGTACAATCATAGAACAAGTCAAGAACTGACCTCACTTGTTGAGTTGGTATATGCGGGGACCAATTTCAGCCTGAGCCTGGTCTTTGGTTTTGGACAATTCTTTGATCTGCAGTAGATATCAGTAAAAAGCATAGAATGAACATGTCTGATATACCTTCTCGTCTTTGGCTTTCTCATCTCCCTTATCTTCGTCATCCTCCTTCTTCTTTGCTTCTTTTTCCTTCTCCTTGTCCTTTTCTTTATCTTTCCCTTTCCGCTTTTCACGCTTGATCTTCTGTTTCTCTTCGTACTCTTTCTTTACTGCCTCGATCTCACGATCCAACTCATCCTTTTTCTTCTCTTCCTCGACTCTCTTTGCCTCATCGGCTTCTGGTAAGCAGAATCCTCGATCTGAAAGATGCCCAGCGCAGATATAGAAGAAATCCTAATTTCAAGTGAGTAGCTTGTTGTGAATTTTGAAATCTTAGCGTACCTTGTTGTTGGGTGTGATCAGAACGCTCGTGGTAGGCTTGTAGCATATCCAACAGGCCTTGGAAGCATTCTCCGCCACACGACGATGATGCCATATATTCTCCATTGACCTCTCGATGGAGATGCTGCTACTGCATACACTAGCAGTAACAACTCGGATAGCCAAGTGTATGTCTTTGGGCACAGTCTTCCCCCTCTAGTGTTGTATCAAGTGTTACTATTATTAAGATTTATCTAGAATGGGTGTGAAAATAGTTGTGAAGCTTTGTGGACTTTAGATACATGTTAAGATGGGTTGTCGTGCTGGAAAGTGGTGGGGGACGTCAGAGCGTCGGGACTAGACTCTAAGCGGATTAGCCATACACCAGATGCAGTCACAACTGTCCGTCATTCCCTACCTACCGTCGACTTCATGTTTCTAAAAAGTGTGCGGCCTACGACTGTGTATCATACGGGGTTTGCTTTGCGTCAATCTTGTACATTGCTTCGTGTTATAGGAGACAAGAAGTGCCTAAAGAAATTTTCCCGTGCGTCATTTGAACATGAATCTCTCATCTCAAGCATTAAGATGGGACAATCACTGACTGTATGATAGACCAAACTTGTTTTTCATCAACATTTGCTTCGAAACTATCAACTATGGCATCTCCAGCGCAGCTTAGATACATCGATGTTGGTCCATGCCCCACTGGCTTACCCTCCCCACTTCTAACCCATCACGCACAGGTCGGTATCAACTTTACAGACCCCATTTTCCGAGGCGAGTATCACGGGACCCAACGCCACGAAGACGACTTTGAAGACGTCATTCAAAGAGCTTTAGACGCTGGCTGCAAGAAGTTCATGGTAACGGGTTCTAATCTCGCGGAATCGAAACATGCGGTTGAGATTGCAAAAGCACACCCAGGCTTATGCTATGCTACTGTTGGTGTACACCCTTGCTCAGCAAAACACTTCGACACGCATTCTGGTGGTCCATCTGAACTTCTTTCTGCCCTCAAAGCCCTAGCTATAGAAGCTAAAAACGCAGGTCATGCTGTGGCGTTTGGAGAAATTGGTCTTGATTACGACCGCTTGTTCCTTACAGCAAAGGAGCCGCAACTGAAGTACTTTGAAGCACAACTGGAAATTGCCATTGACGTGCAACTACCACTCTTCCTTCACTCTCGCGCTGCGAGCGAGGACTTTGAGAGGTTGTTGACTGCAAAGCTTGACCAGCTGCCGAAGAGAGGCCTTGTGCATAGCTTCACCGGAACGTTGGAAGAGATGCAACGGCTTGTTGATTTGGGGTTCGATATTGGTGTTAATGGATGTAGTATGAAGAGTACGCCGTCCCCAGTTCACCTGATACCCAGCCCACTCTCTACTAACTCTCTTTCTAGCGGACGAAAACATCTCAGTCGTCAAACAAATACCCCTCTCACGTCTACAAATCGAGACCGACGGTCCATGGTGCGAGATGAGACCCAGCCACGCATCAGCCAAGTACCTCAGCGACGCACCTCCTCTACCAAAGGCAGTGAAAAAGGAGAAGTGGGCCAAGGGCATGATGGTCAAGGGACGAAACGAGCCAGCCACTATCCCCCACGTTGCGTACGCGATTGCAAAGATCAAGGAGATCAGCGTGGAGGAGGTTTGCGACGCGTAAGTCATTTGTTACTTATCAGGACGGCTTAAATGCGAACTAACATCGACATGTAGTGCATGGGCAAACTCGATCAAGATGTTTGGGCTTGGAGAAACGACTTCTTAGACACATGACAGACAAACCAGGTACATGATAGACTTGCATATATAAGGTGGATTCGTACAAGAGGAATCTATTTCCTCTAAACTCGCAGGTATAACGACCGCCAAACAGACCACGCCAAACCAGTAACACTCTACTTCCTGTACCACATCCTGGTGATCTTGGTATGCCTCATCTTCTTCTGTAGCTGGAAAACGCCGTACATGAGCGCCTCGGCGGTAGGTGGGCAGCCAGGTACGTAGATATCCACCGGCACAATCCTGTCACATCCTCTTGTGACAGAGTAGCTGTAGTGGTAGTATCCTCCTCCGTTTGCGCAGCTGCCCATGGAAATAACCCAGCGGGGGTCGGGCATCTGGTCGTACACCTGTCGCAGCGCAGGTGCCATCTTGTTTGTGAGGGTTCCGGCTACAATCATGACGTCCGACTGTCGGGGAGAAGCACGGAAAATGATACCAAGACGATCTTGGTCGTATCTTGGGGTAGACAAGTGCATCATCTCGACGGCGCAGCATGCGAGACCGAAGGTCATGGGCCAGAGAGAGCTCTGACGAGCCCAGTTGGCTACTTGGTCGAGTGTCGTCCTATCCCCGCTCGTTAGCCTGTGCCCTGTTGTGTCTTTATTGCCACCCATATCTTCCTCGTAATCTTAGTAGTGTTTCACATACAATGCGTATTGCATAGCACCCTTCTTTCCCTCCTGGCTCGGTAATGGCACTTCAACTCGCGCTTTCTTCATGGGTGGTGGCGTTCCAGGGTTGCCGGGAATTGTCGCGGGAGTCTTCATGGTCGCTCTATCGGACGAACTCGAAGACAGGAAAGCAGCGCTTCCGGCGCGGAAGGGCATCAACGCCGTCGCGGGCTTGGCTATCCATATTGTCAGTTCGGGAGCGCTAGGAGCTTCTTGAGCGACAGGCGGCACAAACCTCGCAGAGCCATTGAGGCCGCAGACCGTGTCGTCGAAAACATGATTGCGACGAACAGAAAAAAAAAGGCGTAGTGAAAGGAGTGGGGGAGGAGTGGAGAGGCAAGACGTGGGGTGGCGGTCGAGGAGTCGCGAAGTGAATCGATGAGGTAGGTGCAGCAAAAGGCTTGGCGATATCGATTAGCAGTCGATTTTGGTGGCACCTGATAGGCTGGGGAATCATCACTCCTCCGCCATCGCCCAGCCTACTCCACATCTACTCCCCTAGGCCCTCGAATCCGGAGATATTTCGCATAACATGTCAGGTCGTGTAAGAAATGCACATGTCAGCTGCTTGTGACATGTATTGATGGCTTTACTAGGTCCCATCCATTGCTTGCATAGGCGTAATCGGCAAGCACGTTAGTACACCTACTTGTGCACATCGACATGTTCCGTTTTCCAATGACTAATTAATGACATAGAACAATCCACTGCATATATCACTCTTTCCAGCAGAAGAGCGGGCCCCGCTGGAATTTCAGTTCCTTCTCTCGTCATGCCTGGACATATTTGAAGCTCGTCTGCCTCACAAGACAGCAGACCAAGACTTTGGTCTTTTGCAAGCTGTCGATGAGAGATTAGCAATGTACGGATGGCTCACCAACACCGGGGTCAAGTTCGTTATTGTGGTTGACATGGAAGGGCGACCAGCTTCTGCACTTGACACCAAGGCCGCTACTGCGGTTGGGCTGCGAGATGCGGATATGAAGCCTGTGAGTTTGTGATACTGTGTACTTCTCAGACCCCTAACCCTTTGCAGGCATTCAGAGCATTACAGACGGCATATATCAAGTTGCTCCGGAATCCGTAAGTGACATTCACATCGTAGCTCTGAGGCACATGTTGACACCATTCCCCAACATCAGATTCTACGACCCAGATGAGCACTCGCCAGTCACAGCAAACGCTGAGCAGAGGATTGGCTCAACTCAAATCACAAGTCGCAAGTTCATCCAAGAGGTCAAAAAGATTGCCGAAGCGTGGTCGCCGGGCGTTACGAGCATTTGAGCAAACTATACTCCAATAATCACGATACCACATTGCATTTAAAGGCGTTCAGAAATAACACCTTCACTTCAAACATTGCTTCCTTTTGGGACTGTTTGGACTCCAATAGCACAATGGACTTCGGAACTTCCCAAAAGCGCTAGCGCCGATTGCAGTCTAGTCCAATGTTAGAGCAGATCACCTCGGTCACACTGAAACTCTCGATGCCTCGTGCTACATCCACGGTGACCTCTTTGTCAACACTAATGAATCCCAATGTCGTCTACCGGTGTGGCCATCACCAATCCCCTGGTGCTCTATCGCAGCCTTATTGCTACACAGAAGATCCGCCCTGACCCAGCTCAGCACCGACTCGGTATGACGTCTACCATTCTGCGATCTTGCCAAGCGTTTTAGAGGTACATGTGGACTGACTTGAAGGTGCTTCAGCGTTACATTTACAAAAACTCTATGACCGTCTCATTGATTATGAACCGGCGATAGAGTACTCGAAACGACTGCAACTACTCACACGAGCTGTAGACTCTGATCCAACTGGGGAATCAACTGCGCCTACAGATCTTCATGCGAATCGCTTCGGCAGAAGAGGTGTATGGACGTCGCTTCTGGCACAGAAAGAGAGAAGGGATTCTGTGGCTTTGACACGAGTTCTGACTAGTCATGATGAGGCCATGCAGCTGCAAAGCCCAAAGGGGCTTATGCTCCATGGTGAGGTCGGCACCGGAAAGTCCATGCTGATTGATCTCTTTCAAGACTGTCTGCCCAACCGCAAGAAGCGCCGCTGGCACTTTAATACGTTTATGCTCGACACCATATCCCGACTCGAGAAACTACGCAGAGCGCGATCGCTATCAGCGGGACCCAAGGCTCCTCATGATGAATACTCGTTGCTTTTAGTTGCCAGGGATCTTATTGAAACATCGCCGATTCTCTTCCTGGATGAATTTCAGCTTCCTGACCGTGCGGCCAGCAAGATCTTATCGAATCTCATGACATCTTTTTTCCAGCTCGGTGGCGTCCTTATTGCGACTAGTAACCGTATGCCTGAAGAATTAGCCAAGGCCGCAGGCATGGAATTCTCGCGACCTGTGAATCGGCTCAGCCGTTTGGGCTGGAGTATGAGTAAGAGTGAGCATCGCAGGAGAGATGATGGGGCTGGGCAACTTGGCGAATTTGCAGGCTTTTTGGATGTGCTGAGGGCGAGATGTGAGGTCTGGGAGATGGAGGGCAAGAAGGATTACCGGAAGCTTGAGCGAGAAGAGGAGAGTGGTAGAAGGGATAGTGTTCAGATGTCGGGTTTTGAGTCTACCTCAGCTTCTGCACAGGGAATCGCAGGTGTAGCGGATACATTCAGCATCCAACAAGAGCAAGCAACCCCGGATACCGTCAGCCCTACATCGTCCTCATACTTCCCCAAAAATTACCTCATCCAGCCCAAGACCACCGATCAAATGATCGAATTCGGCGAATCCTTCAACGCCCTCGTCGAACGCGCCACAAACACTCAATACCCCATCCCATGGGAACCCGCCACCCTAACCGTCTACAACAGACCCCTCCACGTCCCTGCCCAATACAACGGCGTCGCCTTCTTCACTTTCGCCGAGCTCTGCGGCGCCGTCCTAGGTCCCGCCGACTACGTGACTCTAGCATCCACCTACCACACCTTCATCATCACCGACGTGCCGGTAATGGGTCTGCTAATGAAGAGCGAGGCCAAACGCCTCATCACACTCCTCGACTCCATGTACGAAGCACGCTGTAAACTCATGATGACGGCCGCCGTCGGCCCGGACGACATCTTCTTCCCTGTGCGGCCCGGTGGTGTCGGTGCTGCCGCCAGCGCCGATGACACTTCCCTCGAAAACGACGCCGTGTACCCAGAAACCTATTCGGAAATCTACCAAGACCTCAACTCCCCGTTCCGACCAAACATTTCTTCGTACAGCGGTGGTGCCTCCTTGGCTGAAGACGCACTCGAAGATGACCCACCCAACCGCACACGCAGGGAGGGCTCCTCCTTCACCGACGAATGTCGTCTAGGCCCCGGATCCCCTGATTTCGCAAACATAGGCGGTCTAACGGGTGAAGACGAGAAGTTTGCGGTCAAGAGAGCCGAAAGTCGGATTTGGGAAATGTGCTCTCGCAGTTGGTGGGAGAAGGCGTCTTCGGTGCCGGTAGAGGAGTGGTGGAGACCTATTCCGCTGGAGTCGAGGCATTGGGAGAGGCCCTCTTCTTCGGCAGTGGCGGCTACTGCTGCTGCTGCTACATCGGCTGCATCGGCTGCGTCGTCTGCGTTGCCGCCGAATACGAAGATTTTGTCGGAGGAGGAGCTGGAGAAGGATAGGCAGGCTGCGTTGCAGGATATGTTTAAACATGGTGCTAGCCCCTTTCGCACGCATCCTGATGCGCCGCCAAAGTTTGCTTGGACGCATGCTTGGGGCATGATGACTTGGGGAAAGAAGGCTGGGGCTTGGGGCAAGGGCGTGGAAGGGTTGGATGAGAGGGATAAAGTGAAAGATGGAGAAGATGAGACGGAGAAAGATGGCAAGGGAAAGAAGGGAGAGAAGTGATTTACATGCACGACTTGAATTAGACTTAGCGTGCTAGATAGAGCAAATAAAATACTTTTATGCGCCTAGAAACCATCCGTACGTAGTCTCACTTTTCTTCATCAACATTAGTATCGTTATCATGCATCTACTCCTACTCAAACCATGGATCTAGTCACTGGATCTTTCCCTTGTTCACGACAAAGGCCTCCAAGACGGAAATGGCAGACCACAGCCTGTTCTCCGCCTCCCTGAACACGACACTCCTGGGACCGTAGAAGACCTCGTCAGCAACCTCCTCTGGGTGACGGGGCAAGCAGTGCATGAAGCTCCAGTTGTCCTTTGCGCCACCGCGCTTGGCCATCTCAGATGTGATCTGGAAGCCCTCAAAGGCCTTGAGGCGCTTCGCCGTCTCCTCTTCCTGGCCCATGGAAACCCACGTATCTGTAACAAGGATATCGGCGTTCTTGCACGCTTCTTCAGGCGAATTGGTCTCGATGAGCTTGCCGGCTCGCGGCGATGTCTGGGCAGCATGGGAAATGACTTCGCGCATGGCCTTGGGGATCTCGTAGCCTACGGGGGTCGCGACGGCCATGTCGATGCCTAGTTTGGCTGCGCCAATGGCTAGGTCAAATAGCACGTTGTTTGCATCTCCGATCCATGCGATCTTGAGGCCCTCGAGGCCGAGCGAGGTGGACGAGGCGGAGGGGTAGATTTCGCAGATGGTGAGCAGGTCGGCGATGGTCTGGAGGGGGTGGTAGAGGTCGCAGAGAGCGTTGATGACGGGGACGCTCGAGTGCCTTGCGAGGTCGGCAACGTCGGAGTGAGGGCCTACACGGGCGACGATGGCAGCCGTCATGCTGGAGAGGACGATGGAGGTGTCGTAGAGAGACTCATTGACCTATCCTACCGCGTCAGTGTGAAATAGTGGAAGAAGGTGTAAGAGTCATACACCAAGTTGTATGTCGTCTTTTCCCAAAAACATGGGCGAACCTCCCCAGGCAGCAATGGCACCCTCTGTTGATACCCTCGTGCGTGTGCTCCGCTTGCTAAACGTCATGGCCACAGTCCTGCCCGCCAACGCTGCGCGCATTGAATGCGGCACCTCGTTGGTCTGCTTGATGGCGGTCTTGTGTTTGTGTGCATTTTGGACGAGTGTGGTGAGCTCAGCAGGTGTGAGGTCTGCTATGGAGAGAAGATGTCGGGGCGCAAAGGGCGATGTGGGAGGAGTAGCTGGTGAAGTGGAGTAGCAGCGGCGCAAGCTTCGCAGAGCTGCCGGAGAGGGGCGGAAGGCGGGCATGTTTGTCAATTGACTGTGACAGGCTTCAAGGACACAAGCGAGTATTGATACAAGTACAACAACCAACCTAAGAGTCACACGTCTTTTTTTGCACACGTTTTTTGTCAGACGGAGAGTTATCTGACAGCCAGGCTAAGCGCGACGCATCACAGCGGGTATCTCAGTCCGGGGTCATGGTCGGGGCTAGTGGCCCGCGGCAGGCACACGTCGCTCGCTACCTTATTCGGCTGCCCTGTGCCCATGTGAGTGGCTGAGTTGATGACGAGGTGACTGTCGACTGTCTCGACCTTTTCACTCCTCCTCCACCAACACAGTCACACCGCATGCCATGGCTCTCGCCTGGACCCCCCTACGCTTGAAGATGGACGAGGAGGAACGCGAACGCGAGGAGTCGTGGGGCGCCAGCAGGGCTGCGACCCGCACGCCTAGCTCGCGTCCGGCCTCGCACAAGTCCGCCCGCTCAACGCGCTCGAAGCAAAGCAGCCGCACCACAGAGCAGACGCCGCTGTTGTCGCAACAAGACCGGGACGACCGTCCGGATAACGAGGAGACGCCCGCCGAGACATCGCTGCGCCGGTCGCTGAGTGGCTCATCAGTCAAGAGCGACAGTGAGCGGGTGCCGCTGTGGCGGAAGCGATGGCCGAGCATATTGGCCCTTGTGATACTCTGTGTCGTCTTCATCATCATCATGCTCGGATTTCTGGCCAAGGAGAGCATCGAGGAGTACTCGATGCAGGCCGCCGACTTCAAGCCCACGAGGCTCACCATGCAAGGCCTGACCGAACACGGGGCCGATGTGCAAGTAGAGGGAGACTTCAAGATGGACGCCAGCAAGGTCAAAAAGCAGAGCGTACGCAACCTGGGACGCTTCGGCACCTGGATTGCGAGGGAAGCCGAAACTGGCGCCTTCGACGCCGACGTGTATCTGCCCGAGTACGGAGACGTCTTGATTGGTACAGCCAAGATACCTGGCATCAAAGTGAACATCAGAAACGGACACACGACCCACGTATCCTTTGTCGCAAACGTGCAGCCGGGCGAGCCCGATGGCATTCGAAATGTCGCCAACGACTGGATTGATGGTCGGCTGGGACAGATACGACTCAGGGGAAGGGCTTCCGTCCCAGTCAAGTCGGGCTTGATCAACGTTGGCAGGCAGCTTGTTGAGCACTCCATGGTATTGCAGGGAGGCGACATCCCTTCACTGCCTCACTACAACATCACAAAGCTCAACCTCGGTGAGGCCAAGCATGGTCAGAAGGGGCTTGGTGCCGATGCCACCATTGTCGTCCACAACGACTTCCCCGTTCAAATCACTCTACCTCCCGTGGCTGTAGACGTTGGTATTGAGGGCTGCTCGGCCACCGATAAGCACATCATGGTTGGCACCGCACGCACTGGAGAACTCAAAGTTAACCCAGAGTCCGACGTCAAGGTCGAGGTCACTGGCAACGTTGACAAGCTGTCAGACCCACTGACCCAAGTGTGCCCCAACTCGGCCAAATCTCCTCTTGATGCCTTCTTGGGTGACTACATGAAAGGCGAAGACGCAACCATCTATATCAGCTGCTGCAAGTTCCCTGACCCAGCTACCCCTGAGTGGGCTCGTGACCTTCTCAAGGACATTACTGTCCCTGTTCCCTTTGCTGGAAAATCCATGGGCAACCTGATCAGAAACTTTTCTCTTGCCGATATGCATTTCAGTCTTCCCAACCCATTCGCTGAACCCGGCACACCCGAAGCAGCGCCTAAGATCTCTGGCATTGTCAACGTTGACATCGGTCTTCCCAACGAAATGAACTTTCCTATTGATGTCAATCAAGTCAAGGCCGACGCCGACATCTACTACCACAAGAAGAAGCTCGGAAAGATGAACTTAGAGAAGTGGCAAAAAACAAACTCTACCCGTATCGAAGGCAAGGGTTCGGAAGGACCTACCCTCCTTGTTCAGTCTGTCATCAAGAATGCTCCCATTGAAATTCTGGACGATGATCTCTTCAGCGAAGTTGTGCAAGCTCTGCTATTTGGCGGTAAATCCATCATGATGGATCTCAAGGCTGCAGTCAGCGTTGGTGTAGACACGCCTATGGGCAAGCTCGCAGTGCGCGGCATTCCTGCACAGGGAGTTGTACCAGTCAAACGTTCGTAACCAGTTCGTGATCCATGTTTGGCCGCTCTCCTGCAACTAGCTAACTTTTCCTGTTCAGCGATTCGCGGCGGCAAGGACACCAAACCTGGTAACGGCAACGACAAGAACAATGGAAGCGGGCTCAACATTAAAGTCGGCAACCTGGCTATAGTTGATACCTCGCCTACTTCTCTTACCATTAACGCCATGGTCAACTTTACGAACCCTACGAATTACTCAGCTACAATTCCCTATTTTAACATTAACGTTTTGGCAAACGGGTCGCATATCGGCAGTGCGACAATCGAAAATATGGAGGTTCTCCCCGGAAATAACACAAACAAACTTGCTTCTCTTCTTTGGGATCCTTATACGTTCGGAGGCGACAAGGGAAAGAAAATCGGCGCCGAACTACTTTCCCAATACATTTCTGGTAAGCCCCCCATCTGCAATAGGGATACAAGCAAGCTAATACTGTGAGCAGGTTTCAACACTACAATAACTGTCCAGGCTCACGAGAAATCTGTGCCAGCCCTCCCGTACATTGGACGTCTTCTCTCGCACTTTCCAATTGAGCGACCTATGCCACACATGTCTACTCCTAAGAAGCCGTCCGATGGTGACGATGACGATGACCCTGAGGATGACGGCAAATCCCACTTCATTCGCGGCACGACCATGCATTTGATTAGTAGCACAGCCGTATTCACTCTCGCTTCCCCATTCCGCTCGACAACACTGTACATTACCGACATGAATGCAACTGCCTACTACGAGGGCCATATCGCTGGCAAAATTCTCTACGATCTACCTTTCGCTGTACCTCCCGGGCTCTCGGAATCCCCGCGTTTACCCGTCGACTGGTCATTCGGTAGTCTCGGGTATGAAGCCATTAAGAGGGCACTCGGGGGACAATTGAAACTAAGTGCCTTTGCCAATGTGGGTGTAAGGATCGGAGAGTGGAGAGAAAGCGTATGGTTCAAGGGCGGTAAGATTGGCGCAAACGTTAGACTCTAGAGTTCCCGCTGTTGAGAGAATATTTCTGGCATAGATTCTAAGAGTGCTTAAGAGATTGAATTTGTTTGTCTATACGAGTTGGTACACGCCTGTTTGCGTTGTTGTATGTACATTGGAAGGGCTATGTGGGGTTCACGGCGTTGAGGATATTTTCCAAATTGTTCCAAACAGGTCGTCAAGGTACAAATACCATTTCTTTGTCTGGTTGTTCTACCGGAAACGCCAAAGACGTGATTCTCATCTGTACGATGGATCGATGAATCGAAGACATACGAGAGAAGATGAGTCTCACCTGAGGCTGGAAAGACATACGACTCGCAAGATTATCGCCTGATAATCTCGAGTAGGAGATGCGCAGACAAAGGCTGTTACACGACGCACAGCGTTCTGACGCGCATATGTGCCGAGCCTGCTGATTGGTCAAATGTCATTCCCAAAGCTTATGTGGAGAAAATGGTACAGTTGTGGGCTCATGGTGTTGCCAGGATGAAGCGATTTTCTGCCTGGGCCAAAAGCTGCTCAGATCGCCCCCCCCCCCAAACAAGTGTATATAGATCAAGACGCCATCCCGCTACGCCTTCAAGCTTCAGAGTTTGGGCTTCATTTGGATTCTATTGCATCCCCATCAACAGAATAACTAAACAGCTGCCTTTGAGGTGCATGCACCCGAACACCCGAGGTCAATTCGGGCTGTGTGGCTGAAGGGCCCTGAGATGCTGAGAAGGGTAGACTGATACGGTTGAGGATTTTTCAGTCGCCGGGAAGCATTTCCCCGCCAGCAGGAACAAACTTGCTCAGCTCCTCCCTGGGCATAAAACAGGTATGGTTTCCTTATTGCGTGTCGAGAAAAGCACATGGATCTCAACAACAGGCTCAGAATCGGGAATCTGGCGCAGCACCACTACGTGGCTTCTCTCGGTGGTTTGGGTAACTGAGAGTACGACTGAAAAAACGCATGTTGTAAATGAGTGGATGCCCATGCCGGAACGTACCGAGCACAGTCACAAGATGCACAAGTGAGCATGGAAGTTGCTGGAAGCAGCAGCAATCAAGTTGCAGGAAAAACTCGTGGTCATCTCGGAGGGATTAGCCCTCTATCCCACGTGATTGGTTGCAACGGGCCCCACGCCCTGTTGCGAGTGGGTGATTGGCCGGGACAAGTGCTCCGGTTCAAATAAAAACCCCGAGGCTTTCCCCGCCCATCACACTTTGGACGTCACAACAAAGAAACACCAGCCTTGTCTCACACCGTCCAGCAACGGGCACCGCGCATAAAGAGAAGGATTGGGTCTAGACTTGACCTGTTCTCGCCCATCGTATGATGCCCCTGGGCGCTGCAAGAGGCTGCAACAAGGTGTGAGATACGAAGGCTGAAGTGCCTGGGTGGCGGACATCATGGCAGCAACAGAGAGGAAAAAGAACAGTGTAGCTGCCACAATTAATGCTTGGGCTGAGCCCAGCGGCTTACATGCCCGCAACTCCCGCTCCGCTCCGAAGATTCTAGACACTCTCAGCCGAGCTTACGTCGCTGTGATGCATTTGTTTCCAAAGCCGTGTCCTGGCAAGAGCCGGTGTGCCGTCGCCTGTTTATCGTTCGACAGGTGCATTTTTCACGATTTCAGCTTCAAATCTCGATCGCGACGAATTGGGCATGTACCCCAGCCATGGCTGATCACACGGGGCCACTAAATTTAAACGTATATACACCGTCTGCTCGCTTCAGTGACCAGACAGAAGCCCCCTCTCGACCCTTTGTTACCGCGGAGCGTGTGAGTTTGTAGTAGTCATGATGGATTTCTCAGGCCTATCCGCTTACCCCATGACGGCGTCGACGAGTGCGACGTATTCGCCAAACAGCGACAACTTCCCCTCGCCAGACATTGACGCCTATTTTACCGAATCCTCTTATCCGGGCCTTTCCGATTACTCTGCTTCCCATAATTTCCCGTCCGCCAACGGTACCTGCTTTAATCGCCCTGCTGAGCAACCACCAGCCGATGGAGTCCTCGGCTGGAGCGCCCCCGTACACAACAACTTCATCAATGCCCCGTCGACGGTCAGTCCTGCGGCTGTAGCCCCCAAACCACCACTTACAACCTGGGCGAACAGTCTGCCTACGCCATTGAGCGTTGCAGGAGACTTTCAAAATGGATACATGGCCACTGACTTCAATTCAAACTTCCCCTCGCTTCCCTCGCCCCTGCCCACCCCCAGTAGCTCCGGAAGTCCGACATTATCCTCCCCAGTCCCCGTCTCCAACACGCAACAAGCTGCCCCCGAAGACCCTGCCACCACCACGGCTAAGCCTGCTCCGCGGAAACGAGGTCGTCCGCGGCTGAACCGCCCCGCTTCAGAACCCCAGGCTGCCAACAACAGTGGGGCCAAAAGCACGAGGACACAGTGCATGCCCCACACCGAAGTCGAACGCAAGTATCGCGAGAAGCTCAATGCCGAGCTGGAGCGACTACGCCGGGCCGTTCCCATGCTGCCACAATGTGATTCAGCGGACATGGGCGCTGTGAAGCCTAGCAAGAGCATGATTCTGGCCGTTGCTATCGATTATATCAAAGAGCTTGAGAGACAGCGAGATGCCGCGGTTGAAGAGGTGGAGAGACTGGGCGGTAAAGTACGGTTCGGTCGGGCCGGGGTCTGGAAGAGAGAGCCTAGTGAGGCTTGACAATTGCTTGAATGGTGGCGGTGATGGTGGCATATTGCGAAGAAGAGGAGGCGAACACTTGATACCTCGGGAGGAAGAGTGTCGGTACTGCGTCATTGGTCGTTTGGTAAGGCCAGAACACAGACAGACAGACAGACGAGCATCCCGTCTGCCCATCTCTCACGCTATACCTGTTCCTCTCCTTCTTTCCTTGCCCCACCTATCCCTCTCTCTCTCCCCTCTTCTTCAGGCACTTTTGCATACATGTTCTGGCGAAATATTTGTGTCTTTTTTTTTCTTGTACGAGTCTCAAGCAACGATTTTCCTTTGTTTTCCTTTGTCTCTCTTGCGGGCGAACTACGGCCAAGTTTATTGGAGGAAGATAGATACCCCATATACGATACATGATTAAAGCTTTTTTTTTTCGGCTCTCTGGGTTTGGGTTTGGGGACAAAGCTGGCATAAAGGGACGGGTTGTTTTGGGTGGAGGAAATGTACATTTAAGGCTTCTTTTTTCGGGATTCTTGGAATTGCAGAAAATGATGTAGTAATGATGCGTTGATTTGGAGTTTTGCGTTTGTGAGGTTTAATTGGGTGATTAGGTGGTAGGGATGGGTGTGAGTGGGCGGAGTGGATGGGGTAGGTGGTGGTACACAAAAGTTTGGAGTTGTGGTAATGATTGCTTGTGAAACTGCATGTGTTTGAAGTTTATTATACATCTCGCTGATTTTGTACAAGGGCTTGCCAAGAAGGGGGGTTGAGTTGATTGGTCTTTGCTGTCGAAGTGCTAATCACTGCTGCGTCTATCCTAGTGTAGCCCAAAAGAACGGGTAAGCAACTTGTGCTATACTTCTTCTTCAGATACTAAATGGATTCCCCAACGACAGCTTCTCTCTCCTCTTGTATTATCAGATTCCCTTTCTTTATACATCGGCTCCTGTCCATGTATATCTACCCAGGACTCTAGGTTCATTATGATACCACAGTATCATCTCTACATATCACCCCCATTTACCATGTCTATGAATCGCGCAATCAATTCGTTGCTCGTAGAATATTGTTCACTAAGATGGAGCAGGGCTTGGTTGTCAGGCCGATATATTCGAGCCTCTGTATTATCGGCCTAAACTTGACATAATTGAGCGCGGAAAGAGGTAGAAGTAGAATAAGCTTCCAGTTAATTAGGGAAGTTAGATACATGATGTAAAGCGCCCAATCTTAGTGGAGTATTTGTGCTTATATCGTATAGATATGGGAGATGGAAACATGGCCGTAGAAGTCGAGGTTAAGTCGTGTTTGAACGTCGTTATATAGATATCATCCACGGGTCCAGTGTCTTAGAAACATATTCTTGGTATTATCGAATAAACTTACTGGCCTCAATGCTACTTCATATATCTTAGTCAAGTATGTAGGTTGTACGCCTTTGGGAAAGTTGTGGACTGACACGACATTGTATAGGCACTGTCGGATCGTGAGTATCGGTAACGTGTCTGTGCGCGTGATGCCCATAATCGCGTGCCGCACACCCCGCAACATCAACACCAATCCACCCTTACCACTTCAACCACCCATAACTCCACAACCATGAGTTGTATCAACGCTGCGATTGAAGCTATTGAATCGCGTGATCCCGGAGATAAATTTACATACTCTGAGGTTGCGCGCCGCTTTGGTGTTGATCGCTCTACGTTGTCGCGACGCCATCAACAGATCCGGGGCTCAAATGAAGCCAAATCACGTAATCAGCAACTCCTTCACCCACACCAGGAGCTACAGCTTCTAGAGCACATTGACGAGCTTACTGAGGCTGGCTTACCACCGACGAGGACTATGATCCAGAACTTTGCTAGTGCTATAGCCGGAAGGGCTACCTCCCAAAGCTGGGTGACGCGCTTCTTTCACCGTCATCCCGACGCGATTATATCACGTTGGTCAACTGGTTTGGACCGCAATCGCCACCGGGCTGATTCTGTATACAAGTACGAGTCGTACTTTGATCTACTATCTACTAAAATGGCTCAGCACCATATTCGGGCGCAGGATGTATATAATATGGATGAGAAGGGATTCCTTATTGGAGTGACGGGGAGGAGTAAGAGAGTGTTTAGTAAGCAGAAATATGAGACTGGGGGCTTTAAGAAAGTGATACAGGACGGCAACAGAGATTGGATCACTGTTATCGCTGCTATATGTGCTGATGGGAGTACGTTACCGCCCGCGATTATATACGAAGCTACTTCGGGCAACATGTACGCCAGATGGGTTGATGATATCGCAATTGACGATCCAGTCTACGTTACCTCAAGTCCCTCAGGGTGGACCAATGATCAGGTAGGCCTGGCATGGCTCGAACAGGTGTTTGATCGCCATACGAAGGAGAAGGCCGGCAATCACACACGCTTACTCATCCTTGACGGCCATGGGAGTCACGTTACTATGGAGTTTATTGACTATGCGATCGCCCACAATATTATGTTACTCATACTACCCCCCCATAGTACCCATACGCTGCAGCCACTCGATGTGGTAATGTTCAAACCTCTGGCAGCCGCGTACTCACTCAGCTTGCAGCACTACCTCCAGGCGAGCCACGGTCTCTTAGCTGTGAGGAAGGATGACTTCTACCGTCTTTTCAAGCCTGCCTGGGACTCCTCTTTCATTAAGAAGCACGCGTTGAAGGCATTTAAAGCCACTGGGATAGCTCCTATAGATCCCGAAGTAGTACTTAAAAAGTTCCGAAAGTCAACACTAACAGCACCGCCGCCACTAGTGAACGTGAGTAGAGCTACTATCATGAACCTCATTAATCAGGCCTACGATCCGAGCTCTATTGCGGCCAACAACCTCTCAGAAATACTCCTCCGCCTCCAGGCTGCCAAAGAGATCGCCGAGTACGAGAAGGACGCACTGCGCGCGGCGCTACACGTTCACCAGAAGCCCCGCAATCGGCACGAACCTCCCCTAGATCTACAGCAGCGAAAAGCGTTCCATTCAGGGGCAGTTTGGTGGTGGCCGTGCAAGCTTCGAGAGGCCCGCTTCAGGCAGCTAGTGAAGGAGAAGGAGAAGGAGAAAGAGCTACTTGATAAGATAGAGTTGAAAGAGGCAAAGGAGAACAACAGGATCTATCAACTTAAGATCAAAGAGGCAGCGCGGGCGGCGCGTGAGGAGGCAAAGAAGGTGCGGGATGAAGCCAAGGCTGTAAAGGCTGCCGAACTTGACGCCAAACGACGCGATCGCGACGCTGCAAAGGCTATACAACAACCCCAATCGGGCAAGCGTAAGGCTTCAAAGCCCGCTGCAAAGCAACAGCCAAAAAAACGACGCGTGGGTGGTGCTGGCGGTGGCACTCTGGCTGAGGTGGCTGCACCGGCTCCCCCACCAACAACCACCCGACGCGGCCGGGCCGTCAATACTCCGGCAAAATATAGATAGACAAAGTTGTAGAGCTACGTCTATAGATCAATACACCGGAAAATCTCGCGATAATAGTTATTGTACGTGGCTGCACAGCCTCAACTTTGCCGTCGTCGCGATATTGGTGGGGTGTGCGGCACGCGATTATGGGCATCACGCGCACAGACACGTTAGAGACGTCGGCTGCTGGACACTTCGGCCCGACTTCGGCCCACCTTGCGCAAGAGCTTAGGTATACCTTCGTAGCACCTATGTTCGTAGATATCAATTAGAACCACCGAACAGAATGCATTCCTAGTTATCGTTATTTCCCTTTACGCACTTAGTGCAAAGCCAACCAACACTGATCAGTGATTGCTTGAGGCGATCACAGACAGCAAGGAAGAAGAGACAGACCGCATCTTTGACAGCCTCCCTAACGCACGACGTTATACTCCTGAGAGAAGATTCTGTGCTAAGAACAGAGCGAGGCAGAGATAACGCATAGCGATCAAAACCTCCCTCTAAGCTGCTAATCCAGGCCGAAGCTCGATTACAGCGCGTCAGCAACGCACAAAGACACACTGTTGAAATCCCGACGCGAGAAGTCTTGGGACGACTACAGCACGTCAGCAGCGCAGAGCGACAGACTATTGATATCCCGACGCGAGAAGTCTCGGGACGACTATAGTGCGTCAGCAACGCGTAGCGATTCCGTACGAGCGTCCCCGGACGATCCTATCACGTACAACCACAAGCGCTGGAACCGACCAACCAGCTAGACAAGACAAGGCAACGCGTCAATATACACCGGCACGATGGCAGGCAGCCAGAGCAACTCTGGCGATACAGACGCTGATGTTCAAGAGCAACTACTCAACTATCCATCCGAACGCAATACAAGCAAGCGCGCAGAAACTATATCCCCAGGAGCGAAGTTTACTGCTGAACACCTTATGCGACACTGTCCATACACAGTCACGTTTGACTATATCAACCCATCTCTCTGGGGTGTACCCGCACCAGAGGATGCAGACGAGACGCACGCAACAACCTGGGTCGCGAAGGCTATCCACGACTACCATGTAGGAATGGAATGGGATGAGAGACTATACTTCGACTACCAATGGGACTTTGAAGGATGGACACGAGAGCTATTCCAGAAGGTTGAGCGCACTACGCTAAGATCTCTGAAGACTGTGCTCCGGTATAGGGGAGTCTATACAGGCAAATTTCGGGCTAGAGTAGCTGATTCCCTCTTCAACTTACTAGGAGGAGAAAACGCTCCCGAATGGGACCCTGCAGAGTTCAAGGCCGAGAAGTTTGACGAACGTTCTGAGGCGTACCAGCGTCAGCAGAACGCACATCTAGCAGCCCCTATAGATAGACAAGCGCAGCAGCCACTGCAACAGACGCAGCCACTGGAACCGCTACAGCCGCAGCCACAACGTCCGTCACAGGGCGAGCAGTATAGAGTGAGACAAGGCGTTCGAAGCCACCCGCAATATCAAGAGCTACAACAACCGCCCTACGCGATCAATGCCTTCGCCCGACCACAGCCAGGACAAACGGAGC